TTCGTCAGCCAACTTGGAGTAGATGTCCAACTCACCCTTGATGGTATCAATCCGAGATTCGTACTCCTTTTGTAAGTTGTCATAGTTTGCAGCCTTGAGGGAATATTCTTCTAATTGTTGTTTCATAATTTGTAACTCAGTAATATGCTTAGAGTCGTCCAATGAAATCTGATGCTTCAAGGACTCGATTTCTTGATTGAGGTGATCAACCTCTGTGCTCAACTTGGACTTTTCATTTCTCAACTCATCTTGTATATGATCATTTTCGGTCTTGTAATTCTCGAAAGTAGTATTTAAACTAAGCAAAGCATCTTCAGCACCCTTAGCAAGTTCGGAATATTCCTTAACCTGGGCTTCTGCGTTTTGCAATTCGTATTTGGCTTGTTCCAACTCAATATTGTTATGACTCAATGGGTGAGAAGAAACATTAGAGGAAACACCTCCATTGTTGATCTGTAATGCTTTTATGTGAGAATCGCTCTTCTTCAAATGTTCGGACAATTCCTTAATTCTTGAGTTCAAAGACTCCACCAATCTGGTCTTTTCATCTAATTGAGCTTTGGTAGACATTAATGTATAGCTCAATTCATTGACTTGTTCCAATTTGGTGTTTTGAGATTTTAAAGCCATCTCCGATTGATTGCTTAATATGGTAAGCTTTTCATCCCTTTCAGCCAACTTTTCTTGTAATGATTGATAATTGGCAATAGACTGGCCTAACCGGGAAGATACTTCGGCATTGGATGCCTCTCTTTCCTTTAATAATGCTTGTAAGTTCATTACAAATTCGTTCAACTGAGTCTTGTCGCTCCTCAATTGATTGACATCATCTAGCAATTTCTTCTGAATGGATAACAATAACTCCGTTTCACTCTTGGCACTGTTTAACTCAATGTTTTTCTTTGTCAACTTGGATTCCAAGTCATTCACATCATTGTTCTTACCTACCAACATGGTTTCTTGCTTAGAAGCTTGGTTCTTCCAGAACTCAATGGATTCTTGCAATCTCTTGACCTCATTCTCAGAGTTTTCTAATGTGACTTTACTGTTGGAATAACGAGTCTCGACCAACTCCAATTGATGGGTGAAAGAACTGACTTTGAGTTTGAACTCATCTCTACTTGAAACTGCTTCATCTAACTTCTTGGTCAACTTGTCTATCTTGGAAGCTGAATCGGCTTGAATCTGTTTGATTGAGTTCTCATAGTCACTTATTCTCTTTTTCAAATCAGCGTTTGCCTCAGCCAAATATTTGGTATTGGCTTTGGAGTTTGCTGCTATATCAGCAGTACCATTGGCAGAAGCTAAAGACTTCAAAACATCTCTCTCTTTGGCAACAGCGTCATACTTAGCCTTCAAACTGTCCAATTCACCTTCCAAAGTCAAAATTGCATCTTTGGCTTCTTCAATTGCAACTGATTCCAATTCGTTTCCGGCTCGGTCATCCTCCATCTCCAATTTCTTACCCAATTCTCTTGTCAAAACCAACAATTCAGCATTCTTTTTCTGTAGCTCGATGATACTGGAGAAACCAACCAATCTCTCAGAGATCAACAGATCAGTATCACTTTCTTTGGAGTTTTCGTTATTCCCAGTTCTTTCCAAGATATTGTCAATGGCTTTTCTCTCTGCTAAGGTCAAAGGATTGTCATGAGTCTCACGGATCTTTGAGTGGATTAAATAGTAGCATAACTGTTTCCCCAAATCTTTGCACAATTTCTTCATGGACACCATTTCGTCTTCCAATTCCATGATTTTGTTCTTTAATCTAGAGCTCTTCTTTTCACTTTCCAACTTTTCAAATCTCACAGATTCAACCTGACTCACCATATCTCTCATGGAACCTTCGTAAAAGGCGATTTGTTCCCTATAACTTAAGATAACCGGTTTTTTGGACTCCAAGTCGCTGATTATAGCTTGCAATTCATCAGCCAACTTTTCTTTTTGGGATCTTTCCAAAATCAATTGTTTTTTAATGTGATTAAATTCAGAATACAATGAAGATAATGAGATACCCTTAGAGTTGGCAGCAATTAATTCAGCACTGTCAGACAATCTAGGCAAATCATTCTCCTTTCTTAATTCTTGTTCTAATGCTTCTTCAGCTCTCCTGAGTCTCTCTTCCAATTCAATACATCTCTCAGTCTTTGATCTAAGTTGAGAGTCCAATTCGCTGACAGCCAGAGACGTCTTAGACTTGATCTCTTCGACGTAGTCTTCAAGCTCGTTCACTCTATTTTCATTATCAGCTTGTTGAGCTTTGAGAATTTCTATTACATCATCTTTGTTCTTTATTTCGCGTTCCAATTTGATCTTATTCGACTCAAGAGCTTGGTCCAATTTGGAAATTTCATTCAATTGATTTTCCACCTTCAAATTCGAAGCCTTGATGGAATTCTTCGAGTTTTCGTTGCTACTTTCAGCAGCAGGAAGCCTTGATTTCAACTCAGATACTTCATTGGTCTTGGTTAGCCTTTCAGTTTGGTACGTTTTGGACATTTCTGTTAGTCTGTCTTGACACGATTTCCATTCATTTTCAAACCAGATCTTCTCCCGCTTGAAATATGAAGCTTCGTTCGAAGACTTGGTAAGGTCGAACTTAATGCTGAAAAATTCGTTTTTGAGGTCGTTGAGTTCCTTTGTCAATTGGTTTATCCGTTGGCTCTTGTCGATATTGTCCTTGGTCAAGTTATTTATCTGGTTGTTGTACTGAATGACTTCTCTATCAAAATTCTGGGAGTTTTGGGTCTTCTCCAAGTCAATTATCGTTTGGTTCAAATCGTTCACCTTGTTCTTCAACTCATCGTTCTCACTACGATAATCCTCAACCAACTGATGGTTGGCATCGAGTTTCTCAGCCAATTCCTCTTTTTCTCTCACGGCATTTTCCAACTTCTCTTCATCGGCTCTGATTCGCTGGTTGAGAGTCTTCACCTTGTTCTCGTTGATTTGTGACATCTTCTCTTGGTTCAACTTGGCAAATTGGATGCTGGATTCAAGCTCCGAGAACTCCACCGCTTTTTTCATTAGTACATCCAAAATCGACAGGTCGATCGACGCCGCTTCCACATCAGGGATGTTTAAGTAGGAAGCCACCAATACGATGTTGTTGTTCTCTCTATCATCTTGGATTACTGAGATGTCAAGTTGAGAAGAGTCAGGATGGGTATGCACATGTTTCTTGGGAACCACATTCTGCACTAATGGCAGACTTTGGACCTGATTTGTGTCGACATCTCTTGCCACAGTAAATGATTTGGGGGTCTCGATAATATCTATATCTTTCAAAGGAGGCAAGCTTTTAGAAGGGGTGGTGAACAGGTTGAAGTTGGTGATAGGCATGTTCAAAGAAGATGAGTTCGCCAAGTCTTCTACCTTGTCATTCTGCTCATCGATATCCTGGGCAATTGGTTCAGAATTTTGGGCAATTGGTTCGGTGATCTCGGGGATTGATTGAGGTTCCTCGACCATCGACTCGAGATCTGGGTGCTCGTATGCTTCATCCTCTAAATTCACAATGTCATCGTCGTCATCGTGGTCATTTATGAAGTCGGTATAGTGCTCCGTTGGAACGCTCGAGTTGGCCTCTTCGTCAAACTCTTCTGCTTGGTGTATTTGATTATCATCATTATCGTCTTCTTGATCATCAATTCCATCTACAGAAACAGGCAGATGTTGCGCACTGGATGGCCCTGAGGAATGGTTGGACGTCAGATCAGAGATCTCCCCCTGTTCCTGCTGGTCCAGGGAACTGATCTCATGGACTGATTGTGGGCGACTATTGTGGTCGGAGTCCATATTAGTTTGAGTTTATGTTAGACAGTTGAATTTTCAGGTTTGCGCACCATTGAAGATGTCGCGGGACCCCCAGCCAGCCGCCGTGAGACATCTTGCGACAAGGAAATAGCAAGGGCGCGGACCCTATATATCACGCGCACAGAGTCTGTGACTGTGCCCACCTTTACCCGTGGCCTGTGCACGCCCTACACACCTCACCTCACCAAACGCAGAAAAACTTTTGATGGAAAAATTCCTACAGCTTACCAGATAATAGTTCATAGCAAAAAATGATTGAACCATCATTGAGAGCTTTAGCTTCGAAGTACAACTGTGAAAAGTCCATCTGCCGTAAGTGTTACGCCAGATTACCCCCAAGAGCCACCAACTGCAGAAAGAGAAAGTGTGGTCACACCAACCAATTGAGACCAAAGAAGAAGTTGAAGTAAATCATTGAATTTCTTTATTGTCTCATGGTCTTTTTGTTAAGTTATCCTCACCGTTTATTAGTGTAGGATAGCTATACAAGAAGACGTTTGACGGTTCCCAAACTAGAAGCACATCGTCATCCATGAAGAAAGTGTAATTATAATAGGACTGATCAATACGTATTTTATTAATAATACAACCATCAAAATGTCACCTGTAAAACAGGGAAGATGGAGGTCATGGAGAAAAGAGAACGATACAGGTAGCAACCCCAGCATCGGAAACCTGGTTCATGTCGGTTAGCGTATGAAGTATGATTCTTTCAATATCATATTTTGAAATGATTCCCAAAGTTTGTGCTATCCGGTGAGTTCCAGCTCCATAGCTATCAGTTCCGTGTCTGTTTTCCTATCCCTCATCTCCTTTAATTTGTGCTTACCAATTTGCCTCTCACCTCACGTATGTTTTACTTAATTGAGTGAAAAATACCCGTAAACACCCACCGAAACACCCCTAAAACGACCTATAAGTATCTTTAGGGTCGTATAATCTATCACCCTGTTTCCTAGTCATCTGCTCTATACCTTTACCCTTAATAATACCTTGTTCAACCTGATTGCGGTGGGACCCACAAAGCGTGCGCGCACCACCGCTCACCATCTACCGAAACCTACCTGATCAAAATCCACTCACTAATCAATACATTTTTAAACACCGTTGCCAACCATCATATATCCGGCGTCAGTTTTGAATCACGACATCTTTTGAGTGCCTGGGGTTATATTGTTCCTGATATGAGTAATAGTAATCCTCATTATCTCCCCGACCCCCACCTGGATACCAATCGAGCGATCAATCATCTGGCTTCACAACAATCTCCAAAAAACAATCTTCCGGTATCTCAGCAACAGAAGCGTCAGCACAGCTTATCCAATTACATGCCCAACAACTCCAACAAGCGGATGCCCAACCCGACTCCACTGGCTACTCCTTCCCAACAACCTTCCTCCCAAGACCATCTGTTTTCTTCCACGGCAGCAGTGACGTCTCAACACCAACTGCAACAACCACAATCACTGCTGCGCCCACAAAACCGAAACAGTTTCCGCCGCAGCGTCTTGCAACAGCAGTATCCGTTGGGAGGAGCGGTCGCCGGCATTAACCTGACTAAGACCCCCACTCCTCTGTCGTATGAGGTTCCGTCATCTCCCAACGTAAACCAGTCCTTATCCGTCCAGAATATATCGGACCTGCCGGACTCTAATCCACCACAGGATCATCAACAGGGGACGTCCCAACCTCAGGGTCCCGTCAAGGACTCGTCGCAGTTGCTGGATCCTGAAGGAAATACCTCAACATTCCTGGCGGCCCCTACCGCCAGCAACCATCTGGCCACCACTGCCACCAAAGCCTCGCAGCCCCGAGAGATGACCGAGGAGGAGCAGCAATTGGCTACCAAGTTAAAGGATACCTATAAGAACATTGTCAACTATGAAGAGATTGTGCAGAAGAACTGTCTTGAGATCTCGCTTAAGATCTCCCAGTTCACCAACAACTCACATTCGATGACATATGGTAATTCTCCCATAGTGGGGATAGCCCAGGGACTTGCCCAGCTGAGCCCAGCCCTCATAAACAACGTCAAGTCATCGGAGTTACTGAATGAACTCTGGAACGTTTACCATAACAACATCTCATTGTTAGATAACTACACCGACTTTCTCGTGACGGCATTGAAACCTACTTCAAACGACCAGCGAGACCATTTCAAGACCGGCAAGAACATTGTCGACTTGTATAAGATCCCAAGACGAATGTGGGTGTATGGAGTGGTTGCCTTTTTGGAGGTGTTGAAAAATATCATTAACATTTTTCAAGAGCATGAGATTTGCCTGAGCTTCATCGGGCACTGCTTTACGATCATCTCCAATTTGACGGATCCAGTGTTGGATATGGAAGGCTGGTGGTCGGAAAAGTTGGGTGACTTATCTAGAATGGCCATTGCTTTGTACAGCTCCAGATTCATTGATTGGAAAGTAAGTGCTGAACATTGGTACTTTATTGCCATGAGAACCTTATACGGTCATGGAAAGATCTATTACCACATGTGTACTGTTCAGCAGGATAACTTGGATGCTTTAGTCAATATTGGTAAATCGGTCATTTGCAGAGATCCATTTGTACCCACTCAGCAGTATTTAAGATTGGTGGTGGAGAATATTTGCACCCAAAGAAACATCTTGTCGATACTTGAATTGCCAATTATAGATTTCATCAAGATTCATAAGGTATTATTGAGTATCAACACCAACCAACTCAACAGTAACAAATCTGGAAGCAACTCCAACAATGGTGAAAACAACATTGAAAATCTTCATGAGACCCAATTACAATATGGTATTGACTTGGTATCAAGATATGGGATCACTTTTGGTTCAGACTCAAATGGCTACAACTTCTTCACAAGACAGTTATACACTCCCAATGGCGTTACCAACACCAGTGACCCAAGAACTCCATATTATTTGCAACAACAGCTTTCACCTCTGTCACAAAATGGCATTAACTCTCTTGAGAAGTTAAACTTTTGGTTGAACAAAGGGCCACTATTTGCCATCGCCAATATAAATCATATTGTCGGACTTGGTGACCTGAAAAATCCGTTTGCAAAGATTTTCTTATTACCTGAAGCATTAAAAGAAAGAAAAGACAAAAAAGACAGAAAGAGAAAATCAAAATCTTCAATCGCCGAAGACTTTGCAAACGCTAATTCTAGCTCCGTAAATTCACTGACGATTTCTGCATCTGAAATCTCTGAAGCAGAATGGGTCTACTACTTGAAGGATATAAACAAGTCGGTTTTAGAGTTATCGGTTAGAATATTGAAGCATTATTTAGTGGGGCCAATTGAAGCTTCATATGGCCATGTCATTATCTGGTTGTACTTTTTAATTGCTGTTGGTGAAGCTACTGAAAAGCATCCGGAAAGTAAGCCACTATTCTTTTGGTTATTCAAGTATATTTTCCCTTGGGATTTATTGATCAATTACTTGAATACTCTTTTGATTATGGTGAAATCTAACGACATGTTGCTCAAGCGATGCAGGGATCATATTTTGAACACCCCTAATTATATCCAATATTTCAATGACCATGAGAACTTGGCTGAAGTGTGGAAATGTTGGGGAACACTATGGTTTGACTTCATTTCGGCAAAAACAGATTATTGCGAGTTCGACAATGCCGGTATTTCGGATTACAACATATTTGACTTGCCAGTTTCTGGAATATCTGCCAGTCTTAGAGCAGGTAATAATCTAGAGAATTTGAAATCTAAAGAGTCTCCAAACTTCGATGATAACAATATTGCTGAAAACAACGACCGTATCATCAGAATCATTTTACTTTCCAGATACCTTGCTGACCACTATGAATTTGGATTGGTAAGATCTCACGATGGTTTCAAGTATTGGGGTGATATTGTTCCTTTGTTCTCTGAATTTGTTCCACAGGAGGTCGAGTTTGTTACTTCGAATTTCCTTTATGGCGATAATCGGTTCATCAGTCACAGTTTCTTTGATAAATTCAGTGATGAAAACGCTTATACATTCAACGAACGTATAAGTATCGATTCATTAGATGATGAATGGTTTGAAAGAAACGACAGTTTGTCAATGTTTGACAGCCAAGGTCCAGGTGAGAGTAGAAACGCTGAACTTGGAGATGCCATGGAAGATTTTGGAGAGGACCTTGAACAGGAGAGAAGAAACAAGGAGCTCGAAGATCAGGTGAACAAGCTTTACAATCAACAGCACGAAGTATTAAAATCCAACTTGAACGATGACGAATTCTACAACACTAACTTTATGATTAACCCTGAAAATTTATCCATAATCAGCGAAAACAACCTTGGTACCAATAATGTGGCCAGTAGTTTAGTCGAAGGCAATTTGGGCGATCGTATGGATACCAGCTTGACGTACATAACATTGGATACCAACATCTGGTTGAAACATTGTGGTAGAATCTTCAAATGTATCAGAAATGGAGTGTTCAAGATTTTGATTCCATTAATCGTATTCCAAGAGTTGAGATCCCTCCGAAAGTCTAGCGAAGTCACAATTGCAGATGCGGCTACCCGATCTGTAATCATCATCAGAGAGTTACACTCTGCTCAAGAGCTTTTGCCTTTGAGATTCGATGGAACCATAGCATCGGATATCAACGAAACCACTGAATTCGAAAACAATTCCAACTGGAGAGCCAATATTGACGAGACCATCATGAAGGCAGTCAATGAGCAAAACGAAATCAGTAGAAAAGTCTTGAGAGGATTAAATTCCACTATAGCTGGAAAGTTACTTGACACAAAACTTTCCAAAAGCTTTTGCTACTGTATTTTGATCACCGATGACAGAAATATGAGATTGAGAGCCAAGACCATCGGAGTAACTAGTTTTCAAAGCAAGTGGCTTTTCTCCCAATTGGAAGGTAACTTCTACAGCAAGTGTATTGATTAGCATAAAATAGCATATATTTCCGTACTACATCCGTAGCCGTAGCCAATAAGGTTTCCTTTTGCATCTTTGCTCTTTTAGGATGGTTCAATGCGTCTAGAACCCATATGTTGAGAATTTTGCCTTAAACGCGTATGTACGCATGGCGCTGCATGCTCATGCAGGCCCCAACAATTTGGCGTATTGTCTTCCCCAGGAGCAGAAAAGATTATTAAGGTACTTACTATACACGCTCATCCCAAGGACTTGGCCCATTAGTTGGTTACAAAAATATTGAACGTGCAAATCTGAAAAGTATATAAATCTTAGATTCTACCTTTTTTTTTTCTCTCCAACAACAAAGCTCAGTCTCTCCTTTCATCACCAGCTTTCTAGTTCAGGCCTCTTTGCCCAGATTCCACACTCCTTATTTACAGTCGCTCATTATGAATTTTATCGCTTTATTTGCCTTGGCTAGCCTGATTTTGGCAGCCCCAGCTCATGTATTCGTGGTTACCAAAGTCAATACCGTTACTGTTATCGACGGGCCCGATGGTTTAACTACGTTGTTTCCTGATGTCACTACGATTTTACCAGTTTCAGCTGATGTGGTTGCAACCACCCCAACGGAAGCCACCACGGATACCACTGAGATCCAAACACCTGCTACTACTGAGATCCAAACGCCTGCTACCACTTCTGAGGCTGCTACCACTACTGAGGCTGCTACCACCGCCGCTACCACCGCCGCTACGACGTCGGCTGCCTCGACCGGCGACTTCTCAGGTCAAGGTACCTACTACGACACCGGTTTGGGTGCTTGTGGTATCACCAACGTCGACACCGACTATATTGTAGCCATTTCTCATGAGTTGTTCGATGAGACCAATACTGGAAACCCCAACAACAACCCTATTTGTGGAAAGAAGATTAAGGCTTCATACCAGGGTAAGTCTGTTGAGGTAACAGTAACAGATAGATGCGAAGGCTGCCAATACCGGGACTTGGATTTCTCACCTCTGGCATTCTCCCTGATTGCAGACCAGGGTTTGGGGAGAATTGACATTACTTGGGAATGGATTTAAAAATACATATTAGGTTTAAAAGCTTGTAGATCCGTGTACTGTACACGGGAAAGCAGTGTATATTTTAGTGATTGGCTGCGAACACCAAATGAGAAACTATCGTTTCAATGCAATCAAAATACCCAGCTGAAAAGGCGTCTAACAAGTGTAACATCTTTGCCACTTTCACTTTCCACCTGGGCATAGTATTCATACTCATGCTCTTCAATTTCATCAATCCCAGTAACCAAATCTGCTTCTTCAGGTTTCACCATCTTTGTCCTCTTAAACACCTTCCAAAAAACATAGACAATTATCGAAACGAAAATCATCACGTAGTTAAATAAAAAGTTATCCACCGAAAACGGTTTGAAACAAGTGTATCCCTTGACAAAGATCATGATCCAAATGAAAAACCCAGATATCAAAATCGTATATGGCTGAAGCCACGATCTGTACGCGAACGCTCTCCTGTCCAACCCTTGGGCTTTAACTGCTTGGTAGAATTTATAGTAGATAATGACCATGAATCCGTAATTCAATAGTTGTGCTCCCGTACACAAGTTGACCATATAGTTCAATGCGATAGCTGAGCTGGACCCCAATTGCAACAAGGACAACAAGGAAAACAACATACTTACAGCAATACAGTAGATAGGCACCCCCTTTTTGGTACATTTGGTGAAGACTCGAGGAACAAATCCTCTTTCTGCCAACCCATACAAGGCTCTAGAGGAGCAGAAAGTGTACGAGTTTCCGGCAGAAAATGCCGATGTTAACACCACCGCATTGACGATATCTGGTAACACCTTGATTCCTAAGTTGGTCATGCCCACCACATATGGAGATGAAGCTGACGTGCTCTCGGTAGTGGTTTTCAAGTAATCAGGATCGTTATAAGCAACCAAAATTGTTACCGATAGTGCTCCACCTATATAGACTAAAGCCAAACGGTATAAAACTGTCTTGAAAGCAGTGGGCATATTCTTTCTTGGATTGACCGCTTCCCCAGCCACCATCGACATATACTCTGGCCCCACCACAATGAATAAGGCTCCAATCAAGCCCAGTAAAAACCCTTCGAAGCGTCCCAAAGAACCAGTACTTCTGTATTCAGCTATTGGCCCTCCTACTGCATGCCAGTTGCGAAATCCAAACGCATCGTGCTGGGGATTTCCCCCACACATCGACACCAACGTAAACAACAAAAGGCCAATACACAAAACTAATTTACCCAATGATAGCCAAAATTCGACTTCTCCATATAACTTAACCGCAAAAACATTGATGGCAGCATAAAGTACAATTTGGACACAAAGAGTTATAGCTGCACTGTAGTCATCTCGCCAGTAGTGAACAAAATTATTAACAGCCACAATCTCAAACGGGATGTATAACGCTTGCATTATGAAAAAGTTGAAACCCACACAGCACTCAAATGCTTCATCTACACACCTTCCGGCCAACGTCACAAATGGTGATGCTACGGGAAGAAAAGACACCATTTCTCCAACCGAAACCGTGAGCATCAAGATAATTACGGTCCAGAACGCAAAACTCAAAAGTAACCCCAAGGGGCCCGAAGTGGTCAAGTCAATTCCAATCTGCAAGAATAACCCAGTACCAATAGACCCTCCAATGGCAATCAACTGGACATGCCTTAACTGTAACTTTCTTTTGATATGGTCTCCAACTGGAGGGAAAGAGTTGGACGAAGAGTGTAAAGACTCGGACCGGGTATCCTTGTCAAACAAGGTGTTGGCTTCTAAGGGTGGTTTCTTTGACTTGAACATATTGTGGGGACAAAAAAACACAAACCTGATTGGTTTTATACATGCGAGTCTGGACTGCTCATTGCTTCAATTTAGAGTTCTTGCATTCGGAGCCCGCAAGAAGTATTTTTCTTGACAACGTCATCCTAATACGCGAGCCGAGAACATCCATATCAAAACCTCTAGAGTGAGGGCAATTGCAACACGTCCAGGCAATTTGATAATCAAAGTGAGTTCTAAACCTGAATATATATTAGCAGAGCGAAGGCTGCAAAACTTGCAAAAATTGGACCTTTGCGAGAAAAAATTTACCATGTCCTATTCTAGTGGCATTTCATTTATAAGAAAGGTGGGTAACAATACCAACCTTATATTCATGCTTCTTGCCAAGTATTTGATCCATTCACGATTTTCAAGTAGTTATACTTAACCTTCTAAAAAAAAAAAAAATGATTCCGCCCAGGATCGAACTGGGGACCTTATGCGTGTTAAGCAGACGTCATAACCGGCTAGACCACGGAACCACTTATGAAATACCAAAAGGCGGGATCGGTCTTCAACACAACAAAATAGTGCGCCTACTCATACGGCCCACCCTAATGCATCATCAAATCTGCTAGGATGTTCCTATAGACAGACATAAAAAGCACGATTAGAACCCAGATGTTACCCAAACTCTTTTCTCTCTCTTATATTCAACCTAATCTATAAGATATAATAACTTAAACTAGTTCAACTTGGCCAAAATAGCATCAGTGAACTCAGTGGTGGAAGCACTACCACCAATGTCTCTGGTGGTGGTCTTACCTTCAGCAATGACGTCGTAGGTAGCCTTAGAAATCTTGTCGGCGTGATCGTTCAATCCCAAGTGTCTCAACATCATGGAAGCCGACAATATCATGGCAGTAGGGTTAGCAGTGTTTTGGCCCTTGATATCCAAACCAACGTGTCTACAACCTGGTTCAAAAACAGCGTATTCTCTACCAAAGTTAGCACCTGGAACCAAACCGGGACCACCAATTAAAGCAGCACCAATGTTGGACAAAATAGAACCGTACAAGTTTGGAGTTACCAACACATCAAATTGTTGAGGATGGGCAACAGCTTGCATAGATGCATTGTCGACAATCAAGTCATTCACTTCAATTCCACTGTAATCTTGGGCAATGTCTTTGATGGTTTGTCTAAATAAACCATCACCTAATTTCATGATGTTAGCCTTGTGAATGGCAGTAACCAACTTTCTATTGTTCTTCTTGGCAAAATCAAAGGCGAACTTTCCAATTCTTTCGGACTTGAATCTGGTCATGATCTTCAACGATTCAACCACTCCTGGGTAAGATTGATGTTCCAATCCAGAATATTCACCTTCGGTGTTTTCTCTAACCAACGCGAAATCAATACCATCCAACTTACCCTTGACACCAGGGATGTTCTTGATCAATACGAGCGAAGCGTAGATGTCCAATTCCTTTCTCAAAGCGACATTTAAAGATTTGGCGGACGTGCCGGTTGGGGTGTACAAGATCCCTTTCAACCCAATTTTGTTTCTCTTCAATGATTCAACTGCTTGAGAAACTCCATCGAGAACCCCATCGGCATTCTTGTCAATACCACTAACCTCAATGGTTTCCCATTCGATTGGCACGCTTTGATCCTTGAAAATGGTTTTAACGGAGTCGGTGATTTCTTTACCAACTCCATCACCAGGGATCAAGGTGATGGTATACTTTCCTCCGTATTTCTTGGGCAATACGGCTTCAGGAGAAGCAAAGGTGGCTAATGATCTGAGCGAGGTTTTGGAAGTCTTGAACATTTTGGGATTGTTTGGGGAAGTTGTTCTGAAAATTTTTTAATCCGCTATAACTTCGGAGTTGTAGTAGGAGATTGCATTCTCACCCATGGGAAAAAATTTAATTGGACGACGGTGCGCACCGGAGCCGTAATCCGCACGACCCGTTTTTGGCATATTTGGCAGGTTTTGCGAACCGATACTCAGTTGCAAGCGATGTTACCCGTATATAAAAACATCATCAAGGAACTTCGTGTGATAGCGGCAAGAAGCCACAAGGTTCACGAGAAGTCCAATCTCGCCAAGAACAAAGCTATGCTTGAATATAAGAAGATTCAACTCATCAAGCAGAACCGGTCCATCGCAGAGGTGGATGCTCAGTTGAAGAACTTGCAAGTTGATTTGAAACCATCGGCAAAGTTTGAAGAAGCGTTTAAGCAGCTTTTCGCTGAGTTCAGTGCAGAAAATCCAAACCCAACTCGGATTCAACAGCAGCATTTTAAGAATGTCAGTGATTTCCTCTACGGACAAAGGACGTACCAGGAGTTGATTGAGCGGTACAACCTGGGACTCGGGATGGACCAGTCAGAAACAGTGGAGAAGTCAGCCAACCGGGTCGGGTTCACTGTACCTCAGTAGAGAAGTCGGTCATCACACTCGGTGCTACACATATTCACGAAACCACGCAGGCACTAGTTCAATTGTTCAATAGTATATTTTTACATACAGTCATTTAATACAAAACCTAAACCCTCCCACTTTCCCATCTTGCCCGCTTACCACACACCCCGTCATCATCTCTCGCCCTCTTACCATCTTTGTTGTTGAACAACACACTCGAACCCAGCTTGATATCACTATTTTCTCGGTAGAACTTCTTCAAGTTCTCAAGAATTAGCAAGTCGTTGTAGTAGTTGGAGTTGAAGTTGAGGGCCACACGGCCACTCAAGTAGTGCAAACACGCATTGAGGTTGTAATTATAGTTATCCATCAAGTATCCAATGAGAAGTGCTTTGGAGCAGTTTTCGTTAAACTCCCCCACCACAAGCACTTCAATCGAGCTGTTGATAATCTTGAAAAGCTTGATGATTCGTATCAATTTGAAGAGATTGTTCTTCAAATTACCCGTCAAAATCGGGTGCTGCAAATTCAAATTCAAGTTGTTGGGTAACCCGTGGATATGGTTGGAGATGTTGTCGTTATAAGTGACAAAGAAGCTCATGAAGTTCTGAAGCACCTTATTGTAGGTGCTAGTGAACTCGTCGAGCAACTGCTTTTCGTGCTCAGAGTACTTGTTAATATCAAAACCCAAGTCCAACGAGAGAACAATAACATCCGACGACAATGACACGCCGTGTGACTGGTGGTCCAAACGGTTCAAGAACTTATAGGTAGGCAAGCAGTTGACGATGATTTTGAAGTTGTGGTTAGCAAACAGTCGATCTGAAAGACTGTTCAAGTTTCCATAGTAAATGGACGGACACACTTGTACCAAGGCCGGCTGCAAGTGGTCATTGGGAGAGCAGTGGTGGTGGTCCAAGGAGGTGTAGTCCTGGCGCATGGGGTAGTTTCCGATCATGTTGGAGGATATAATACACGAAATAATAGTACAGGTGGAGGTAGGTAGTTTACAAGGCTAATGGGTTGAATCAAATATTTGGGGCCAACGAAGCAATTGTTGAAATGCCACGGTTTAGAACGTAACGCTTTGCTTTAAAGCAAGTACTTAGAAGGAATAAAAGTGGGTGGATTTTAAGATTGCAAAATGAACCACTGTGGAAAATAGCTGTGAAAAGAAAAACGATTAGGAATTTTGAGATTTTTTGGTTCCAGAAAACCACGTCTGATAAAAGGGTTTCTGCTCGTAGGAGCACGGAACGGAATTTGTTCGCAGGTGGAGAATAAAACCAACGGACTTGTCACAAGCTAATTTTTTCCATTTGTGGACTTTGCAGGTGTGTGCTGGTTGGATATAAAAATCTAGACCTGATAGCGGGGGGCCGGGCACGACTTGGGGGGCCGACAGGGCCACGGAAGTGCAGGAGCGGGTGGTGCGACTGATCGTGCCCACTGGGGGCACCGGGTCGTGCCTATACCCGCCCAGACTCTAAACCAGCACACACCCAACAAAGCCAGAGCCCCCACCGTGCCCTCACCATTTTAATGCATCGAACCCTGCGCTTCAGCAATCATCATCATATTTCCACATTAACAATGTTTAGACTTTACTTGGGAAGAGCTAAGTTCCCCAAATTCTCCTTCAAACCATTCAGTCCTTACAGACTAGCCTTTGTGCCATTGCTTCACCCGATCTTCAATGACTCCGGCTTTAAAGGAGTTTCTAGCTCACCTGCATCTACCATCAAAAGTGTGGGCTCCGATGTCTCCAATTTGCAACTTTCAAGTAGGCACAAAACCTATAATGAATTGACCCTCGGGTCTGTCACCGGGCTTTTCTTGGGTATTATCATCGGGAAATTCAGCTCTTTGATAGTCACCTTGACATTGTCTGTGTACTTAGTTTTGCAATTTTTACAGTCACGAGGCGTGATTCAAATTCCTTGGAATTATATATTCCGGTTCAACAACCAATCCTTTGACACCAGACAGTTGTTTTTCGACAATTTCAACTTTAAGATCAGTTTTATTTCCAGTTTCTTGATTGCATGTTATAATATTTAGTGTCCCAGTTAGGATATGAACTTAATTGGAAGTAGAATCCAACAAATAAACACACCATTGCAGTCATTTCCTTTATCGTATCTTATATTTCTATTAACAGTTAATTATTGCAATTTGGTGAACAAATCAAAGGTTCCAGTTCCCACATTGGATAACTTACCCATGACAATCTTGGCCGATGGACTTTCAAGTTCTTCTTTGTCTCCGTTCAACACCGACTTGGTGATGAATTGACAGGTGGTTTCGTATGACATCTTCATGAATGCAGAAGTGGAAGAGTCAATACCCTGTCTGTTGAAGGCCAAGTAGGTTCCTTCACGAGTCATCATGTCTCCGATCAAGTCCAAGTGTCTGGATGAAACATTGATGGCATACCTTTCGAACACATTGTTGATTTCCCTGACAATGGTGTTTCTAGCAGCCTCGACCCCATAAGTCTTCAATACCTGGTAGATGTCATTGGAGGTGATGCTGTTGACATCAATAAAGTCATCTTGTTCCCACATGGCTCTGAAGTTCACTCCCTCCGTCGTCAAGTGTCTTTCTCCACTTGGGTGAATACATCTACCTATTTTGGGCACTTCTCTTACCACAATCTTCTTACTCAACTCTTCAACAATGTTGACCATCAACAATTTTTCAAAGTCACCCACCAACCTCAAGTCAAACTCACACCATTCTCCATTGTCGTCGTCGAAGTTGAACTTGGTGACGAAATGGTGATTGGTGATCACTTCTTGCTGTCTGCTCTTGGCTTCTTTGCTAATAGGCTTGTCAACTTGCATGTCATCTTCACTTTCACTTTCGGAAGATTCGTCGCTGGAGTCCGAGTCCGAATCAGCATCTTCCTCTTCGCTAGTCTCTTCGGCTCTCTTCATGGTTTCGATTTCATCATCATCAGGTCCTTCGTATGACACTTGTTGTTTGGAGTTTTTCTTCATCTTGGCATCATTAGCATCTCCATCACCTTCTTCATAGTCGTCTTCAATTCCCTCCAACTTACTGGCAACTGGGTCAGAAGCCTTGGAAGCAACCCCGATGCTAGGGGCATTGGACTTCTTTTGCTTCTTGATTTCCTTGGTGATGGTGGTTTCCAATGCACCCAAAAACTTGGAGATAACCACCCCTTCCAAATGCTTTTGGGTAATATCGTACTCCTTCTGGTATTCTTCCTTGGTGAAGAAGTTCAACTTGATGGTGTACGATCTTGAGTTATCACCGTCTCCCGTAGTGGAAGTGGTTTCCACCACTCTTACGTTCAATAAGAACTCACTCAATACAATTTTGGTGATGTTCTTACAAAACAAGTCTGCTTGAACGTCGTTAATGTCTGCTCTCAATGGCATCGTCATTTGTGGAGTAGCAATGGAGGAGGAAGCTGTCATAATGATTTCTCTCATTCTCGGGATACCCAAGGTCACATTGGCAGCACCGTGACCCGCGAAATGGAAAGTGTTCAACGTCATTTGGGTGGAAGGTTCACCAACCGACTGCGAGGCAATAATACCAACGGCCTCACCGGGGTTGATCAACGACCTCATGTATTTTAATTGCATCAATGCCTTGAACTTTTCTTTACCAACCTTATCTTTCTTGAACAACTCCTTGTTGTCGCTGATGAACTTCTCCAAGCTATTCTGGAAGTTTTCACTCACCGCACCCAAGTATTTGGCTGGGTTGTAGACAGAAATAGTTGGGTCGTATTTCAAGGTTTGTTCGTAATGGGGCAAATCGTTGATCTTCTTGATAGATTTCTTGTACTTCTTCATGTAGTCAAGAGCATCGTCAGTGTTCAAATTGTCGATAAACTCAGGTTGGTACTTCTTCAACAACGAGTCGTAGTTCTCCAAACAAAACTTGAATTCGTTCATGTGACTCTGCTTGGTGGTATCAACTGCATCACCTCCGTATAAGAATTGGATCAATGTACCGTCTCCATCTCTGACAGAATTATCGTAACTGACATGAACACCTTCCAATTGCTTCGTCAAACATCTTTGCAAGTAACCGGAACGAGAGGTCTTGACAGCGGTGTCAATCAAACCTTCTCTACCGGCCATGCAATGGAAATAGTATTCCTGGGGTCTGATACCCGAGTAAAATCTTTGTTTGATGTAACCACCAGCTCTGGCATCGGTCTCGTATGGCTTGAAACAAGGAAGTGACTTACCAGAAACCATAACCGGCACTCTTCTTCCTTCCAAAGCCTGTTGTCCCAAAAGACACATGATCTGAGAAACATTCACATTGGAACCTTTCGCACCAGATAATGCCATAGCTTGCATCGAGTTGTAAGGGAATCTCTTCATGGTTCCGTCTGGAACACACTTGGACACCACCTGGGAAGTGATAGCATTAGCCTTGGAAGACGTCACCGCATCCAATATACCCAGCTTATTATCATCTCTCAAGATTTCTTCCAATCTCTTCAATAACTCTTTGTCGGTAACAGAGGTGTCCAGAGGTAAGTTGGTGACCTCATTGGCAGCAAGTCTTCCAACGTCAACCGACTGTTTCAAAATATCATTTCTCCATTGGTTACCCTCTGCAGTTAATCTCAAATCATCCATACCACATGTGAACGCAGTCATCATGATATAATTTGTGAATAGTCTACCCAAAATACTCAAAGACTTACCAGCAATGGTAGGTCCGTATACTTCGTGCAAGGAGTGGACTATACCGAACTGAGAAGCACCATACTGAGATTTGTCCAAAATACCACACAATAATTCACCGTTTTTGAAGATCACTTCGTTTTCAGTGGACCCTTCACCCCAATATTCACTTTTGATTTTGTTCTTGGAGATCAAATTGACCCCAGGAACATCGGCTGGCTTGATATTCAACAAGATGGTTGAGATGATCTGCTTACCGGTCCACAAGGGCTCTGGCTTGAAAATAGTAGGTGGTAAAGTTCTGATTCTGGTCATGGTGATATGTCCATCTTCTGGTCTAATACATCCGTAGATCAACTGTTGATACGTTTCTCTGGTGAAAAACGTATCCTTACTGGTCAACCAGACACCTGCACTAATATGATCTTGAATCAACCCTCTCAATGGAGATCCAGAAGTAGGAGTCAAATATTGACTGTCAGTGTTAGCCAAGTTCAAAGCTTCAGCCTTAGCGTTCTCACTTTGAGGAAAGTGCATGTTCATTTCATCACCATCGAAATCAGCATTGTAAGCACCGGTGTTGGCATAATGCAATCTTAAGGTCTTTTCTCCAGGCAATACTCTCACCTTATGCCCCATCATAGAAGCCTTGTGCAAAGTTGGTTGACGGTTCATGAGAACCACGTCCTTGTTCTTGATGTGTCTCAAGACCTTTTTGTTCACCTCTCCAGTGGATCCATTACTAGGAGTTAACAATTGGTTGGCCACGGTCCTTCTTTGTTCCAAGTTCATACCGATCAAGGATATCAAACTACCATCCTCGTTTTGGACTTGAACAGCACCCGGCCACTTGTCTGGACCGTTTATAACTGCTTTTCTCAACTCGTTGATGTTGTAAGCGGTGACTGGTTCAGGGTATGTCAACTTCTTGGCAAAAACAGGAGGAACACCAATCTCATTTGTTTCCAACATAGGGTCGGGAGAAATAACCGATCTGGCTGCGAAATTGACTCTTTTACCCATCATATGCTTTCTGAACAACCCTTCTTTCTTTTCCAAAGCTTGTTTGACACCAGGAACAGGCATCTTACCAGCGGGAGCGTTTTGGTTCTTGGTAGAATCAATGAATGCGTTGACGTCGTTTTGGATAGTCACAAACGAGTTCATCAATCTGTTGAACAAGATCTTCTTGTCGTCGATCGTGATCTTATCCTTAGTAACACTGGTGATTTGGTCGTTCAAATCTCTGATCAAAAGACAGGTTTTCAAGATGTTTGATAGCAACTCGTTCTGGGCGTTTTCATGCACTTCATCACCCAACTTGGATGGTAATCTGAATCTAGTTGGAGGAACAACTAATGCAGTCAAAAAGAACATTTCGGCAGACACTTCCTTGCTAGGGTTGGGTCTGGCGTTGAACACTTTATTCAACACATTCTTTTCCTTCTTAAATACTGAAACCAAAATGTTTTTCACTTCGGTAGACAAAATGTATTTAGAACCACCTTTATGCTTGATGTTGGGCATCGAATCATTTTTGCTGGTGGTAGAGCCATTTCTTAACATATCGGGACGAACCAAACCTCTGACTCTATTGTTAGCAACTTGCTTGTCTCTCAAGGAGTTTTCAAACAACTTGGTGAAGCCATCTTTTCTGAAAGATGGTGAGTACATTCCACAGTTGTCGCACCTAGGTCTAGACAACAATCTTTTGTAAAATTCATGAATGGTGAGTTTTCTTTCTTCACCAACGGTGGAGGTGGTCACTCCACCTTCGCTTGTTCTTCCCTCACTAAGAGCAGTAGCAATTACGGTATCGACAAACAATTCACGACGTGCAATCAAATCTTTTTTGGCCTTGGGATCAATGGCACTCTTGGTCTTGAACCCATCCTCTTCTTCGCCTTCTTCAGCTTCGTCATCGAGCTCTCCCTTACCCTTAATCATCATGTTATCAAGCTCAGTACACTCCAAGAGTAAACCGTACTGGATCAATCTTAACTTACAGGTGAATCTGTGCACTTCTAAAGAGTTCAATTTGAAGTGATGACAATAAAGGCAAGAAGACCGAAGGAACAAGAATAATTGATTGAAGAACAACGGGTTGTAGACCGCAATTGGTAACTCGATGTGTCCTTGATGCCCTGGACAGAACCTGTCATCTAAACCACAGGTGGTACATAAGTTTTTCAAAAAGGCTCCTAAGGCCAAATCGTAAAGACCTCCGGTAATGGGGTGTCCCAAGTTGTCAAACACAATTGGATTTGTGATTTGCTTTGCTGATAGGTTTCTGATTTCCTTATCCAGCAACACACCAAACTCCACCGACGTGATTTCGGAACCAACTGGTTTTGAGATGTCCATTTTGTGGTATTGAGTTATCAGGTTTAAAATTTTTTTTCAAGATGAGCATCTAAGTTTCGATTTCTAGTGCGCAGACAAAATTGGCGGAGATGCTAGTATAGAGAATGCAAAAAAGATATAGACTAGAATAACTACTACTTAAAAGGAATTGGTGAGATATGCTCCCTTCATTCAGTTCTCAAGTATAAGAAGAAACGGAGGCTATAAGCTTATTACCAACGGGTTAGAGTACACGGAATTGACCAAAGTATATTTAATCCAAGGTGTATTTTAACTTGCTCCGTGCAACGTCTGTGCCAGGCAAGGGACACCATAGAAGGTGGTTCTTTCAGTTTCTTTCAAACACAAAAACCTTCACTTGGTAAATAAATGCTCTAATCAAACCGTCTATGGCTGCGAAAAATTTTTAGGTTCAAAATCGTACATAAAATACAAACGATAAGTTAAGACATACTGTCTAATGTTTTCCAAATGGCAAACCCTTGGCAATGCTCTTTCCAACACCACCAATACCTTTACCAACACCTCCAACGACACCCACACCTGTCCCGAGGCCTTTCCCAACACCCTTTCCAACACCCTTTCCAACGCCTAATCCAACGTTACCAACAGCTCCGAAAGCATCACCAATATCAGATTGAGCATTTGGCTTAGCGGCGATAATGAACTTAGGTTCGAAAGAGAGTTTGACAAACACGCTTCCACCGTCTTCCTCGGTCTCAGAGTATAAGGGAACTTCAACTTCTTCATCAGGATTATCCCAGTTAACATCAGATAACTTGAGAGTACCGCTTGCTAATAAGTCATCTTGTTCAGGACCAATATCCCAATCGTATGCCACAACTCTAATCAAGGAATCGTATTTGTTAACCACATCAACAGTTCCCTTCTCATTGAAAATAGGATCAAGAGTCTTCTTTTGCTTCTTAGTCTTAAGAAATTCTTCTTTATCAGTGTTGAGGTGCAATTCCACGTAAGGGTCAGACTTACCGTTGCTGTCACCGGCAATGAAATTGGTACCTTTGAGAACTTCGACAGTCAATACACCACAGTTGTTGATGGAGTCTTGAACAGGTAATCCATTTTCGTAGATAATTGGCATCCATTGACATTGGATTTTGAATTGAGCAGAACCCTCTCCCTTTAAGGAAATAGTAGTTGGTTCTTCGTAAGACTTTTTGAGTAATTCAAGAGTGGAAATATCGAATTGAGCCACAGGTTTTTCCATTCTATTCTCATCCAGCTCCTTAACGATTCTAAAGTTAGCAGTAGACTTATCCAATTCCTTGATTGTAACGTCTCCGGTAGCTCCAACCTTGATGGAGCTTTTACCCTTCAACTTTTGACTAGCAAAATCACAATGAGAATGGTTGTCAAAAAAGGCTTGCAAGTAGACGTTTTCTTTCGAAACACTTCCTTCCAAAATTTCGTACACAAAAACACCACTGTTATATTCCAATAATTCTTCCAAAGATAATTTCAATCTCATACGCTTTTCAGGCTCTTCTTCTTCTTCTACCTCGCCATCCTTAATTCTGTCTTGCTTGGTCTTTTCTTCTTTCTTGAGCTTTTCCTCGGCTTCCTTGTCTTCAGCGGTCTTATCAGCCTCAGCTTTTTCTCTAAGCTTCTTTTCCTTAAGAGCTCGGGCTTCTTCTTGTCTAATTTCACCTATTGGAATAATAGGCAAGTTAGGATAGAATGCTAAGGAGTAAGTAACAACACCCTTTGGTCCCTTCTTGGTGATCAACTTAGACAGTCTCTTGTCGGTATCAACATGTTCAATGTACTTGTTCAACTCGTTCTTGTTGATAATTTCGTGTAATCTGACATCAAAAGAACCCAATGTTCTATCAGCAGATCTCTTCTCGACATCCATAACTTCAATAGTCAACAATTGATTTGGAGATGTAACTGAACAGTAAAACACTTCATTCCAGGTTGGATTCAAGGAAGATTCAACGGCAATAGTTCTAGCTCTTTGGAACTTGTTTATAAGAATTCTTGCGTATGGATCAATTTTTCCAATTCTCTCCAAATTACGTAAGTCTTGAGCACCTTCAATACTCACTCTTACAACACCAATTGGAGGCGTGAATCCCACAGAATCACCACTGAATGGTAAATCTACTGGTTTCCATGAAGCGTTGATCCTGACTTCACCTCCTTTAGATAACCCGAACCAAGTCTGATTAACTTGAGTAGCATCGATTAATTCGTTTAACGTGGAAGTTATCGAACCAAGGAACGAATCGTCCTTGTCTCTAATAACAAATCTGATTCTAGAATTTGATTTGTTCTTAATAATAGCTTCGTATCTCAATCCCCAATTAGGATTGTTAGTCTTCTTTTTAATACTGGATGTTTCAACCAACTCGTCGTTGAAGTGGATTTCAGCATAGGCAGAAGAGGGCTTTTTGTCATCTTTGTTGAAACCTCTCGCTTCCAAAAGCTCGATTCTACCAATACCGGTGTTCAAATCTGGAGGAGGATCAATGGCACCATCAACATGTCTCTTTGGAGGAATGGTTGGCATAAAGTGTAAGGAAAAGTCCAATTCTCCAACCGGCTTGTTGTTTCTAAGGAAAGGTGCGGATAAGTTGGGCTGCTTAGGATTCCTCTGTAAAGTATCCAAATCAAATTGGATAGTTCCCAATTGAGTATCTTTTCTCTTTCCATTGTCGTCGACCAACGTAATACTCAATGGCTCCGACAAAGTACGGACAGTAATATAGGTGGTTTCATTCCAAACAGGCTTGACAGTGTCTTCAATGTGACGGGTTTCACCAACCACTTGATTGAAGAATCCGTAAGTCAAGTATGGGTCCATGGTGTTCCCAATGGTTTGGAAACCTCTTATGTTCTTGGCCCTCTTTGCAGTAATTGCCAACACACCTACAGCCGAGTCCAAGGCGTAACCAGCCACCAATTGTTGAAGGTTCAACTGGAAAGACATTGGAGTATAGACAATTGGTCCCACGTATTTCTTGATCATCTCATTGATAAATGGGTAGAGACCAGGGATTCCCAAAATTTCCCAGTTGAAGATGGAATCACCCAAAACTTTGGAATTGAAGTCGAATTGAAGAGGTTCCAACAACGAGACATTGACGGTTTCAATATGAGGGAACGTAGTCATCATTCTCATTCTAATTCTAACCAAAGCCTTGAAAGAAACGTCAGAAACAGCCACAGAGACGGGGAATCCAAAGAGACTAGCCTTGACAATAATTCTTTGGTTCACGTTGTTTTTCATCTGCTTGGTGCTTGAATCAGCCAAAGCATTTGGAGTGAACGATGCACCCCAGTCCATGACCACCACATCGTCATCAGTGCCTTGTAAGGTCTTGACGGTGTCTACTCTTGGGGGTTTGGTTCCAGCAGTAAAACTGTCAATCCACAAACCCTTGATGAAAGCAGGAGCAGGAGAAGCAGCCAAAATAGGGTTCACTTGCTCACATACAATTTGAGAAATAGAAGGTTCAAGATAGTACCAAAACTTTTCCAAGAAAACGTTTAACCAGTCGATAGTTTCATAATCATTTTCAATGGACTTGATAGAAAACTCTCTTTGAGCCACTTCTCTTAAGTTACTTCTATACTTTCTGATGGAAGTACGATACAAAATGGCAAACACTCCCATAACCACAAACATGGGTGCCAACGAGAACCGGAACCATCCAATAATCCATGAAAGCAATCCAGCAACGACTATATACCCAGCGTTGTGGAACCAATCACCATAAGCAACTGCTGGTAAATATTGGTCGAAAATCGAATTTTTGGATAACAAATCAGTAATCTCCTCTTCAAGGGTCAACACATCTTCCTTCTGCCACCCACCAACTTCCTGCCAGCCAATGTAAGTCGAATCAACAGGTTCTCTTGGTTTGGGTTTCTTGGTACTATTGGAGGTATCATAATCCTCACTTGCAACCAATTCAGGTGCTTCAACTTTGATTCCAGGTCCTGAAGTGGCTCTTGAGCTGGTCCTCGAACGAGCATCCAGTTTCTTTGCGGACTTCACCGCAACTGGGGGAGGCTGGCTGGAAACGTCCACCTGTTTGGGTGGTTCCAACACCTCTGTCGGTTGAATTGCTCCTTGGGTCTACCAGGGGTTAGTACAAAAACAGGGGTAAAGCTAGGGGTAAACAATCCGCAAGGACATAAGCCTACAAATGTTTATGGAGTACATACGTCTTCGGACATTTCAACAGTCAATTGGATCGTGTTCGGCGGTATTCAATTGGTCCTCGTGAAAGATGTTTATTGCTTCAACAAAATTTCAGTGCGATCAATGCGATTGCGGTGCCTGAAATTTTTCCCAAACAGATTCAAGCATCTGGCTGCGCACTGACAATGCATGATAATTGGCGATGAAGGCTAATTACATTTGCATATATACAATTGTGGTTCTGACGGCCAAGGACCCCTTAGTCGAGTGTCACAGGGTCTTCCCAACTTCCTGAACCTCTTACAGCACCAGCCCCGGCAGTGTATTGGTCCTGGTACCGTCTATAAGATTCCTCGAAGCTGTCATCAAAGCTGTCGTCTGAATCCCAGAAATTGTTGTCTGACTTTCTAACAAGTACCTCTTCTTCTGTAGCCTCGCTGTCGGAAATATCTTCCTTTTGAAGCTGGGGACTATGACTTTGAGTATCGTCGTCATCTGAAAGAAGTTCTATCACCTCTTCCGCCTGGGCATTGGTCTGATTTTTGTGGGGGTCGTTAATGTCATCCTCAACAATTCTATACTTAACCATGTCTCGGAGCTCGATCCTGTCGATTTCCAGAGGGGTTGTCTTGATGAAGTAGTTGAACACATCAGAGATGAAAAGGTGGTTCAATTCAAAGAGTTTGTTGCAAACAGGGCAACGATAAATTGGATAGCTTTGAGAAGCACCTGTTGAATTCTTGCGGAAGTTGTTGAAGCCGCTAATGTTGGGTTTGTAGACAAAGTTTCGGGTAAGGCTAACGATATCGGTTTTACCACGGGATCCGGTGGTTGTAGCCACTTGTTTGTCTCTCTTTTTCATCTCATTACTTCTGCGGATGAGATCTTTACGCAATACCGTTTTTATGCCTGTAGGAATCCGATTAAAAACGCAGAAATTGTCGAAATCAAAGCATTCAAAGTGGTTGCACACCACCGCCTTGACAGGAAGACCTATTCGGGTGGCACTAAGGGGGTCTCTGAGGGTGAAAATGATCTTTTCTATCATACTCATCTCTTCTGCAGTCTCATTAAGAAGACCAAATTCGCGTCGTAGTACGAGAATAAGATTGGGAGGGATGGTTCTGTACGCAGACTCGGGACTCCACAGGCCTACACTTGGGGCCTGAGATGCCGGGGTGGCGGGGACCGAGAAGGTGGCAGGTTTGGGGTCACTTCCAATATCGTTTTGGGTGGAGGGTAGTTGTTTCACCTTAGGCTCATCCTTGATAGAAGAATTGGGGCTAACAGGCACCACAGCAGCCGTGTGGCTCTGAAATTTCTGAGGACTGTACCTCAACGTCACCGGGAACTGAGGCACCGATAATGATGTATCGGGAGTCTCTAGGGCCTTATTTAACTCAAGCTCTAGTGAAGATAGGTCTGAGTCGCACGTATCCAAATCCCGTAGAATGTGCAGCAGTAATCGTATTTTGACCGTTAAAGTTTGTGCCTCTGGCATCTCTCGTCCACGGGAGCCTATTATCGCAGTGGAGTACACAGATACCCGATCACTCCCACGTATGGGTCCTTTCAACATAAAAGTGGGTGCCATTGCGAGGTAAAATCTCCAGTGCGCGAAGAGTTGCGTTGTTAATGTCTCCGTATGCTCCTTGCAACTGGGTCTAATTGATTTTGTGGCACCTGGTTACCTAAACCTATACAGGGGCTTAATGATTGCAGTTATACCCGAAACAGAAAAAGAGGGTATAATTGGTGTAATTGGTGTTGTTGGATCTGTAGAGGCTGGGGCTAGAAATAAAACCGAGTGGGTGCCAACAACTAGACATTGACCTGGTTGGATGTTAACAGACGGTAGCGACAAGGAGATTTTCGAAACGAATATAGCCAGTAGTGTCAACGTAGGGCCTGTAAGCGAAAGGGTTGGTTGTCATCTATTCCGCTTGTATTAATCCAAATGGGTAAAAAAATTCTACTAGTTTGTACCCACTACTTTAAAGCTGAGTGTATATACAAAGGGGTCAATAAATATTCGTCAGTTTACATAATTCCAGGGGACGTGATTAATTGTCCAATTGTAATTGGATGGAGGTGCCCAAAATATCCGACAATTCTCTGGATAGGAGCTGGGTCAACTCTCCGTTGTCTCGCAACGACTTCCATTTCCCACCAATAAGATCGTACCGGTTGGGTCCCGTCAATGGCGAGCTGAGCCAGATTTGTTTGTTGGGAGGCTGTCTGTTAATAACATAGGTTCCACTACCGGTGCTCAATGTTAACACACCTTGGTTCAAGTCGAATTCGACATTTTCGTGGGTTTCGGAAATAAGGTCGATTTCGTCGCTGAGGGTGTCGAGGTAATGGTTGGAGATATCGTCGTACTGGGCGTTAGAAATCTGGTCGATCTTGGAGTCAATATCGTTGCCTAGCCGGTCCACGGTGTAGGGTCTGGAGATGATGGAAAAAGGTGACTTCGTGGACTGGAAAACAGGGAGATGATTGAGAAGCGCACCTGAACCGAGATTCTTGACACTCATGCCCATAACCAACAGGCATTGTGCTGGTGTTAAGCGTCTACCGGCAATCTTGGAAACCTGTTTTATCATATCCAGTGGTGATGCAAATAAAAGTTGTCATTGGTGCGCATCAACCACAGTTGGAGAAAAATTTCTGTACGCCCAAGATGTTTGTGACACTTTTGATTCTAACCGTTGTTCTTGTGGGGTTGGTGGTCTTGCTCCCGTACTGGCTGAAATTGGTCAACTATCTGTATGAGCCAAACCAGAAGTCCAAGGCTCGGGGACGTTCAGGGCCATCGCAGCTCCCCCAAACGTCCGGGTATGTTCCTCCAGATCAACAACTTCAGCAGGAAACCAAGGCAAAAGCCACCGGCCTCAGAAAATTCACCGCCGATGATGTCCCCGTCAAGTTGAAGCTTAACCACCTTCAGACGAAAAGAAGAAAGGAACGGTTAGACGTTGACCGTAACCCCAATAACTTTGATTACGACTTGGACGAGTTGATAAATGAAGTAGATGAACCCATATCGAATTCCAGAACCTCCAACGGAGAGAGTTCGGTCTTCTCCAAAGACATAGTGTAAAGACGCTGGAGGAACGAGTACTTTAAGTGTGTCACTTGATTAACTGTAAATAGGTCCGTATAATTAGACGGATGTCTAATTGACATGATATCTTCACGTAGATCCGTGTACAACTTTTCGAGGTCGGTGTTATTTGCCAGCACGGCCTTGGAGACCACCTTGAGCAAGTGGTCAGAAAGCTTAAGAAACTGGCTTCCATGAGAAACCGGTTTCTCAAAGGTATTCAAGTCGTAGTCTAACGCGTACAGTTTCTCGAATTCTGTTTTAAGGAGGTATAATGCATGGATTGACTCTTGGGGGCCGAGGTTCTCAAACAAGATGGTGAAGACTCTGGTGGTCAATGGGAGCCCAAACCGGCGGATGGTGTCAATAGTCTCAAATAACTTGGGAGTATTTCGCATCCACGAGTAATGCTCTAGAAATGGCATGAACGTCGAAAGATTGGGGGTTATTAGCAAGGGAGGCATGGTAGTGATCTTAGAAAGCTTGTCATAGCACTGGAGATACTGGTCGTACTCGACTTTAGTGCCGGGGGTTAAGCCCCAGTAGAGTATATCAGTTTGCGGTTGTTCAGGAATACTGGACAACAACAACTCGGCCTCCGAGATGTTCCCAAACCGCACGAGGCCGCTGAGAATCTTGTTTAAAAGCGTGATGTCCATTGTCACATCGATGCTTCTGACAACCGCGTAGAACTCATCAGGGTTTCGAAATGGCCCTGAATAGCCATCAAGCATCGTCATATAGGTTTTTCGGTTTGGAGTGACTCTTCCGAGGATATCATCAAACACCTGTTTGTTGGAATGCATCACGCTGATTACAAGAAGGTTGTTCAAAGAGTCGATGTCGTCAACTGCCAACTGCTTATAGAAGCTAAACGTGAACTCATTTTCCTTAAACTTCTCCAATCCCTTTCGTTTAAAAGCCTGCTGGACCCGATCATCGATATCATGTCTGTCCTTAAAGAACATGTAATACAAGAACTTGTTCTGCTCAGCTACCGACACTGGTAAGCCGTTCTGTTTCAAGTCTGCAAAGAGCTTTTGGAGCATTGAGGTATACTGCAGCCGAACACTCCTCAGCCTGGAATACGCGTGCATGGTGGCCAATGTGGGTATGGAGCTTCCGCTCAAGAGCTTAACGGGTCGTTTGAAGTATGGGTAGTCTAGGAATTTTGATATTAGGTCATTTAAGTGGTGAGGCTCGATGGCAGTCACCTCAGTATTACAGTATTCCTGAAACACGGCTCTTAGATCAAAGCCGTCGGAGGGTGTGTTCATGAAGGAGGAACGCTTTTTGGGATACAAGAACCTTAGAAGCAGTGGTGATGTTTTGGCGGTATATTTCAGTAGAATGTCCTTTCTGACGGCAGGGATATTGGAAGTATCTTGAGCAGTAAGGGTGGTGAAAATGCGGTGTTTGGGCACACCAAGAGCCTTCATTATGAGCGATTGATCGGAATCTATGGCTCGTCGTACGCTTTGTACAAGCGGTACTGCTCCCCTTTTAAACCAGTCCATCAGCTAACTGCTGCAAACCCAATATCGCGATTGCGAGGTTTGAGCACCCGAAAATTTTTCAAACGGTAGAGTAATGAAGATCCAAAGCCAGGCAGCCACGGTGCTTGAGCGCACGTCCGCATACTTGAAGTCGGGCTTGTTGAAGAACAAGCCTGTATGGTTTGACGTGGTGGCCAACCATCCTCCCGACAGAGATTTGACCCGGGTCCCCAAGACGCTCTTAAACTCCTCGTACCAAGATCCCATGAACAGAGTAAAAGGCAACAAAACCAGATTAAGCGACCAAGAGTTGCGTACAAAGAACAACAAGGCTCACCGGATTCCCAAGTTGAAGTTTGTGGAGGACGAATTGAGAAACTTGTTTTACAAAAGACATCCCTGGGAGTTTTCGAGGCCCAAAGTGTTGATTGAAAATGAAGGGAATGACAATACACAATGTGACTGGAGCCACATGGTCCAGTTCAACAAGCCTTTGGACGGAGAGTCGGTGGTCCAGAGAACCATGTGGTTGTTGAAGAACAGTAATAGAGACTTATTTGAAAGTTATGATCAAGCCAGGTTTGAGTTTTATCGGTTGAGAATGGAAGAAGAGATGCAAAGTGCCGTAAGCAGAGAAGAAAGCGGTATGTTTGGGGCGGTGTTTCCAACGACGAACTTGCAGCACGGGGTGCAACAAGAACAGGTGTTTGTGGATGATTGGGCAGTGTTGGCGGCAGAAAAGACCACTGCTCGGAGGGCTACTGCCATCAGTAAGACGGCGGAGAGTAAGGATGCAACCAAGTCGATATTCGAGGAGGGGGAGGAGAGAAGCGTGTAAATAGTGAATAGACGAGTACATAAGACAGTTGGGTTTAGGGAGGGAGCAGCGTGTAGACAGTGAATTGAGAGAAGAGGTGTTGAGTGAGAGAGAAGAGAAGACTGTGAAGAGAAGACTGTGAAGAGAAGATTGTGAAGAGAAGCTTGTGAAAAGAAGACAACTAAGTGACATCTGGTACTATGCAGTGTTTATTTCTATACATTGTGATGGATACTCCATGTCCTGACTCAGTGCTCGTGCGGTTTGGCCGTCAACTTCTCATAGCCCACGTACACCACAAAGGCAGCCAACCCAATCCCGAAGCCCGGGAACGCACCCTTGAACCGATTAAACCGACTAAACTGCCCTTCATACCTCCAGGCGTCTCTTTTAGCCCATGGATTTCCACTCATATCGATATAATGTAATTTGGGCTTTTTCTCATTGGCCGCTGGCGCGCCTAAACAACTGTTCAAATGGGTGCGAACACTAGGATTAAACTTTCGCTAAGGAACATTCGTGCCTTCACCGGCCTCTCACTTGGCACCACAGCAAGTTGAGTTATATCCTAAACGGCTGATACATAGTATGACAGATATCACGCCAACATCGAGTAAAAAACTCACCTCCAGACTCTCGCAGGCACTTGAGTCGGGAGCACAAGAAGGCCCTATTGTCCTCACGGACTCGGAAGATGAAGACGAATTTGTCAAAAAGTATGGGGACATCGACTTCCAATATATCAAACGGCCCCGAACTTCGTTCTGGTTCACCCGCCCACACGCCCTCAACTACTTCCAAGACGGAGTGTTGTACCGCACCAAGGGTGAACGGCTGTCCACCAAAACAGAGTTGTTTTTGGACTTGATGTACGTGGGGATCATCGCTAACTTAGCGGGGGATGCCACTGAGCACGCTGGCTGGGGCGCTTTATTGAAGTATATTTTGTTGTTTGTGGCGGTGTGGACCGTGTGGTGCGACATCAAGGACTTCACCAACTACTACTACAACGAGGACTTGAGCCAAAAGGTATATATCTTGTGGATTTTGGCACTATTGACGGTATTTTGCAATAACCAAACACAGATATTGGCCAACCGACTGGGAGCTGCGTTTGTGGTTGGGCCATATATTTTGTGCCGGGTGTCATTGGCATTGGGTCTATTTGTGTACACCTTTTGGATTCCCGAGCACCGGGTGCAGCAGCGGGTCTACAGTGCCACCATTATGGTGACGTCGTGCCTCTGGATCATCGTGGTGTTTGTGGGCACCCGGGCCAAAATCGGCTTGGCGGTAGCCATCATGGTGTTGGAGAACGTGTGCTTCGTTACCTGCTTCACACCGTGGTTCAAGCGTCAGTTGGGATTGACAACCTCCACCGCCTTGAACATCGAACACGAAGTCGAGCGGTTCTCGGTGTTTGTGACCATTGCCATCGGGGAGTTTTTGTATAAGATTGTGGCTGGTGGTGACTTGGACTTGGGATTCCAAGTCCATTTGTGGCGAGGGTTATTATTGTTGGTGGACGCCTACGTGTTGTTTTGGATCTATAGCTACGGGTCGATGGCTCGTCGGGCCACGCATGCGTTGAGGCACTCGGCGTTCCGAGCAGTTCTGTGGATCTATTTGCACTTGCCGTTAGTAGCCTCCATTGTGTTGGCAGCCGATGCCGGAGGAGACTTGGTGCTGATCAACGAGACGAAGGAAGCGGAGGAAGCGGAGGAAGCGGTCGACATCACCGCCGTCAAGTTCTTCTTTACCGGCGGGTTGTGTGTGGCATTGGTATCGATGGGGTTATTGGGGTTGACAGATGATCCCAAGGATCCGCCCGAAACCTATATAGTGGGACGGTTTTGGCGGGTGGTGTTTCGGATTCCGGTGGGGGTGATTGTGTTGGTGTTGCCGTTTGGCGACTTGGGCATCACCGGGATTATGGGGGTTGCTACGATATTGATGGTGGTGTTGTTGGTGTGGGAGTCTGTGAGTGGGACGCCGAAGAATTGTCTTTTTGGCGGGAGTCGATAGGCGGCAGTAGACTGTCAACCCCTCACGGATCTAGTTGTTTAGGTTTCTATAGCTATTCGCTTGTATTTTATTGTAAATTTAACCGGTACCGAATCGCGCTCTCGCTAGCGTAGTGGCTCGGCTGCGCACGACACGCTTTCTTTCGCGGTGCAGAATTTCAATACAAAATCCCCTAGAAGCAACTCTTGAAAACAACTTTCAAGTAACCCATATACCCCGTACCCAAACCGCCCCTACCAATTCATGTCTGTGAAGCCCCTGCTATCTTCTTATCATGCTAGACCCGTAACCTTGTCCGGCGGCTCGCCCGTGTCGGGCTCTATTCTTTCCAGATTAATGCTTGTGTTCACGCAAATGCCCAAGCTCGTTAGTGCATTACCCATTGGCATCCGCTCCATCAACCACGTGAAAACCCAGAAGCACCCGGCGTTGACAGCCGAACAGTTTTACTTGAACTTGGCCATTTCTGCCACCCTTGTGCTCTTGGGTGGAGTATTTGCTGGTCTTACCATCGGATTGATGGGCCAAGATGAGGTGTATTTGAAGGTGATGGCCACCTCGGGAGACGCCCACGAACGGAAACACGCCCGCAAGGTGCTTCGTTTGATTGGCAAAGGAAAGCACTGGGTGTTAATTACGTTGTTATTGTCCAACGTCATCACCAATGAAACATTACCCATTGTGCTCGACCGGTGCTTGGGGGGTGGATGGCCCGCGGTGGTGGCATCCACTGCGTCCATCGTGGTGTTTGGCGAGATCATCCCCCAGAGTATCTGTGTGCGTTACGGCTTGGAAGTCGGCGCCTACTGCTCGCCGTTTGTGTTGATTTTGATGTACGTGATGTACCCAATTGCGTTCCCAATAGCCATGCTTTTAGACCACATTTTGGGGGAAGACCACGGAACCGTGTACAAAAAAAGTGGCTTGAAAACCTTGGTGACGTTGCACAAAACCATGGGGGTGGAGCGATTAAACGAGGATGAGGTCACCATCATTAGTGCGGTTTTGGACTTGAAAGAAAAACCTGTTGGCACTATCATGACGCCGATGGATCGCGTCTTTACCATGAGTGCCAACACCATCTTGGACGAGAAAACGGTGGAGGAAATCTTCAACGCCGGCTTTTCAAGAATCCCCATCCACGTACCAGGAGAGCTGATGAACTTCATTGGAATGTTATTGGTGCGAGTACTCATCAGCTATGACCCCGAGGATGCGTTACCGGTGGCCTCGTTCCCGTTGGCCACCTTACCGGAAACCGGCACCGATACCTCTTGTCTCAACATCTTGAACTATTTCCAAGAAGGAAAGAGTCACATGATTGTGGTGAGCAGCCATCCTGGAGAACCCTTTGGGGCTCTTGGGGTGCTTACGTTGGAAGATGTCATTGAAGAATTGATTGGAGAAGAGATTGTCGACGAAAGTGACGTCTATATCGACATCAACAAAAACATCAAAAGAACCCAGCCAGGACCTTTGGCCAAACGCAATCTCACCAGCTACTTGCACACGTTATACCAACGGAGCAGCAACGGTTCCAAGCGTAACTCATTGGACAACACCCGTCCATCCATGGACCATCCTCCACCCGGTGATGGGGGTAGTCCTGTGCATCGGGTCATCAGCAAGTCTGAGTACCAGAGCCGTGGTGGAGCCCTTCTCTCCAACAACAGCAGTATTCTTCCGGCCTTGGACTCCAGCAAAACGTGGATGCCCATCAACCCTGCGGCCAACCCGTTGGAAACATCCAAGCTGTTTGTGACGATCAAGAGACCCGATATCGAGGGCGTAAGAAACTCGGTTCTCCAGAGCCCCCGAAGTACTCCTGCCCACGACGAGGCGCTAGACGGGCCGGACTACGGGGTGGTACATACTACTGAGGAAGGAGCTATAAGTCATCAAAAGGCCATTAGTAACAATAACGGCAACGGGGACCACAAATTCTTGCTCCCAAGCGAGCGGGAAGCAGACATCTCGGACTTCCAGCATCGTCTCTCGTTGCCGGAAAACGGTGAGATCAGTCACCAGAAACACTACCGGACCGGAGGAATCATTGAGTCTGTCATTAACGTTAAAGGAGTTCATAAAACCATCATTGAGAATGTTAGCGACGAAGACCGTGATTTTGAGTTCGATGAGTCTGAAGACCGTCGTCTCTTGGGAAGTCGTAAGAACTCAACCCTCAAGCACCGGTAGGTGTATGGGTGTATGTATAAATATATATGAAGATAAAAGTAAATCCGTAATAGGCAGGTTCGGATGCGCATTTTTGGCTTTGCTAAAATCGAAACGGCAACGAGGGTTTTATACACTTTATCAACACCATTAATGAAAGACGACAGTAAGTCTTCATTGAAGCATTTCTTCAAAGCCAATCTGGTAGGTTCTCACAGTGGTGACGGCGACGATCGTAGCTACCGGTTCTTCTTGAAAAAAAGAGATACCCAGGACTCCACCGCCAGTTCACTTGAAAATTCCTCATCTATTGAATCCACAAATACCACCGGCAGTGAAAAAAAAGCTAGCCATGTATCGTTGAAGCGGTTTCTTAAGAAGTTCAAGCATGATGACAAAGACAAGGACAAGAGACGTACGCACTTTTTGCCACTGCATTCTACCAGTGAATTGTATCGAAAGTATACCACTGGAAAGTTTCTAGGAGCTGGAGCTTCGGGCTCAGTCAGCTTGGTACACCTTAAAACCGATCCTTCGAAGGTGTACGCCGTCAAGAAGTTTCGGGCCAAGCTCACGAACGAATCGGAACTGGACTATAAAGTTAAGGTGAATAACGAGTTCAAAATCGGCGAGGTGTTGGACCATGAGAATTTGATCAAAACCACCGAGATGATCAAGGATCAAAGCACCGTGTTTGGAGCGATCGACTACTACATCATCATGGAGTACTGTAAGTATGACTTTTTCAACTTGGTGATGTCGGGGTTGATGAACTTGGAAGAGATCAACTGCTATTTCCGCCAAATCGTTAATGGGGTCGGATATTTGCACTCCATGGGATTGGCCCACCGAGACTTGAAGTTGGACAACTGTGTGGTGAATGAAGATGGGATCTTGAAGTTGATTGACTTTGGCTCTTCTGTCCAATTTCGAAAGCCGATCCCAGAAGACGTTACTCCGGCCCATATTATCGAGAGTGATGAGCAAAAATATCAGTTGGTGATGTCGACCGGGGTGGTAGGAAGCGACCCATACTTGAGCCCAGAGGTGTTCTCCCAAGCAGAGCCAGGTGAAGAACGGGGCTATGACTCCAGAAAGGTGGATGTTTGGTCTATTGGCATTATATACTGCTGTATGATCTTGCGCAGATTTCCCTGGAAAATCCCCAAGCTTCTGGACCCAAGTTACCGGCTGTTTGTTAAAGATAACGAGAAGATCTTCAAGCTTTTGCCGGAGGAGTCGGTTCCTTTGATATCGAAGCTTTTGAAGCCGGTGGATGAAAGATGCTTGATCACCGATGTGTTGGAGGATGAGTTTGTGGAGACCATCAGTGCTTGCACAAGGGCCAGCACTCTGAACACGCACAAACACAACTTGGTAACGGAGGAGGAATTAGAGCAGATAAATAAGGAGAAGGAGATGATCAAGAAGCTCCAGAACACGGGAATAGCATGAGGCACCAGAATTCACTGCTAGAAAAAATCTAACAAGATTACAAGTCGGACACTGCTGAGAAACAGAACTCGGGGTTACATCAACAGATAAGAAGCTTGGAACTGGGCATGGCATGATTCCCACGACATAACAATACAGGTTGTCAAACTGAGTCTAAGCTGGTCAACTGCACACAAGTCGTACTGTTCTTGATTCTGGAACCAACTCGTTGGGTGATGTCAGCCGGGTATGGTAATTTTGTGGCTGCAATAGAATTCCCGGTGGCACTAAATGGCAATATTCGTAAAGAGAGTCTCGGTTATACATGCACATTAAACAGAGATAACGAAAACGAAATTGTTGAAAAGAAAGTCGCAAGTCTTTAGATAGTAAGCAGCCGATAAGAAAGTCCAAACTCTTTAATAGGATTATTAGATAGTAAGCAACTGATAAGAACAATACATACCATGTTGGTAGTAACCAAAGACAGACAACGGCAGTGTACGACATTGGGCCTGGGGTCCCCCGACATTTTGTGAGTGGCGCGCCGAATGGCGCAGGGGCGGAGACATCGGTTAGGTCGGACCTAACCCAAGCGGACAGGTTTGAGCACTAACCTGCAAAATATGTCACACGGTGGTTACAATCTCGTACCCGACGGAAGAATTGGGATGAAATTCTTTTGTGATAACACAATAGACCCAGGGGAGAAGGCTACTAAACAATGAATATCCGACCAGTGATATCTATACCACCGACGGTCTTGGATTCGATAATGCCCATCCTGTAAAACTTTACAATGTAAGCAATAATCTTATCAAAGCAATTTTGTCGCATGGTTCTTGCTGTCGCAATTCTCTTACCTGCCTTCGCGCAATCTTCAAGATTTTACCGCCCTGAAAGAAGTGCACCTAACACCGTCTATTTGGTATTTAACATATCTTAATTCTTCTCATTCAGCCTCGATAAAAAAATTCTAAAACATTAGTGTTCCTTACATTCTTGAAGAAAGTTTAATATCTCTAGTATTCTTAAGGCTTTTAAGAATATATATAGGGATAGATATTCGCTTCTTTGCTGTTAGCTAGTGCCTGGCTTCGTCCTCCACACCACCTTTCCCTTTGACCAGTATCGCAGTTATACGTCCGTTCCTTCTACCCCAACTTTTATCATGTTGAAAGCATTCAAGTCCAGCTCCAGCTCCAGCTCGCTGGCACCTCCAGCCTCCAAACCCAGTATACTGGTGAGCACTTCAAACCTCCATCGGAATAAATCGGTGCAATCCACCAAGTCCATGTCATCTGTCAAATCAAACACGTCACTCAATTCAGGCAAATCGATGAGTTCCATGTCGCTGCACTCATCCCACTCGGCTGAACAGAACATCAAACATCTGACAATTCTCAGCCCCATTAACCAGAGCCCGTTGGTGCCTAACTACACTGCCTATAAGTTTCTTATAGTGGATGATAATCTCATCAACTTAAAGATTCTCTACAAGATTCTCAACAAGTTGTTTCCCAAGGCGTTGATAGTCAAGTTGAACAATAGTTCCACCGTGTTGAAGCTCGTGGAGCAGGAGAAGTTTGACTTGATTTTCTTGGATATCGAAATGCCTCCTATAAACGGTATCGAGATTTCAAAGAGAATCAGAAGCACCAAGAAGTTTAACCGCATGGGGTTGATTGCTGTCACCACTCGGTCCACCGAGAAGGACATGAAGATTTACAAGAAGATTGGAATCGACTTTACTTTCAAAAAGCCTTTGAACTGCAACTTAAACTTGATACTTAACAACATAGAAATCATTCTTAATTTCCGGAAAAATAAGAAGGATTAATGTTGACGACCCTTATGACCCTTTTGTGTATATTATTGTAAGATAGAAGAAATGAAGACAAATGCTTAAATATAGTGATGTAGGCGTGGGTGGTCGCCCGGTAAATTAAGAGGATTTCGATGAGTAGCAGGAAAAAGTTTAGTGATGGATGGCCGTAGGCGGTTGCAGCGGATGGACCTGGGGCCAGACCGGCTGGGCGCACCTAGACAAAGAAAAGCGTGCCAGACATTTCCATATCCGGGTACTACGTGTACTGGGGCGAAAAAGCAATTCTGCCCCAGTCGACTACTTCTCTCACATGGAGTGGATTGCGCCCTTATTGTGGGGGGGATTCCAGATCGGCATTGGCATACCGGTCGCATACCACAAGCCTTGGCAGGGTTTACCGCCTATCCACTGACAACCTCCAATAACCCCACAGTTTCAAGTACCTTGAGGGTAGTTACTGCTGCTGTAGTTTAACTGATTCTAGAAAGGTTTCAGGGGGGTTACCCTCGTAACCTTCCCACTTAGGGATATTCGTTCCTAAACCGGTTAATGAGTTTCGTTGCTACGCGTAATGTCTAACCTGCAAATATCTTCTGGTTAGAATTTATTGCCGGGGTGGCCCGAATGCGTCATCTTTTTAGATGCTAATGTCGCATTTTATCCTAACCTGCCGTTGTAGGATACATTACAAAATATGATACAATCACAACTACTGGGTGAGAGTAACAGATACCCCTACACCGTGCGAATGTAATTGCAATAGGTGCCTGTTTCAGAGCATCTGAATTGCATTGTGCACAAGATCTTGAAACGCTTCAGATTCCAAGTGTGCGGAATGGCGTTCTTGAGCATGTAACAATTAATTACACTGAAACGGACTAGTAAACAAGGAAAATAAGTACAGACACGTCAGAGTCAGACTTTTCCGCTTGGAGTGTGCTATGCACCCTTCGGAGTTGTGCATTCTCACGAGTGACTCCCAAGGCTCATCGAAAACAATGCACCAAGCCACGACCCGATTTTAGGCGTGGCCTAATCCATCAAAGAGATAAATAACATTTTCATCCCCATAGTCATAATTTTTCAGACTGTTCTAGCCTAGATATCCGATACAAGTGATTGTAGTATGTGTCACATTTGTTTATATATGGCACACTTGTTCACATACGACGCATATGTTCGTATATGGCACGTTTGTCCATGTATAAAATAATTCACAAGGGTGGCTGTCCCCAGCTCTGCCACAGTCCTCGCACTATATTCGCACCATTCTTCAAGTCATTTCATAAAACCATGATATTGAAGATCAAAACCAGTGAACCTAGGGATGCCCTACAAAGTGAAAGGACGTGCTTGTCGTTTATACGATTCAGCACAACCCTATTCATTACATCGTTTGGGATTCTACTAAACTTTAAATTGGACTCATCGTCATCTGCACCCCTTAGGCAGGACTTTCTAAGTTCATATTACTCAAAGGTTCTTTCATATATGTTAATAGCGTTGCTGGGCTTGTTCTTGGTGCTCAGTGGAATCACATACTTTGTCACGATGAAGAGATATAAGCTAGGAAAGATCGAAAATTTTGGGTTCAATAATGTTTATCACTCGGTTTTGGTGTTTGTCCTTATATTGGTATTATTTGTGGTAAACATTGCGTTACTAGTTTCAAGCTACAAAACGGACTGATACTATTGAAGATCAATAAACTCGATCAAGCACCGAATGACAGAGATTCAAAGGATAAAGCAATAGCCATTGAGTTACATCTACTTCTGTCGTACGAAACAGCAGTTAGTGTCATAAAAGGGGTACCCTGGTTGGGTCTTGGCATCCTTGGATCTAGGAGAGCGGGGCTCTCGATTTCCGAGCTCGTATGGCATGTCTTATACTCCCGCCCAGCGTCTCGAAGGCCTGGTAATTTCGATTAAGGGTTTCAGCAGTTCTGACCCAACACAACTAGTATACACGAAGAGGAAGTACATTTCTGGCCCCTTCCTGCAAGCTAATACTGGGTTTATTTGTTGAGGTGAAATCATGGATTCAATAACCGGCTGCGAAAAACTACAATAATCATCAATAAACGTTTCTATTAATTAGTCACAACAGCTATGTTGCTGACAGAAGGTTCAAGGTATTAAACACGGGTTACTTAGAAGACAGTACCCTTGATTTGCTTCTTATCGACGTTATAGTTCTTCCAGACAGCAATGGCTGGAATGGCCAAAACCAAGATACAAGTAGCAGCAATGGCACCATCTCTTTGAGTTTGACCCCAAGCGTAGTTGATGGCATCTCTGGCCTCACTTCCAACTGGGTAAAGAGTGGCATTTGTTTGGGTAGTAACACCTCCCAAGTAAATGGTGTAAGCTTGGTCCTTTTGTGCGGCTGGCAAAGCCTTAGTAAGAGCATCCACAAACACGTTGGCGTTGATAGCAGCAGCAACAGCGTAACCAATAGAGCCACCCACACTGGAGAAAAGACCAATAAGGGCAAGCATCATAGGAATACCGTCTTGATCAGCAGCAGCCATAACAGCCATATCTTCACCAATGACCATGGTACCACCAGCAAAGGCAATGAAAATTTGACACATGATGATGTAGCCAATGTTGGAATCTTGTCCACGGAAACGAATCATAAGCCCAGCACCGAGGAACATAAGAGGAAGACCAAAGCAAAGACAGGTGTACTTGAAGTGTTTGGTATAACGAATCCAAACACCGAACACAACCCCCCAGAAACAAGAACCAACATTGTAAATTTGGCCCATGTAACCGGCATCTGATGTGGACAAGTTGTAGACAACCGTAACAAAGTACACGTAATACAAATCCCAACAGTAGAAACTGAAGTAGAGAATGGCTGCAAGACAACAAGCACCCACAACAGTTCTCTTTTTGAAAAGTTCCCAACGCACAAAGTGAGTACGAGCAAAGAACTTTTCCCAAATGGCAAACACTGGGAAAAGGCAAACACCAATGACAACCATTGCGATAAAAGTAGCACTCTTGTATTGAGCTCTTCCGTATTGTTCCAAAGAGAATGGAAGCAAGAAAAGAATGAAAGCAGCCATCAAGATGAAAGCACCAACGACATCAAAGTCATGGATATAGTGAACGATAGACTGAATGATAGTTCTTCCGCTTGGGTTTTTCTTAATTTGGCCCAATTTTTCGGCCTTCTTCTCGTAAAACTTGAATACCACGGCAAGAGGCACGAAAACAAACACTTGAATGATAGCAAAAGCCCCGTAAGCCCATCTCCAGCCACCTGTCGTAAGGAAAGATTGAGCAGCAAGAGGTCCAGTGAAAGCAGTACAAATAAATGGAGTGGATGCAAAGGCAAAGGCAAAAGCACGATTACGAAGACCAGATGTGTCAGCAATGAAAACATCAAGAATCATGTAAATCATGTCGTAACCAATCCAGTACAACACATAGCCAGCAGCATAAGAGCTTGGTCCCGTACAAGAAGCAATGATTATAATACCAATCAAGTAGACAACCACAAACACCAAGAAACCTTCACAACGACCCCAAAGAGTCAATGTCTTAGCAAGAGGCAATCTCAACACACCACCAATGATGGTAGCCAAAATACCGGCAGTACTGACCTGAGGAGCAGCAGAAAAATCGGCATAAGCATAGAAAATTACGTTATTACCAATGGCAGACTGAAAAGCCAACATGAAGAAACACACCCAAATCCAGACATAAGTAATATAAAGAGCTTTTTTGTCCCACACAAGAGTGATGGCTTCGGCTTTTTGCACACCTGGAGCAGCATCGATTGACACTTGGTCAGAGTGAATGTCGTCTTCCTTAGAATTAGATCTCAGTAAGTCAGAGTTTTTTTCCTGGTCACCCACAGGTTCGGGCCCATTAAAGGCTGCTTCAGCCACTTCTCTGTCAGACCGCTTCTTAAAAAACTGAGAAACTCCTGGCATTGATGGTTCAGATAAAAATACTTTACTGAAATTTGGGGAGACTAATTTGCTTTTATATACGCAAAAAAGAAAACCGTCTCAGCGATGAGGCGGGTTTTCTTTTTCAGGAATGCTGCACTGAGATCTTTTAGATGAACTCGGGCTGCAGATACCTGGCCTTTTGGGAAGAGTTTCCGAGCTCGGCCTTTTACCAAATGCTTAAATGCCGCCTTTTTGGGCAATCTTCAATTGCGGTGTTTTTATCTGATAACAAATGAGAGTGCCTAGAAAATTTCATTCCTGTTCAAAAAAATATACACTTACGTTGACGGGCTTCCAGATAGTTTTGCCACATTTCCATTCACAAATTTCTCCAGTTTATGCTTTCTACCTGATATCCAACGTATGTGTTTGTGTGTGACCGAATTTACTAGAGATTTGTGGTAGTTAGACAGCTTCTGTTTGTATTGGTGTTGCTGTCTTTTTATTTTTTTTTTTTCTAACGTATTTACCAGTTTTTTGGAGAAAAGGCATTTGAAAAGTTTGTCGCAGCGCAGTAATTGGTTGAATATTTTGAAGGAGTTTTTCTTATTTCAATCCTAAATAGGATGATAGTCGAGTTTTCTTCCGGTTAAGGCTTGGCATGTGCCAAAAATTCCAAGATATGCCAAAATATCGTTGCCAAAGTATCTATGCCAAGCACTAGTGTCGCCAATCAATCCAAGTGGAATGGTAATGTAGAAATCTACCCCAATAGTGATGATGACGTTGGCAATTATATTGCTCGTGCCGCTGTTTTCGCGCTTTAGGCTCATATGCCGCCGCTTAAACTTTATTCCTCTGAACATCCAATCACCTGAAGGTAGTGGTTTACGACATGTACTTGCCAGTCGGGTTTATTGTGTTTGGGACCCGAACAGTTTCTTGCAGATACCCATACTTACTCCGGTCAGCGGGTACCGGCTTGCAGATGCTTGCATCCGTTAAAATAATTTTTTGGCCGGAGAGTCTTGTAGTACCATTCGTGGAAACGGGTATTTCCATATTTTTCCCAGTTGGCTTGCGCATACGAGCACCAGCAAAATACCTCAACCGCTCGATGAGCTGCATCCAATTTGCCGCCTATCGTAGTTACAGCCTTGTTTGAAGCCAGTTCTGTTGATTGGGTAGAATTGGTGTTGCGGGCTTTGTTTTCCGAACAGTCCATAACTATTGTAATATCAGTGGCGGTGCTATTGCAGCTCTGCCCCTTTTGGTAGGTTCAATTATCTTAGATGGCCATGGACCAGCTGTACTACTTTTAGTGTGAGAGACCCAAGTTACAATAATAGGAATAGCGAGGAAATATAAAAAAAGAAAATCTATGAGATCTATGAACAATAGAAAGCCAGTCTAAGGAGTCAGGGTTCAGTGTAAAAAGTATATGAGACCAGGCGGGGTTTTGTGGATCATTGTGATTGGATGTGTAGATCACAGATGCTGGAGATAAATTTCGCGAGCTTTTAGCAATATCGCAGGTGGTACACACATGAAATATACACGTTTTTGGTTTTGCGATTTTGGCATGTTTGTACGTTACTCTGGCCTCTTACTCAAGTCCGTGTTTTTATTTTTTCGCTAAGTCTTTATGGACAGCACAATTCAAAAGGTTGCACGTTGACAGGCCATCTTGGCGGATAAATACCGTTGTTGACTATAGACTTTAAGGTCAGCTCATATGACTTCTTCCATAACTTTAACATCCACAGTCAGCTCCACATTTATGGAGAACTATCCATCTAGTTGCACATTCAGGATCTTGACAAAATGATGAAGGGTGCATGTTGCCTGTGTGGCTAAAGTAAGCACTGGTCGTCAGAGCGTGTGGGTGTATGGATCAAGATCAAAACATAATGTAGTACTATTTTCTCCATGAACTTTGGCCAGTTCGGCTACCTCTCTTAAACTATCCACCATTGCAAAAAAAACCAACTACCAGCAACACGGTAATTAACTGTGCCCCACGGTTATTCAATTTTGCACCCACGGGATAAACTGTGCCCCCACGTCCATCATGTTGCCATCGCCCCAGTCTCCTCCACTAGGCGTCAGCCGTGCTGCTTACGAGAATCTTTCCTCCGCCACTATTCCACTAAATTTTCCATTTCTCAACTAACACGCCCCAGAAAGCCAAAGAGACGTGGTCACATGACTCCCAGCGAGTATTATTGCGAAGCAAATTTTCCATAAATTTTCCATTGGGGTATCGCAGATTTACGATCATAAAATCTGGGGAACCTTTTATTTCAGGACATAGAGAATAAACACAAACCACTGACAATGCCAACAAACACCAACACTTCTACAGCCCGTTAATGTCAAATCAATTCCCACACCCGTCTCCAGTCGAATATCCCCCACTCAAACCACCAGCTCCCCTGACAATCATGGTGGGGAGGTGCTCCAACCGAGCCCCTCTTAATCAGGCGCAAACAAAAAAAAATGCCAAAGATCTCCAACTTCCCCCAATTACGCGACCCCCTCGAAACCTGAGCGGCTTCTGTATATATAAAGGCCATTCTGCCCATGTTTTGTTAGTCTTGATATCACTGTTTATCATGGACAAAGTTGATAGAGCTAATAAGCCAGAGATTAGTCACTTGGAGGACGCCAGCGATGCTTCGTCCTTCAAGCACGAGCTCGCCAAAACCGCTTTTGTTCTCGAAGATGCCAAAGCCGCAACCACCGAAGAACACGAGTTGACGCTTGCAGAGGCATTCAAGCACCACAAAAAGGCCATTTTCTGGGCTGCGGTGCTTTCGCTTACCATTGTGATGGAAGGTTATGATAACATTCTTATTAGTAGTTTTTACGGTTACCCTTCGTTCCAAAGAAAATACGGTGAACCAGTAGGTGATGGTCTGTATCAACTTTCAGGAAAGTGGCAGTCTGCTTTAGGGGCCGCTTCGAGTGTGGGTACCATTTTTGGGGTGTTTGCCAACGGGTTCCTTATCGAAAGATTCGGTCACAGAATGGTGATTATGGCGTCATTGGTAGTGATGTCTGCCTTTATCTTCATTCCGTTCTTTGCTCCAAGTGTGGGTATTTTGGTCTTTGGTCAAGTCATGTGTGGTCTTCCCTGGGGGATCTTTGCCACCATGGGACCCACCTACTCGTCGGAAGTGTGTCCTATGGCTTTGAGAGGTCACTTGACTGCCTATGTCAATATGTGTTGGGCCATCGGTCAATTTATTGCGGCCGGTGTGTTACAGGGTCTTGTGGATAACACCACAGAATGGAGTTACAGAGTCCCCTTTGCCGTGCAATGGGCCTGGCCTATTCCTCTTTTCATCTTGACGTTCTTAGCACCTAACTCGCCTTGGTGGTTGGTCAGAAAAGGTGATCATGAAGGAGCAGAGAAGTCTTTGAAGAGATTAGCATCCAAGGCCGTTCACCACAGAATCCCCAATCAGGTGGCATTGATGATCCACACTAATGCGTTGGAACAGGCTCAACACCAGTCCAAGAGTAACGATGAAAAGGGATGGAGAGGATACTTGCAATGTTTCAAAGGTACCAACTTGAGAAGAACCGAAATTGCCTGTATGGCCATTGCTGGTCAAGTGGCCAGTGGTTCCACCTTGATGTACAGTCCTAGTTACTTTTTCTCTAATGCTGGTTTGAGTGCTGATAATGTCTACAAGTTGAATTTGGGGGTCACTGGTATCTCATTTACTGGGTGTGTGGTATCGTGGTTCCTTCTTCCCAACTTTGGAAGAAGAACCATTTATGTCACCGGTTATACGATTTTGTCTATCTTCTTACTTTTGACAGCTATATTGGCCACGCCCAATCAGTCGGATGGTTTGCAATGGACACAGGCCGTGTTCACCATCATTTGGGTGGGTACCTATGCTTCCACCATCGGTCCTTTGGGATTCACCATTCTTTCTGAGATCAGTGCTACCAGATTAAGAGCTCAAACGGTTGCCATTGGGAGAAATGCTTATAATCTTATTTCCTTGATTTCACAGGTAATAGAGCCGTACATGATTAACCCTACTGAAGGTAACTTGAAGGGTAAGACTGCCTATATATGGTTTGGTACTGCTTTTCCTACGTTGCTTTGGTGTTATTTCAGGTTACCGGAAACAAAGGGAAGAACTTACGAAGAGTTGGATATCTTGTTCGAAAGAAGAATCGGGGCCAGAAAGTTTTCTTCCACCGAAGTGGAGCTTGAGCATGTTGAGGTGGATCTTCCTGGAACAAAAGAATAATATAGGTAAGTCTATAGTAATGTTGTTAAGTTCAATAGACATGTTTGGGTATGAAGCCATTACATATATTTGGGTTGCCATATTTTATGTGTTTGGTGCACTTTTGGTGCAGGGTCATCTATAGTTCAGTATTTTTATTTTTTTGACACTCGCCTTATCTGGATTTGCCACACCCCACTTTCCCCTCAATCCGGGGCATGGCGGGTGGAGGACCTGCTGAGTCCCGGCCATAAGGTGCTCGGAGTGCTTTCTGTATTAGGAAGCTTCGGGTTATCTTTGGACTGTGCACATATAAAATAGGCTCGTGAGAGGATATATTTCTAACATACTTATGTTTGGGCATCTAAAAGGTTCTCGACCACTCCGTTGACATCAAGGTTAGCAAATTTGGCATTCATCAACACTTGCAATAACTTTTTGATTCCCAAGCTCAAAGGCTGGTCGAATCTTTGTAATTGGTTCAAAATTTCCAACCTTTCGTTTTCCGACATGAAGTCAAGGTCGTTCATTATGATTTGTAATTCAACCAAATCGGTCACAGGCTTAATCTCGATGGATTTGGTGAAACAGTCTACCAAGTTCATGGATTTCAAAATCGAGTGTTGGGACGTGGTGGCCAATATCAACAATCTTCTACCGTTTGGAGGCTTTCTCGTCAAGTACACCATCAACATTTGTAAAATATCATTAGAGAACCGGGGTCCAATAGGCACGTAGTTAATGATACTCTCAACTTTGTCGATAATCAACACACTCAAGGGGGACTTGTAAATATCCCGGAAAAGGTTGTCGATGGTGTTGATTTTCATCAATTCATTCATTCCCACCAATAACTCACCGTTTAATACCTTGATAAAAGGGAACTTGGATTCCAACGACAACATGGTTGCAATGGCAGTCTTACCAACCCCATTTTTCCCGTGGAACAAAACACTGATTAATCTTTCATTTTCTGAATGAGACACTTCATTGATATAAGATCTACCCATATCCAAAATCCGCTCGATAGCTTCGTTGTATCTAATAACCCCATAAGGAATGCCTTCGGACAAATTCTCCTCGTTAACACCAAACGCAGGCCTGACCTCGTTCAATGCCAACTCGAAATGCTGCCAGGTCAACTTCATCTTGCTGATATTTTCGTCGACTTTGGCGAGAGAGTCTGATTTGGTGTAGTTATTGATAGCAAAAGAGGTGGCACTATTGACCAACCCTTCCAACTCTGCCCCTGTAAAATTCTTCGTCAACTTGGCCAACTTTTGGAAATCGATATCATCGTCCAACAAGTTGTTGTTCTTCATTTTCTTGGTGTGAATCAATAAAATCTCGTGCCGCCCCTTCTCATCAGGCAAAGATATTTCGATCTGAATCTCGAATCTACCGGGTCTCAACAACGCATTGTCAATAAGATCTAATCTGTTGGTCATACCAATGATCAAGATATTATTTAATTGGTCAACACCATCCATTTTAGCCAACAACTGATTGACGACATTATCACCGACTCCGGTCCCGTCGGACTTGTTGTTACCTCTTTGCTTAAATACCGAATCCAATTCGTCAAATATGATGATGTGTAGACCAGAACTATCTCCCTTTTGCTTATACTCTTGTTCGGCGTCCTTAAACAAGTTACGGATGTTCTCTTCAGAAGCACCTACAAACTTACTCAACATCTCTGGACCATTGACAATCTTTGGTTCCTTGACGTTCAACATCTTACCGATTTGTCTCGCAATCAACGTCTTACCAGTACCAGGAGGACCGAATAACAACAAACCCTTGACGTGTCTAAGACCCAACTTGTTGACCAAATCTGGACTGATGATTCTTGAGGCAAAAGCTCTTCTGAAAATCTGCTGGAACTCGTTGTCCAACCCACCAATTCCCAAGGAGTCCAACTTAAAGTCGGGGTTAATAATGGGGTTTGATCTTGGCTTATTGCTGACGCGAGACTTGGCGTTGCCATCCTTCACCAAGTTGATGATGGAGTTCTCATGAGGATAAAAGTCCACCTCAGCTTGGCCCGTCAAAATCCCCTTAGCGTCTGGCGACAGAGTGAAGTCGGTGGGCTTACCCGCCATGTCCATCAATTGTATGGAGTTGATGTAAAGCAGGAAAAATTGGCCTTTGAAATCCATAACAATTGGTTGAGTGGCCTGTAAGATCTGGTTGTTATAGTTTATCAAGAATTGGGCAATCAATTCATTATGGTTAATGGGATTCAGGCTCTGTTTCTTGGTAGACCGGTAGTCGATAAAGATCTCTGCCGATTTTATGTAGATAAAGTTGTCGTTAAAACTGTTCAAACTGAAGTCGGCAATCGTTACCGGTTGGTTTAATGACCATCTTCCCCATTGTCTGACATTCCCAGCCATTCCAACAGTTCCGGGCTTGACCAGAAGCTCTCTAGTAATAGAATATACCACCATATTATCCACAATGACATAATTGAGATCCTCTGGTATATCGGCAGGATTGACACCAATGGTGTTCCCCAAAGCAATAGAGTTATTGGGACAGTTGTCCACTCTGAATTGGCGTTTGAACGCCTTCACCGGTTGGTTATGATTGATGGTCGGGTTTCCAGGACCCGGTTTATTGGACACTTTATGGAATCCAAACTTTTCCATGATACGTTGATTGTAGATGAAAAGGTGTTTAGTTATTTCGTCTGGCGAAGCTGCGCGCAAGAATGATCTATGGGTGTTACGGGCACTTGCTGACATAATAATAAGACGGGTTGTACAAAAACTGTGGCGCGGTGAGCGGAGCCTGGTCTAGTCCTGTGCGGTCTTATTAATCGAGACACGCATGACGCGTAGGCCCAGGTGGCGCCACCGCGGGAACAAACTGCCTCTAACGCTCGAGCCACCCTCCGGCCAATCACCTAAAACTATGGCGCGCCACAGGTTTGTTGAGCCCGTGCACGACCCCGCTTACAAACGAAATCACATTCTAGAATTTTGGTGCCAACTATAAATTCGCCAGAATCCCCCCCTACTTGGTTTCTTGATTCTACATCACATCATATTAAAAAAATGGTTGCCCAAATTCAAAAGCCAGCTCCATCGTTCAAAAAAACCGCTGTTGTCGACGGTGTGTTTGAGGAAATTTCCCTTGAACAATACAAGGGTAAATGGGTCTTATTGGCCTTTATCCCATTAGCTTTCACTTTCGTGTGCCCAACTGAAATCATTGCTTACTCCGAAGCTGTCAAGAAGTTCACTGAAAAGGATGTGGAAGTTTTGTTCTCCTCCACCGATTCCGAATATTCCTTGTTGGCCTGGACCAACGTTGCCAGAAAAGATGGTGGTTTAGGTAAGATCAACATTCCATTGTTGGCTGATACCAACCACACCTTGTCTAGAGACTACGGTGTGTTGTTGGAAGAAGAAGGTGTTGCTTTGAGAGGTATCTTTTTGATTGACCCTAAGGGAATCTTGAGACAAATCACTATTAACGATTTGCCAGTTGGTAGATCTGTTGAAGAAAGTTTGAGATTGGTTGAAGCTTTCCAATTCACTGAAAAGTACGGTGAAGTGTGCCCAGCCAACTGGAAGCCTGGTGAAGATACCATTGACACCGCCAATGCCTCTAAGTACTTTTCCAAGCAAGAATAATTGAGTTAGACTTCTAGAAAATAGATATACATACTACACGTTTTTCACACCTGCTTATCGCGTAGGCCTCGGTCTTGTGCCAATGGTTGTAAACCCCCTTAAACTAGCGCTATTTGCATTCGGATTAATGCTCCAGCTTTCTACCACTTGCCTATTATAAGATCCTTGCCATTGACCTATCATGACCTTTTCCGATGGACTTTTCACCTATTATTTTATTCTCACCACTTCCTCGCTCGCGTAACAGGAGTTTTTTTTTTAGATACTCACGCCATGTCTGACATCTACTTTTACAAATACATAGTCAACAAGCAAGTGTTCTTCCGGTCCAAACACTGTTATGCCCTCGTAAACCTCAAGCCACTAATTCAAGGTCACGTGTTGCTTGTGCCGTACAACCCTGAAATCTACCGATTCAACCAACTTAGCGATGAAGAGAGCATTGACTACATGCGAAGTCTTCAAACATTATCAAGATTTCTCACCTGGAACTACAAGGCAGATGCCTTGAACATCGCGATTCAGGACGGTCCGGAAAGTGGTCAATCGGTACCTCATTTGCATACGCACTTGATTCCACGGTTTAAAACTGACGACTTGAAGAATGACCGGGTCCACCAACAACTACTGAAAGTGGACATTCTCACTGACTTTGAGGCCAGAAGACTCGCCTACACGCAAAAACCCACCCGAGTACGTGATGACAGCCAAAGGGTTGCCCGTACCGACGACGAGATGGAGCAGGAAGCAAATGAGCTAAAACGTAAGTTTGAAGAGTTCTCGCAACTCAATCCGCATCAATAGACCAATGCCACAATTCGCGCGACTTTTGGTTTTCAGTAGTAACATGAGTTACGGTGAACTCGATGAGATCCAGTGGAAGAACCCCGAGTGGATCAACCAGTTCGGGCTCAACACTGGCAATGTGCTCGACTACTTCAGTGAATCCCCCTTCTATGACAGAACCTCCAACAACCAGGTGTTTAAAATGCAGTTTCAGTTTCAGCCTCCACCGCCTAACTTGAACACACCGTTGGAGTACACAAAATACTTCGAAAGCAAACTCTCAGACATGGTGGGTATAGAGTTTGTGATCGCATACATACGAGAACCGGACTTTTGGATCATCAGGAAGCAGAACCGATTCAGCCGCGATAACGTTCAAATTCTCCAAAGTTACTATATTATAGGTGCCAACATATACCAGTCACCCAAGCTCTATCGGCTCATCAGCTCGCGGCTCTTGAACTCCACGTACCTGATCAAGACCGCCATCAACCTTCTCAATAACCTTAACGAATTCAAACATGATGACGACAAAGCAGATACCTCCAGTAACGGCAACTCCACTACCCAGACGCCCTTTACACCAGCGGTGACACAACCGAAGAAAGAGATCAACTTCGACAGTATCTTGGATGATGCCTTGAACCACAGCCGCTAAGAAAATAGATATTACGAACTGCTTAATTAATACTTAAATCTAAATACTCACAACTCGTCCTTAACTAGTAAAGCTTCTTCTTCTTCTCCCGTCAATGGCACCTCACCCGTGGCTGAAATCTTCAATTCTTTCACGGGCTTGTCGCCGTAGCTGGTTTTGACTTTTTCCATATAGTCCACCACGTCGAACCCATCAACAACTTTTCCAAAAACAACATGAGCACCATTCAACCAGGAGGTGACAACAGTGGTAAGAAAGAATTGAGATCCGTTGGTGTTCTTACCGGAATTGGCCATGCTCAATCTGTACGGTCTGTCGTGCTTCAAGATAAAGTTCTCGTCGTCGAACTTTCCGCCGTAGATAGATTTGCCTCCGTAGCCTTTACCAGTTTCATAGTCACCACCTTGAATCATAAACTTGGGGATGATTCTGTGGAAAATCGAGCCAGTGTAACCAAAAGAGGGGTCGGTACTCAAGGTCAATTCCTTGAAGTTTTTCACGGTTTTTGGTGTAACGGTACCAAATAATCCAATGGTGATTTTACCAATGGATTGACCATCTTCAGTCACCTCAAAGAACACCTTGTCGGTAACTGGAGGGTCTTCGGGCAAATCGGCTGCCCGAGCTCCACCAATAGAGTAGAAGAAGAAGCAGATACTGACAATTAAAACACTTATAATCTTCATCATTAAAGAGTTGTAGTGAACAGCTTATATTTTTTTACTCCTCGCCGTCGCGGTTACCAGAAATATATGTGGTTGTGAATTAATCTATTTACAGTGAAAAATGGACCTAGAAATCCCGTTCTCCCTTCTCCTCTGCCTCCAACTCTTGTTTCTGGAAGTTCTCCCGCTCCTCTAATCTTTGTAAAGCCGTTCTCTTGGCCTTAACAAGCTTGGCCTTTCTTTCACCTCCATTCTTCTTCTTACCTCTGGTATGCTCTCTCAAAGGTTCCAAGTCGTTGACAAACTTGTGTCTCCATCTCAACAAGTACCGCCTGCTACGCGTGTCTATGCCAAGGTTTTTCATTGTCTTGGAGTCGGTTTCGAGAAACTTGTTCAAGTCACCTTCAAAGAGCTCTAAATGCTCTACTGAGTTACGGCCAATCAACGTGAAAAATGTTTCCAAGTCATGGACATTTTCCCGGGTCCGAGTTGATGTGTTGGTCTTGTGGAATATGGGTGTGTACGAGAATGCTCTGGTGGCCTGTGTGGGTACTGGCACCACGCTCCGTGGTATTATTGACGTTAGTCTCTTGAACATCTGGGTTAATAGCTGAAAATTTTTTTACTGTTTCGCGCACTCAGCTAACTATGTATTTTGCATCTAAATAAGGGTGTAGCCTCCATCTACTCGAATATCAGTACCGGTGGTGAAACTACTGGCGTCACTTGCCAAGTACACATATGCACCCACAAGTTCTTCTGGATGGGCTTCACGACCCATAGGTGTTAATCCCCACCATTTGGCCCGATCCTCAGTGGGCACTGGGCTTGACAAAATGGTGTCTGTATACCCAGGAGAAACCGAGTTGCAACGAGCAAAACCTGCCCATTCTACTGCCAAAGACTTGGCCAAATGCATGGCACCAGCCTTGGAGACGTTGTAGGCTGCCTTGTACTGGGGAATGTTTACAATGTGAGCAGACATCGATGCTGTGATCACAAACAGGCCTTTTTGCTGCTGCTCGAAATGCTTCCCCACGTACTTGGCGCAGTAGAAGATACTATTTAAGTTGATATCCATCATCTTGTGCCAGTCTTCAACGGTTGCTGACTCGCTAATAACAGTGCCTTTGTACCATGGTAATCCAGCATTGGCCACAAACACATCGATGGTTCCAAAATCACCGATAACAGATTCAACCGCCGCCTTAACCGCATCGCTCGCAGTTGCGTCCAATCGGTACGACTTGGACCGAATCCCCCACTGGGATTGTAATTGGGCGGAAAATTCTCCACCGTCTCTAGCGTAGTCCATAATGGCCACGTCGCCTCCCATCTGAGCATATCCGATGCAAATGGCTCTTCCAATACCTCCTAAACCTCCTGTTACCACCGTAACTTTTCCTTTGAGCGAGAACCGATCCTTGATATTTGTGCTGAAGGTTTTGGACTTGACCGGCACTGTGTTGTCCTCTTCGGGACCCTTGATAAACGACTGGTATGTGGTTTGCATTTGCTTGGAACTGCGTATTCATGGTTATAATGTGGTTCTTATATGGATGGGGGGCACTCCGGAAATCAGCCCGCGACCAAACTCCGAGCCCCTCAGTATGGCTGCAAAATAGTGTGAGGCAGCTCGTATTCGCTAAAACACTAAATATGGCACTGCTCTTTATCTCCAAATTACCAACTCCCTTGCAGTAAAGCTACAGTATAGGTTTTCAAAAAGTGAGCTATTAGTGCAACAACCTGTTATGTTATAATTATATTATACCTATGCTAACGCTTTAAGCGCATGTTTATCCTGCTCCTTCTGCTCGTTATCAAACTTCTCATTGAACCGACATCTCATCTCCTCTCCATGGAAATAGCAGTATATTGGAAAAGGAACACCAAGTAAAAATGCTATGAACGCACACATGGTGTTCCCCCACCCATAGTTCATAGCACGATACATCTTGTTTGCAAACAAGGGGAATGTGAAACCAAACAATGACCGGAACAACGCTGCTGCTGCAACAGAAGAAGCAGCAAATCTGGGATTCATATCTATCAAGTAGTTCTGGCAACACTGGAAGGCACAAATGAACCCAAATGCAAAGATCCCAGACCCAATACCAGGCATGATCCAGTGCAATTTCTTCTCAGCACTCCACCCGTACCACACCAATCCAATGGGGATTATAATCCCCACAATAAACAAGCACGGTAATCGGAACTCGGGCTTGGCTACACCATTGTTTCTTTCTTCTAATCTCTCGTATGTTTTGCCAATGACGACGGTCCAAAAGGCTATTCCAACAGTGAATCCCACTCCCATAGGGATATACATCAACCCAATAACACTCTTACTGAAGCCGTAATTTTCAGCAAACATGGTGGGGAAGGTTATGATCAACAAGTACATGAACCCATAGACAAATGCCAAAAATGACCCCAATCCTATCACCATGGGATGCATGAATAATAACTTGATGGGTCTGGTCATCGTCAGTATCATCCTGGTGCTGAACTTCTGGTTGGTGATTTCGTAGATAGTGTGCAAGTTGGTATTTCCAGTAGACTTTCTCAAGGCTTTGGCCTTATCTTTCAACAACTTGGGAGAGTATGTTTCTTTAAAGAATATCATGCCCAACACTGCCACAACTCCGTTGAAAATTGTCAACACGTAAAACACCCACCTCCACTGCAAGTTGTCAACTATAAACCCAGCTATCATAGGTGCTATGACTGGTCCCAATAATGGAGCTAAAGTAAATCCAGCCAAAGCCACGTTCCTAGATTTGGCATCAAACATGTCTGATATGACTCCAGCTCCCACATTTAATGGTGAAGACCCAAATAGTCCACCCACAAACCTGAACACCATCATTTGTGCCGTGTTCTTACTGAAGCTGCATCCCAAGTTGAAGAAAAACGACATTAAGATCGACATATCTAGTACTGGTTTTCTTCCGATATAATCAAATTCGCTCAATGGAGCAATCAATATAGGGCCCACTGCCCAAGCCAAAATCTGAATGGATGCCACCATCGAAGTGATGACTGGATCGGTGATATGAAATTCCTTGGATATATCTGACATGGCTGGTGTCAATATCGACGATGACATAGGACTCACCAACGCATAGACTGACACAAACCCTAAAAGGTATACTTTCTTCGTCACTGACCAGTTACGAGGATCATCTGGGTCTCCATACCCTTCCCATGTTATTAACTCTGGATCTATGAGACCATACTCTTCGCCGTCCTTTTCAATGGGTAACCCACTCTCTGGTAACACAAACGGTTCCACATCGTTATCCAAGTTCTGCTGGATCTCACTGAGAACATCCTTCTTGGTTCTGGCTCTTTCCCTCTCAATCTCAGTACTGTTCAAATCTCCATATATTTCTTTGACGGAAAACTGAGATACGTTGGAGAACACCGACTGCCCAGTTAGGCTTCGACGTATGGTCTCAAGACTTTTGCCCAATGAATTTCTCAGTCCACGTCTACTGTGGTTGTCTTGGTCTTTTCCGTGAAAAGCTATTGGAAGAGGTGTGTTGTGCGAAGAGGATGAACTGGTATTCTCCTGAGAATACTGCTGGTACAACTCGCTTTTCATGTCGTCGTCACTAGAAATCATAGTAAGGGGCGTTACGAAAATGCAGAAATTTGAAAAAAAACAGAGATGGCGTTCTTTAAAACTAATTCTATACTGTTAAAACTCGGGTACACAAGGCTTCTTCTATTACTGCAAAAATTTTGAAACCACAACCCGAATTCAGTTGCAGTTGCCACAAACGCGCGCGGACATGAAATCTCTTCGGTTATTGAAGGAACTGGCTTCGCGACATTCTAGTAGGTAACGACTCCACCATTCATGTCGGCGTACCTCACACAATAGTCTTTAGCAGCAATCTCGGAACACTTTTGGTTCAAGTCTTTGCCAGGAAGCTCAAAAACATCTTTTGAGGTGATCTTCGTCTTGGGGTTAAATAAAGAGTCGATCTTCGAGATGTAGTCCAACACTCCTCTTACATGAACAATCTTCACATCTGCATCCGCTGCCGATAATGTGATTCCCATGTAGTCATTGTAGGATATTTCACTATCCACGTCTTCAGCCGGGATTTTATCCAAGAACTTTCTGCCAAATTGGATACCATTGTTCATGACGCTTTCCACTTCCCAGTATGCAATAGAGTTTGGAATCAACACGTTTCTTAAATTCTTGTCACAAGAAGAAATGGAATCATCCTCCTTGATATTACCCTGGTCATCAATCTGGGGATTGGCCCATTTGGGAATTTCAGCATTGAAGTCTATAAAGTCTGACACGTCCGACATTTTATAGTAAAGCTGTTTGGTATCGGGATTATAATCCTCTACCAAAATGATCAAGTTGGGTCTGTACATCGACTCTCCACATCCACACTTGTTCAAGTGAGTTCTGGCCCATCCCACATAAATGTTTCTATTTTCGGGTAACACAAACTTGGTTTTCAAGTGGTCGGGCAACAGGTCAAGTGGAAGTCTTTCAAGTTGGGTTCCACCTCTCAAGGGCCCAAAGTAGTCAACGTCTTCCTTCTTGTGTTTTTGGAGAAACTGACACATGCCAGTTCGAATACTACACGTAACCACCTCAAGTGGGTTAATTGAGTAGACAAAGTTCAAATGTTCCTCATCCTGTTGCGTGGACAAGAATGGAGTCCAGTTCTTCTCGATGTTGGCAAAGGGCACAGACAGCTTCATCAACATCTTGAAATTTCCGGAAAATGGGAGGGTCATGAACATGACTCTTTTGTTGATGCTCATATCCTTCATGTTGAACACCACTATGGGTTCACTGAACCCAAGCTTGGTGTTGGTCTTCTTGATGATCCGGGGGTCTTCGGGCCCGTAGTAATATTTGTTGTTTTCGGTGTGCAAAAAATAGTTAAAGGGAATAGGAAGAATGGATGGGAAACTCATTTCTCTATAAGCAATCTTCGAAGACACAACCATATCACTCAATGATCCATCCGTGTTTAAGACGTTCTGTGTCATTTGTTGTTCATAAGGAAATGTCATGGTGTCTTTAATCTCATTCCAGTCCGTGTCAAATATTTGTACGTAGAGGAAACTGGCAAATCCGTGGTTGGCGATTCCGCTAGGCGAGTATATCAATCTACTCACCATGTAGTGGACGTTGAGGTCTTCCAACCAAACTGATGACCCAGCAAACCGGAACCATTGCTTTTCCCTTGGGATCTTGGGCTCGAACCTTGCTTCGGCCTTCTTAAGCATCTTGGAGTACTCCAGAGATTTGGCGATTTGCTTCTCTATCTCAGCAAACTCAGCTGGTAAAAGCTTGGTGGCACTAGTGAAAATGTCGTGTTCCACCTTGAGCTTAGAGCATTTTTCATTAATATCCAGCTCATCACCCTCTTTCTGTTCAGTGAAGATATATGGATCAGAAAAAACCGTCAACTTCTCAGTTCGATAGAGATCTTTCTTAATCAAGAAGTCGCTAAGCGGGAAGTTGTCTTGGTCGGGTTTTTTTGATCCCTTCGTCATTTGGTTCCATAATGATTCAGCACTGGAACTCTTGAACATTTCCTTTGGACGAACCTTCAAGGATGACAGATCGAAAGTTAGCAGTCCCTGTCGTGCAGCCAAGGTAATCCCGACTACGACCAGAGTTGCCAACAAGACAAGGAAAAGACGAATGTACCGTCTGTTGTTCATGTTGTTGAATGAATCGTCGATAACAAAAAAACCTCGATACGCGGGTCGCAATTTGAGATATCAGGACAAAGAGGGCTTTGACAAGAAAAAAGCGCTGTGGAACGCTTGCTCGAATTTAGCGCTTTGAGGCTTGTGTTATCAGCCACTCAACCACTAGTTAAGCTCCACTCACCACCAGATCACCCTTAAAACGATGGAGGGTCGTGTACCAACATCTACTTTTATTTTCCAATTATAATTGCTATTCCCCTTGCATATAGTCTCGTGCACATTTCAACTGAACTTTTATATTACATGTATTATATAGTATTAATTACTTGGAATTCATACTCTTCATTAAAGACTGTTCGATCGAGTCGATTGAACTTTCGACATCAGCAATGTCCATGCCACAGCATAACGAGATCAACTTACAGTACTTGTTGAGCTTGTCATCAGATGGGAAATTGCTGGTGGTGGAGATGCCACCATTTTCTTTGAAATCGTCCTTATTAAATACCGGCACTTTGGGCTGAAGCTTGTAAAACTCCGCCAAAAGCTTGTTGGACTTGATAATTTCTTGTTGTAGAGCCACCGATAATTGGAACTTATCTTCAGGTCCATTTGTGGCTTCCACTTCTGCCGCTTCAGATTTGGTTAGTCTTAATCTCGTGGTCTTCAGATATGTCGTCTTAAAAATGTGAACCTTTTTGTCCAACTTTTCTTTCTTTTGTAATACCTGAAAAGTCAAGTCGTTCAAGAATCGGCTGATTTCATCTTGGATGATCCTATCTCTTTTGAGATCAAGCACCTGTAGATCGACTCCGATATCCTTTATTAGATAATCCAACTTGAATATCTTGAGAATCAATTTTTGCTGAGCCACTTTCATTGCTTGAAACTTGGAGTTTGTGGTGATCAACTTCAAGAGCTTTTCGTCCTTTTCATTCAATTCCTTGTCGATTGAAAACTGTAACTCGGTGAGCTTTTCGGTGATCAAGTTTGACGTAGTATTGGTCAAATTAACCGTCATTTTACTGTAGTATAACTGGCTCTCAAAACTTTCTGAGTTGGTAGCTTTGTCACTGATTAAATGCTGGGCCTTACTGTCTTGTGAATCATCTTGGTCATTCTCCAACTTCAAAATGTAGTTGTGTGACGCCAAGTACTCCTCAACCGAATAGTTCACGAGGTTTTTCTTACCAAATTCAATAAACTCGTGATAACTGATGAAAACCTTGATCAATTTCTTATTCAAGTTATAGGCAATGAGATGGAATGCTGTGTTGCCGTCAGAATCTTGGTGATTGATAAACTTCCTTATTAATTCATTGGCACTGGTATCATTATTGTTGAAATCCTGAAATTCGATGATTTTCGTGAATAATTGTTCAATATAGTAGCGTGCAATTCTCTCTTTGTTCTTGAGATAGTTATTGAGTTGAGATTCATCGTTCCCATTGAAACTTGATTCTACCATATTCTGTGGTGGAATTACCGATAAGGCAATATGGTGTAAGACTGTCTTGTTATAAATGTCCACCGATAGTATTGAGTCAAATAATAAATCCAACAAGTTTGGGAAGTTCTTCAACTGATATGAGTTGCTGAATTTGATCAAGAACATCAATGGCGTCTCCCCATTATTATTTTTCAAGGTGGAGTTGATGATATTTGGAAAACTATTGATTAGAAACTCTATCATTGCATAGTTGGCCATTGAACAAGCCCAGTGGAATATGGTGTTTCCGTCATTATCTACAGGCTGATTAATATTAATCTTTGAAATCGGCTGAGGAGGATTCAACAAGTTCTTCGGTATCACTGTATCTTTAGTTTTCTTTTCAGTTTTGGCATTCGGCGTATTCTCGGTGGTTGGTGCTGGGTTTCCTTGCAGCTGATTATCTTCGAGAAAGAAGTTCAACAAGTTGGTGAAATAATCGCCATAGATTTGATCATCCTTAAACGACCGTAACTGGTTATTCTGTTGTGGGTGATGATACTGTGATAACCCATAAGGATCATGTGAATTCATTCGGGAATATGATGCCATAAGCGTGGGATTCGCCTGACTCGTAGTGGCAGGAATTCCTTGGAATTGTGATTTTGGATACTGGTGAACATTATTATGAAAATTAACAATTCTTTCAAACGAATTACGAGGAGTACCAAATAGTTCTTTACCAGAAAGAAACCCATCATCTTCATTTGCATCCTCAATATCATCACTGGTGTTATCCACTAATTCCAAGTCTTCATCTTTAACATTCTGGTGGTTCATTCTATTTTGCTGGCTCATATGATTAGCCATCAAAGATAACGCATCTTGCTCTGTATCTTGCCGCACAGCTTTCCTGAAACTAGCAGTGTTAGATTCTCCCATTATAGGAGTAGTATCATTATGTTTTAACGCCGGTGGCTGGTTTAACGTGACTCTTTTGGGTCTACCTCTCTTTCTAGGAGGCTCATTGATGGAGTTGGTGGACTTTGATTTTCTAGCCAATTCATAGTTGGAATTATTTCTATTAGCCACATTAGAGGCAGACGCATGGTTATGTTTAGGGGCAGGAGGAGGAGTGGCAGTCTTACCTTCAATGTAAGTGAAGTCAAAGATGGGTCTTAAAACATTGTAAACCCCAAAAGTCTTAGCCAATTCAGCTCCTAAATTCAACGGGATATATGTACCTTGATATTTTCCGTAACCCCCCTGGACTTTCTCGTGGATTCCAGTCTGTACGTCCTTTTCCAATATTCTAGTTCTTCTTGCTTTAGGGAATTTGGCAATTTTCAAAATGTGAGTGGCATTTATCCAAGAATCAGCCTTTCTTCTCATTATGGGCCCTTCAGATGTTACATATTCAAACACCGGTACGTTGGAATACGTGGCTGAATATATTTGCTTGTCACTCATAGGGAGACGGGAATTTCAGTTTATACCAATAGTGGGCAATACAGGGTGGTGAACAAATTGGGAAAGAGAAATAGCACTAGCAGATTCACGTGGTTAGATGAAGAATATAGCTCTTTCTGACAAGGTCACGATGAAGGAATTGGATTTGTATTTTGCAATTAAATAAATGGAATGCAAAGATGTTCGAGGGTCTAGCAGTGAGATGGTGATTGTTGATAGTGCGGTGAGTTTTCGCGAACAGAAGCGCTGTCTGTCGGTTTTGTGTAACTATTGCTTTTACAAGTGTATAGCTGTAATTATACTATAAGTATTATACAAAGAAGGTAACACTTGATAGTGGCACCTATGCAAAAAGAACTCGAAACAATCTATAAATGGCGGTGATTATTAGTAATGCAAACGCCAATGCAACATACAAGAAATAATTCCTTAAGATCTTCATGGAACTATCGAGTTGGTTCTCTGATAACGGGATGGATATGACATGTTCAGCCGCCTCGAAACACACGTTACGTCTCTTGATGATCTGGCAGTCTGTAGGATTGATTTCTCTTTTCAAAATGGCTTTTCCAAGTAATATGTTGGTATATTGCTGAAGAGATGGATCATACGTTTTGAAGCATTTCTCCAACACCAATGATTCCTTTTCGAAACCAGAGGTAATCTTCTCTATCTTTCTGAGTTGTCTCAATATGCTGGGATTGATATCTTCAATGGAGTTCAAGTGGTCAGCAATTGTGGATAAGTTTACAAGATACAACAGCTTTTTGACGGAGTTAATCACTGATTTGGTTTGTACTAGTAAAAATGGAATCAGCAACTTCTTGAGGTTATCGAACTTCTCGAAGAAGAAGTCAATACAGTATAGCGTCAGATATACATCATCAAAGGTGGCCTGGGCGATTTCTAGTAGGTTGGAAGTCATGGGTTTGATGATATCCTCGTAAGATTTTGTTTGCCATTTATTATTCATCAACACCTGCTCTGTACCGTATGGTCCAAATATCGTGTTAAACTCAGATTCCAAGGCGGTGATGTGGCTTTTTGACTTGGCAGTCTTGACAGTTACATCCTCATAGTTCGGAATCTTTTTCAACAACGTCCCGTAAATTATAATGATATCACTGTATAGGTGAACAATATTCTTCAAGTTGAGCAAGAGTTTGTAAATGGCATTATTCAAGCAATATTTGAAGAGTCGCAGATGTGACAGTAGTAGAACCTTGTCGGCTTCACTGAGTCCTTCCAGCTCCAAGTGGATCTTCCGGTCTCCTATAGTGTATGTCATTTAACGCAGTTGGGGTGATTCTCCTTGTTAAACTAGTATGCTTCGGTGACAAACATTTCGCGAAGGAGCCAATTGTTTAGCCTGCTATACAAATCATTTACATATGTTTAATAAAAACTAGTGACATTCTAGGTATGTTTACGGGCCAAGTGAACTCTGCCGTCATTATACCTGGAAACGAAGGATAATGAGATTTGATTTGGGTGAAAATTTTTCATTCCAAACCTATTTTGATCTCTTTTTTTGTTTTCAGTATAGTTTTATCGAGGCTGGTGAAGGCCAGGACACCCACTCAGCTACAAATATACTTTGGGGGACGATTGTATACGGTTTGTAATATTTTACATTTTACAGCCTTATTTGAAGCTGATTAACTTATCTGATGTGCGGTTCTGCCAGTTTTATGAATTTCGCAACCATGATAATAATAGAATACTATTAAAAAAGATCGACTTGGTTAGTAAATACAGAAAGAGAAAAAAATAGACAAAGGGGGCATATCCTTAACTCACGTTTCAAACATCAGAGAATACTTTGTAACAACAAATAAGGGTAGGTTTTACAACCTGGGAGGGTGATTTATGATTTACAAAGCGAATCTGGCGTTGTCTGAGCACTGGCCCATCATCTGATTTCACTAGAGCACCTATTGTCAAAAAGCTTCTATGATGCAGAAGGCTTAGGAGTTGATGATTAAACAGCGTAAAATCCATAAGAATGAAGATATATACGTTTCTTCTTAGTGTTGCACAGAGCTCCCTCCGTAATGACCAATTGAATTCAGAAAACAGCACCGAAGCTGTTCCATAAATATGTGAGACTACAGAGATTCCGAATAAAGCCGTTATTTTATTGATGTTCCTACAGAGTGTCTGTTTACCGCCAGTAGTTTTGTTGAGATGGTGGCGGTTGAGCATAGCTTTGCTGTTGCGCAAAAGGTTGCTGCTGGGAGTAAGGTTGTTGGAATCCCATGGCTGTTGGCTGCTGTACAAGTCCTTGCTGACCCAATGCCCCTGTTTGGTTATACATTTGCTGCGTTTGTTGAGCAGCCATCTGTTGAAACTGAGGGTTGAATGGCTGAGGCACTTGTTGAGGCTGTTGAGGCTGTTGGGGCTGTTGAGGCTGTTGAGTTTGCTGAGGCTGTTGAGTTTGCTGAGGCTGAACCTGTTGAGCCCCAGTATTGTATAACGACAATATCTGTTGTTTGTTCGTCTGCTGAGCAACCAATTGAGGATTCTGTTGTTGTAACAAGAGCTGTTGATGTTGAGGATTATTTGGATCCAAATACTCCTGTCCATTAGAATCAACATACGAAATCTGACCTGTCACCGGATCCGTGTACTGATATATTTGAGGCTGTCCCACCTGGAGCTGTCCTGTTTGACTGGTGGCAACCTTGCTGCCATTACCAGACCACCAATCATTGGTTTGAGCGATACCTGCCATTGGATTGTTTGCCAGGAAAGACCCAGCAGAGGAAGCAGACGCAGAAGAAATAGCCCCAGAACCAGCAGCTGGTCGCCGAGGTAATGACGGAGCAAGCTCTTCTTGGTTGGGGTTCACTCTTGAATCCTCGTTCAAAATATCCAAGGCAAAATCGATATCACCGTTACTAAGTATCAACGCTTCTTTGACCAAGTCCTTGTCGTTGAAACCCATCGAGATGATCAGCTGTGTTTGCCGGGTGAATTGACTGGACTCAAATGTAGTCAATTTCCGATGTGATAATCTTGGAATCGTTCTAACTGAGTTCAGTCTCAGCCTCAGCCTCAGCCTCAGCTTAGAGGCAGCAGCACTAGTGCCTCTATCATCATCATCCGAAAAATCATCAAAACCACCAAAACCACCACCGTGAGAACCATCCAGGAACTTGCCTTCGACATACTTCTGGCGCACATAGTGCTCAATTTCGGTAGTATCGTCTTCATCATATGGAAAAGGTTCACGTTTAGCATTCCATTTACTTCTGGCTTTTCTATTACCAATTCTTCTTAAACGATCGATTTGCTCGGACGTCCAATTATCCAAAGTCAACGACTTTACGTCATTTTTATCCTTGGGTAATACTCTCCTGTGAACGGAGGCACATCTTCCACACAAAAAGATCCCCAATTGATAAGAGGCCCAGGTTGGATAAGAAGACCCACAGTCTCCACATTTGTTGTCGTTATTTCTGCTGTTGACAATCTCGATCAATTGACGCTCCACATTTTTCTGATGCAGCTTCGACATGGCCAGGGGTTTGAAATGAGTTAAGGGAAAATACAAATCAATTAACTCGGTTTAGATGGAAGTTTTGAGGTTCAAAATTGCACCGCATTTTTATTAGGCGCCAATTCAGGGCCGAAAGGAATGGAACCGGGTGCATTTATTTATTCTATAAGACGTATGCTATAAGTGACTTTTTTGGTGTCAATTTCGTCCACCTCAATGGTGTTCACCTCAATGGGCACCATTTGTAGAACAGAACTGTCGAAATTGTGGACCAAGGATTCAGTTATACTGGATAATTCAGACCTAGGGTCCGAAGTACCAACTAAAACCGGCTCAGAAGACTTGACTAGACTCACGTGGTAGGTGGTGGAGAAGACCTCCTTGGGTACCGAGATTTCTAGTAGATCACAGATATCTTTGGCGATTAGGTTGATGCCACCAAAAAAATTCAGGGTATCGGGGTCATCGTCAATGATTCCAGCTACAAATACAGCGGAGGATGTAGAGCTCCCGAATAAGTGCAATTCTGGCTTGAACTTCAATTTGACAGCCTTTTCCTGTGGTACATTAGACGGGGATTTCTTCAAGATCTTATTGAGAGCCTGAAGCCTATCATTATTTACACTTTCTTCCTTAAGTAGGCTTGGACTTATAGCCATTTTCCTAATTCCATTTGTGAAGTAGTCAACAAACTTGGATAATTGATCTGGCCGACCATGGATATCGGATACTAGGGTAATATGAAGATTATTTGAAGGATCTTTGCTGGATAGGGGTGCTCTATTGTCACCTACAATGTTCCAGTCATAACGCTGGTAAAAGTCATAATGGTTGAGCTCCAAATACTTCAAGGCACCTTGTGACAATACCTTCAACTGTTTAGTGGTTGAAAAAGTCGGTTTCCAAGGAATATTGATATAGAGGCCCTTCATGTTGTGCTGATTGACACTGTAATTCTGCAGGTATAAGCTTAGGGATGGAAGAATTTGCCGGGGGTCAGTGTCTGCGGGTGTTGTATGGTGATGCGGTTCAAGTTCCTCTTCAGATGACGATTCGTAGTGCTTCAACGCTTCCATAGCATGGTATTTGGCATACCTGAGTAGTGTTCCTGAGATGGGCGCACCAGAGTGTAGCCCGCGCACGACCGCAGCTCCATAAGATGAGGTAGAAAAATTTTGACGGAACAATCTCTTTTTAGTATTACTCATATTTGAAAAATGGCTTCCAGAACCCAATTTGAAAACTCCAACGAAGTCGGTGTCTTCTCCAAGTTGACCAACTCCTACTCACTTGTTGCCGTGGGGGGATCCGAGAACTTTTACTCTGCTTTTGAAGCAGAATTAGGTGATGTCGTCCCCATCGTTCACACCACCATCGCGGGTACTAGAATCGTCGGTAGAATGACCGCCGGTAACAGAAGAGGATTGTTGGTCCCCACCCAGACCACCGACCAAGAGTTAATGCATTTGAGAAATTCTTTGCCTGATTCAGTCAAGATCCAAAGAGTTGAAGAAAGATTATCTGCTTTAGGTAATGTGATCTGTTGTAATGACTATGTTGCGTTGGTTCATCCCGATGTCGAAAGAGAAACCGAAGAGTTAATCGCCGATGTGTTGGGAGTTGAAGTGTTCCGTCAAACCATCGCTGGAAATGTGTTGGTTGGTTCATACTGTTCATTGTCTAACCAGGGTGGATTGGTCCATCCTCAAACTTCTATTCAAGACTTGGAAGAGTTGAGTTCATTGTTACAAGTGCCATTGGTCGCAGGTACCATCAACAGAGGGTCTGCTGTTGTCGGTGCTGGTATGGTTGTGAATGATTGGTTGGCGGTGTCTGGTTTAGATACCACTGCTCCAGAATTGTCGGTTGTCGAGTCTATCTTCAAGTTACAAGATGCTCAACAAGATGCCATCACGGGCGACTTGAGAGATACGTTGATTGAAACGTACTCCTAGGTTCCCTAGACGGATCTTATTAAATCTTGCATCTTTTATGACTTATGAACTAAAATTTTATATATAGTAATTGGTCTGCATTGGTTTTATGTGCATCATGCTGAATAATTTGTATAGTAGCTCTTTGATACAACCAACTCCTAACTTCTATTGTAGGCTGCAAAAAATCATCTCTGAGGAGTAACTGCATATGACTTCAAACACGAGCATGAGAACGAGTTTTGGCAGCCTCAAAATTTCTCAACCCCAAATTTGTTATTTTAGTCTTTTGGTTGAGATCGTGTTTATAATTGTCAACGGTTTATCTTGTTAAACAAATAAATCATGGACTTCTATGGAATTTCCCGAGACTCCATGAGAGCAGAAGCTTATAAAAAGCTTGCCAAACTCTCGGTGGAAAACATTCCTGCCAACCTTAATGAAGTGGTGAGCGACCAACAAGAAGACACCTTTATTCAATTGGTTGATCAAACTTCCAAAAAAATTGGGGATTTGTCGAAAGTTCCAATCACGGCAAAGGAATTCGATATCTTGACGGCGCTATGTGATTCTACATCTTGTGATATGAAATTTCCAAGACAAGCTGAATTATTATTAGAGCAGATCAAGTTGTATTTGATGGAGTTGCCTGAGCAGCAATTTGAAGAGGCCCTCTTGAGAAAATACGTCAGACCGAGTCCTTGGTCGTTGTTAAGTGAAAAGTTGACAACTGCAGCCATCAATTTGGCGTTCAAATTCAATGGACTGTATTTTGACCAAGTCATTGACCTCTTCTACACATTTAATGCCCAGTTCTTCAGCAACAAAAACTTGGACCATTCCAACTACCTCACGTTATTGGGATTTCTTGAAAGTTTCACCAAAAACCCGAAGATATTGTTCGAGTCTTCCAGTTCATTCAAAATCTTCCATACTTTGGACACTTGTATTGACAACTTTGAGTTTTTGAACGAACTTGAAAACTTTTCCAACTCAATCTTTAGGAACAATAACCATGAATTGGCCTACTTTTTAGAGACCGACGATATCGTCGAGTTTTCGCCGGTCTACTTCATTGAAAGCTTGAGCAAATTGATGTGCTCGATCATTAATTCAATTCTTAATAACCAGGACAAGACATTAATTGAGTTCTTATTGGCCAAAGTCTCCAAACAGGTTGATAATGAAGCATCCGATACGAGAATTGGTGATCAAGGCTTGGACGTCAAAGAGAATCACATGCAGATCATCAAAACTTTGACCGATTTGGCATTGCAAAAAATGGAATTCTTAGATAGAGGTGAATCTTTTATTGTTTACTCTACTTTTAACAGATTGAAAGTCGGGTATTTAGCCAAATCCCATATCTTACAGGTTATTGGGTGTGGAATGTTTACCGACAACATGGACTTGGCTATTTGCAGAAAGTTATTCAAAAACTGCTTGTCGATTTATGATGTCATGTTAGATCCAGATTTAGGGGCAACTGTGATCCAATTGGGTTCTTTGTTGGTATTCAAGGATGAGACAATCGGCTCTTCCTTGACAAGAGCTTTCACTGCTTTGGTCGCAAACCCCAAATTCAGCTTCAGTTACTGTGAGAATGCCTCCAAAATCGTTGGTCTTGCTAGTAAAGTGTTGTCCCAAGACGCAGTGGTCACTACAATTTATGCGTTGACAAACCTCTTATTCGTTAACGACAATGGAAACACCCAAAACAGAGGGACTTTGAGAAGAAACACTCTTAGCAGAGGTGATATTTCTTCTTTAAGAGATTTGTCGATTTCGAATAACGGACGTGCTCCCTCCATTCGTTCTGGATTCGAAAATCCTCAAGTGAGCCAAAACGGACATAACCACAGTAACTTAAGCAATGGCAAGTCAAACTCAGCTCATGATTATGAAGAAAACGAGTATGTCCACGTTTGTTCAAATTCTGTAACTGCCATTACTCACATTGTTGAAAAATGCAATGACGAAAGTGTCAGTACTTTGGCAGTGACCATCTTGTCACAAAAAACTGCCAGGTTAGATTCAACTGTTGGCCCCATCTTATTGAAAGGATTGGTCGCTTCTGCTCCTTGTTTACCAGAACGTGAGTTCATTATTTTGAACAAGTTAATCAACAAGTTGACATTGGATGCATTTAATAGTGGCAATCAAATCTTATTAGGCAATTTGATTGATGCCAGAGTCGAATTTTCTAGCAGAATTCATCAGGATCATCCTCTCTTTACAATTTACTTGCAAGAGGTTTTACAATCCATTGTCGGTAGAGGAGATGTTCAGGTTTTGGAGCATCACAGATCTCATAATGAAATCAGCGAGATTGGTGATCAAATTGCAATTTTCTTGAGACCCTTGGCAGAGTTGTTACCAAACGTGTACGCTGACGAGAAACCACTTGCTATAAGAGATACCAAGACCATTAATTTATTCAGAAATATCTGGTTTAATATGGTTGTCCATGGATATTCTCTTGAATCCAAGAACGTGAAGCAACATGCCCAAGTTCTTGAGAGAATTGCCTACAATACACCACCTTTAGCTTCTGAACTTTCGTGGGACAGAACCGAAACTTCCTTGGATTTGAATACAGTTTTGAGAAGAGGCTCTTCTAACCATAATGTTAAAGACCACCGTACATCTTTGGGAGAGTTATTCGATGTTCCGAGAACTATGTCATATCCAAAGTTGATGTTCTTGTCGGCGACATTATTGGTAGAATCATTTAGAGTGAGAACGGGTGACTGTTCGAAGGTTTTGTATTATTTTTCGGACCCTTCAATCAAAATAAGTGGTGTGGACAAGTACATTGGATATATTGCGTTCAAAATTGTGAAGGACTTTATTCATTTTGTTAACTTGGGAGCCAACAAAAACTTTAGCTCTGACAATATTGCTGAACAGTTGACCATTATGTTGGCTTTATGCTGTCATAGGCTCGAAGACCTACAAGATGCAGCCATCCAATGTTGTGATCTCTTAATCAACAAGATTCCATCATCTTTATGCCATCAAAAGTCGTTGTTTGCAATCTTTGACTTGTTGAGTTTATTGTTTGAGAGTGTCGTTGATGCTGATCAAAACCAATATGAACCAACTATCAGCTACAGAGCTAAGAGAACTGGCATCCACTTATTGTTGTCCGATACTTACAAGTGGAGAAATGATACTTTCCGAAGATTCAGTGAAAAGTGTAGACACTGGCTCAAATTAGTTTTGATCAAGAGTAACATTGATGTCAAGAGCTTGATACAGTTATATGTTTCAGATTTGGACAAGTTTCATCCTTCTAATGAAGTCCAATACGGGGTTTCATTTGCTTTAGAAATGGCTGGTTCAGTGTTGCCTAATGACAGAGAATTATCTAACATTTCTAGAATTCACTCAAAGAACTTGAACTCATTACCCAGCTTTGTTTCCCAGTTGACTTGGAGATCCAACTTCATCTCTGCATTGTTGAACAAAGTTCCTTTGCGTACCAGAGAAGACACTGATCACGCTTTCAGTGGAATTAGAGGAAAGGTTATAGACATGAGATACAAATTAGCGGATAAGTCCATTCATGTTATTCCGGAGGAAGTTATCGACTTGTTGAGTGATATAGCTGGATTAGCATTGATTTGCGATCATGATACGGCTGAATTGATCAGATACTTAGTTGAGATTCCATTCATAATTTTTGAGTCTAACATCATGAATGCTGCCATTGGAATCTGGTTTGCGGTTATGAAGGATAAGTCTAACATTTCGGTGTTATTGATCTCTGAAATTGCCAAAAAATGGGAATCAAGTATAGCCTTGAAGCAAGGTATTTTCTCCACCAAGAACGATTTGACTCCAACCGAGTTCTGCAAAATGGAATATGCCCCTTCAGATTATAAAACAATCAGTAGAAAGGCTCAGGTTACTCTCAAAGGATTTGAACCACACTTGCAAATTATTCAATTGTTTTCGTCAAGCTTTGAGGCTAGTTTGAACCAGAGTGATCATTTATTGAAGATTTTCACCAGGTTTGTTGAAGTTGGTATGAAGAATTTAGATAGTGCTAGTCTCCATCCCTATGCCAGATATACCAGGTTTGAATTGATTAGATTTGCATTCAATATTATCAGCTACCACCACAAGTTAGCTACTAGAAGTGAAAGATACTTAACCGAATTGCTTTTGGACGGATGCTTGAGTTGGTTCAAACTGACTGCTAAGTATCCTTTTGGAACCAACTTGCTCAAGACCAAGAGTGATTTGGGATTGTTGAAAGATGTTGCAAAATTAACATCAAATCTCAACACCTTCAGCCAAGAAATCTTAGAAAGTAAGAAGCTTATTGTCATGTTTTTCCTTGATGATGAAATATCCCGGATATCTGTGTGGTTGAATCCTTTAAATCCAGAGGAAACCAAAGGATCTTTTATTTCAAATCAAATTAATGGTAATGATATTACAAGAGCTTTCAAAATTGACCCAATTTTAGCAGTCAATTTAGCTTTAAGGTACAAGGTTAAGAACTTGGATGAGCTTTTACAGAAGTTGTTGATAGAGGATCCTTTACCAGCACTTCCATACCCAAGTGCTGTACAGTACTTGATTGGTATCAATGCTGGTACAAACTTCCCGTCACACCACTTGTTGTTCTGGGAACCATTATCTCCAATTGATGCAATCCAATTGTTCTTACCTCCTTTCGGTAACAATCCTTATATTTTGCAATACACTATGAGATCCTTGGAACACCATGACGTGAACTTGACCTTCTTCTACGTCCCTCAAATCGTTCAGTCCTTGAGATACGATGCCAAAGGATATGCTGAATGGTTTATTGTGGAAACTGCTAAGGTGTCTCAGTTGTTTGCTCATCAGATCTTTTGGAATATGTTAGCTAACAGCTATAAAGATGATGAAGGTACTATCCCAGACCCATTAAAGCCAACCTTAGATAGAGTCCAAAGCAAGATCATGAAGAACTTGAGTGAAGATGACGTTCAGTTTTACAAGAGAGAGTTTGGATTCTTTAACGAGGTCACTGATATATCTGGTAAATTGAAACCTTTTATCAAGAATTCGAAGGCGGAAAAGAAGGCTAAGATTGACGAAGAGATGGACAGAATTGTTCTTGCTCCGGGAGTATACTTACCAAGTAATCCCGATGGAGTGGTGATCGATATTAACAGAAAGTCTGGTAAACCATTACAGAGTCACGCCAAGGCACCATTTATGGCCACTTTCAAAATTAGAAAAGAAGTGGAAGATATCGATGAATACGGCGAAAAGGTCCTCATTCCAATCGAAAAGTGGCAGAGTGCTATTTTCAAAGTTGGTGATGACTGTAGACAAGATGTATTGGCCTTACAGTTGATTTCTGTGTTCAGAAGTATATGGAATGATGCTGGTTTGGACTTGTATGTGTACCCCAACCGAGTTACTGCCACCGCTCCTGGATGTGGAGTTATCGACGTGTTACCCAATTCCACATCTAGAGACATGTTGGGTAGGGAAGCTGTCAACGGTTTGTACGAATACTTTATTACCAAATTCGGGCCTGAAAATTCCATTGAGTTCCAACAAGCTAGAAATAACTTGATCAGGTCTTTGGCGGCCTATTCGATCATTTCTTACATCTTACAGTTTAAGGACCGTCACAACGGTAACATCATGTATGACGACCAAGGACACGTACTTCACATTGATTTCGGGTTCTGTTTTGATATTGTGCCTGGAGGTGTTAAGTTTGAAGTTGCACCATTCAAGTTGACCCACGAAATGGTGATGGTTTTGGGAGGTAGTGATGAGACACAAGCGTTCAAATGGTTCGAGGAGTTGTGTGTCAAGGGATATTTGGCCTGTAGACCTTATATGGAAACTATCATCAGGTGTGTCAACCCTATGTTGGAAAGTGGATTACCTTGTTTCAAAGAAGCTACAGTTAAAAAGTTGAGACAGAGATTTGTACCAAACAAGTCAGAGAAAGATGCGGTTCACCACATGAGAGGATTGATCAAAAAGGCCATGGAAAGTTACTATACCAAAGGATATGACGAGTTCCAAAGATTGACCAATGGTATTCCTTATTGAGTTATGTAAGTTTTAGATAGTATTTGGAAATATATTTGCAGCTAACCCAAACATCGGTGATTCCCCAAAACACCCCGTTGACTAGCAGGGCAGTGATTCGAATAATTTAAAAATCACATTTCTGTCTGCCACAAGCGTGTCGGGTATCATAATGGTTGTCAGCCAGTGGATTCTAAAAATTACTTAGCCCAGATGTTGCACTGCCGCGATGTTTACAGCCTCCCCAGGAAATAAGCGTGTCCGCGGTATTGACGGTGCGCGCGTTCCCCGTGTTGCTAACAAGTTCCTTGGCGCAAATAACACAAAACTGAAAGATGTTTTTTTGTTACTTTCTCAATCGAAATTAGTTACTTAAAATAATCTTTTTCAGATCACGTCCTTTCCGTTCACCACCTTTTCATTTGTGGTTCATCCTTCAAGAAATCATCCCACAGGTGCTACTTCTTCTCTTTCAAATCCGTCTGTCTGTCTGTCATCACTCAGATCGGTCAGCATATTTGTTCCAGTACCCGATTATCTAACTCGTGTATTGTTTTGAGTCTACCCGTACCTGACCTATTTCCCCTTCAAAAAAAGTTTTACACTTGTAACCAGAAACCCCAAGTGTCATATTCTGCTGATGATGAAACATTTGATGGTGACTTTGATCAGTTTCCTTTGGTTTTTCACCACCATTAGTGCTCAAAGATTCGTCAAAACCAGTTCGTTATTAACATGTATGGATAACTCCCAGTTTACGGCTACCCACTTTGACGTCAAGTTCTTCCCAGATAACAATACGGCCGTGGTGGATGTCACTGCTCTTTCCAATATCGATGCTAATGTTACCGCCAACGTGGAGTTTATTGCCTACGGTTTAACTGCCTTCACCAGTAACATCTCGTTTTGTTCCTTGAATTACGAGACCATCTGTCCCTTCACCACCGGGCATTTGGAAGTCAATACTGACTTCAAGGTTCCCAAGGCTGATACCAGTCAGATCCCAGGTATCGCCTATACCATTCCCGACTTGGATGCCAGAGTCAGAGTGGTCTTGCTCGACTCTGATACCGATGAGACCTTGGCTTGTGTTGAAGCCATTTTGACCAACGGTAAGACCGTACAAACCAAGTACGCTTCTTGGCCCATTGCTGCCATCTCTGGGTTAGGGGTTATTACTGCTGGTGTGATTTCAGTCATTGGCCATTCCAATACTGCTGCTCACATCGCTTCCAACTCGATGTCCTTGTTTATCTACTTCCAGAGTTTGGCTATCACCTCGATGATGGCTGTGGCCAAAGTTCCTCCAATTGCTGCTGCATGGGCTCAGAATTTCCAATGGTCTGTGGGTATCATTAAATTAGGCTTCATTCAGGATATTTCCAACTGGTACATCCAGTCAACTGGTGGTACTCCAACCGATATCTTAGACTCCTCTTATTTGTCTATCTCGGTTCAAAAGGCTAAGAGATCAGCGGTTGAGTTCATCAATGATTTGTATCAAAAGGCTCAATACTCTCAACATGTCACTCTTTTCAAGAGACTTACTTTGTCAATTGCAACCGATGACTTTGGTCAAAGTGATACTTTGGATCCTGATTTGTATTCCGTCAACGAAAAGGACAATGATTTGTCGTCCAAAATTTTAGTGTTGAGAGGTATTCAAAGAGTCGCCTACTTGGCCGGAATTGAAATCACCAATGTTTTTATGACCAGTATCATCTTCTTGTTGTTCTTTGCCTTTGTCATGATTGTTTGTTTGATGTTATTCAAAGCTGTTATCGAAATTTTGATCAGATCCAAAATCATGAATGAAGGTAAGTTTAATGAGTACAGACAACAATGGTCAAGTATTATCAAAGGTGCATTGTATAGATTGATGGTTATTTCTTTCCCTCATGTGTGTGTCATGTGTCTTTGGGAATTAACTACTAGAGATTCGACTGGAACTGTCGTGGTTGCTGTGTTTTTGTTTGTCATTTGCTTTGCTTTGCTCTACCAAGCTGCTGTGAGAGTCATTTTGAGAGGCAGAAGATCTGTCCAACAATTCAAGAATCCTGCCTATTTGTTATACGGTGATGGTCCTTTTTTGAACAAATTCGGATTTGTGTATGTCCAGTACAAGGCTGACTCTTATTACTATGTTCTTGCTTCATTGTCATACGTATTCCTTAAGTGTTTGTTTGTGGCAGTATTGCAGACGAGAGGTGAAGTTCAATCTGTCATTATTTTTGCCATCGAATTGATCTATTTTGTTGGCTTGTGTTACTTCAGACCTTTCATGGATAAGAGAACCAACGCTTTCAATATTGTTATTGCTGTGATAAACACAATCAACGCTTTGTTCTTCATGTTCTTCAGTTACATCTTTGGACAACCTCAAATTGTCGCTTCTGTTATGGGAATTGTGTATTTCATTCTTAATGCAGTGTTTGCCTTATTTTTGTTAATCTTCACAATTGTTACTTGTGTGTTGGCTTTGGTCTACCAAAATCCAGACACTAGATACCAACCAATGAAGGATGATAGAGTTTCATTCATTCCAAGATTCGATAACAAGAGTGCTAAACCTGGTCAACCAATCAACCAAGATGATGAAGATTATGAATTAATGGCTTTAGGCGCAAGTGCAATGAAGGGTCATGAGAATAAGGTCCTGCATTTTGAAGACGATGATTCTGTGTATGACGAAGAGACATCATCTGGGTTTGCCAATCAAAGCAGAAACCATCAGAACGCCTATCAGTCTAATTCAACAACATCATTCAAAGCGGATGACCCAAAGAGAAACAGCTACTACATGGAAAATATGGAACCAACGCAACCAACTTCTACCATTGTGGGTAATCCTGGTACTGCTTTCAACAACTACCAAAGAACTGGTCAGGGAAATAGCAATATTGCTTACCAAAACAACAATAATAGTTCGAGTTCGGTAAGTTTCAAAAATCCATACCAACAAAAATCAACCGCGTATGGGGGCTCTTCATCTAACCAAAGGGTGAATTTCAGGTGAAACAACACCGAGATGGGCTATGATGAACGATTCAACTACTAAAAGGTGAACTATATAAAAGTAAGCATTGCAAATATATTCGTGCAAATTCATATTCTCTAATATACCTCTAGTAATTGGATAAACAAAATCTTGGCTTTCCAAAGATGCTATAATGGAAGACTTTGTACCAAGTGATCTTTTCACAATCTTCGTCTGTGCTGAAAATCGTGAACCGCTTCGAAAGAGTATGCTCGTTGTCGTCAGTATCTTCAAATAGAACTTGGCTAAATTTCTTATGCCTTGGGGACGACAATGAATATTCTTCTACCCTCACCAATGACAATGGTAACACTATTCCTTCCTCTTGTTGGTATTCAAAAAGGTTATCCTCCTCTTCTTCGACGGTTCTCTTCCCCATTAAATTGTCTCCATCAACATCGTAATCACTCTCCTTTGTATCATAATCCTCATTGAAGAGCTCTTTGAAATCAAGCAGTCCCTTGATCATTCTCACCTTGTCTGCTACTTGATGAACTAAGGAATCCTTTTTATCTGCAATATTGTCCGTCTTTTCATCAATTTTATCGAAGAATTTATAACTCTTCTGGTCTAATCTTTCATCAACTCTTTCAATTAGCTGCTTGGGTTCCGTTGCAAATTCGTATGAGACATCGTTAAACTTTTCGGCATAGTTGCTTAGTCTATTATGAACCTGTCGGACGACCTGAGCTTCAGCGAGGGGCTCGTCAGCTCGTTTCATAAGTTGAGGTTCTTGTTCCTCAAAATTCAATAGTTGTGATACTTCATAAAAGGCTGGGAAAAGAAGCAACGCATTTTTGTCACGAATTTTCAAACAGTAGCTATCAGTCAAGTTGTTGGAGTTGGTGGTGCAAAAAACAGATGAAATTAAACTGTCATAGTTGATATTGTTGATCCAATTTTCAGCAAATGTATCAAAGAAGTTTGAAATAATATTCTTTTCAGTTCCAAGATAGTTTTTCACAGTCATGATTGGGTTTCTCTGTTCCTCAAACTTATCAATTGTAGAATCAGAAAACATGAAAACCATAAACGGGACATTTTCACTCATAACTGCTCTGAAAATGGGCAAATATGAGCTGGAAGATATTAAAATTCCTCTTGAAAACATTGAAGATAACTTAGCAAGTGTTTCAAAAGCTTCACCACTGGTTTTAAGTTTTTCATTCAAGTATGACCTAGGTAAAACCAAATAGTGGTTGATCAAGTTCATATAAGGTGGCAAGTTGAAAGGCAAGCTCTCATCAATAAATTTGGCTAAGTTGTCGTGTTTTGAAGTGGGAATGGATAAAGGGGTCGAAGTGTTGTATAGAAACAAAGTCTTGAAGTCTTTGGGAATCATCAAGTCTTTGTCAAATAACTTGAATTTGTATCCATCTTCGTTCAAAAATTCCAACCCAAGTTTTTCATAAATATCAGACGATACTAGATCGGGAGGAAGAATAATAAAGTCTTCACTGTTCTTGGATACTTCCACTGTTGTATTGGAGAATGAAAACCGCATGGGTGATGTCAACGACTTCAACTCGTTTTCCAAATTCACTTTTATATCTTTCAATCCCTTGAGGCTAATCTTGCCAGCAAACTCGCTGATCACGCTACGGTCAATGACCAATCCTTTGCAGACTCCCATAATCAACGAGATACTCAACAAGGCTGAAAATCTCATAAACAGATTGAAATGCATTTGTGGTAGTAGTTCTTTTGTTACAAAAGCAAAACTTTTTTCGCAACCAACATGGTTTCGTTTTTTGCAGCATTATTCGTAAGTACTCTATATAGTATACACTATTATTTTGGTTTTGCCTCTAACATCAAAGTCGTTAGTCATTTCAAACATTTCCCCCATTTCATTCAAGTAATATTCTCTTAGAGGTTGTCCGCTAGTGGGATCTATCAAATCATTGTCCTTCTCATTATACCCACTTGATACAGAAGCATTATATTCAGCCTGTAAACCCTTGTCAGCAAAGTCAAAGTTCAAATCAGTCAAGAGATTCATTCTTGAGATGTATAAGATAGTCAAGAACAGAACCAAGTCACATAACCATAGAAACATCGATATGATTATAAATGCACTATTAGCTTTCCTCACGCTACAAATTGAAGATGTAGCACAGCTATCACTGGGAAGGATGGTGCTGATAGTGATGACAAATGATACAAAGGACAAGATTAACGACACCGTGACATAGAAGCTTCCGTTTCTCTTCTCGAAGTTAATTAATGTGGAGATGAAAAGAAGTGACACAATCAAAGCTATGGATGAATCAGCAATAAAGAACCTGTAGATTCCAACCGATATATTATCATCAGTATTGAGGAGAACTGAAGATAGAGTGACGATAATTATGGAAACAATCATTTCAAAGAAGTATAAGACAAAATTAAGGGTTATGGTGATATCCTTTTCTTCGTAAAAGTCATCATTTTTCAATAATTTACGGGCTGGGATCTTGAACAATGGCCTGTGCATTACCAGCTTGACTAAATGATCCTCCATCAACTTTTGTTTGGATGTCATACTGTTTGCATCGATAGATTTGATAAGGGAACTTCCATTATGATTGTGCTGGTAGTACTGAGTTGGGTCCATGATGGGAGGGAGGTCCTTGTCTTTATAGTTATGAGCATTAGAGAAGCCATTATTTGTGAATTGGGGTGTGGCAGCCGAAGGCATTGATGTTTGGTTGGTGAAGGGAGTCTTCAGATTATTGTATTCATTGGAGGCAGTGGGAATTGTCAACGGGGGAGCGTTTCCCAGATGGCCTCCTTTGATAGAACTGGGATAAGGAGCAAAGTCAGGATTTCGGGAAGGTTCAGCAGCAAACGAAGCATTTGATTCTTTCTCATAATACTGGTAAATGTCTGAATAGTCGATATTATTGTCTCTTACCTTAGGCAAGGCATTGTTTGCTTCAGCAATTTCGAGTAACGTTCTTCGACTTCGAGGTCCTGGATCGGGAGGAGCAATATCACTGTCAAAAAATGAAGATGGGAGATCGGTGGTGTTCTTGGGCTTAAACTCATGATCCAAATCTATAACCGAAGGTTTTTCGTCTAGTGAAGTGGGTGTAGTATTTCTAGATCGGTTTCTAGGAGTGGGACTTTCGAACTCGAACCTTGAAAGATCACTCACAATCCGTACATCTTTTTTCCCATGCAGCTGAAAAGACATTCTGTGGTTGGAGCTAGATGTCTGAACAATTTTGAAGATGGTTGTGATTGCGGCTGGTAGCCTTCTGCAGAATTAGTTCTTGCAATGTCCCGATTTGGGTAAACATAAACATGAGTATTACTGCGAAAAGCGGTGGTAGCGATTAACACGTTTCAGTGCCATAAGAAGCCCTCAACGGTGCTGCTAGGTGCAAGGATAGGTAGAAGACTACCCCCAGCAAACCTTGTACATTTATATATTCTCCAACACAAAGATATAGTCTGTAACGCCAATTACAACTTCCATACTCTACCCTACAGGCACATGAGCCAAAACTTGTTAAAGAACGCCTGGCTAGCTCAATCGGCTAGAGCGTGTGACTTTTAATCACAAGGTTGCGGGTTCGAGTCCCGCGTCGGGCTTATTTTTTAGTTTTCCAGTCAACAGAAACGGACCCGAACCCGTCTACCCCAACATTTTATATACTTTAAACCTTCACCAGAGTGCCCTTTACGCATAGGATATGTCCACCAGTGCTCACCCAAAAAGAGGTGGGCAACGGCCATAAAAACCGAATCTCCCCGGGACTATGACCACCGGTAATATATCAGATCCTGGAAGCATCGGAGTTGAGAAGGCTATATGACTTTCAAATCAAATAACCCGGTGTTATTAGGAATCGGCAGGGGCCAGCCAATGGCAGTGCGCACATTGACAGACTTCCAGAGACAATGTCGCAGAAATTAAAAATCTCCGAGACTTGAATGGATAAACTTCCATCATCCGGGAGACATTCTCAGCAATGGAGTTTTAATTTTAAAGTCAAGTTTTTTCCCATTGATTCTTCAACTGAATCTTTATCAACATGTTATCAAGAAACTTAAAGTGTCAAGCCCGTCGTTTACCCTTGATCGGTAGATCCGTCATAAAGTCGGAAGTTGCCCTCGTCAGATCCTTCCACGTTCTCAACGTGAAACCCGTGGCTTCTTCCGCTGGTTTCAAACACCAACCAATTAACACCATAACCAATTTCAAGAGATTGGCCTCCACCTCCATCAAGGTTCCTGAAATGGCCGAGTCTATCACCGAAGGTACCTTATCATCATTCAACAAGCAGGTTGGTGATTATGTCAACCAAGATGAATTGGTGGCTACTATCGAAACCGATAAAATCGATGTCGAAGTCAATGCACCTGTCAGCGGTACCATCACCGAATTGTTGGTTTCCGAAGAGGACACTGTTGAAGTTGGTCAGGTGATTGTGACGATTGAAGAAGGTGCTGCTCCAGAAGGTGCTGCTCCATCTGCTCCTAAAGAAGACGCTCCTAAAGACGAAGCCCCAAAGGAAGCTGCTCCAAAGGAAGATGCTCCAAAGAAGGCTGAACCAGCCAAGTCTGCCCCTCCTCCACAGCCTAAAAAGGAAGCTCCAAAGAAGACGGAAACCAAAGAATCATCATCTGCCACCTTTACCAACTTCTCCAGAGATGAAGAAAGAGTGAAGATGAACAGAATGAGATTGAGAATCGCCGAAAGATTGAAGGAATCCCAAAACACCGCTGCTTCTTTGACCACGTTTAACGAAGTCGACATGTCTGCTTTGATGGAAATGAGAAAATTATACAAGGACGAATTCTTGGACAAGACTGGTATCAAGTTTGGTTTCATGGGTGCTTTCGCTAAGGCTTCCACCTTGGCCATGAAGGACATTCCAACCGTCAATGCTGCCATTGAAAACAATGACACTTTGGTTTTCAGAGACTACACTGATATTTCCATTGCCGTGGCTACTCCAAAGGGTTTAGTTACTCCAGTTCTTAGAAACGCCGAATCTCTTTCTATCTTGGGAATCGAACAAGAGATTTCCAGCTTGGGTAAGAAGGCTAGAGATGGAAAGTTGACCATTGAAGACATGACCGGTGGTACCTTCACTATCTCCAACGGAGGTGTCTTTGGTTCCTTATATGGTACTCCAATCATTAACATGCCTCAAACCGCTGTTTTGGGGTTGCATGGTGTCAAGGAAAGACCAGTTACTGTGAAGGGTCAAGTTGTCTCTAGACCAATGATGTACTTGGCTTTGACCTATGACCATAGAGTGTTAGACGGGCGTGAAGCTGTCACCTTCTTGAAAACCGTTAAGGAATTGATCGAGGACCCAAGAAAGATGTTGTTGATGCAATAGGTCCCATAGTTGATGTTTTTGCGTTTATATTTATTAATTAAATAGTTTGGCTATCCTTACCTTTTGCATTATAAATAAGATATTTATTAGTGTCGTTTAACACACTTGCAGAAACGCCACAAAATTTGTACAATACACGCATGAACCCTCCCACAATAGCAGTCATAGCAACATCAATTGAAATTTCTTCAACTACATGCATTGGCTCCTATCATGTCATTGACCTAGACATTGCATTTTCACCAATATTATCTGAACAATTGACCAAAATCAGTACTAATGCGAAAGAGTTGCAAATATTTATATATTGCCAAATGTAGTAATTGCACCTCTTAAATTCAAAAATTGTCGCATCTACTATAAACTATGGATTGATCCAGGTGATCAGAAAAAAACGTACAAAGCTTACTCCTAGGAACCCATTCATTTCTTCCTTTGCTAACAGCTTCCCTATCCCGTTCCAGCTAAGTTTTTGTTTCCCCTTGCGAGTGCTTCTTTAGTATCTTTACCCCATCTGAATCCATTTCGTATAGCTGCAAATATTTAAAAAAAAGTTTCAACTTCAAGGTTCAATTCTTCTCCATTTCCCAACAACCACAACCTGTTTAACCTCGTTATAATGGAACAATTTTCCAATTGGGTGGATATTCCTAACTCACTGGAATTGATCAAGAATCAAGATTTAGACCAATATTTGGAGGGAATCAACCCTGATATCGACGACTTACTCAACCAAACCTTATTGGGTATACAAGATTTGGACGTCCCAACTGGGTTTCCAAACGACTTACCACAACACTCATCTCCTAAACGTATCGAAAGCAACCACCATCATTCGGCTGGGAACTCTTTCCACTTTCATCAAGCTAGACATAGTAGGAAAATTAGTGGGACTGCAATTTTCGGATTTGAGAATCATACTCGGGAATTGTCTATTGAGCTCAAGAATGACGACAAGTCCATTTCACCTGTGCAGTTGGTGAGGATGGCTTCAACCTCGGCCATGTCCCTGCCTTTGAGAAAATCTATCTCCGCTAAACCTGTTAACGTTTTAATCGAGGAAGAAGATCCCAAGCCATCGTCCAAGAAGAGCAGCGATGATTACTTGGTGCCCAACAATAATCCCAATTCTTATAAGTTTCCTCCGTCTCCTGATACGTCTGATAATGATAGAAGATCCATGAATCCTGGTAATATGTACTCTGCAAAGTACTTACAGGAGTTGAGTAGATTGAACCATAGCCAACCAGAACAAGTATATGTTGATGATATCGAACCGCTTTTGGAAGAAGATGATAAAGCCCACATGAAATACGTTCCTATTCCAGTCCAAGATCCTTCTCCACGCAAAAAACAAGCATTCAATGCCAACGCCAACACTTACTTACCTCCACCATCTCCACCAAGGTTAACCAATGACTCCCCCGATCAGTCATCTCCTTCACCACGTCCTTTCACTAGAGAATCCTCACCAGTGAATTTGAACGGGAACTTGAACTCGTCTCCGGCTGTGAGCTATTTCTATAATCCCCAGTTCTTTTCGGATGACAATTATTTCAATGATGGGTATTCTTCTCCAATAAACCTGCAATCCCTTAGTTCTTCACCGTTGAAAGCCGACTATTATTCAAGCCCTTTGAGGAATGTTCCTGTGAACACCAGCGAGAACATTGATGTTAATGAAACAATCACTCAGTTGACTCCATTGAAACCAAGTCAAACACCAATGACTCCATCAAGAAACAAAATCATGTTGGAATGGAGCCCAATAGTATCACCAAGTGTGAAAAATAACCGGGATGTCAGGAATGCAATCAAACAGAGTTCTCCAAAGAGGAGAATCAAGAAAACCTCCTTATTACCTCCTGGTGAGCTTGATAGGTACTTTGATGGACCTGATTCAAATAAGACATTCACTTGTACTTATAAAAATTGCGGCAAAAGATTTACGAGGAGGTATAACGTGAGGTCTCACATTCAAACACATTTGAGTGACAGACCATTTCCATGTATGTATTGTCCAAAGAAGTTTGTTAGACAGCACGATTTGAATCGTCATGTTAAAGGTCATTTGGAGGCAAGGCATTGTAGATGTCCTTGTGGGAAAGAATTCACTCGAATTGATGCCATGAAGAAACACAGATTGAGAAACATATGCAGTGGGAGAATTCCTCCCGACCAAGCGGATTCATTAAGGTCACCTGAAAGACAAGATGACTCTCCATTGGATGATTACAGTTCTCCTGCAAGGATCGTCGAATCTAATGAAAACGAAATAACGAACAACTTATTACAAAATCTTAATGATATCCCAGCCCTTTAGCATCTAGCCAGCTAATTTTCTGCATTACCCACTGCCTTTTAATTCTTATGGAGCTTGTGCATTACTCTGAATATTATAATAGTTGCAATTTAAATAAAGGTTCAAAAGTCTCGCTTGCATGGTTGCAAATTTTGTTGATTTATAAATTCCGTATTTTCATATTTAAAAAATGTAAGATTTCCAAGCAGTTGAAAATAATGGGTTCAAATACCCAAAGAAGTAAAGATTTATATAATGCAAATCAGGTTTCGTACATGATACCTTATGTAGCTTCACCTAAAGTGGCAGCAGCAGCCGCTGCTGCAGCGGCGGCTTCGGCTGCTGCTTCCTCTTCCTTGTGTGTCTTCAAATGTTGGTTCAAGTTGTCAGTTCTACTGAACTTCTTGTTACAAATATCACAAGAATATGGCTTCTCAAATGTGTGTAAGGATCTGAAGTGCCGCTTCAAGTGCTCTTGTCTTTTGAATCGTCTAGAACAATAGGTACACAAGTAAATCTTGGTCAGATCACTCAAATCTGCCTCCTTATTCTCCTTACGACCTCTTGTTCTAGTTTTGGAATTCACCACACTAATAGGGAAAGCCTGGGCATCTTGAGGTAAGTTAAGTGTTTTCATATCCACCTCAACTTCAACCCCATCAGCCATGACCTTAGTTTTGATGTTTTTTAGCTCCGACTCTTTTTTGGATGGTTTACGCTTCATTAACTTAGAACCCAAGATTCGCTTAGAGGCATTCGACAACACGTTTGTGCTGTTCCCACCATTTTCATTACGATCATAATCATCGTCGTCGTGCATCAGGTCCTCGTACTGGCTAGGATGACGAGAATGGGCAGTGGTCGATGAAGAGACAGTGGATGATGCTTCAAACAGAACCTTGCTATTTGGAAAGGAATCAACGTCGTTATCAAAAGTATCAAATTCTTGTTTCTCATGCTTGACCTTGGTGTTCATAAAAGAAGTATCGTTATCCTCATCAAAAGTATCCGTTCCCAGCTTTTCTGTTTTCACTCTAGTTTTATTTTTAAAGGTAGAATTCTTACCAATCATTTTACGTTTACCGACGTTCTCAAACAATGCTGCATAATCAGGAAAGTGAGATGAGCCGTTTGAGTTTGTGATTTCCAAGTTTGGCTGAAGATTATTTCCAGTTCTAACAGTATTAGCAGATGAAGGAGTTCTTGACATATTACCATGAAAATCAAAGCTTTGCGGATCATCGAGCTCTTGATTAGACGAGTTGTTTCCGCTATGCTTACTTGAATCATCGTTGTTGAAATCCAACTCATCAGTTGATTCTTGCTTAACAGGACCTTTGAATCTTGTGAAAATGCTTCTCTTGGGTTTTTTCACTTTTTTGGAGCTGATGTTATTTGGTAATGGGTTTAAGCCGTACAATTCCAGCTCCTCTCCCGTAGGGCTCAAGACCAAGAATTCAGCGTTAAGATCACGATCAAATTCGGAAGCGGTAATCTCTTCAGTAATCCCCTCAATATCTGGAGACTCATTGTCGTTCACTTCAGGATTTTCCATGGACTCTTGAGCGTTCTGAGGATTTAATTTGAAGATGCTTCTAATTAGATGCTTGGATTGTTGGCGTTGGGCTGCGGGCTGGTTCATGAAAGGGGTTGAGCCTGATCCATTGGAAATTGGTGATGGGGGGCCAGAAATGGGTGAAGTTCTTTGATTATTGTTGTTATTATTACTGTTATTCTTATCACCCATGAACGGAATGTAGTTGGAGATGGAATTAGTAAAACTCAAGTACCTGTTGTTATTTGCTCTTGGTTGTCGTTGTACAGAGGTTGAAGGCTCAATCGAATTGCGATTTTTGGAAATATAATCCACCGAATTTCTATGGGATAACGGTACTTCAAGAGAGTGTCTCGGTAAGTACTGATGAGCAGAGAAAAATGATGGCTGGGTCGAATGAAGTGAATTCACTGAATGTGTTAATGAGGTGGTTGTGGTCAAAGGTGAAAGGTCGTTGGCATAAGGATTCACCGGTGGATACGGTCCCACACTAAGGTTGGTTTGAGTCATGCTTATAGAACGGCGATTAAATTGGCTGTGGTTATCGACTGATTCGTTATCATTGACAATGGATGAGTAAACAGAAGCGTCATCATAGTATTGGTTTTCGGAGGGGAGGTAGTTTGGATTTATGACGGAATTTGGAGTATCGAAATGGGGGTTCTGAGTGGGTACAGGGGTATTGACATTTGAACCCACCACATTAGAGTTGGGGGACACATTGTTGTTGGGCAGATGTCCTTGATTCAGCAGCAGAAGCAGATTCTTGTATTGGCGGATAAAGAATTGGTTATGAGGAAATAATGTTTCTCTGGTAGAAGCTTCCTTACCGCCCGACTGATTATTAGTAGTATTGTGATTGCTGTTATTATTGTTATTGCTGGCCGAGTCGAAGAATAGATCCAGGTCAATGGTGAAAGGTGGCGAGTTATCGATTTCCATATAGTTGTTCTCTTTGAAAGCTCCCGGAATGGAAAACGAAATATTACTATGGTCACCCGATGTTTGGCTGAGGTCGCCAGCTTTATCATGAGTGTTTGTATGATCACTTTCTGAGGCAGCCTGGATCAACGATTCGGCGTGTAAGTTGTCGAATCCATTGTCCAGCATGGGTTCTGATGGATCCGGGTCACCCATGAAGTATTGTTCAGTGGTCTTATTATCCATGATAAACCCATTGGAACCCCCATCACGTTCTAGCAGATCATTGACAAAAATGGGCGATTCAGGATCGAAATCCTGACTCATATAGACGTCCTCTTCATAAGTCTCATCGATGTTCATTATGAATGGTTATCCCAATTGTGGTTTATGTTTCCATTAATTTATCAAATCCGAATATTTTTTCCTTGAGGTTTGTGAGGAAAAACATTATCAGTGAGCGATTGAGGCTGAATGCAAAATTACAGAATATCTCGTAGTGTACGATATACATATTTTTAAAAATACTTATTGATACATGCTTACAATCACAAGTCTTCATTAATAGAGTCATTAGAGGGGGTCCGGTACCGGATACTATCCAGACGTGACGAAGAGACGTCAGGGTTGACCACTTTTAACGTGGATCTTCTTTTGGAGCTCACGAGAACCTGCACATCAACATCGAAATCATCGATTGACTTCTCTTCAGAAGCAAACTCGTAGTCGTCGAACACATTAGGTTCTTCAACAGGTTTCACTTTGGCGCTGTCGATACTAGAGCGGGTTTTTATGGGACTTCTTACCGGACTTAAGTTTCTGGTCCTCGTTTTAGTTGGAGTGATGATGTCGATTCGGGCTTCATCATCATTGAGAAGATTCGCTCTTCTTTCTGGAGAAGGAAGGCTGTTGAAACTGATGGACTTCTTGAGCCGAACAACTCGTTTGTTAAGTTTGCTGAGGGTCTTAAGTGGTTGTGGCGTCAGCACAAATGAGTTTTCATCTTCATCTTCGTCGTCTCTTTCCTTAATATTGAAATAGTCCACTATACTGTTTTCTCTAGTAAGGGTTTCTTGGCTCTGCATATGTTGGTTTCTGTCGAACTCCTGTCTCTTTCTGACCCATGAGTCTATTGAATCTACATCCAATGTGGAATGAGAATCATTGAATAAGGCATTGTGTGTTCCTTCAACCTTGTAGTTATTCTCGAAATGGTAGTTTAAGTCCTTTAATTCTCGTTCAAGTTTTTGGGCCTTCCGCTTCTTCATGAAAAAGTAGCCACCGGCCACAATGCATATCAATGCCCCAATTGGAATGACGGTTCCAAGAATGGCTTTTTGTTGTATTGAAGCACTTTCCTCTTTGCTCGACTTAGCCGGATCACTTGGAACATTGATTTTCAGGGCTTTTTCAAAATTCAAGTCGAAGTAGTTAACTTCATATTGGCCGTCTCTTTTGGAGCTACTTTTGGAAATGGTGATGATGTTCTCAAACACAGTGACTATACCTATATAGTCATCAGCATTGAAAACAGAATTGTCTATGGTGGGTACACTGTAAGTCCAATCGTTCTCACTCACGTCCAAATAGGCGATTTCGGGACTACTGGACTTACCATTTTGTTCACCTCCAATCACCAACACTTTGCTGACATGGTAGTAATTTACCACAGTACTTAGCGAGTTGTTGTCTAGTTTATTGAAAATGGGTAAAACAAGAGGTTGTTGTCTGGAGTTGATACTGTTCCCACCTTTTGCAACCGTTTTGAAGGACCACCCACTTTCGAAATTCCAGGTGGCCAACTGGAACATGTTTAGCCAGCCTTGGCTGCTTTTGCCTGCTATCAACAACTGAGTGGATGAGTCTGGTGCTATCAAGTTGGAAGCTCCGTAAAAAGATTCTGGTTTGGTGGTGGTTGAAATGTTGGATAATACAAACGTATTGAAGTCCAAAGAGAGTAGTCTATCAGAAACTTCATCGTCAGCATTAATTCCACCGTAGATATATATCTGGTCTGAATCAAAGGATGTTAGATAGCTGGAGGAGTTGTAGAACTGATTATCGGTGATTTGGGTAGAATTGAGCTTGATTGTGTCCCACTCGTCCTCATCTCCATTATACTTTGAGAGACTCAAATCACCTTCGTTGTCTCCTGTCATTCCAAACAACTCATCTTTCACAAGAAACAACGATGAACCGGAGGGAGGACTCGCTAATAACCTAAGCGATTGAGAAGTATCAGTATCCGAATCACCTGAAATCGAGAAGTTGATTGCAACCAAATCCTCATTGTCCAAACTCAAATAGATTAGGTTCTTGGTGATGGCATATAATGCTTGAGAGTTTATTGCTAGGGTTGCTTGTACCACTAGCAACACCGTCAAGACCTGTGCTAACATTTTGTATTGGAAGTACAAAATTTTGGTCTTCCATAAATCAATATATGGGGACATGATGTTTATTTGTGTTCCCAATGGGGAAATTATTTGGGTCGCTTTAGAATTTGCAACTTTCACAAATCTGAGACTCGAAAGCTTCAATTGAAAAGAGACTGAGAGGGATGAAAAATAGGTCTCTATGCGGTTTGATATTAAATTATACAAGAATTATTTACTTCTTTCTGAATGAACATCCTTCAGTTAATTTAGCCTTACCACCGGTTGGGGTACACAAAACAGTGGCACATCCGTCACAAGTGACAGCGGTTTGAGCATGGGAGAACACAGTGGTGATGTTGATACATCCGTGACACTTGACGTCCATGAAATAAGATCTTGGAGCTTGCACCAAGGCCTTCTTCTTGTGCTTTTGAGCTTCGGAAGCTGGAGAAGGGTTTAACAAATCTTGAACTAAAACCTAAAAAATCAGTTAGTAACATGTACGGATAAAAAACTCTGGCAGTGTTAGTTCCCTGAAGGTAAGGGATGCGTTGTGATTCTTAAAATGGATTTCTGGTGAGTGAAGGATCTTCAGTAAAGGATACGAATTCTAAATATCATCAAATATGATTTTCGGCAGACTCCTCTTATAATAGTCATCGGGGCTATTCTCTATTTGTATTTGGAACGGCAATGAATAAATGTATGAAATAGTAAATCGAATTGGTCTTATTAAAGGGTCACTAGACTTTAGGGATGGACATGGGGTGAACTTAGGCTTGAGGTTAGGAATGGGAGGCCCGGAAGAACATAATACACAAATCATGGGATACAGGTCATATAGACCAACACAGCTGGTTCCAGTATGGGGTTTTGATCAAACATACCATCTTGAATTACTTTAGTATGTGGAAAATGTTTCTGAAAACTAAAATTCTTCTGAGACTGTAGATGCTCGCTAGAAAAGTTTTTGTGCGAGTGCGAGAACAGTAGGATTGGGATCACGTGCACTTTGTGACTGCTTTTTTTGCATTCTACGCGTCTCCTGATTCAGAGTATGTTGGGGTCTACTGAAGGGATAACATCAAGACTTATAATAATATATAAAGCATAAAACTAGACATGCTATTGCAGTAATTCGCTTACTACATTCGTTAGATAATCTCAAATCAACAAATATTCATTATTAATTGTTACAGAAATTGAACTGAAGATAAAGGTAGGCCACAAAGAGTGAGTTTCGTAATAAAGAAAACCTAGCCAAAAACAAAACTCAAGTACACTAAAAAAGAAAATTGGGGCTAACTTGTTGAGGTACTTTGCTGGGAGTTCTTTAGTGGGATTTGAATATCAAGGTTCATTTCTGTTAAGATTGGATCAGCTTTCTTAGTTTAACTCTTTCACTTTGAACCTCTTTTTTGCTTTCTTTGAGGATTGTTACCCATCAATGGATGTGGAGGGTACTTGGATTGCTTATCAGCAGGCTTCAATATCTGGAAAGAACATAATAAACTTTCATCCACACTCATCATTGCACCGGCATTATCAAATTCTCCACAATAATTAGGAGCTGAGAATAATGTAACCAATTGGCGTTTGGAGAAAAATTCATACCCATCTTCAACGACTTGATGAGCTCTACAAATCAAGTCCATATCATGCTTCTGCAAAAATCTTGATACAACATCAGGACCAAAAGTAAAGGAAACCCCTCTATCATTTTCGGACCATCCAGTGATATCTTTATCAGGATCCGACCATAATAAATCACATAATAATCCAACATCAGGAATATCAGTTGGTCTCATCACTCTTCTGATTTGTTCCATGGTGTTTAAGTCTGGACTTAAACCTCCATGCATGGTAAAAATCTTCTCATCAATTATAGCGGCAATTGGTAAACAATTGAAACAATCGGTAAAGGTCTTCCATAATTTGATATTATAACGTCTCTTACACTCATCATAGAAACCATAGATTCTGTTAATGGAAGCACACTCATGATTACCTCTTAATATGAAGAAATTCTCTGGGTATTTGATCTTATAGGCCAACAAAAGACAGATGGTTTCCAAACTTTGTTTACCTCTGTCAACATAATCACCCAAAAACAAGTAGTTAGCTTCAGGAGGGAAACCACCGTATTCGAATAATCTTAACAAGTCATAGTATTGACCATGGATATCACCACAAATTTTAATGGGAGCTTCCAACTCTAACAATATAGGTTGCTGGATGAATATTTCTCTTGCTTTGGTACACAAGTATCTGATTTCATGCTCCAACAAAGTCACTTGCTTACCGGGTCTGGAGCCTCTGACCTCCAATAATCTATCAACAATGGAGTCGATATCTGCTTCTTGGTGATCGGCCATGTTTAAGTCGTCAGAATAGTTTTTAAAATTGACTAAACGACGTGTTTATAGGAAGGGGTGTCGGGGTTACGGGTACGGGGTTAAAAAGCGGATCTTCTAAACGGCTACCTTGGGATATTAAATCAATGAGTTTTGTTTTGATTGACAGGAAATATCACTACTATTAAAACAAAAGGATCCACCTTGAACTTATAAGTTAGATGTTTGTAATCGAAGGGGCTAAAAAAATGACACTTTTTTTCTCCCTGAAAAATTTCTCACTCACTGTTTTTTTTCTGGCCAAACGATTTCAGATAATCGGCACCTCGCTTCCAAGTTTGGTTGGTGACTGGATGTTTTTCGTGTCTCCTATTTTGGGTGCGAATTCTAGGCGAGGAGTCCCACACTTGATTGATTTAAACGCGTTGGAAGGATATGGAGGAGGCCTATAGTGTACAACGACCCTTGATGGCTACCCGGTGGCATACATTCAAAACTGAACTACCCGGGGTCTTACGGAGGCCTCTTCGTCACAAGGCAGCAGTCGACCAAGTCATCTGAATTTACACTTCCCTCTTCTGACAAATCTCGGGTCTTCGGTGTCCTGATTTTTTGCGCACCTTGTTCTTAACTTCGTCTCCACAAAATGTCGGTGCCGTTCACAAATGAGTACAAGTTAAGGCAAGTGGCTGATTCTCAGCTGAAGTCTTGTGTGATCTGCTACAAGTCCTCGTCGAGCGTGCTCGTAACTACCAACTCGGTGGATTTTTTCTATGTGTGCCCACTGCACTTGGCTGATGAGCATTTTGCTGTGCACAGTGTTAATGATGCCTACAATGCCCTAGTCAAGGAGAAAGATGAGTTGGTGGAGCTCGTCACCCAATTGAAAGTCAAGATTGAAAAGAACAAGCCGTCGGTATTCGCTAAACTTCCTGGTTTCTCCAGTTCCAATGAGGGAGATAAGGATAAAGATAAGGATAAGACCAACACCTACGAAACTCTAACCAAGGAAAAGGAGATTCATGAGAAAAAGTTACAACAGCTTGACACGGATATCGCCAACTTCAAGTTCAAGGATTATGTCTTGAACAACGACATTTTCAGAATGAGATTGAAGAATTATATTAACAAGAAGATAAACGAGAAGAGATTGAAGGATATGCACAACCCCGGATTTTTCCCAGCAGCCCCCACCTCCAAACTAGGAGATGACGTATAGAAAGGCTTGTAGAGCCACCAGCTGTATCTAGATGTGTATAAATGAATAACGAACCTTTTATGGGTTGACCACTCTCTCATCCAACCAATTTGTCCAGTCGGAATATTTGTCTTTTAACACACTGCCAGTCTTGAACTCGATGTTACCATTGGTTCTTTCGAAAGAAAACGGCATGTAGTCGAGCCAGAAAGTCAAGTCGTCTTCGTTGTTTTTCAATTCGCTCTCTATGACTTTGTTCATCTCGGCCTCCAACGAGCTTTTGATTTTGGAGATGGGCAACGAGTTGAACAAGTCAGTTTTGTTCACGGCCATCAAATAATCAACTCCATTGGGGACACTTTCGGTGATGGTCAACATCCTGAACAACTTCACACATATAAGGTTGATTTGCTTGTTAAAACTGGAAATTTCTGAATCAACCACGAATATTACACCTTTCAAGTTGATCTCTGACACCAACGATCTGAACACATTTTCATATTTCAAGTATCCAGGATAATCGATGAGCTGGAAAGGCTTACCAATAGACGCTTGGCTCAACGGGAGATGAATAGTTCCATAGTTTGCTTCTAGTGAAGATACTGTGCTGGTTATTGGTTTTTGGGTCAATTTATTGAACAATAAAGTCTTCCCACTGTTGTTGCATCCGATGATCAAGAAGGTATTTTTTTTGGTGCTTTTGAGTTCAAAGTTCTGTATGTAGTAGACCACTATGATCAGGAATAACCCTAGGATTATACTGAGAAGGGTGATCTGTATTTTATCCATGGCCGGTGTATTCAAAGGAACAAAAAATCAGCTTTTCGTTGCGAAAAAAAATCGAGTAGGATAAATCAACTATACAAGGTTAACTAAATGTATACTGATTAATGTTTCTTGAGCATATCTATGGTGCTGGTTCTACTATTTTGAATCAACACCTGATCCATTATCACCAAAGCAGCCATGGCTTCCACAATTGGAACGGCTCTTGGGGTCACACTTGGATCATGTCTTCCCTTTGCAGCTAAGACTCCGTCTTTACCATCATAAGTAGAAGTGGGTTGTTCTTGACTGATGGTGGCAGCTGACTTGAAAGCAACAGAGAAGTAGATATTTTCTCCATTGGAGATCCCCCCTTGGATACCTCCACTGTTATTAGTCGTAGTTCTTAATCTCTTGAGATTCTCATCGTAGGTAAATGGATCATTGTGCTTGGAACCTGGAACCTTAACACCTTCGAAACCACTACCGATTTCAAACCCCTTTGTAGCTGGCACAGACAACATGGCATGTGCTAACAAGGCTTCCAACTTATCGAAACATGGTTCTCCCAATCCGATAGGACAATTTCTAATCACACAGGTGACAACTCCTCCAATGGAGTCGTTGGAATCTCTATGCTTTTCAATGACCTTGACCATTTCGTCCTTTACGTTTTCATCAGGACATCTGATAGGACCAGTGGCATCGATGCTATCCTTAGTAGCGGTATTCAATATTTTCAAGAAGGTAGGATCATTACAGTCTCTGTTCATTGCTACATTACCAATTTGAGACACAAATGCAACGATTTCAACGTTGTTAATTTTCTTCAAGATATGCTCAGCAATGGCACCGGCCGCAACACGGCCAATAGTTTCCCTAGCAGATGCCCGTCCTCCACCACTCGAACTTTTCAATCCGTATTTTTGAATGTAAGTCAAATCGGCGTGAGAGGGTCTTGGGAAGACATCCATCTCACCGTAGTCATGAGGTCTTTGGTCCTGGTTAAGAACCAACATACCAATAGGAGAACCCAAGGTCTTGCCGAACTCTGTTCCACTTTGGATCATCACTCTGTCCTTTTCATTTCTCGGAGTACTTAACTTACTTTGGCCAGGTCTTCTTCTGGTTAATTGAGGTTGGATGTCTTCTTCAGTCAAGGCCAACCCGGGAGGAACCCCTTCGACTATACATCCGACAGACTTACAGTGGGACTCACCGTAAGTAGTGACTTTGAATAACGTTCCGAAACTGGACATGACTAGTTATGTGACTGATGATGAGAACTAGAAACTTTTCGTATGCTCGATTTTTCAGTCAAGTACTGGTGTGAATTGAGTCACCGGCGAAAAAGTCTACGTGCGTAAAACCAGGCCATTTTCAATACTCATCGAATTGCATATATAGATTAGAGCTTACTCTTTGTATAAAATCTAACAACCTCATCAAAAGATTTGGCCACCTTGTTGATGTTGTGCTCATTTAATCCGGCCACAGAAGCTCTGCCACTGCTTACCAAATATACCGCGTGCTTCTCTTCCAATCTCTTGACCATATCGGATGACAATCCTGTAAACGAAAACATACCGGTTTGGTTTACAATATGGTCCCAGGTGCCTGGAGTTTGTAACTCAACAAGACTATCTCTCAACTTGATTCTCATCTGGTTGATCCTCGAACTCATGGTAATTAAATCATCTTTCCATTGCTTGAACAACTCTGGATCGTTCAAAATAGTTGCAACCACCTTGGATCCATACGCTGGAGGGTTGGAGATTTCGGATCTGATGATCTTCTTCAACTGCGAAACAATGGCCTTGTTCAAAGCTTCGTTAGTTTCGCTCGGAATCACGTGAACAGCACCTACTCTCTCCCCGTACATTCCACAGTTCTTAGCAAACGACTGGCAAATGACAATGGGAGCAGAGAATTTCTTCGAGTTCACGGCAGTTCTGATGGAGTAACTATCCAACTCCAAGTCTCCACTAGCAAACCCTTGGTAGGCGCTATCAAATAAAGGTAAATGGTCATTTGCAACCAATTTATCCAAAATCTCGAGCCACTGAGTTTTAGAGGGGTCCAACCCAGTGGGGTTGTGTGCACAAGCATGTAACAAGAAAATAGATCCTTTGGGGGCATCGTCAATGGCCTTCAAGAAGCCGGTCAAATCCAATGACTTGGTGTCGTTATCCCAGTACGGGTAAGTAGCAGTTTCAAACCCCAAGGTTTGAAAAATCTGATTGTGGTTGGCCCATGTTGGCTTGGACAAATAGATCTTTGCATCGGATTTGTGGTAGAACTCTTTCAAGAACTTACCGGCCACATGTAAAGCACCAGTACCACTTAAACTCTGTTGACTGAGGAGTCTGTTCTCTTTGATAGCCACCGAGTCATCTCCCAATATGATTCTGGCAGCACTGTTGACAAACCCAGCAAACCCTTCAATGGATAAATATTCATGATTGTAGTTGGCGCCACTGACCAACTGGGCTTCAGCTTTCTTCACAGCAGGTAATATCCATGGTTTACCATTGTTATCTCTGTAAGCACCAATACCTAAATCCACTTTATCCGAACGAGAGTCGGAGGTGAATCTGGCCTTTAACCCAAACAAGGGGTCTGGAGGTAACTCTTTGACACTGGGGAAGTACTTGGACATTATGTAAATAAGGAAACCAAAAAAATAGATATATTTTCCTGACTTTATAGTTCCTGCGAAAATGCCTGTGTGACTTTTAGGAGTTTTGAGGGGAACCGTTTTCCACAATATGGTAATTGCAAAATATCCCGTAAAGACCCGCAGATTGGCAGGCACCAACTTACCGGCTTAAACTCCGGTATATTCGGTTTCTTTATCTGGGGGTATTGACAAAACCCCGAAATACCCCAAGTTCTTCCAACCCCATCTACTATCATATGAAGTCAGACGCACCGTAAATCCGAGCGTACAAATAAATCAACGGTTTAATCCTTTCTGCCGAGCTCATCCTCTTGGGAATGAAAGGCATTCGTCTTCAACTGAATTATTTGCCCGAGTGACACGACCAGCTCTACCCAGATGTTTTTGAAAAATACATTTTTATTAACCTTATAGAGCTACCCCTAAACTACCAGTTTCACCTCGAAGAACCGTCTCAAATAGTAGATCTGGAACAACGAGTTGGTGGCCACCATGAGGATTTGAAACACCGACCACCACTTGACTCTGGAGTTGGTGGATTCGGCGGTGTTTCTGTGAGTTCTTTCTCTGATCACCAAGTATCCCTGTTCAGCCTTCACGTCACTGGTCAACTGACTCAATCTTTGGATGGCGTAGTCCAAGGTGTTAGAGTCGGGGTTTTCAAAATCAATATAGATCACCCCGTGCACATTGAAAGAAACATCCATATCCACTCTACTGGATCTTTCGTTAGAAAAACAGTAGGTGTATTTGCCATCACTAGTGGCTCTGACCACCTCGTCACCGTGGTCGATATCATTTTTCTTGACCAAGACCTGGCCACTGGGAGAGCCAATATAAAAGGAAGCCTTCAACTGTTCACCATTTTGAGGGTCTCTTGATCCCACCTGGAAAGAGATGGCCAATTCATCATTCTTCTTCAAGGTTTCAAAGAAACATTGCTTACCGTATGGAGGCAACAAGACGTTGTGGCAAAGTGCCAATCCAATCAACCACAAAAATGCAAATAACTTCATTGGTGGTGAGACGTAGAGTTCCAGGGTGTTTTTAAATTTTTCTTTGCTGAACAACGCGCTCTGAAAATTCGCAACGGGGTTTTGTGGTAGGGTATATTACAGTATATAAGAATTATAATGGCTTCATTATCTCGTCGTATAAGAGTTTTTTAATATCATCAATGGTCAATTCGTCTTTCTTGCGATCAAAGTCGAAGAAGTCTTCGGGGATTTTCTCGGCAATTGGCTCGTCGTTGGGGTCATGGTACAACTTTAAATACGGATGCTTTAATGCGTCATCCACCGTAATTCTTTTGTTTGGGTTAAAGATTAACAACTTCTCTAACAAGTCAAACGCCAACGGATTGCAGTTTGTGACGGCTCCTGCGAACAAGCTTTGGAATGGAACTTTTTTGCAGAAGGGGAGTGATCTAATGTACTCTCTGGCTCTCTTCAGCTTAATATTATAATAATCTTCCATATTAGGAGTTCCCAACACTTCCATAATGAGCCATAATTGGTTGTGGTAGTCTCGGCCAGGGAACAACGGTCTACCGGTCAACATCTCCGCCAAAATACATCCAACAGACCACACGTCAATGGCAGTGGTGTACTCTTGAAACGTCAACATGATTTCAGGGGCTCTATACCACCGAGTAGCCACATACTCGGTCATAAAACCAAAGTTATCTTCGCTCGAGGCAATGCTTCGGGCTAGCCCGAAGTCACAGATCTTCAAGTCGCAGTTGGAATTGAGCAATAAATTCAGTGGTTTTAAGTCCCGATGTAACACGTTGGCAGAGTGTAAACATTTTAAGGCCCTTAAGGTCTGATAAATAAAGTATTGGATGTGGTCATCCGTCAACGTCTGCGTGCGGATCACCCGGTGGAGATCGGTTTCCATGAGTTCTTGAATCAAATAGATCTCGTTAAAGAGATCATAACTAATGGGTCTCTGGATAGCCAAAATGCTGATGATGTTTTCGTGGTTAAAATGCTTTAAAAGTTTGAATTCTCTGAGGGTTCGGAGACACAACATCGACCGCTCGAACGGTTCGATCTTTTTGATTGCTACCTTTTGGTTGGTGGGTTTGTGGATGGCTGAACACACAATCCCATACGCACCTTCTCCCACCACTTCCAAGATCTGATAATGATCACTGACGTTGAAGCTGATTTGACGTGGCGGTTGCTGCAGTCCTTGTCCCGGGCCCGGCGCTGGCACTGGCGGCTGCTGGGGCAGGGGCTGGGCTTGGGCTTGCATGGTTTTTAAGATAAAACAAGGATCACGAACAATTTAGGTTAGTTTTTCTTTGCGACTACTTGGTTAGTGCAATGTTGGCGAACAGGATGAGGGTAATGTTTGAAAGGTGCAAATGTAAAATTTATCCAAGCTTAAAATGTCTGCCAACTCTAAGTAGCAAGAAAAAAACACCTGGTAGAAAAAAAACAACTTGAGTGATGCAAGTTGTTATTAAATCTCCATTGTCGTCGTTGAATTAAAATGGAAAATCCCATCTGGAAATAGTACCTTAATCCTGTATAGTGGCAGCAGAATTTTTAGACGAAACAATTTGTTCAGGAACATGTTCCATATAAATGGATTATAGCCCCGATTGGATGCCTTGTTCGTGGCATCAATACTTAAGGAGTATGCAGTGATGTCATGAATCACGGTGGTTTTTCTTTTATTTAAGATATTCATATACACAGAGTATTTTTCACCCTCAACAACAAACACCCAAAACTCATCTAATACCATTCACCAGTTAATCAATAGACCATCGATGGGTCACATTGGACTCCAAACCGCCAATAATACAAAAAAAAAATAATACTAACCAAAACAATTCCACAGTTAGACGAGACCGATCCAAATGGTGTGCTCGTACAGTATAAATACACCACTCAGTTCCCAAACCAATCACTTTTTCTGTTACTTCTTTCTACCAAACAACCCCCTCTTCTTCTTCTTCTGCTCGTTCTTCAACGAACTAGCCGAATAGTTCTGTGCCAGGTACATGGGTTGTTCACCAAAGTTGATGGTGGGACGTCCGTAGTCGTTACCAGGTAAGTCACCACTTGATCCGCCAACTCCTCCAACAGCATCATAGTGGGGGAAATCTTCGTGGAATCCCCAGCCCAACCGGCTGCTTTCCAACTGATCTCTATACGACACATCTCCGGTGATGGCGTATTCAAACGCTCTGATGGTGTCCAAAGGTCTTTCATTTCTTGATCTGGTGGGGTTGGACATATCTCCATGGTTGATGGGTTGCCCAAAGATGTCTTTGAGGTTGGCGCTGTCTTGTGACAAGTAAGAAGGTCTTCTTTCGATTCTATCAGCGGCTTGCTCAAAGGGTTGAGCTTCATTAACAGCTGACAACACAGGATCGTGCACGTTGGCTGAATGCATCTTATAGTCCCTTTCATGGGGGTTATAGCCTTCGACGGTTTTACCAGACTTGCTTCTGAATATGGCCATCTTGAACTATTCACAATAATAACTTAGTAAACAACTGGAACAATTTTACAAATTATTCTTGATAAATAATTTGGGGAAATTGCCTACCTTATATTTTTAGGCTGTGCCAAATATGAGGAAAAAATCTTCCAGCCTTTTGCACTTTTGTGACCAACCAGCAAATAGCCCTTTGGGGGCTTTTTCTTGGGTTTTGGACCGGTGGTTGGAAACACTTTGTGTGAACTTAGCATGGCTGTGGTTCATTGAATATGATTGCTATCCAGTAATACGCCGACCATGTGCGATCCTATGGTTGCAATTATGTGCCTTCGTGTCCTTATATCAATTATTCCGGCCCATCACCCCTGGATCGCGATTTACAAAACCGATTTGCACTTGTGCAGGCTGGCCAGCTGTCCACCCAAATTGCGTATTATGAGGGTTCTACTATTTAATTCTAACTACTTGAACTCTAACTCAACTTTGGTGGCCACAGACCCCACCTTTAACTCTCTAGAAGATATGTGTAACTTTCCATCTTGCGTGATGTTGATGATGATTTCCAACTTGCTGGCAGGCTTCAAGTCTTTCAATGACAATGATCCCAACAATTCACCACACTCTTCAACCACTTCTTTTATGATCTCAGGCTCTTCGTCTTCTTCGCTCGAGTCTTCTTCATCGTCACTGTACTCAACTTTGGTTGGTTCGATCACAGTTTCCTTGATCAGCTTTTTACCCTCGTATAATTCCACCAACACACTGCTACTTTCGCCATTGGTGACTTCAAGAGATCTCTTGATAGGATAAGCGGTCTCACTGACAACGATAGGCACAAACTTACCATCAGCATCCTTGATACCAATGGAGTGCACCAAGTGTTGGGTGTTCACGACAATTGGCTGTAAGCTTTCTTTGATTTCGTCATCATCGAACGATTCGATCAAAGCCGCTTGTAAAGCAGCTCCCCTACAAATCAACTCATTTGGTAAAATAGCCTTGGTGTCAAAAACAGGAGAAATGATGGCTGTGGATTCGGGGAAAAGACTTCTCAATTCACTTGACAATTTAGGAGTGTTGGAGCTTCCTCCCACCAACAAGATTTCGTTGATTTCAGAAGGGATCAACTCAGCTCTTTCCACCAACTTTTCAACAAATCCTGTCATCTTCGAAATCGTACCTCTAATGGTCAATTCGTATCTCAATCTGTTGATGGTAGTATGATAGTCAATACCTTCAGCCACGGACTCGATGGAACAAGTGGAGGATTGGACGTTGGAAAGAGTCTTCTTTACCACAATACTCTCGCTTCTCAACTTTGCCAAAGATCTGGCATCAGTTCTTGGGTTCACCTTGTACTTCTTTTCAAAGTCCTTGGCGAAAAATTCCATTAAAGCTTCATCCAATCTGTCACCTCCTAATTCTTTATCGTGTAAAGTGCTCAACACAGTGAGGATCCCACCTCTGACGGCAATAATGGCAGCATCGGATCTGATTCCACCAAAGTCGGCCACCAAGTAAATCTTGTTCTGAGAGTACAGTTCATCTTTTTGAGTCAAATGAGATAATAATGCACTACTTGGTTCGTTGATTAATTGGTGAACTTTCAAACCAGTTTCGTTACTCAACTTGATTAACTCTTCTCTTTGAGCTTCAGTAAAATCAGTTGGAACAGTGATCACAGCTCCTTCAACCTTTTTACCTAAGAAGTCTTCAGCAGCATTTTGCAACTGTTTTAAATGTCTCTTGGTGGCTTCTGCAACTGTGATAACTTCGACCTTACCATCTTGTCTGGTGATGTTAAATCCAATGCTTCCATCAGCAGTCTTGATAGCTGGAGCACCGGTCTTGGTAACTTCAGTGTTGACTTCATCGAAAGTCTTTCCAATAAAGTCTCTGAAGTTGATGATGGTGTTTTTGCTGTTTCTAATTAATTGAGCGTTAGCCTGTTGACCATGGTACTCATCTTCTCCAACATAGGCTAAGGTCGATGGAATGGATCTGTCACCATCTGGATTGGCAATGACTTCAACCTTACCTTCACCATTAGCAAAAGCAATACTTGACGAGGTGTTCCCGAACGAAATACCAATAACTGCAGACATCTTTTTGTGGTCTATTAACTGTGTGAACTGAAAATTTTTTTTTGCTCAATGCTCTTCTATCAAGTTGGTGCGATTTGAATTTGCAGTTATCATTGATAAGATGTGGAAGAGAAAGTACGTTTAATTCTGTGCTATAAACGAAGAAGTTAGGTAGGTGTGAAGCAAAGGATCTGCCCTAAAAACCTGTTATTAGAAGGAGAAACCAATAGCTTTCGTAGAGTTGCAAAAAAAAAAACAGGTCGTACCCGGATTCGAACTGGGGTTAATTGGATCAAAACCAACTGTGATAACCACTACACTATACAACCTTTTTCATTTGTCCATGGCTTCGTTAGTCCCGAATTTCTGACCACTAGGCCACGGACTTCAACTTTACAATTAAAAGGGTTAGGAACTTACTAAGCAAAAATATAATTGAAGGAATACTCTTGAGTACCCAGTGCCTTTAATAACCACAGACTAGTTTGCTGTATGCTCCACTCCACGATTAACTTTCGCTTAGAGTTGTACACTACGTACTCTTCTCATTGTAGGCTATCAATTCACGTTTTGTGTTGTGCACGTCCAATTCTTTTTATGCTAAACGCGCCTTGTAGGTGAAATGTTCCAATAGACATGACGAAGAAGCTGAGTACCAAAAGGGTGAGGTTGTTGGTCCTATTATCAATCATTATTACCTCGGTGGTCTTCACAATATTAAGGCCCCTGTTCTTCACCCGGTCTGAGCACACTAAGGACATTTCTGCAAATGATCTGCTGAATGTAAAAGACCAGAATGAAGAGTTCGAAAATTGGAGAAAGAAGTATGGTAAGGGTGCTAAGAACGGGGAATCCGGTCTGGTGGCAGACAAGACGAAAACCAAACCAAAAAACCATCAAAGCCCAAGCCAGTAAAGCAAAAAGAACCTTCTCTCCCCGAAGATGACGCAGAGGTCGAAGAATATGATGAGAACGGGGATTCCTTGGGTCCCAAAGCACCACCAAAGCCCCATAACTACAAAATTGATTCCAAACCCTCGACCAACAAAGCCAATGTGAAGGAAAAGCCGAAGGAAAAGCCGAAGGAAAAGCCGAAGGAAAAGCCAAAGGCAAAGCCTGAGACTGGTAAATTGTCATTAAAGCCTGGTACTTCGAATAAGGATCCGGTAAAGTATGCTGAGCCCAAGTTGGAAAAACAGACATCCTCAAATAATAAGGTTCGTCCACACCATGCCATCAAACCAGACCTGGCTGTTGGTGAACCTGAAGAAACACCAGATCCAAACAACCCCAACAAGTACTTGGGAGGAATTGAGCAAGTTGATCCTGAAGAATTGGATGCAAATGGAAGTATCTTCCTAGAAGACACCGACGAAAAGGAAATGGAACTTATGAAGGCCAACAAAATTGGAGATATTGACCACGAAGATTCGTTTGGTCACAATCCAAAGAATAAGCAAGGATATGGTAGGTTGGGAGTTCCTACCCCCAGCCAGTATGGGAAGTCATTACCTAAGACAGTCACCAAACCTGTGGTTATATACGCAGTGGTCAACGACGACTTTAGTAAAATCAAAATCAAGCCCTTGAGCTTTCGAATCTATTCCCACAACGTGAAGAATGGTGGGCATGATATCCTAGTACCTGGTGAAGAAGTATGGGGAGATAGATATAGAAAGATCACCAACTCCATCCGGTTTAATGCCAGGTCAAACACCATTGTGACGCTTCAGGAAGTGTATAAGTTTCAAATTCTTGACATAATGGATGAATTGAACCGATTTTCATCCAAAGATGCGCCCGAATGGGCCTATTATGCCAAAGGAAGAATCGACGGTGAAGATACCGGCGAGTTTGTGCCCATCTTGTACAGACCCTCTGAATGGGAAGCGGTCTTTGAAGACACTATTTGGTTGAATGACAAAAATGAAAGAATGTCCCTAGAAGGATGGGATGCAAAATATTTGAGAATACTCACATTCGCAACCTTTAAGCACAAACAGACAGGAAACTACATTAATGTGTTCAACACCCACCTAGATCACGTGGGAGAGATGGCCCGTGCCGGATCGGCTGAAGTGATTGTTCAGAAGATCCAAGAAATCAACAAATGGCCCTCATTTTTGTGTGGAGACTTGAACAATGAACCCAAGGGTGAACCATACAATATTTTGACCAAACACTTGATTAACAGTGCCAAGCATACGACACCTTTCAACCACTTTGGGCATGTCAAGTCCACTGTGACAGGGTTCGAAGGGGAAGTGCTCAGTGCCGGTGGCCAGAACATTGACTATATATTTGCTCCTTCCTACACCAAGAAAGTCACCCACAACGTGAACTGTGCAGATACTGACAAATACTCCAAGGATCCTGCCGACAAGCTTCTTTTACGACTTGATCAGTTTGGAATGCTCCATTCCAAGTATAATGGTGTTTACATGAGCGACCACCGTCCGTTGGTGGCCGATTTCAGTTTATCTGGTAAGTGTTGAGTTTTCGCAGCCAGTTCGTTAAATATTATATAAAACCGATTACCATAGAGAGGATGCCTCTCACTTACAGAATACCATTATCAGCCCAAAAATCCCACAAAAATCCTCTAGTTCGTAGCCACGGGCATCCTAGCTAAGGTTGTACATGTGCCTGCTTCTGGATAATAATTTCCTAATTTTCGAGCCACTCGGGCCTTATTGTTCCTCTGCACTTCCTGGCGCACTCGCGCCTCAAACGCCATACACGTGGGGAAAAGAAGATACCAAACGGTATGTATCACTCTTCATGTACACAACAAGACAACCGTTGCCGACAAGATGATACTTTTGACCAATTAGGTGTGGTAATTGGTTTGGGCGGGTGAATTGTATGCATTGCATTAGCATTGTGGTTAGCTGCAAAAAAGTCTCCTATTTGTGGAGGGCCGTATATAAGACAAGTATCGCCCACCATTTTCAAATCACTACTCAAAACCCAATCAACAACATGAAAGGATTCTCCGTATTGTTGTTGGCATCAACAATTGCTGCCCATGCCATCAATGGGATGTCCTCGATCAAGACTCAATTGCATAAGCGAGATGAGCTTGGTTTGATCGAGCAAATGTACTCAGACTTACCATTTCCAGACCAGGATTTCATCACCAACCACTTGAGTACTTTACAAGCCTTCAACGGTTCCAAGTGTGATGCCTGCAAGAACAAGATCCACTATGCTCGGAAATTGTACGATGAGGACCCAGACAATCAACATTTGATTGCGTTCACATTGTTCAAGTACTGTATTGCTCTGAACAAAGATGATCCCACCAAGTGTGATACTGTAGACTTTTTCTTGACTACCCAGAGCAACCTTATCAACATTGCTGCCAACAAGTATGACTCGAGTTTCGGTGATGAGACGTCAGTCAATTTGTTCGATAACGATTTCATGCACATGTTGAGATTATTTAATCTTTCAAGTGAATTGGATCTTGATTACTACTGTTACTTCAAAGGTGGAGTGTGTGATTTGCCTGAAACTATTGACATCGATTCTGAATACAACTTTGACTCCAAGTGGCCTGTCAAACAGCCTCATCACTACTTTGAACCTGAATACACCAATGGCAGTGGTGACACTTTTAATGTGTTGCACATCACTGATTTCCACTCACAATTCAAATACACTGTGGGGGCTGAAGGGAACTGTTCTCAAAAAATCTGCTGTAAAGTCGAGAGTTATAATGAGGATTTACCAGACATGTCCAATTACAACTTCACCGAAGCGTATTCAGAGTTGTGTCCCAACGGTGACATCGACAACTTTGCTTTCTATCCAGATGCCAAGTATGACGATCAAGGAAACTACTCTCCAGGAGAGTATTATGACTTGCCAGAAGGAAGGGGATGGGATTCGGTGGTGCAGCCAGCTGGAGTTTGGGGAAACTATGAATGTGACTCTCCTGTAATTTTAATCAACAATACCATGAAGTATGTTCGTCAATTGCAAAACAAAAACTTTGAATTCACCTTATTCACTGGAGACTTGGTTGACCATGATAAGATCCACGACACACCTGCTATCACCAAGGAAGCCGAGGTTTTGGGTTTTAAGATCTTGAAGGAATATTTGGGAGGAATCCCAGTGTACCCATCTTTAGGAAACCACGATACCTTCCCATATGGTCAATTGGCTCCACAAAAATACGATCCAAACAGCTCCTACCAATATAATGCAGAATTAATGAGTGAAATTTGGGTCAACGACGGCTGGTTGGACCGTTCGGAGCAAAACGAAGTTAAAGAGCACTATGCTGGTTTCTCTCATGTCACCAAGAGAGGATTAAAGGTGATTTCCTTAAATTCTAACGCTTACTACCAGAAGAACATGTGGAACTATATTAACTTGAGGGAAGACCCAGACAGATTTGGGCAATGGGAATTCTTAATCAACGAGTTGGTGGAAAGCGAACAGAAGGGGCAAAGAGTTTGGATCATTGCCCATATTCCTTCATCTGACGGTGATGCTTTACCTATTCAATCCAGAATCTTCGCCAAGATTGTCGAAAGATTCAGCCCCTACACTATTGCCAGCATTTTCTATGGGCACACTCACAGAGATCAATTCAAGGTGTTCTTCGCTTCCAACTCCTCCAGTGCCGAAGACGTAGAAAGAGATGTCACCAACATGGCCTGGATCGGTCAATCGGTTACTCCTCTCTCTGACTATAACCCGGCTTTCAAGTACTACGAAGTGCAGGATGGCTCGTTCAACATCATGAACTCATATAACTACTACACCAAGTTGAATGACACTTACATTGAAGGAAGTGCTGAGCCTGCTTGGGAATTCGAGTATTCTGCTCGTGAAACCTATGACCCCAACAGTACATGGCCGCTGACTGCTCCATTGAACGGTACTTTCTGGAACCAGTATGTGTTGCAGAAACTCGCTGATAATTCCAGTATTGAGTTCAACCAATTGTATACCAACTTGCAATATCGTCTGACACTTAACACTCCAGTATGTGACGATGATGGAAAGCTATCAACCGACTGTTACCAACAAAACTACTGTGAGGCTGGTAGCTACTTATCCGACGAATACCTTAAGTGTATGAACCAGTTGACTGCTTAGTATATTATTCACTACTCTCTAAAATAGATATCCAGCTTATGGCCCTCACTTTTTCGCAGTAATAAATTTTAGCCAAGATCAAAACAAAACAAGATATACACGTCTTTCCAATGCAAAATCCACACGAACAAGCCCAGAGTGCATTGCTCTCACGTATAATCAACAATGTCGTATGTATAGAAAACACTCATGTCATGTATGGATCGATACTAATGTTTTTTAGGAAAACTTGAATGAGTCTGTTGTTGCTATGAACAAGTCCTTACAAGAGATCAACAGAAGAAACTTAGACATTGAAATTGCATCACAGTTGTGGGAAGGGTATGCCAGCAATGCTGCGTTTGATTTGGAGAGGACAGGCGACAAAACCGATCCTATATGATAAGCCAACTCCCACCGGATCTGAGATATTCGTCTACCAGTGTCAGAAGTGATCGTGTCAAGACCCCAGGTGTTTTCCTTATTGCAGCCTTGAGTGTGTACGTATCTCGTGTCCCATGACCCAGCCTGTTTGTCTGAATACTACTGGTCGGACGTCTCCGTACCCTTATCTACACATCACTGCCCAAACCATTGTTTTATTTCCATCTAGGTAGCCCTATCCTCAAAGGCACCAGAATTCACTCTTAGTAGATGGGTACTGCAGTTTGTCCTATCGCAGCGGCTACAACTTTCAAATCTAATGCCAATATTTTATTACTATAGTACATGTATGAAAATAATCAGGATTCATTCACTTCTTCGTATTCGACCTACTGATACAGCTCTGTTGGCATTCTTCTCTTCCCTGCTACTTTGCCAGTACTACCAGCTAGTCTACTCAATCTTGTTGTTGAGTTGGTAATAAACCATATCTCTTCTTCAAAGTAACTCTTTGTCTGGAGTACTTGTCATCTGGAGAAAATCTGGCTGGGTGGGCCGATTTGGTGATTTCACCGTCTTCGGTGTTCTTTTTCAAGGTATATAACCTCTTTCCATCTGGACCAATAGTGTACATTAAATGCATTCTGGACAGCTCTTCTCTTACAATATAAAATTTTTCTTCACTAAGCATTTCCGTATAGATGCGCATTGACGGTCGTGTGCGGAGAATCACAATAGCTGCAAAATCACCACTTTATAGGAACCCAAAACCACTATTAGGTATATAAATGCCAAAGGGTTTATAGTTAATTCTTTAGGTGTTGACAGATATGTGTATTATTCAATTTTAGTTACCAAAATTCGGCTGGTCTATGAGAAATGACCATGGTTTTGAATATGGATACTATTTATATTGGTAATTATCCAATACAATCGCCTACTGAGATAGGACTTATTGACCCAAAATTACATAGTCGTTGTGATTACACTACTGATTTGTCGATGTGTCCTTTGAATTTCCCTCTTCAGCTGCAAATGCAAGCGATTGCTTCTGGGTAATACTGGCGCGACTGCGTCTGCGTCTCACACTATTTTGATTTGACCAACTCTTCCATTCATCGTCACTTGCGTGGGCTTTGATCTTTTATTGCCCAATCGTCTGCTTGGTATATCCACAAGTTTTACGGTAAGTGAAAGATTGATATTTAAGCAAGACTCCAAAAGTAAATGGCTCCTCCAAAGAAAGATGTGTTTGCTGATTTATTTCCAGCTGGAAATACCACTACAGCAAACAGAAGGAAAAACTTGGCCGATTTACAAAAAGACAGATACGGTAACAATAGCAATGCCGGTAACATGGGAATGGATATCTTTGACAGTTTAAACAGCTCAAAAGCATCATTTCCAGTGGAATCATCCACCAATACATGGGACGAAATTGGTACGTCCACTAGTGGTAGCCGTGGTGATAGTTCCAGTTCTGTTGGGAATTCGAGTCAAACTGGCTCTAATGTGCATACCCCTTTGAATTCACAAATAGAAGACCCCTTTGATATCTTCAAGGAACCGAGCGTTGCTAGTAACTCAACCTCGAACAAGGCATCGACTATCAATTCTGTTAAACCAACCAAGCCAACGAATAATCCACAAAACAACGCACACTCTTTGTTGGACGATGAGTTTACGGATGCTTTCCAAGAAGAACCACAACCAGCTCCAATCCTGAAATCAGTGCCAGAGAAAGAATCCTTTGAACCCTACAGCGAAGATTTAAGATCGAACTCGAGCTCTTCATTGAGTAAGAGGGATGAGTTAATAGCCCAACTCGTGGATATTGGATTTCCAGTGGAAGTTTCTGACTCTGCTATCAGTGAGGTGGGTATGGATTTACAAGCCTGTGTTAACTACATTATGAATGGAGGCAACCTGAGATCCAGTTCTTCCTCCCAACCATCACTACCTAGAACAAGAACTCATAGCCCCAACAAGGAGGATTTGGGCGCCAAGCTTAATGATCTTTCCACGGACTTCTTCAATAAGGCCTCCATTTTCTTGAATAAGTCAAAGGAGACTGTCATAAAGAATATTGAGCAGTTTCAACAAGCTCAAACGACAGGCAGAGGGTCCCCTTCCAACTCCTTACCGGTTTGGATGCAAGATCTGGAGAAAGAAAAGTACAAAAAGAGAGAAGCTGAGTTCTTTGGTAAGAGTGACAATGATTATAGTGCTGATGAGGCTAACATTGACCATGAATTTATCAGTAATTTTATGGAAGAGCAAAAACAGAAACAAAAGGCACGTAATAAAGCTAGAGTTGATAACTTGAAAGCCATGGCAAAGAACAAGATTTATGGGGCATCGCCTACAAAAAGCCCGTCTCCTGAGAAGGCTGAGTTACCACCAAGACCATTACTGAATCCTTCAAGAGAAAGAGTTCCTGCTACCACCAAGGCTGATGCTCCAAGGAAAGAACAGGCACATCAATTAACATCCAAGACTCAGCAGACTAAAGCTCCACAACCTGACGTGGACTTGCTTGGTGTTGGTGGATCTCTTTCAAGAGCCGAAAAGTTTAGGAATGATTCAAATGGTGACGAGGTATATGTTTCCTCAAGAAGGAGAAAGCCAGCTGCACCCACACCCAGCAAACCAAAAGCTTCTAGAAAAACTACAAGGGAACCATTGGATCAGTTTCTGCAATCAGATTACGATATTGGAAAAGAGAAGGCCACCAAATCTTTTGCCAATGGAGATTATGACGATGCTTTAATCAACTATGAGAAATGTTTGAATGTCCTCACCCCAACCCATGAGTTACGCCTAGTTATTAACTCTAATTTGGCACTCACATTGATTAAGCTTGGATCCTATAAGCAGGCTAGGGATCAATGTGACCAGGCCCTTCACCTTATAAACATTGAAGATATCAACGATGAAAGTTATGTGATAAACGACAAACCGGTCAAGTATTGGTACATCAAGCTTTTATCAAGAAAGGCTGAAGCATTGGAAATGATTGAAGCATTTTCCGACTCCTTAGAATGCTATATGGAATTGGTCACAAAACTAGGGGTCAATGACAAAAAGGTCATGGATGCGAGAAGAAGGGTCAACAACATCGTTAATCCTCCTCCTAAACCTAAACCTTCCGTGTCTAGACCTAAACCTTCTAGAATACAGCCAGTCAACAATGATAATCTTAAGAGAGTTCAAGCACAAAATAAGAAGCAAGAGGATAGAGATAGCCTTAAGTACCAGTTGCACGATCAGGTTGAGTCCAAAACCCTGGCTTGGAGTAATGGAAAAGAGGACAACTTGAGAAGCTTGTTGATGTCTTTACCAGAAATATTACCAGCATCCTTAGGCTTTCCGTTTTTAACCTCCAAAAAGATCACTATCAATGATTTGATGTTGCCTAAGAAAGTGAAGATCAACTACATGAAAGTGATCAGCTCTATTCACCCTGATAAGTTGACCAGTTTGAACCTAGGAGTAGAAGAGGAAATGCTTTGTCAGTCGATTTTCATTACGTTAAACAAATCATGGGACATATTCAAAGAACAGAATGGCATTAATTAGATATATAAGAATCGAAGTAAATATAGTTCAACTTCTCTTAACTGCTTCAGTTTGTCTCCGTTCTGTTGAAGTTGCCTTTATTTCAAATTCATCCCCTTCAGCTGAAATTTCGAAAATCTTTGGTACGCCTTCGGAGTTAGAGTCATCTTCACTTTCTTCGTCACTACCTTCTGAGTCCGACAGACCGTAATCACGGTCAACAGCTTCTCTAGCCATATTTATAGATTCCTTGGTTGCATCTGACCATCTTGACAAATAGAATACTACAGCATTAACGGTACCAAAGAAGAACGTGAAACCAAATAATATAACTCCAGAGTAAACTGCAGCTTTTAAAGGATAGTCAAAAAGAGTGTTTGCTGGATCTTTTCTGAATTGATAATAGAAGTCCAGCATACTGAGAAATTCTCTCTTGAAGATCAAGTAAAAGAAAATCAAGATTTGCTTCACACCCAAAGTGTTTTCTTCATCTCTCAACATCTCTTCAAACGATTTTGGAGGAGGCGAAGGTCCCTTGACAGCTTTTGGTCTGTTTTGGGCGTAATCTAGTTGCTCAATTTCTAGTTTTGGAATGAAGGTCTTGTTTCCAATTAATTCTGCTTCCTGAACAGAATGGCCAAGATAAATGTTGTCGAACAATATGTCTTTTTCCATAGACCATAACTCAAATCCTAAACCTCCAATTAACCCGAGATTCGAAGGATGGTGGTCTTCGTAGTAGTATGGATTGGGCACTTTGGAAGGTCTCCACTGACCCTTGTAACGAGGATTGGGGATAAATGAAGGAGTCCATGGCCCTTTATAGTTTTTGTTGGAGATGAGCTTGGGTTTCCATTCACCACAACCAACAGTACATTTGGGGTTTCTGAGTGCGGGAGGCATCCATTCTCCATCTTCTTCATCAATCCATTCTTCTGGCTTTTTGACAGATGCATCCACAATGTAGCTAGGTTCATCATCCAACCAGCCTTCAGGTTTCGTGTCCTCTGGGTCAGGTATAAACGCAGAAGCATACTTCTCATCATAATCTTCTGGTTTTTGTACCAGCTCATCGAAAATAAACTCTTCATCTTCCCAGTCATCAGGTTTCTTCATTGTAGCGTCTTCAATCTCCTTTGGAGGGTTCAATTTTGGTTTCAATAAATGAGGCTTACTAAGGACATTACCAGCTTTTACCACTTGTCCATTGATCCTGATTTCAAAGTCGGAGTTTCTCTTAAATATAAGAGTATACAAGGTGGAAACTTGGGTTGACCTAGACATAGGGGCTTGACTTAAATGTTTTTCCTCGTAGGTGTTTGTAATTGGGTTCTTTCGGTTGATAATGAAATGTATTTTATCATTGGATCCACATTTATCAGGGCCAAACATTAGTTGAAAGGGAGTTTGGCTACTGAACGGCCCGCTCTGATCAAAATCTTTGTTCAACAACTTTATATATGTTCCACCACATTCCAAACCATCTTGAGTCTTGATCTCATATTGTAACACCAAATCATTATCAGTATTATCAAACGGAGTGTCAAGCTTATATGATATGGCATGATGGGCAGCCTTAGTCTTCAAAACCAAGCCGGAATCACCAGAAATCCCAGGATACTTAGATGCTGGTTCAATGGCCCATTCTCCAGAATATGAGAATTTGTCGTCCTTCTTGGCTTTGGAAACCTGCCAGTTAGAATCTTTTAAAGATCCATACAAAAACTGTTCAAATAAGGATGATTCTGCTAACTGAGAAGTATCAAATGGCACAAAAGAAGGATGCTCAACACTGGAGACACCCAAAAACAATGCACTTATTATCAACACACCTCTCATTGCCATCATTAGAATTTCCAATTCGACATCGCGATGTACGGCTCGTTCTGCTCTAATACTGTAAATTTATGCAAACCTTCAAATACACTCATTTCCAATAATGGGATCTCTTACTGATTAAAGTTTATAGTAGTTGAAGTTTTGATGACACATCACCATTTTTAGTGGTTTCAAATCCTTCTATATGGTTCGTACCAGGCTACTTGCGATCGATTTTTCTGCTCATCTCACTTCTCAGTAATGTGTGGAATTCTATGTTTGGTAAACACCGAGTTTCAAGGCCATCCACCTTGTCTCAATAACCAAAGCTCTGTATGGGAGTGTCAGGACACAGTCAAGATACGAAATATTTTCAAACAGGATTTCCGGTTGTCAGCAACAGATTTAAACAAGTTAAACAATCAAGAAAAGCTAAAGCAGTTGAATAATCAATTGATAAAACTTGGGAACAATGTCAAAGTCGATAATCTGGAAAAGATAGACGAAGTGTTTCAACAAATCAAAGATATCACCGAAGAAGAACCCGAAGATGAACTCACATTTTCTTCATCCATTGAAGAGTATAACCATCTAATACCTGCAATAGCTGGAAGAGGTCCTGATTACCTTCAGTATAACAAATTTGATTTAGGAGACAGCAACGTCCAATTGTTTTCGTCGGTTCTCTCTTTGAGACAACCATTCATATCACAGCCAGTCTTCACTGATAGATACGTGGTTCAGTTCAATGGAGAACTATACAACAGCCAATGTGAATTTTCAAATGATACAGAATTCCTCTTGAATCAAATCGTCAAGCATGGAATAAAGAAGGCATTGGTGACTTTGAGTGGAGAGTTTGCTTTTTGTATCTTGGATAAATTTGAACAATGTGTATTCTTCGGAAGAGACAGTATTGGCAAAAGATCACTATGCTACAAGCAAACCAAAGACGAAATTTTGATATCGTCTGTGCCCCAAAGGTTATACAGTGAATGTGAAGGCAATAAGCTCTATAAATTCTCTACCCAAAGCTATAAGCTTGAAGTATCACTTTTGACACGGGAATTTGAGGAACTTGTCCCCTTCAATATACTCAACTATAATGAACCTACGACCCAAGTCAATCGCATATATGAGAGTTTAAAGAGATCCTGCTTCATACGACAAGAAACAATTTGCCCGTTACAAGCCACTGAAGCTAGTTTGGCTGTTCTCTTCAGTGGTGGTATTGATTGTGCTGTAATTGCAGCCCTTTTGATCGAGAATTTCCTTGAACTTAAAACTCCCGTGAAAATTGACTTGTTGACCGTTGGTTTTGATAACCCAAGAACCGGCGTTAAGGCAAGTCAAAGTCCTGACCGACAGCTCAGTTTTAAGTCCTGGTTTCACTTGGCCAAAAAATGTAGCGGAACCAATGTCAGCTTGAGACTAGTCCAGGTGGATGTCGATTATAAGCTTTGGTTGACACACAAAAAGAATGTGGTGCTGTTGATGTATCCTCAAGAAACAGAAATGGACTTGAGTATTGCAATTGCGTTCTATTTCGCCAGCAACAATATTGTGCCTTGTCAGAAACTAGAGTTGCAAAATTATGAAGTATCATGGTCAGACTTCATCAGTGACACCAACAAGTACGTCAGAGTAGAAGATTATATTTCCCTGGCAAAAGTGCTTTTCTCTGGACTCGGAGCAGATGAGCTATTCGGAGGTTATTCCAGGCACGAGGCTATATTCTCATCACTCAAGCCAGATGATGATCCACTGAGACAATATGAGGAATTGAACAAACAGCTTCTACACGATATAGAGATCATTCACAAGAGAAACCTTGGAAGAGACGATAGAGTGATAAGCTCCTGGGGCAAAGAACTCAGGTACCCTTACCTTGACAACGAGTTCATCAAGCTCGTTATTAACAGTATCGAGCCAAATTACAAGATAAAGTTGGATTGGGCTGTTACCAAAAAAGGTAAGACAATCAGCAAACCTACAAGAAAATGGATTCTCAGGCAGTTGGCGGGCACTATGGGACTCAACTTCGTCAAAGACGAGTTGAAACGGGCAATTCAATTCGGAGCCAAAAGTGCAAAACTCGAGATTGGACAGGCCAAAGCCAGAGGCACCGATGAATTAAAGTAACAAAGATTCATTAGATAAATAAATAAATAGATGAATAAATAATGCCGAGCTCTACAAGTTCTTGACCCATCTCGGCTCTATGACAAGGCATTCACATTCAGTCAATAACTCCAATTCGCTGTCTTTAACACTAAACACAGACCCTTTGACCCAACACTTTCTACCACTCTTTCTAGACAATTCACATTTTATCATCACCACCGAATTCACAAAACACGGTTTTTTGTAGTTGATGTTCAAGTTGGCAGTGACACCCTTTTTCGAATGGAAATTCTGAAATGCTAATCTGCATGTCAATTCATCTAGAAGAGTGGCTAATAAACCCCCATGCACTATCCCATTATGACCAGACAATTTGGAACCTAAATGGAAAAATGTCACTAGGAAGTTGGATTCTCCGTCTTTCACTTCGTCAATGTCGTCATACTCCTGTAGAAAAGCATCATCGATAAAAAAGATTCCGTTTCCTCTGTAGTTAATCTTGTCATCACCAATCAATGTGTCACCAGTTAAGTTGGGTCTTAAATTCTCTTCGATCAACCGTGACAAATTGAATGCCTTGTGCTGTTCCAACAACTCCTGGTACACTGCTAACAGGTGTATGTGCTCTTCATACTTGGAAGTTTCTCCCACCATAGTCAAATGTGAATGAAATCAGATACGATGCGGTCGCGATTTTGAATTGCGGAGTGCATTAGCCGTCGGACCCGGCTAAACAATACATACAAATAGCTATTTAGCCGTGGTACAATGTTTCAATTAACAAAGTCAAAGAACTTCTTAAAGTATGGCTTGCCCTCATTAATCACATTGCCATGGCACGGAACCATTTTTGTGAAATCCCAGTTGTATATTGTTTGAAGTCCCTTGCGGACCTCAAGGTCTTTGGACTTGACAAGTCTATTGACCAACCCTTTAAAAAACCCTGAGTCGGGATGGGTGAACCCAGCCAAGAATGAAGTTCCTCCATGAGGATTGAAATTATCGGGGAATCCTAGTTCAGGGCTATACTGTTCGAGTTTAGTGCCTTTCGGACCTAAGCACAAAAGCAAATCGGCCTCAAACAAAATCTTGGAGTTCTTATCAAATAACACCAACTCTTTGTTACGGTGGCTGGGCAAGTAGACAAACTCGAAATTGGAAAGGATAGACTCATCCTGGATGCCGACTTCCTTCAAGACACCAGAATCAATCAACTTGTTAGCATATTTGGAAGTAATAGGATAATCGATTGGTACGGGAACAGCATTGGCAGCAGCATCCATTCCAATAATTTTAAGGTTTGGATATTGCTCCTTGAACGACTTGGCAGCCATGGTGTGTTCAGCATCAGGAATAATCAAATACGTCACATTGAAGTCTTTTTCTCTGCCGGTCAATAGTTTCAAGCTCCTGACCACCTCATCTCCATATGGAATAGCTGACCACACAATCACCTCTCCATTATAGTGAAAAAGGGACATACGAGCCCCAAAATTGATAATTCCGGCTCTGGTAAATGGTGTTGATGCAATCACCACATTTTCTGTCAAGTTTCTTACTACCGCCTTCAAAGGTGTTGGATACATAGTCTGAAACTGATAATGATTATTAATTTATGTTTGCCCGAAAAAGTCGCTCTCAAAATATACCATACATTTGAGATTTACTATTCTACTTTGTGTCCAAGAAACTGAAGTAAGAGGTAAGTACTTGTTTGCCGTCGTCCAAAATATTCCCGTGACATGGAATCAATTTAGTGAAGTCTAAACTGTATATGGCCTTAATACCTGCTCTTCCTTCCTCAGTGTCTGTCATATTCAGCTTGTTGACTTGGTTAACCCAAAGTTTGTTACCAGGATAACACCATCTGAGTAAGTAAGACCATCCGGAATATGGATTACTTCCCTTGGGCCACCCAGTTTCTTCCGCGTACTGTTCAACCCCATCACGACCACTTGAGAAGGAAAGTGCAAAGTCTGCCGAAGTAACAAACTTGGAATTCTTATCATATAAGACCAATTCCTTTAGACGGTGACGGCTCAAGAACACCAACTGGAAGTTCTTAAGAAATGATTCTTCCTTTATTCCAATGGCTTTCAAAGCCTTCTCATCGAGGACCTTATTACCTTCACTAAATGGGATTCTGTAGTCAACCTCAAATTCGTCAGTTTGGAACTTTTCCAGAGTGATTACCTTGGCCTTTGGAAACGCCCGCTTGAATCCTCCCACTGCCTTGTAGTGCTCTTTATTGGGCACGATGATGTGAGACACGTCGAATTCGTCTTTACCAGTAAGCTCCTTTAGAGCTCTAACAACTTCACTGCCGTAGGGAAATGCCGAGTAAACAACCACTTTCCCATCGTAATGGAACAAGGACATTCGAGCTCCGACTCTCAATCTGTTGAATATGCTGAACGGAGCCGAAGCTATCAACACATTGTCGGATAACTTTCTGGTAACCGCTTTGAATGGGTCTGAATACATCTCGTAGCTGAATTATGGGGTGCGAAAAATATCTAAATTGCATATAAATTAAATAGCTTTGATAAGCATCAACACGTCCCCTGAGTTCATCACATCTCCTTCATTTACAATAACGTCCAACACTTCATACTTCAATGTTGATGGGTGGGCTGCCTCTTTTTTGGGCCCGTCGTCTTCATCATCACTTTCTTCTTCGTTAATGGCTCTCATGGGAATCTCCATCTTCATGGCTTCCAAAATGATCAAAACATCCTCACCAGTAATTATGTCTCCTTTCTTGACATTGATTTTAAAAATGTTTGCAGCCATGTTTGCCATCACTTTAATAGTAGAGGGGTCATTCAAAATCAGTTGATCAGTGCTTGTAGTTGTTTTTGCTGATTCCATTTCTTTCAACCATTTGGCTCTGGACACTTCTTCTTCGGCAATTAAAGCATCCATACTGACTTGCTTTTTTGCGTCTATTTCCTTCACTTCATCTTCAATATCCTTGAGAAAGTTAATGTACTCGTTGAAGTCAATTTCCACTTCTTCGGTTTCAATCTCTAATCTTCCAGCAAGAAGCTGAGTGTTCAATTCAGCCAACTTCTCTTCACTGACCTCATAGTAGGAAATTTGGTCAAAGTTTTCGTAGAAATATGGCTTTCCCTTCAACACACTCAATCGACTAAAAGTGTTCCAGCACAAATCGGGCAACACCATCCCCCAGATCATGTATCCCCCAGGACTGTCAATGGAGTAGATAGAGGTTGCAACTGATCCACTTCCAATAGCTCCTTTGGGTGTGAAAGTTCTCGCAGGGTTGTACTTGCCCGTCTTAATTCTAGTTCTTGGATCAAGGTTCACAGATAACGTATTGGCACACAAAAATGACACTGCAGTAACCACCTGGGTCTGGCCAATGACCGAGTTCTTGAAGTCTTGCATAGTCGCAAGGTTGTTGGCCCTCATTATATACTCCGTGTTATTGGGTAAGTATGGAGCATAAGGTCTTTGGGAGTGGATGTACCTGTCAATACAATGCTTTAAAGCACTGTGGTCAAAGCAAATTGGCAATTTATACAAGGTGCTCTTAAGCTTCAACTCGGATGTGGGAGGAATGGCAGCTTCAAGCTTGATAATAATCTCCAACAACTCTTTTCTAGAAATCTTATTTGTTTCAAATAAGACTCCAATCGCACCGGTTGTAATCTCGGTTCTAATAAGAGCCTTGGAAAAATCGCTCGATTTATCATAGGCATGGATATTGGTCTCCAACTGCTTATATCTCCCGTTGTTGACCAAAGTAAACTCTTCGATTCCAAAGTCAACCACAACTAACTTTTCTCCAGCTTGTCTGATGCTCAATTCAGGTAATTTACTTGTTTTCTCCCGGTGATACAATATAGTATTGTGTAATTTTGAGTCATCAGTTTCATACTCTTCCAAGTCATCATCAAAACTTGGGTAGTTGGATCCTCTTCTAATTGCTGACGACAACTCTTCCAAGTACGCTTCTCTCTTATTGTTCAACTTTATTGCGTCAGAATAACTAATAAGCTTGAATTGGATTTTGCTAGACACCTTGGCTTGTCCTGACTTCCACCATTCACTCTTTATTGGAACAGAAATGCATACAAATCCAGATAATGTACCACCATCAACACCAAATAAGGCCATCATACTTCCAACAACACTAATACCACAGGTGGGATAAGGGTATTCAAGGATGTTACTAGGATGGGTACCACCATCTCTTCCATCCGGTCTTGAAAATACATCCGCTTGTCCATCCAACCTTGTACATCCTCTATTGGAGTTCAAGTTCACTGAGTATATAGTGTTATAGAACTTGTCTAACTTCTGCCTATCACAAATACCAGGTGTATCATGAGGACCTCCAACACATCGAATAGTCCATATAGAATCTTCATCATAGCTTTCAACATCTGGAAGACTTGAAGTAGGAATTTGAGGTCCAAACTTCAATTCCTTTATTGGTGAACGTTTTACCACTCCGATGCAGTCACCAGCCATAATCACTCTTCCTTGGTGTCCCCCATAATTCAATGTTGGTGTGCAAGACTTGGATCCCAAGTACTCGGCAACATCAGGTAGACCACCTTGAATGGCCAAATAAGATCTTTGTCCGTTTCCAATAGCATCGCCAATCTTCACAATCGAATTCGCAGGAACCTCAATTGCTGCAAACATTGGAGCTGCTTTACCATTCACTTTGAATTTAAAATGAGACCCAGCCAATGCAATTACCGCAGGAGCATGGAACTTAATATAAGGGCCCTTCAGAGAAATCTCCAATCCAGCTTCTTCCATCTTATTGCCAACTAACAAATTAGCAATTTGAAATGATAAAGGATCAGCAGGACCACTTAAAGGAACACCAGCACTACATGCTTCTCTTCCTGGTAAATCTTGAATTGTAGTATACGCTCCCAGTTTTACAAATTCGATCAAACTTGGCTCAAATTTGAAAGTAGTATTCAAAAAGGAAGTCAAAGTGTTTCCAGACTGATAGGCTTCTGATTTCAAAATCTCAGTCAAGTAGTCAATGTTGTTAGTAGGCCCGTAAATCTTTGTGTTTTCCAAAACCTCAATCATTCCCTTAGTGGCCTTTTGCCTATCGGGTCCCCATACCATTATTTTAGCAATCAATGGATCAAAATATGGCGAAATCTTAGAGCCAGTAGAAACCCAATGATCAATGCGCAATTTGCAGCCGGGAATGAGTGCAGTTTCAGGATACTCAACCAAGTGTAATATTCCAGGAGAAGGTTGAAAGTTCTTGATTGGGTTCTCTGCATATACCCTGACTTCAATCGCATGCCCGCTTGGAATTGCGATGTTGTCGTTGTCTACCTCGTACGATCCTTCGCTCTTCAAAACATCTAATGGAATTCCCACTTCACCTTTGGCTTCATATTCTGCTTGTAAGAGCATCAACTTCATCAAGTCCACATTATAGATCAATTCAGTGATTCCGTGTTCTACCTGCAATCTGGTGTTCATTTCTAAAAAGTAGAATTCGCCCGTTTCATCATCAACCAAGAATTCCACAGTACCAGCGGATTTGTAGTTGATTGAAGAAGCCAATTGAATGGCACATCTGCTCAACTTTGTTCTCAAATCCTTATGATTATAAGTCGGCATCACCACAAAAGGACTGGGGGCTTCTTCAATAACCTTCTGGTGCCGCCTTTGAATTGAGCACTCTCTTTCGCCAAAGGCAACAACACCACCTTTACCATTTCCAAATATTTGCACCTCAATATGTCTTCCAGCTTCAACATATTTCTCTAAAAAGGCCCCCAGGTTCTTGAACAAGGTTTGACCTCTGGAGACTACTTCATTGAATGAATCAATTAATTCATTTTCATTATAGGCAACTTTCAATCCCATACCTCCCCCACCAGCAGTAGACTTGATCATGATTGGATAACCAATTTCCCGGGCACGAGAAACCGCTTCTTCGTCGCTTTCAATCAAGTTGGATCCAGGAACCACCGGAACATGGTTCTTTTCGGCCAAAACTCTGGCACTGTGTTTTAAACCGAAAGTTTCAACAGATTCTACTGATGGACCTGCAAAAATAATGCCTGCATTTTCTAATGCGTCAGCGAATGCACTATTTTCCGATAAGAACCCATAACCAGGAACCACAACATCAGCTTTGCAGTCAATTGCAATTTTGACGATTTCCTCGATGTTGATATATGCATTAGCACCTACTCCAGGTAATAAATGTGATTCATCTGACTGAACCACATGCATGGCATCACAATCTTCAGTGGAATAAATTCCGATTGTGTATAAGCCATTTTCCTTGCAGCTTCTTATAATTCTGCAAGCAATCTCTCCTCTGTTTGCAACAAGAACTTTCTTGATTTTGGTGAATTGGCTCATATTGTTCAAAAGTAATGAATGTTTGACGATTGTCAATTTTCAAGTAGTTTCAAAAACGGAGGCCCAATTGCAAATAGATAAAGCGGTATCTGAATCCGCTAATCGTTTTCCCAAAATGGAGCCCGCTCCCGCTGTTATCAGTCTAACAAAACATATCATATGGGGGTGGGGGAATACTGTGTGGTTCCCCGTGTAAGCCCGTGTTTGCCCGTTTGGGATACCCGCTTTGATAGTCTTATCGCATCGGCATTTGCAGTTTTAGTAAGCTAACGGCTACGGAATCTCAAAGTATCGCTCTTCGGGGCCCCATAAATTCTGTCCCGATCTCTGATTGTTAAAAGTTCAACTAATTCACTTTACCAATATAAACATGACCGACACATATACAAAAGCACCCAATGCACTTACGCCTATCAACTTAAGTGGCCCAGCCCCATCTAATAAGAAACTTCTTCCCAAGTATGAAATCAATTGTGATATGGGAGAAGGATTCGGGCCTTGGAAAATGGGCCCAGACGAAGATATTATGCCGCTAATTGATAGGGCCAACATCGCCTGTGGGGGGCATGCCTCAGACCCGCTGATAATGTTAAAGACCATTAAGCTCGCCAAAAAGTATGGCGTCGCGGTGGGGGCCCATCCAGGACTTCCTGACAAACAGGGATTTGGTAGGAGATCTTGGGCCATTGCTCCAGACGATGTGTACACTATGGTTTTGTACCAAGTTGGTGCATTGAAGGCCATGTGTGATAGTGAAGGAGTTGAGCTCTCTCATATCAAGCCGCACGGAGAATTATATTTTTATACCGAAAGAGATGCTGGCGTGAAAGCCGCCGTGATTAGAGCAGCCAAGGTTTTTGGTGTCCCATTGGTGGCCGGTAAAAGTGCCGATTATCAAGAGGTTGCAGCAAAGGCGGGTCAACAGCTTATCCATGAGGTCTACCCGGATTTACATATCTCTCCCGAAGGGTATTTAGTGAAGATCCAGGCGGGGCCAAAGTCTCTTAGAACTCCAGAGAGGATTTACGAGTGCGTGAAAAAGGCAGGAATGGTGGATCAAATTACTAACGTGGATGGCGAAGAAATGAATCTCGGCTTCGGAGGTGCTCCGATCTCATTTTGTTTACACAGCGATATGCCCACGGCTTTGGAAAATGTTATCAAGACCAGGGAGGCGGTTGATGAAATCAACCAATTGTATGGGCTCAAGTAAAACAAGTATATATGAAATCGACCAATAACATGGAGTATACAAATATCTGCTCACTATCCTTCTCTTTTCAGTATCCATCATGTAGTGGAAGGCTTCCACTTTATTAGCGGTTAGTTGCCTCAGGCCCCATCGGGCAACTGCCGGATCTCAGATACAGGCCTGTGTATATTTGCATATTAATTCCTCAGCTTACACTGTCGCTTACGGAATTGGTCTCTATCTGTTAGCGGGTAGTTTATCTTGGTTTGAAACGGTCCTGCTGATAAAGCTATTTTTACTTTTATGTTTTTATTGTTTTCAGCCTTTTACACTGGCGCTAACCTGATAACAGATATGGTATCTTATAAATGATGGATGAAACGCTGGAATTGTTTTAGAGATTGCTAGAATATATCAAAACGAAAATGACATCTGCAAACGGACAAGTGTTTGGAATTAGCGTTGGTTATGGTATGATTGTAGGGGTTGGTTTTGCCTTCGCTATAATCATGGTGGGTATTACCAAAATCTTATCTAAGTATATGAATGAAATGCAAGATTCAGAAATGCTTATGACAGCAAAAAGAAGTATCAAATCTGGTTTGGTGGCCAGTGCGGTGGTTTCTTCATGGACAATTGGTAGTACTTTACTTTTGTCGTGTACCTCGGCATATAGTAATGGGGTTTCTTCTGCTTATTGGTATGGAGCAGGTGCCTGTGTTCAAATCATTATCTTCTCGACAATGGCTTTGGAAATGAAGAAAAAAGCCCCTTCTTGTCATACTTATCAAGAGATTGTTAGAACTAGATACGGGCCCGCAACCCATATCGTTTCAATCATCTATTCGATTATTCAAATGGTTTGTTACACCACAAATTTGTTGATCAATGGTTCTTCTGTCTTTGAAGCCATTACCGGTGTCAACAGAGATGCTTCTATTGTTTTGTTCCCCATTGGAGTTATTATTTATACTTTATTGGGAGGAATTAAAGCCACCTTCTTAACTGATTGGACCCACACGGTGATTATCTATGCTATTTTGTTGACATTTATGTTCAACTGTTATGCCACTAATCCTATTGTTGGATCCCCAGGTGCCCTTTGGGAAATGCTTGTAGAAACCAGTGCAAGAAGACCAATTGCTGGTAATATGGATGGTTCCTTATTGACATTCAATTCGGTCCAAGGTGGATTATTTGGTTTAGTTCTTTTCGGGGCTGGATGGGCTGCTGCCGTTGACTCTCAATTGTTTCAGAAAGCTATTGCTGCTGACCACAAAACCTTGATTTCGGGTTATGTGTTGGGTGGTTTATGTTGGTTTGCACGTATGTATTGAACGACGCATGTGCGTCCGCAAAATGTGGCTTTTGCTGCAAATACCTTTTTTTTGGTGACTTTTACTAACAATTAAATTTTAGTTCCCTTCTGTCTTTCTACCACAATGGGTTTGCTTGCTGCTGGTTTGGAAACCCACCCGTCTTTCCCAACTTATCCAGAATTAATGACGGCAGACCAAATTAGCGCTGGTCTTGTATTACCTTTTGCAGCTGAAGCGTTGATGGGAAAATCCGGTGTTGCAATGGTATTAACAATGGTATTTATGGCTGTCACAGCCGCTTTCTCATCTGAAACAATTGCCCTTTCTGCCATGATGACCCATGATGTTTACAAGGCTTATTTTGATCCTAAAGCCAAAGGTAAAAAATTGATTTTGGTGTCCCATTCTTGTGTAATTGTATTCGGGATTGTTACGGTGGCCCTTGGTATTGGATTGTCTCATGCTGGTTTTGATGTTTCCTTTATTACCACTGCCTCGGGTATCATTGTCAATGTTAATGTAGGAGCAATCATCTTCACGTTATTCTGGAAAAAAGTTTCGGGCTTTGCTTATATGGCTGGTACCATCCTTTCAACCTTAATCTCCGTGGCTGTCTGGATGGGATACACTGTTTCCCAATCTGGATATGTTTCATTGTCTACTTTATCCACCAATGAAGCTTTGGCTGCTGGTAACACAATGGCAATCGGTGTTCCATTTCTCCTTATTCCCCTTTTCACCCTTATTAAGCCAGCTGATTTTGACTGGGATATCTGGTTAGACATCAAGCAAGATGATAACAGTGATTTCAACAAGGAACATGGATTGACCAATATTTTGAGTCAAGACGAAGCAACAAAGGCAATTTTGGATGAAAGGAATAGATTGGATAAAGAATTAAACAGACAAAGCAAGATCGGATTTGGCTTAACTATTTTGTTCGTTTTGTTCTTCCTTATCCTTTTTCCATTACCATTGTATGGATCCAAATACGTCTTCAGCAAAAGCTTCTTCAGGGGTTGGATTGTCGTTATGTTTCTTTGGGGATTCTTTGCTGCTATCACCATTATATTATTGCCCCTCTGGGATGGTAGACAATCACTTAAACGGTTGTTCGACATTGTTGTTCTCAAGAAGACTGAAGAGAAACCACTTGGAGATATTTACTTTGTCAAATCTCTTGAAGGTCAGACAATAGAAGAAAGTCCTGATGAATCTCTGAGTGTAGGCAAAGAGAAGATCAGCCAAAAAGTGGATCAAGTATAACTTTGTAGGTAATTGGGTGATATATATTGTAATCATATAAGATCTAAAAGGCTATCGTTATTTTGCAGCTGATGTGGCTGAGGTTTTATGCCCATGTTATAACTTGATCTGTTATTGGCTGTGGGTGTTAAAACACTGCTGTTAAATCCTGGAGGTTGTTTTGGAACCAATGAATTCATGTTGGAGCCTGAAATATTTGTTGGAGGAGTTGAGATTCTGCTCGAGGTTTGTGAACTAGGAGTTGGAGTTGCAGACTGGAAATCCAGAAACTCGTCTTTGTCAAATGTCCCTTCGAGAGTATGGAGTAATCTAGTAGGTTTATTGTCAGGAGTTGTAGATGTTGCACCAAAGTTTAAATTAGATTTCTTGTGTGGTTCACTCTTCAAATGCAAGGGTTGAATGTGATGTTGGGCAGGTTTCTTGTTCATTGGTTGAATCGGTGGAGTATGAGAGAATGAACCCACATTTTTAGGACTGGTACTTTGGCGAAGTCCTCTGCTTGGAGTCATAACAGGGGTTTGTGGGCCTGTAACCTTCTTATCCATATTATTATTGTTGATGGGTTGGGTATTAATCAAAGATTCAAAGTTCGAGGCGGGATCCTTCTGCAACGAGCTCTTGCCTGGGTCTCTGGTAGGCAAATCGGACAACTTCCTTTTCACCAAAATGCTTTGGATATCATTAAGCTGCTTAATGTACAGTTTGAATTCCAATTGCGTGCACTCGTTGCAACCAAATACCAACTTCGTACAAACCAGTAATACGGACTCCACCACTGTATCTAAGTCAAGCAGAATATGATCATTTGCAGTCAACTTATAGAAAAATTTCAAAACTGTGCTTACAATTCTTTTGTCCCTACTTTTAATGTTTTGGAAAATTGGTAGAAGCTGTTCAGTAACAATAATTTTATCGATAATATTGTTATCGACTACGTTCTCAAATACGGCGACAGTCGCCAACTTTGTGGATAGAATACTTGTAGTCTTGAACACTTGACAAATTAATGGGAAGAACGTATTCTTAATGTATGCAAAATCAAACTTATCAATGAATAAAACAGTTTTGCTTAGAAATATATCCTGGGCTTGGATTTGTTCAGCCTTAAAGTGCTGTTCATTGGAAGGTAAAGTTAAAATTAATGAGCAAGACTTCTTGATCAAGTCAGTCAAGTCCTTGGTATTTAACTTTTCCACGAGAATCTCTAAATTGGTTATCAATACCAATCTTACTTTAACCGAAAAGCTAATTAACTTATCAAAATAGTCTACTCTCTCCCTTCTCCTTCCCTTTGTATCTGCCATGAATAGCTGCTCGAATATCCTATCATGGAAAGTTAATTGAGAGAGACCAGCACCGATTTGCAATACGATTTCCAATGCACCACAAACAGTCTCTATTCTATTATTTGACAATTCTTCATCTTTTGAAAGAGTAACTCTCAATTCGGTCCTTAAAAATTCAATTAATAATGGCAACAATTTGTTGGTCTTGAAGTTTTGTGGAAATTGGGCCAAAAAGATTTTACCATCTTTAACCTCTAGCAACCCTCTTAAGAAAATAAGCCTATCTTCCACACTTTTGGTTGAAAACTCATCGACAAACCACATGACTTTGATGAGGCTTCCATTGAAATAATCCGAATCAATAAACTGATCTATGTTAATTCTATCGCTTGGATATCTTGCAAGAATGGAAGGAAATGTGCCATATAGTTGGTCCGGAATATCTTTCAACACATATTTCAAATCAGAAACTCTATGGTTATAGAACTTGGTTTCAAACTTTCTAAATTCACCTTTGAAATCACTTATGCTGTTTTGATCAAAGCAGTTGAGCAAATATTCCCCCTTATTATATATATAGTAAATTAAGCAGCCCAATGACCAAATATCATTACCAAAATCTAATTTCAGTTGACGATCGATAACTAATTCTGGAGCAACAAAGTTCATGTTCAAGTTCATAAATGGGACGGAAGATGTATTGTTCATAAGGAAAAAGCTTTCCCGCTCTTGTGGAGATATTTCATTAAGATTTTGCAAGAACCTGAATCCAGTCAATTTCCAGTCACCTTGTTGATTTATGAAAACTGAAGAAGGTTGCAAGTTCATATGAACAATGGAACAATAATTGTGTAAAAATTGAATACCTTTACACACTTCCAAAAGACCCTTTTGTATACTCAACTCGTCTAGTTTTTCAAAATCCACAGTCATCAAATTGTCTGTCACCGATTCCGTTACAAATAGGAACTTCAGCTTCGTTTCCTCCAACACTTCATAGATTGTTAAGATCTGGGGATGTTTCAACTTCGCCATTTGCCCCACTTCATACTTGATGAGCTCATAGCACTCGTTTATAATGACTTTGGGGTTCTTTGTGTTGGAAATCCTTGAACATAATTGGTGAATTACAGACTCAAACTTAGCCTTGTCAAATATAAACACCGATGCCAACTTCCCCGTGGTGTTATGCTTTGCCGTATAAATATGCCATGGCTCGTTAACAAATGAGGCATTACTCAGGACGTCATAAGTGGCCCTTATACCTGATTTAAAAACCGACTTGAACATCTAACATACACTTCACCTTAAACCTGGTGAACTAAATGATTTGATGAGTCCCGCGAAAAAAACCACTAGAACAAACAGAATTGCTTGTCGTAAGATGGAAATATTAGAGGAGAATTATCAACACTCAGCGGATAGGCTAGACAAGCCATCTCAATACTTGATCAAGAGGGCCATTAGGAGACAAGATTTTGATGATTTACAGAAAGCTCTCACCTCCAAAACAATATATGTGGGAAACTTATCCAACTTCACCACAGAGGAACAGCTTTTCGAGTTGTTTCTGAAATGTGGAAACATTGATAGAATCATAATGGGGTTGGACAGAAATAAGCTTACCCCCTGTGGATTCTGTTTTGTCATATACAAAGAGGAAGGAGGACTGTTGAATGCCATTAAGTACTTGAAGGCCACTGTGCTAGATGGACAAAGCTTGGAAATCGATTTAGACCCAGGCTTCAGAGAAGGTAGACAATTTGGAAGAGGTTTATATGGTGGACAAGCAGCTCATGAAGGCTCTGTGAATGCTCCTCGGGGTGGTTACAGAGGAAATTTCAGAGGAAATCCAAGAGGTGGGTTTAGAGGCAGAGGTGGTCCAAACTTTAGAGGTAGAGGCTTCTTCAGAGGAAGAGGAAACTTCAGAGGAAGAGGAGGATACAGTGGCTCGAGCGGTTTCCAAGGTGGTGACTATCCCCCGGAAGGACCAATGCATTAATTGAATCATTAATTGTATTTTTACTAGTATACGAAAAATAGAAGATCATGTATAACGCCCAGTAAAGCAAGGTATTACGTGTATATGTGTTCTCTTCAAGTTGTGTATCTCAACTACATATTTAATATCAAATTATTGTGATGAGATAGCAAATGTTCGCCAAATCCACGGAAAATACAGCAGATAACAAGTTAAACCTTATATCTTAAAAAAATTGAAACTTATCTTTTCAGTAGTATACATAATATATTGTACAATAGAATATTATTCCCACGGCACACGTTCCACGTGTTACCTCTCTATTACCCTTTTTCATCACAGTACAATATACACTAGGTTATCGTGATTGATCCGGAAAGCTCCCGAACGTCAGCTAGTATCTTCCTTGGAAGTAGCTCACAGGCACATACACATCATCACCTTTCAAGCCTTTCAATTCCTCAAGGTTTCGCACATGCCATCCAATATGGTCAATGTCATGTTTAATGTCATCGATTTCATTGAACTTTGTATGGATAAAATAAGGCTCCAATACAAACTTTGTCACAAGGGGTGGTATTGACAAACCAGCGATAAGTCCAAAAGTGACACGGGAGGTGAAGATGGACGACATCTTGTAGGGAATACTACAACAAATAAAGATTAAGACAGGTAAATTGTTTCCCCTTTTATAGTTATTGTGGGGGGATGCAAACCTGTAGATCCCGGGGCACATGAGCGACTTTTTTTAATTTTTTTTAATTTTTGCAGTCAATTCCTGGAGCTTTCCGGATCAAACATAATACTCACAAAGTATATATATTATAGTTAAGCTACTTGTTTGCCACCGTATAAAGCTCTCCACTCCTCGATCTTCTTTTCATCGATTCTCTTGAACAAGTATTGGGGCTTTCCAATACAATGACCACCAGAAAGAACAATTTCGAATTTATCGGGGATAGTCAAAGTTGGGGCATTCAAAATCTCATTGATTTGAGTGGTGGTGTCAGGTATGAATGGACTGAGAAGACTTCCAATCAAGTAAGCCAAGTTCAACCCGATGCCAATGACAGCATCACTCTTATCAGGAGAGTTCTCATACAAACTGTTATCCAATTTGTTGTCTTGTAAAAACTGGTTGCCACGAGCAGAAATGGCCATGGCAAGTTCTAACCCTCTACGCAAGCTGACAGCCTCCATAGATTCAACGTAAGATGCCAACAATTCATTGATGTCTTTTTCAAATTCTTTGAAGTTTTCAACATTCTTAGTATCAAAATCAGCAATGACTCCGTTGTACTTAGTGCTCACAAACTTAACGATTCTATTGACATAGTTACCCACATTAGCCAATAATTCTGAGTTGTTCTTAGTGACGAAATCGGTCCATGAGAATTGTGAGTCTCCAGATTCAGGCCTAATAGAAGCCAAATAGTATCTCCATACGGATGCAGGGATTCCAGTGTCTTTGGCGTTGTTACCAAACACTCCAACTCCTCTGGATTTGGAGAACTTTCCTCCTTCGTATTGTAAGTATTCCGTGGTACTCACATGGTGCACCTTGGTCCATTCTTCTCTGGTTCCGATCAAAGATGCTGGGAACACAACAGTATGGAAAGGAACGTTATCTTTACCCATGAACTGGTACAAGTTGACATGTTCAGGGTTTCTCCACCACTTCTTCCAATCCTCAGTGGAATTTTTGGACTTGAAATAGTTGGCAGTAATGGAAACATATCCAATGGTAGCATCAAACCACACGTACAACACCTTTTCCTTGAACTTCTCTAATGGCACCGGAGTACCCCAAACTAAATCTCTGGTGATACATCTTGGTTCTAACCCTTGTTTTAACCAGTTCTGGGTGATGTTTCTAGTGTTCTTAGACCATGCTCCCTTTTCGGAGGCTTCTTCGACCCAAACCTTTAATTCAGGTTCTAAGTCATTCAATTTAAGATAAATATGAGTCGAATCTCTAGGAATTGGGGTAGCATTATCCAATTTACAGTGTGGGTTGATCAATTCAAAAGGATCCAATAAAGTACCACACTTGTCACACTGGTCACCTCTAGCATCGTCATATTTACACTTTGGACAAGTACCTTCGACGTATCTGTCAGCCAAGAACGATTTGTGGGTTTCACAGTATAATTGTTTAGTAGTCTTTTCTTCCAAGAATCCATTATCAAACAATTTCATGAAAATATCTTGGGCGATTTCGGTCTGCAAATCGGTGGTGGTTCTTCCGAAATAGTCAAATCCAATACCAAACCATTTGTAGATTTCTGCGTGAAGGGCGCTGAACTTGTCACATAATTCCCTTGGAGTCATCTTCTCTTCCAACGCTTTAGTTTCAGTGGCAGTACCATATTCATCAGTTCCACAAATGAACAAAGAATTGTAGTTTCTAGCTTTGGTGTAACGAGCGTAAATATCGGCAGATAAAACAGAACCTATAATGTTACCCAAGTGAGGAACATTATTAACATAAGGCAAAGCAGAAGTGATGATGATGTTTCGTTCACCTTCTTTAGGAAGAATACTCTCATCATTAGACTTAACAACAAAACCTGGTTTCACCTTTTGAGCCCCAGTGTTAACAGCCTTTGGTCTCTCAACTTTAGTGATGGAGCTCGCCAATTGAATACTTTCGGAAACTCCACCAATCTTGGAAAATTCATTAGCCCAATTGGCCAACCCAGAACCTTCAGGAACATCTTTCAAGTAGGGATACACTGACGAGAATAAGATGATTTGAGAGGCCGTTAACTCAGCTTTGGTGAATGGACTTGATTCGCTCTTGATAAACGAAATGACTTCTTCTTTCTTTCCACTTTTATGTGCCAGGTACACAGCTGTTTCTTCTATGGAAAGGATTGAAGCAGAATCGAAATCGTTTATAAGATACTTAACAATAGCGTTGGGTTCAGTTAATTCAAACCCAGTAGCCTTGTTAAGTAATTTGAGGTTTGAGTCATCTTCGCTATTGACCTTAAGATTGCCATCTGCAGCCTTCGCAGCAACAGTCACCTTTAAGTTGTTCACCAAGCTCAAAGTACTATTCCCTTTGTCGCTGAATAATTGTAAGGAAGCCATGCTGATTATTTCGGACAAACCTGTTCTGGATATATTAACTGAATGTCCTTCCTTTGGATGATAAATTTTCAGTCGCACTTTTGGGACCATTAGCGCACTGTGGATCAAGCAGAAAGATGATCAGAAATGGAGTTAAACAGTTTCTACGAGGAGTTGTAACGAATTCAAAGCCGGACAGATGGAATAGTATCATTTCAGAAATCAGTTCTTGTGGAGGCAATGGTGAAAAGTTTACCGTCAAAGACAACATTCTCACTATAGGCACTACAACTTGTGGATCAAAGATCCTTTCAGAATTTGAAAGTCCTTTTGATGCTACAGTGGTAAAGCTTCTACAAGACAAAGGATACAATTTGGTTGGCAAAACAAATCTAGATGAGTTTGGGATGGGATCTTCCAATACAAATTCCAATTTTGGTCCTTCTGTGAATCCATTATTTGAAGATGGCGAGTATGTGACAGGAGGTTCTTCGGGAGGTTCTGCTGCCACTGTAGCTGGTGGTTTATGTGAGTTCTCTTTGGGTACGGATACCGGTGGCTCTATACGACTTCCAGCATCTAATTGTGGTGTTTATGGCTTCAAACCGTCCTATGGCAGGCTCTCTCGGTGGGGTGTTATTCCTTACGCTCAAACCTTAGATACAGTAGGAATTATTGCTAGAACATGTGAGAAGGTACAAGAAGTATTCGAAGTTCTTGATAAATATGACTCCAAAGATCCCACTTCACTCAGTGTGGAAACTAGAAAAGAAATATCAACAGTTGTTTCCAAAAGAAATCTGCTTAGGAATGGCATGTTCAATATTGGTATACCTGAAGAGTTCCTTGTAGAAGAGTTATCTGATGCTACCAGGAATAAATTGTCTAAAGCTGCAGAAGCACTTTTGGATATGGGACACAATGTTGTGGCTATCTCAATACCTTCAATCGAAAAACTGTTACTGGCATATTACACCATAGCAACGGCTGAAGCTGCGTCCAACCTTTCACGATATGATGGGATACGATTTGGTAAAGGAGATGAGAACTTAGATGGAGCTGCCAATGTTGTCAAGGGAAATAGAAGTTTGGGTTTCGGGAAAGAAGTTCAAAGACGAATAATTCTAGGGAATTATACCATTTCATCAGATTCAGGAGACCATTACATTAAAGCCACAGAACTCCGTCGACATTTGGCTGACGAGTTCAATAACATTCTATACATACCAAATCTTTTAACAAATTCGGAGTTTGAGTCTAAGGATGTGGGAAAATGTGACTTCATACTTGCTTCAACAACCATAAATACACCCACGACAATTGAGGAATTCCTCCATAAAGAACACCAAAATTTGCTAGAATCCTACACAAACGATATTTTAACGACTCCCATGTCATTAACAGGAGTACCAACCATTTCATTACCGATTCTAGATGAGGGTAAAGCAATATCTACCCAAGGAATCCAACTTTTTGGACAATTTGGAGATGACAGAGCATTGCTTCAAATAAGCAGCCATTTGATGAACCATTTACTCTAATATTTTATTCAATTCAATATATAAGGCTATAAAAGTATGAAGTTGAATGTCATCACGTCATAAATAAATTTATACAAAACTTTCTAGTCATTAATATGAAGAAGAACATTGTTGAAAATTCTCCTTCCAAACAGGGTATACTTGGATGTTTAGCGTCTTCCTAGCAATGTAAGAAACTCTTCTCTGGTTTTTTGTTGTTCTCTGAAACAACCTAACATGCAACTGGTGGTGGTTGAAGAACCAGCTTTCTGAACTCCACGACTCACCATACACATGTGAGTAGCTTCGATGACAACAGCTACTCCTCTTGGCTTAAGCATTTCACTTAAAGCCATGGCAATTTGCTTAGTCAATCTTTCTTGTACTTGAAATCTCCTAGCATACATTTCGGCTAATCTAGCAAGCTTGGATAATCCCAAAACCCTCTTGTTAGGAATGTAGCCAATATGAGCTTTACCAAAGAATGGAACAAGGTGATGTTCACATAAAGAGTAGATTTCAATATCTCTTACAATAACCATTTCATCATGATTCTCTTCGAACACAGCCCTTTTGATAACGTCTCTAATATTATCTTCATAACCCTTGGTGAAAAACAACATGGCACGAGCATATCTTTCTGGAGTTTCAAGTAGACCTTCTCTATCAACATCTTCACCTAATTCGTGAAGAATGGTTTTAACAGCACCAGCTATACGAGCTTCTCTGGCTTTTGCTTCTTCCTCCGTTTGTTCCAAGCGGGCCCTAGCTCCTTGTGATGGCCATGATAATCCGTCACTATCTATTGGTGGATTCAATGTACAAGGTGATGCCATTCTTGTCTGTAAGGGTGTACCGTAAGTGGCGGATTTGGGGATCTCATCTTCACTCAATCTGGATCTCTTCAAGGGAAGGACCGATTTAGGAGCAACAATAGCTTTCAGTAGACTTCCACTGGAGGTCAGAGATGCCCCACCGTTGGTATTCTTGTCGAAGTCGTTGGAAGATCCCATTAGTTGATGTGTATAAACTAGCAATCCTAGGTAAGATAAGACTCACTAGGCAAAAGTAAATTTTTCAGCTCCAATAGAACGAGTCAAATTCAAGAGCGTGCGAAACTTGCAAAATTCAAGCCTATCGATTACAAAGCATTTTGATAATCGTGTAAAAATCGTATCTAAAAACTATTATAAATTAAGGTTGCCAAATATAACCATATAAAATTGTTCGTTATTCGTATACTTAATTAGCTGGAAGAACCTAGTCAGAGGAAAACGGGTTCAATACTCTGACAGTCAAACATGGGAGGGCCATGCCGATTTCTGCCCGAATTAAAACTGGAACTTGTGTCAACTCTTTTATTTCTTGAATGTTGTAGTTTCCCTCACGCCTGATAGTCAAGTTCTCCAAGTAAGGAGTCAAACTATGATCAGATTCCACTGATGAAGATGGAACCTTCAACTCTGGAGCTTTGATATTCAATTTTGATAATTTTTCAACAATGTCATCCGGAGAGCTGGACCGCTTCTGTGATAAAGTTCTACCTTGGATCTTAGCAGCCTCGGAGGACGAAGTTCTGTACTTGTTTTTGATAGAAGATCTGTATGACAAAGAAGATTGTTCATCGGGAGGGATATAGGTAGCTGAATCAACGCCACTTTCCCAAAACAATTCCAAAACTCGGTTAACTTTGTCAAATTCGGCCTTTACCAAAGGAAGCTGATCTCCATGAACACGCTTTTCAACACCAAATTCAGGAATCAATACATCAAATGATGACTCATACACTTGAACAACAGTACCTATGCATAATAATTGACCAGCAGACTCGCTCAACCCATTGATGGTTTGAGATAACAATAAATGAATTGCTTGCTCTTGTGCATTATTAGCACAATCTTTCTTGAAGTTACAGTAGTCAGTAATTGCCTTCAATGAATCCAAGTCCTGAGTCTTGAGTGACTCATACTCATCTGTAATCAAAGACTTGAGTTGTCTGTGGACAACAATATCAGCATATCTTCTCAATGGAGAAGTGAAATGAGTGTACAAAGGCAAATTGAAGTAGTAATGGCTGTAACTATCGGGATCTTGTTTGCCAGCAATATAATATCTACCACGAGTCATGCATTTGTATAACAAAGTCTCAACACATTGTCTCTTGATTGGATCTTCAATGGATAAAATGGATCTTTGTAAACTAGCAGAATCGGTAGTGTCAATTTTAAATCCCAAATTGGAAGCCCTTCTTACAAATGTCTCCATTTTCAGCAATGTGGGCAATGGATGACGACGTAATAAGGCCTGGTCACCCAAACCAGCGTGAACTTTAGCGGCAATCGCACTGTTGACTTTGTGAGAAATCTCAGTGATAATATCATACGTGAGATTATCCTTGAAAATGTTCAAGTCCAACCTGACTTTTTCATCATCCAAACGATCCAACAACGTCAAATTAGGAGAAATGTCCAAATTCTTATCATTGAGCCTTTGACGACGGAACTCTTTTGCAATCAAATTAAAAGTTTTAACATAATCAGAAGTGGCTGATGAAATAGACTCCACTGTTTTACCACTAAGAATAGCATCAACCGAATCATAATTAATCTTTTGCTTGGGAACAATCACAGATTCATGAATATAAAGGTCTTCCACCTCAAAATTGGTGGTATCAATCTCGAATACAACCGAAACTGCCAAGTTCTTCTCGTTCTCCTTAAATGAAATGATCTCATTAACTTCAGGGGGTAATAAAGGGGTAACCTTCTGAGGTAAAAAGACAGAAGACGATCTCTTTTTGGCCTTCCTGTCCAAAACAGAGCCCGACTCGATGAAATAGGTGACATCTGCAACGTGGAAGCCTAATTCTATTTTTGTATTGGAGATACGCTTCACATGTAAGGCATGCTCGACAAAGTCACCATTTTGCGAAAATGCAATAATATAATCATAAAAGTATTGCGTTCTGCTAGCACTCTCGAGCTCTTCATCTGCAGATGGCAAATCATTGATGTATGACTCAATTATTGACTTATCCTCGTCAGCGCTTGGGTATTCATCACACAAGAAGTTATTGTCTCTCAAGATAGCATCAACTTCGGTTTCGGGGTCATCAATTTTACCCAATCTGTTGACCAAAGTACCAAACGGATGCAATGAAGTAATGGGCCATCTTTTGATAGTTGCAATAAATAAGTCATTGGCATACTTTTCGTGGTTTTCTACAAAGTCTTTAGGTGCTTGTTCAGTAGGAATTGCAATCAATGGAACCTTCTTATCAGTTGGCTTGAACCAAACAATTTTTGGTGCTCTTGGAGTTTGAACAGAAGACTCTTTACCATCTTTCTTGTCTCTAGCCGCTTGCGCAGCTTGAGCAGGTCTCAATAAGCCCAACGTACCAGCAAACAATTGGTTTCCAATACGGTCAACCACGGCAACAACGTGACCGGCATATAATGGTTTAACATCATCATTGATTTCTTCTTCTTCGACCAAAAGTAAGGATTGACCTTCAACTTCAACATCGTCATTCTTCTTCATAGTTGGTCTTTGTTTCAAAGAACCTCTTCTTCCAAGATTAGAATCACCAGTATCATACGATTCTTGCTTGGAAAACTCATTAACCGATGATGAAGGGAATGAAGTTGCATCATTGTTGATATCATCATTCAAAACAGAAGTAGCTGGAGACTTTGAAAAGTTGTTGTCCTTTCTCCTTTTCTTCTCTTCCTTTTCTTTCTTTGATTCCCAGACTTCGTCAACAACTAGCAACTCAACAGCAACAAAATCACCCTCCAATGCACGGTTACGGTCCTTTGAACCACAAATAAAAATATCAGCATCCAACAAACCATCGGTTGAAACGTAGGCATCAGATCTGTTCTTCTTGTTCACTCTTAAAATACCAGTCACCAATTTACCTTCGTTGATCAAGTCGGGCAACGAAGATTGAGGCAAGTAAGGGGCAAAAAGGGACTTTCTGCCATTAGCATTGTTGTTGTTATTACCACCATTTGGAGAGCTGTTTGGTAAGAATTGAGACAATGAAGAAACAGAAGATCCTCCACCATATGAGCTATTACGAGGTCTGTGTCCAGGAACAAAAGGCTGGGGGGGTTCTAACTGTGAGCTTTGTCTTTGGTGATTTTGTTGGGTCCTCCAATTACTGCTGATATTGTTATCGTAATTTCTGGAATTGGTCCTATAGTGAGAACCACGCCGTTGATGGCTTTGGTTTCTATCAGGGCTGTGGCTTATATTCAAGCTTGGAGTAGGAGGTAACAAGGTGTTTTTGTCAGGAGGAAACTTAAAAGACGGTTGACCATAAGCCAACGATCTGGACCTTCCATGAGTTCCAGATGGAGATGTACCTAAAACTGGGCTGGAACTATCGCTATCGCCATCGGAGCCACCGGAACTAGCAGGAAACTTGAACGAACCGATGGTTTCATTGTCAGGGTTGCTGACGGGGCTACCTGAATTGATATGCTGGGTACTAGATGATGGACTCAATGAACTTAAGTTGGATTGCCGTTGGTTTGCAGCAGCTCTGATGGCTTCATTCAAGCCTAATGAATGTCTTCTGTTATGACCCATGCCTCCAGAGTTGGAGCCGGTTCTCCTATGGCTGCCAGCATTGGCATTCGTGTTGTTGGAGTTGGAGTTGGAGTTGATAGATGAGGATCTGGAGTGACCAGTACCACCACCTCTATAGTTGGATGAGGGAGGGGGCATCAACTCATTACCATTAATGTTTCTAGAAATGTAGTTCATCTGCTGCTGTTGCTGTTGTTGCTGCATCAACTGTTTTTGTTGCGCTTGGACTGCTTCCAACTGCCTTTGAAGGTTATACTGTTCCACCATCAAGTTTGTGAGCTCACTAGGAGACCGTCTGTGGGCAATGTGTAAGTTCTTGGGTTTCTTGCTGGCATCATTAAGGTTTGTTCCTGCAGTAGGAATATTCAAATGATCGTTTCCACTCATTTTGGTACTGCTCGGAACAGGTGGCAAGAAAGATGCTAATCTATAAGGAAAGCTGTGGCTAGAAATTCAGCAACTTTTAGGGAAAAACAGTAATGACGGATAGATGAATCAATCAGTTAATCAATTGTTCAATGGCAGCCAAACAAAAAAAAATCGGTTATATCCACAATATATAAAAAGAGAATAAGCCAGGTTTCAATGGATGGTGGGGATTCTGAATGCAACAGGGGAAAATGGTTCCTGAAAATGATTGATTGATTGATTACACTAGGTGGTAACTGAAAAGGGATTGAATGTTCAGTGGCTGATACTAGATGAACAAAAGAGCGTACTAGAAACAATAAAAACTTGTTAACTTTCAAATGACTGAGAATTTTTTACTCCTGAAAACTGCTGTATAAGTATTACTGCGCGGGAAAAAAACCGCGGGGCACGACGATTTGTTTTTGCAGTAGATGGATTAGCGTTATTATATTTAGAAGTATTTAACTCCTTGTAGGAAATTCCAGGGACACATGGATTGAGATTACAGTCACCCTGAAGAGTTTGAATTTGTATTAGAGTAGAATCCGATAAATATTGTTGGTTGATAAACCACATTCCTGATTCAAACCTGCTGGTAATCAACCGTGCTAAAACCTTAAAAGAGCGGTTGGCATTTGCTACCGTAGATCAAATAAAGCAGGCTCGCCTGGCGGCTAGCTTATTTTCTTTTGTTTACTGATCCAACAACCTAGGCCTGCATCACCTGACATGGGCCTATAATATATTAAATCACAATCTTCACAATTTGTGTTTCCAAAGTACATGTATCTAGGAGTACAATTTCACCAGTTTGGCTGAATTTAGGAATGCTCAAAAGCTTAACGGAAATATTATTCTGCAAGTTGATGCATTTATCGATGAACTTGGATTGATTCCCCACAAAGTAAACATGAGGCGTTTCATTAGATAAAGTAAACGGATCACAATTATCAAAGGGATAACAAAATAAAGTATCAGGAGCAGTTGGTGCAATGTTCTGCCACTTAAGGGTTCCTGCCATTACTTTAAACACAATTTGAGGGTCTTGCCGCATTTCATTGGTTAGATACTTCAAGATATCATTGACGTTCTGCCCTGACGTTCCAAGGTATCTGACACCTTCAACTTCAAGCCAAGCAGGATTCGTCAATGCTTTAATGTTTTTTCCCACGTAGTTTTTGCAAGTTAAGAAAAACGACTTGTGCAACAGTTGTTGAGGAAGGCATATGTCCGTTGGATCACTTTCTCCGGGCATTATGGCCACAGAACATGTGGCCACCAAGTCACTGACGAATTTGTCAAATGATTTGAGACACTCGGCGCTGAATCGAGAAATGTTCTTGCTCCCATAATTGTTCAGTGAGTGGTAATCATCATTATTGGCCTGTTCGAGTTCTTTAATAGAACTGCCTGCGATTACCACCTGTGATATTTGAGCAACCAGTTGCTTATCATCAGATTCTCCTATTTCTCCTTGTAAATACTGTTTTAAAAGCTCGAGTTTTAAATCGTAGTTTACAGACTCAGTTATTTCAAGTCCAGATACGAACGCAATTTTGGTACCTTGACGGTCACTCACAGTTGGAAGCAGCCTCTGAGGAGCAACACTAGGATAAATAACGTCAATGATTTCAAACACTCCAGCTTGCAATTCAATACCTAGAACAGCAACAATCACCCCAGTAACTAGGATATTCTCCTTGAAAAACTCATCACCCTCTAACACAGCTCTACCTGATTCGTCTTCCAACATTACAACTTCACCAACATCCTGTGACCTATAACTATCGGGAATTTGAGGGAGAACATCGTCGGTTCCTCCTTTCACGTCGTTTAAAATATTCAACTTGTTGCCCAAGTCACAGAAAACAGTTCCACTCACCCAGCACAACTTGTTGCTGGTTATATTTAAGATCCTGTCAACCTTTTGTATTATCTGCCCGTCTCTCTTCAAGGTCCCATTCCCCCATTTGGCCATGGCTTGTTCATCCACTCTCAGTTTTAAGCTGTTCATACGGGACTGGTACATGGAGGAAAATTGATGATCATACCTTCTCCCAGTATTCGCCAAATCAAACTCATTCTTCTTGTCATAATCATCTGGTATACAAGGCTCTCTCCTTTTGATAACCGGTTCTATCCCATCATCGGCACTATGAATGTAGTCTTGATACTTCATCATGAACTTGAAGTGATTTAAAAGACGCGTAGTAGTGGAAAAAATATTGAGATGCGATTTTGATAATGGTTCATTTACTATGCGGTCTATTCAACTATACATCATTATTCCTTAATCACGTCTTTGCTTCTTATGCTTCTTCTCTATGGACTTTCCACTGGCTCCAATGGTGATGTTCACCTTAGGAGGAATGTCGAATCCAAATGATTTCGCCACCTTTACGAGATCCAACTTATCAATTTGGTAAACTGTTTTCAAGTGATGAGAAGCATATGCCTGCAAATAAGCTCTGTAACCATCTTTGGCAGACTGGTGTAACCAGTAGTTACTCTTGATCAACTTTGTCAATTGGGATTGTACATTGGCGATTTTTTTGGTAGGGAATTCGTATTCATTCAATGGCACATTTGCAGCCTTTAAGTACCTTAAGAATCCCAATTCGGATGGGAGCAAGAACATCAATGATTTACCCTTTCCGTCAGTACCTCTTGCAGTTCTTCCCACTCTGTGGATATAATCTCTTGGATCATCCGGAGGATCAAATTGGATGATCCAGTCAACAGCAGGAATGTCCAAACCTCTGGCAGCCACATCCGTGCAAATCAAAATCCCTTGCTTTGCATTACAGAACTCAAAGAATGTGTTGGTTCTCTTTTGCTGCTTTTGTTTACCATGTAAGTCCAATACTGGTAAATCGATGTAGTTCAATAATTCTCCAAAGTATTTCACACAGTTACAGGAAGACAAAAACACAATTATCTTCTTCTTGACGTTTCTCTTTAAAAATGAAAATAACAACAAAAATCTCTTGTCAGATTCACATGTTACGTAACCTTGTTCCAATCCATCAGCAGTTGATATCTCGGTTTCGGGAACAACATTTATATACAAAGGACCTGGCCTCAAAGAAATTCTTGCCAAATCTTCCACTTTGGTGGTTTGAGTAGCTGAGAATAACATAGTCTGTCTTTCCTCTTTAGGTAAAATCTTAATGATTTGTTTCATTTCATCTTCAAACCCAATTTCCAAGATTCTATCGGCTTCATCGATGATCAAAGCTCTCAAGTTTCTAAACACAAATCCCTCGGTATTTTGCAAATGGTCCAACAATCTTCCTGGAGTTGCAATCAAAAGGTTTACACCCTTTTGCAATTTTTCTGCTTCTTGTCTTCTGTTAGCACCTCCAATTACAATCCCAAAAGTCTGAGTATGATGTGCCAATAACTCTCTAGCAACACCAAAGATCTGTAAGGCTAATTCTCTGGTGGGGGAAATCACCACTACCCCAGTTCCATTTCTTGGCTTGAATTTCAAAGAGTATAACATCTCGATAGCAGGAAGTAAAAATGCTAATGTCTTACCAGATCCGGTTTTTGCGGCTCCCAAGACATCCCGTCCGGCTAATAATGGTGGAATGGTTTTGGCTTGAACCTTGGTCATTGTTTTAAATCCCATATCTTCGATAGCTTTTAAAGTTGGTTCAGATAACCCAACCTTGTCGAAGTCAAAATTTACATCTTTGTCATCGTCGGAAGATTTTGTGACTTCTTCCACCTTGGGCCTTGGTGCAGACAATTCTTCGTCCACTTGTTTGCTCTTCTTAGACTTTTTAGCTTCTGGATCCTGAACATTCTCACCTAACAATTCTGCAACCTCATCGAAATCATTATCAACTTCATCGACTAATTGCTCATTATCGAATTCGACTTCACTTTCGGAGTCAATTTCTTGATTTGACCTCTTTTTGGAATGCTTTGCTTGTTGCTTGTGTGACCTGGTGGAACCACCATTTGTTTTACTGCTCTTTCCCATATTTAGCTTCTGCAATTTTCTCTGGAGCAGAGCATCTCATCTTGAATATTTTTTTTAAAGCAGTGCGCACTGGGAGGACCGGCCTGCATACATACGTACACAAAAGTGGCCATAAAATCATAAAGAGTCATTTTGGAACTTATGTTAACATGGCCAATTATGATGTTAACTCCACCAAGTCGTATATGCAGAGTATGTATCAGATGATGGAGACACTTGATCTGCTTGAGATACCTCAGACGACCAAAATTCCCGCCATGGACAATGAACAAGAAAAGACATCTTCCATAGATAAAATCCTCCAGAAGTTTTCAAACCTTGACACAGACATTGTTAATAGAGTTCAAGATGTTTTGAGTTCGAAATCATCGGTTGTAAATGAAATACGAAAAGAATGTGATAGGTTAGCTGAGGCTAACCACAATGAAAACTTATTTGAAAGTGTTAAGAACTTGCTTATTGCAAGTAATAGTGAGGAGGAAATTCAGTCTTCTTTATTCGATATCTTAGGGTTCGAAGAGATCGATTTGATCTCGAAGATTGTTCAAAACAAAGATGTTATCATAGAAGCTACTGATGAAGAAACTGACGACTCGACGAGTGGAAAGTTTATGACACCTGAAGAAAGAATCCAGTTTTTGGTTGAAAATCAGGAGCGTCTAAAGCACCAGAAACTAGCACCACGACAGTCTGGTAACCAGTATCCTCATGTATTCAAGAAAGAAGATGTCAGTCAGTTTTTGGCAGTCTTAGGAAAAAATGTTGCATTACCTACTGGTTCACTCAGAACTTCCCATCCAGCATACGAGGAGTTGGTGATACCGTACCCTGAACAACATGCAAACAAATGGATTTCAGACTCACAACTCGTCCAAATTAAGGACTTGGACTTTCTTTGTAGAGGAACGTTTTCACACTACGATACTTTGAATAAAATGCAAAGTCTTGTGTATCCAGTTGCTTATAATACAAATGAGAATATGTTGGTTTGTGCTCCAACCGGGGCGGGTAAAACGGATGTTGCTATGCTTGCTATTCTTCACGCAATTGATCAGTATACAAGCGAAACCGTTGATGAGGAAGGAAACATATCTGTTGATATTGACTATCAAGAGTTTAAAATTGTGTATGTAGCTCCTTTGAAGGCTCTTGCAGCCGAAATTGTTGAAAAATATTCTGAGAAGTTGAAATGGTTAGGAATAACTGTACGAGAACTTACTGGTGATATGCAATTAACCAGGTTAGAGATGATGACTACTCAAATCATTGTCACCACTCCAGAAAAGTGGGATGTGGTTACCAGAAAACTGGGAGGAGATAACGAACTTGTGACCAAAGTCAGACTATTGATTATTGACGAAGTCCATCTTTTGCATGAAGATAGAGGGTCAGTTATAGAGACCTTGGTAGCCAGAACCTTGAGACAGGTGGAAAGCACCCAATTAATGATTAGAATTGTGGGTCTTTCTGCTACATTACCCAACTATGTCGATGTGGCCGATTTTTTGGGAGTGAATAGGAATATCGGAATGTTCTATTTCGATCAAACTTTCAGACCGGTTCCACTTAAACAGGATTTAATTGGAGTTAGAGGAAAGGCTGGATCCAAAACTGCTAGAGATAATTTGGATATAGTATCGTATGAAAAATTGGCGGAGTGTGTTAAACAGGGTTTACAAGCCATGGTGTTTGTTCATCAGAGAAGAGAGACTGTAAATTCTGCCAATGGGTTTATTTCCAATGCTTATAACTATCATGAATCGGCTATCTTTGACTGTTCTGACAGTCCCAGCTATGAAAAGTTCAAAAGAGAAGTTGGCAATAAGAACAGGAGCAAGGACGTAAAGGACTTGTTTCAACATGGCTTTGGTGTTCATCACGCTGGTATGTTGAGATCTGATCGTAACCTCACGGAGAAAATGTTTGCAAGTGGAGCCATCAAGGTTTTATGTTGTACTTCTACATTAGCCTGGGGTGTTAATCTTCCTGCCGCAGTGGTCATCATTAAAGGTACCCAAGTTTATGATGCCAAACAAGGTGGGTACACAGACTTGGGAATTTCTGATGTTCTTCAAATCTTTGGTCGTGCTGGTAGACCTCAATATGAACTGTTTGGTACGGGGGTATTATGTACCACTAGTGATAAGCTTGACCATTATATTTCATTGATTTCCCAACAACATCCTATTGAGTCTAAATTAAGTGCAAAGTTGGTTGATAATTTAAATGCTGAAATTTCCCTCGGGACCGTCACCAATATAGAAGAGGGTATACAGTGGTTGGGTTATACTTATATGATGGTTAGAATGAGAAAGAACCCTTTTGCATACAGTATTGACTGGAAAGAACTTCAGGAAGATCCTTTGCTCTATAATAGAAGACGTAAAATGATTGTTAGTGCTGCTACAAGGTTACACGGACTTCAAATGATCATATTTGGGGATGTTTCAGGTTCTTTCATCCCGAAGGACCTTGGAAGAATAGCCTCTGACTTTTACTTGTTGAATAACTCTATCGAGGTGTTCAATCAAATGCTTAACCCTAGAGCTACTGAAGCAGATGTTTTGTCGATTATCAGTATGAGCAGTGAATTCGACAGTGTCAAATACCGAGAAGATGAAAAGAAAGAATTAGAAAGATTGAAGGAAGACGCAGTACAGTGTCAGATCCCTGGCGAAGTTGAAGCTTCACAAACCAAAACGAACATTTTACTTCAAGCATTCATTTCCAAAACTATGATAAAAGAATCTTCCTTGATTGCAGATACAAACTATGTGGCCCAGAATGCTGCTAGGATTTGCAGAGCTTTGTTCTTGATAGGGATAAATCGTAGATGGTCTGGATTTCTGAAGGTTCTTCTTTCCCTTTGCAAATCCATTGATAAAAGAATCTGGGAATATGATCACCCAATGGCACAGTTTGAATTACCTGAATCTGTTCTAAAAAACTTGAGAGCAATTAATCCATCTATTGAAACGTTGAGAGATATGGATCTGGCTGAATTGGGAGATTTGGTACACAATAATAAAATGGGTTCAACCTTGTACAAGCTTGTTGATCGGTTTCCTTACATTGATATTGATACTGAGATCTTTCCAATTTCAAGCAATGTCATGAGAGTTCATGTGTTTTTGGATGCCGACTTTAGATGGGATCCAAATCATCATGGAAGTGCTCAGTATTTCTGGGTGTTTGTGGAAGAGTCCACAAATTCAGATCTTTTACATGTGGAGAGATTGATCATCAACAAGAAGCAACTTCACGGTCATGAGATGGACTTCATGATTCCTTTGAGTGATCCCTTGCCAGCACAAATCATCGTTCGAGTAATTTCTGATACCTGGTTAGGATCGGAAACCGTTCATGCAATTTCTTTCCAACATCTCATTAGACCTAACAATGAAACGGTCAGAACCAATTTGTTAAGATTGCAACCTTTGCCAATAACTGCATTGCACGATAAGAAGGTAGAAGCCATATATGAACACAAGTTCAAATATTTCAATCCTATGCAAACCATGACCTTTTTCAGTCTTTACAACACCAATACCAACGTGTTTGTCGGTTCACCAACGGGTTCTGGTAAAACTGTTGTGGCAGAATTAGCCATATGGCATGCATTTAGAGACTTTCCTGGTTCCAAAATTGTGTATATTGCCCCGATGAAGGCGTTGGTTAGAGAAAGAGTTGATGACTGGAGAGCCCGTATTTCCAAAAACAGTTCCCATAAGGTGGTTGAACTCACTGGTGATTCTTTGCCAGAAGCTAGGGAAATTCGGGAATCAGACATAATCATCACCACTCCAGAAAAGTTTGATGGTATTTCTCGGAATTGGCAAACCAGAACCTTCGTTCAAAATGTATCGTTGGTTATCATGGATGAAATCCATTTGTTGGCAAGTGATCGAGGACCAATTTTGGAAATGATTGTGAGTCGTATGAACTATATTGCTTCGCAAACCAAGAATCCTATCAGGTTGCTAGGAATGTCCACCGCCGTGTCAAATGCAATTGATATGGCTGGTTGGTTGGGAGTTCGAGAAGGGTTGTTCAACTTCCCTTCTTCTGTCCGTCCTGTTCCTTTGCAAATGTACATTGATGGATTCCCCGACAATTTGGCATTTTCTCCATTGATGAAAACGATGAACAAACCAGCTTTCATGGCTATAAAACAACATTCACCCACAAAACCAGTGTTGATTTTTGTTGCATCTCGTAGACAAACTCGTCTTACGGCTTTAGACTTGATTCATTTATGTGGTATGGAAGATAATCCTAGAAGATTCTTGAAAATGACTGAAGATGAACTTCAAGACGTATTAGAAAACGTTAAAGATGATACACTCAAATTGTCACTTCAATTTGGTATGGGATTGCATCATGCTGGTTTGGTTGAGTCTGATCGTAGGATATCTCATAAGCTATTTGAATCGGGAAAACTTCAGATTTTAATTGCCACATCCACTTTGGCTTGGGGAGTTAATTTACCAGCCCATTTGGTTATCATCAAAGGTACACAATTCTTCGATTCAAAAATCGAAGGGTACAGAGACATGGACTTAACCGATATCCTCCAAATGATGGGACGTGCAGGCCGTCCGGCTTTTGATACAAGTGGTACTGCTATAGTGTACACCAAGGAATCCAAAAAGATGTTCTACAAGCATTTCCTCAATATTGGTTTTCCTGTTGAATCATCTCTACATAAGGTTTTGGATAACCATATAGGAGCAGAGATTTCTACTGGTACCATCAAAACAAGACAAGAAGCGATGAACTTTTTGACTTGGACATTCTTATATAGGAGAGCCCATAACAATCCAACCTACTATGGAATTGAGGACTCTTCCACTGCTGGAATTTCTTCATTTTTGGGCTCTCTAATCGATCAAACCATCGACAACTTGATGGAATCCAAATGTGTTATTGCAAAAGGAAAAGATGGGCTTGCTGCAACCCCATTCTTGGATATTTCTTCTTATTACTATCTTTCCCATAAGACAATTCGTAAGATAGTGTATGGCATCAATAATGCCTTTGAAATCAGAGATTGTTTGAAGATGCTTGCATCTGCAGTTGAGTATGACGAACTCGCCACTAGACATGGAGAAGAATTGATGAACATGGAAATGTCCCAAACAATGAGATATCCTGCTGAAGATATGGAATGTGACTTTATTTGGGATCCTCACGTAAAGGCGTACTTGTTACTTCAAGCATTCATGAGTAGGGCTAATCTTCCTATTGCAGACTATTCACAAGACACAATTGCCGTATTAGATCAGTCGTTGCGTATTCTTCAAGCATTTATCGATGTGGCTTCCGAGTTTGGTTATTTGCACACCGTTTGCAAGTTTATTCAATTGATGCAAAGTATCAAACAAAGAGTATGGTATGACAATCATCCTGTTTCTTCCCTTCCTGGTTGCAGAATAATTGATGGGGATACTTCCAAGATCCCCAACTTGGAGGCTTTAGGAACTATGGGTAAAGCAGCTCTTGCAAAAGTAGGAGCTTCTCTTTCTATTGAAAATACTCCAATTGAAGACGTGAGAAAGTATGGTGCTTCTAACAAGGCTTTGGACCAGTTTATCCATGTTGCCAGTCACCTTCCTGTGTGTGATTTCTCAGTAAACCAAAAGAATTCTGAACAAGTGGAAGTAGTTCTTGATCACAAAAACTATCCCTTAGACTCTAAGTTTGTTACTTACTGCCCACACTTCCCCAAATCTCAGAGAGAATCATGGTTTATAATTCTCTGTAATTCTGAAAAGACTGAGCTATTAATGATCAACCGTGCTTCTCCAAGGATGGTTGGCAGAAAGGGAAAAGTTTCATGTACCATTGAAGTACCTGAAGATGTACAAGGAAAAGAAGTGATCATTCTTTGCGTCAATGATGGCCTTGACCTTCAATATGAAAAAAAGTTAACTTTGATGGCCTAATATCAATTGAATCTACAACGTCATACCAAAAATGCAATATTTAATTAATATACAAGTAGGCTGTATGAATAGTTAGTCACTTCCATCCTCAAAAAATTCATCCACTTCAGAACCTTGGCTCTTCTTCTGAGGAGCATCAATTTCTTGCTTGTCTGTGACAGCAGTCCCTTGATCTGCTTCGAATTTCTTCCCCTTCAACACATCCTCCAAACTAAAGGGTAACTTTTCTTCCTTCATCAACTTTTCAATATGCTTTCTAAATTCTATTCTTCTTTGATCTGCTCTTTTCATACCCTCTAAGGCCTTTGGAGGAAGAGAAGATTCGTCCTCATTTTTGGAATTTGGATATAGAGAGATATACTTCTCCATCTTAGGGAATAAAACTGTGTATACCAAATCAATTTCTTTATGTTTAAGAAAGACCCGAGCCTTTTTAGCAGCCTTTCTATCGTTAGACTCTTCTGCTGCCGATAATGCAATTCTTGCTTGTTTTACCAACCTAGTGGCCTTCTTCCTCTCGAAGAATCTCACCATATGGTATTTCTTTGCGTTTTTCTTTTCGTTAGACTTTTGGACCACATTATTCAATTGCACTTCCAAAGCTTTTAAAGTTCTTTCGTTATTCACTCGCACATCAGCTGGTAAAGTAGGCCTTTGTAACAACCTATGAATGTCTCTTATTTTCTTCTTGATTTTACCACTGCCAGATGCCAATACTTTTGAAACATCGGAGCCGGGATTTCTATCTCCCTTCTTATTAATAAAGCCTTTGGATGGCATTGTTCTTAAAGATTGTGAATTTATTTTTGACAAAGCGATGCGATGCGCTCTTAAATGCGGTCTTCGAAAATTCCAAAGTCCAATTAATCTCAAAAGGCTACACTAGACAAAAGATGGGTGTGTTAGAGAAGATCGCGCAGATTCAAGATGAAATGGCTCGAACCCAGAAGAATAAGGCTACAGAGTATCATCTTGGTCTTTTGAAGGGGAAATTAGCCAAGCTCCGTCGTGAATTACTTGAACCTCAACCCGGTCAAGGATCTGGTGGTGGAGGTCAAGGATTCGAAATAGCTAAGGCTGGGGATGCTAGGGTTTCATTAATTGGGTTCCCATCTGTCGGTAAATCATCTTTCTTGTCCAAAGTGACCAATACGAAATCTGAAGCGGCCAATTATGAGTTCACAACGTTGACATCAGTTGGAGGATTACTTCATTATAATGGTGCCGAAATTCAAATTGTCGATTTGCCCGGAATCATAAAAGCAGCTGCCCAAGGTAAAGGTAGAGGTAGACAGGTTATTGCAGTTGGAAGAACATCGGACTTAATCTTAATGGTCTTGGATTCTACCAGAGGAGATGAACAGAGAAAGATTTTAGAGAACGAATTGGAAACAATGGGAATAAGGTTGAATAAGGAGAAGCCCAACATATCGTTGAAAATAAAGAGTTCTGGAGGAGTCAAAATGAACTCCATAAATCCGCCTGTTCATCTAAATGAAAAAATCGTCTCTGGTTTATTAAAGGAATACAAGATTCACAATGCTGATGTGTTAATAAAGGATGAAAATGTGACTATCGATGACTTCATTGACATCATCAATGAGCTGCATGTCACCTACATCAAATGTTTATACGTGTACAATAAGATCGATGTTACATCTCTTGAAGAGTGTGATCGATTAGCTAGACAACCCAATACAGTGGTTATGTCTTGTGAAATAGACTTGGGAATCGAGGATTTGAAAGAAGAAATATGGAGGCAATTGGGCCTTATAAGGTTATACACAAAAAGAAGAGGTATAGCTCCTAACTTTAATGACCCGATGGTTGTTAGGAACAATTCTTCAATTCAAAGTGTTTGTGATGCAATTCATCGAGACATGAGAAACCAGTTCAAATTTGCCCTTGTTTGGGGATCTTCCTCTAAGCACTCACCACAAAAGTGTGGTTTGACTCACATAGTTCATGATGAAGATGTTGTTCAAATAGTCACCAAATAGTCCACAATAATAAAGAGCATCCCGCATAGTTCCAGGGCTTAATCTTCAAAAGCACACTTGCGCACTTAGGGTTTTGCATTTGTGACTGCGTAAATATGGACGTGTTTTTACCGCACCAAAAACTTTTCGCTCCTGGTGGAGCACTTTTTCAAGCCTGTGAGTGAAAATTCTTACCAACTACATACTTTGGGTCCATTAAATATTCCTATCGTCAATTAATATAAGTCGAAATGGGTGGTACTCGTGAAAAGAAAGCTGAATACTTCAGCAAGTTGAGAGAATTATTGGAAGAATACAAGTCCATCTTCGTTGTTGGTGTTGATAATGTTTCTTCCCAACAGATGCACGAAATCAGAAAGGCTTTGAGAAGTGATGCTACTGTTTTGATGGGTAAGAACACCATGGTCAGAAGAGCTATCAGAGGATTCTTGGCTGAATTGCCAGAATACGAAAAGTTGTTGCCTTTCGTTAAGGGTAACGTTGGTTTCATCTTCACCAACGCTGACTTGAAGACCATCAGAGATGTTGTTACTTCTAACGTCGTTGCTGCTCCTGCCAGAGCTGGTGCTGTTGCTCCATTTGATGTCTGGGTCCCAGCCGGTAACACCGGTATGGAGCCAGGTAAGACCTCTTTCTTCCAAGCCTTGGGTGTTCCAACCAAGATTGCCAGAGGTACCATTGAAATTGTTTCCGATGTTAAGGTTGTTGAAGCTAACCAAAAGGTTGGTCCTTCTGAAGCTTCCTTGTTGAACATGTTGAACATCTCTCCTTTCACCTATGGTATGACTGTTGTTCAAGTTTACGACAATGGACAGGTTTTCCCATCCGACATTTTGGATATTACCGACGATGAATTGGTCAGCCACTTTGTTTCTGCCATTAACGTCATTGCTTCCATCTCCTTGGCTGTTGGTTACCCAACCATCCCATCTGTTGGACACTCCGTCGTGAACCACTACAAGAACGTCTTGGCTTTGTCTATTGCCACTGACTACACTTTCGAAGGTTCCGAATCCATCAAGGACAGATTGGCTAACCCAGATGCTTATGCTGCTGCTGCTCCTGCTGCTGCTGCTGCTGCTTCTGGTTCTTCTGACGCCCCAGCTGCTGAAGAAGCTGCTGAAGAAGAAGAAGAATCTGACGATGACATGGGTTTCGGTTTGTTCGATTAAATTCGAACAAAAGTATAACACTCTTGTATTCTAATAAAAATTCTTTTCTAAATATTTTTCTGTGCTCGTAGAAGTGAATTTTGTAGAATCCACAAACGGCTGCAAATTTGGTCTTGATTTAATATACTCACAATGGAAGGAGCTATTGCTTTGGATGTGAGTTCAGAAGACTCGAATATTGCCACCTTCTTCCAGAGTTTCGATAATGATGGGTTTATCATCAATCCGGCGAAAGATCTTTCCCAGACATTTGCTAAAATTGAATTGACCATTAAAAATCCATTCGACTTTGAGGCCCAAGATGATTTGGCAGCCAAACTAAACAGAATATTCAACTTGATGGTTTATCTGATCCAAACAACGGAGCTTTATCCCAAACTTGAAGAGGACTTTAAAGAATATTATGATAAGCGACTAAACAGCATTTTCGCCAGAATCTTCACTAATGAACTACTCAAGATCTTATACCACTTGGACAACGACAACATTGACACCATGTGGCAGATTCACCGCCTAGTAATTCTCCTATACACATTTGTGTTCCCAGAGCTCGACCTAAGGTTCAAAATTCCTTCAGAAACCACGGTTGTGGTGATCAAGTGTTTTCAGTACCCACTTTTCAAGTATCTCAGGACCAGAAGCGACGTAGCTATGTCCGAATCGATGGAGCTTTCAACCCCTTGTGAGTTCTTTAGAGGGAAGATCCTAAGGACTTTTGTAATAAAACAGAAGCTTAATCTCATGGAACAATGCCTTTTTACTATTTTAAACAGTTGCCAATTAGATTCACAGGTTTTATTTCATTTCCAACAATTGTTGAACCAGAGTCCCACCTACTTTTCCATCGAATTGTGTTCTCTGCAGATGACAATTCTTCGTACTCGGGTACAAGAACTTTCTTCCACTAGAAGTAATAATCAACTCAAGAGCTTGTGTAACTCCATTGATAAAACCATTTCCGAGGTTGCACTACAAGCACCAGTTCCATCTGCTGATCAGCAAAGAAGTCACTTTCCACATCTGACAATTATCTGGAATAGACGTGTCAAGGATAGTCCTCTAGAGACTCACTTCCGAAAACCTCTTGGGAATCTTCCCAACTGGCTTGAATATATTCAGTACGCATCAAGAGATATGACCCAGCAAAATTCTGATTATGTGGGCCCCTCTTCTAAATCAGAGACTTGGACTTTGACTCAACAAGTGGTTCCTCATCCACACGAAGGATTTCGGGCCAAAGTTAAAAGGGCCATGGGAATCACGGGGAAAAAATGGTTTGCCAGTTAGATATGTATATTTACAGGTATTTATGTGTGTTATGATTTTGATTATGATATTACTTGTCATTTGAATCATCTCTTTCTGTATAACTCCTTTGGTTCTTCCAAAACTGTGTCATGTTCTCTCAAAACTTGTTTAGATACTTGTTGAGTTAACTTGTTAGGATTTGGCCACTGCTCTGGTAACAAGCCTGCTCTCTTGAACAAGAACCCAACTCTATCACTCACATCAGCACCAACACCCAACCAGTATTTGGCCCTATCAAAGTCCAACTCTATGTGCTTGTATGGTTTTTCACCTTTGGCCGCTTCGGCTGGTGTCAAAGGAATGGGCACTGGATTGAAGGTTCCAAGAACTTCCAAGGGGACTCTGTCACGTGCTTGCGATCTATTCAGCACCACTATGTTGTATAAGGGTTGATGTCTTCTCCCAAAACGGGCCAACCTTATCTTTATTGGTGCTTTGAATGTCATGGCTAGTGGGTTGACTAAAGAAAAGATGAGATTTAAATTTTTCAATATAGTCTCAGAGGTTTTGGTTGGTGCACTTAACGAGCTTGTAGCTGCAAAATTTGTATTACACTATCTACATACACTTCAAAGCTTCTTTTTGGCTTTGAATTTTTGCTTGGGCTTAGGCTTTGATATTCTGGCATTCCCTTTGAACTTATCGTTCTTAGAAGGTCTGTGGTGTGTTTCTTGTGGAGGCTCATCATCGTCCGACCAGTCATCATCAGCATTATCCTTCTTGAACTTCATTCTGTTCTTTTGTCCTCTTATAGGACCCTGTTTAACGGCATCCAAATATGCATCAATACCTGAACCTTTATTCGACAAGGGATCAGAAGTTGCCTTCTCATTGAACACAAACTTCCCATTCTTGGTCTCAGCCCTTTCAGAATAGTTTCTCTTAACCTCTTTCCTAGGTTTGGAAGAGGAAATCTTAGCAAACGCTTGACGGTCCAATAAATCCAATGGAGAATCTCTACTTTCCATAATAAATTGGCTGGACTTCTTGTTCCGTTGGGTATCGACTTCATCTTCCAGATCATCATTGTCACTAACATCTGAATCATATAATGCTTCTTCATAAGCCGAGACAAACTTCTTGCCTTGCTTTTCTGAGGCTCCAGTACCATCTTCCTTTTGTTTTCTCTTGGCTCTGGTTCTGGTTTTCTTGATATTGGCAACCAACTTTCTATCCTCCTCGGGAATTGCTTGTTCTACTTCATCGTAGCCAAACTTCCTGATTAATCTTTCCACGATGTGTTTCACTTTAACTTTAAAGTGCCCGGTATGTTGGTGAGACCATCTCATTAATTTAGACAATAATTCACCCAAATTAGCCTTCACCAACTCTTCAGGTAATGAAAGAACTTCGACCTTGACAAAGCCAATTGTGGATTTGGCGATTTCTCTAGAATTGTGGGTCAAAAATAACTCAACGGTGGAACATAACTCAACTAAAACATCAGTTGGTAATTTGTCTTTGAACTCGAAAACCAAACAAGACACAGCAGTGATTGTGGCAGAAACCATATGAGGTGATTGAGCAGCAAGACCACCACTGACCATTGTGAAGAACTCGGTTAAGTTTGCTTCTGAGTCTGGAGTAGCTGGATCAAAACCTGGAACCTTGGAGTTGGAAATGACGCCACCTTGTTCCATCTTTTCACCCATCCTAATCAAAACCTGGTATGATAAACTACGAGTTCTTTCGTTAGCATCCTTTGTGCACATAATAATTTCTTGCAAAACAGCAGGAATAAAATGCAAAAAGTCGTTTGGCAAAATTTCAATAAGGTCATTCACAGCTCCTAGTCTAGTAGCTCTTGCAGAACTTTGGGTATCATCGATTGTAGAGATAATCACATTGGCAATATCATTTGCAAATTGCTTAATGGAATTTTGCCCTTCTGAGACTTCTCCCAACTTGGTCAAGATTCTGTAAGATCTCTTCTGCATTAAAGGATTCTTACTTGAAATAGTCGATGAAAAGATGGAGAAAAGAGCAGTATGTGAAGACGATGGAACATACTTGGCCATTGCCACAATCAAATCCATCATAGTGATACTCAAACTTGGAGTATTCTTTTTCTTCGTTTGTGTCTCCGTCGATTCTTCATCCATAGCGTTCTTGAGGAGCCCACAGACTTTGTTAAAAGTATTTTCCAACTCATCCTTTGGCACAATCATCAAATAAATGTCGATTGTCTCAAGAATAAAGCCACGGCTGTCTGGAGAAGTTGAACTGAAAATATTAAATAAGACAGAGAGAACATTGGAAGCTTTAGATGCCAAATATTCCAAACCTACTGTCGCTTGTTCAATACTCAATTCTTCTTGTGCCAACAAGTCCTTACTCAATTCCTCATCACTATACGTAATGTAAGATTCTGCCAATGTTCTTAAAGCATTGCAGATATTAGCTCTTGACTCGACATTGCTGTACAAAACTTCAGTTAATTGGGAAGCAAAGCTATCGGTGAAGGCCACAGTCAAGTCCTTTGGTAAATCACAGAATGGTGGCAACAACGACCAGATTTGATCGATAATAGTTTGGAAGATTTTGACATTAACCGAATCTTTATTTAAGTTGGAGATCTTTTCTTGAAAAAATTCAACTAGAGGTAAAATTTCTGAAATGTAAAATCCCAAGTTAGCAAAGCGAACATTGTCCCTTAAGAGAGGTAAAAGCCAAGCCCTTCCGGGACTGGTAGTACTATTCAAATTCAAAGGTAAAACTCCCAACACCACTTCTGGGCCCATCACAGAAATGGCTGAGGCCAAAACATCCTCGGCTTCTTTGTTATGAGAGAAGTCTTCACTTTCAGTTGTACGCCAGTCACCGATTGTTTCGACAATTCCTAACAAATCAGGGTTTGCACGAGATCTTAATTTAAGAATAGACTCGTTAATGAACTCCAAAATCTCTTTGAAAGCATGTTGGTGTTTGATAGTCAATAAGTCCTTTTCGATAGTGTCAGCTAATCCTGAAATAAGATCATCCATACTCTCATATACTTCTGGAGAAATTCCATTTTGTTTAGATGGTTGAAGTAAGTATTCATCTGGGATTGCAGCCGTGATCGCGGTCAAACAATGAGATGCAGAAGAGTAAATATCTTTGGACTCAGATGAAAGGAAAGCTGCAACCTGATGAAAGATGTTGGAAAACTTGGTTATGTATACAGAGGCATCCAAAGCAGCAAAACATTCACTGGCTTTAGCCACTACTGCCAACCAAGAAGCAGCCAAATGCAAATCATTCACAGCTGGCTTCAAATCAAATATTACATCGAGTACTTGTGAAAATCTTTCAAGGTTAACAACATTATTCATGGACTGGAACAACCCTTCAAAGGCTGAGAATGCAGAAGAAACAATGAATTGATCATTGGTCTTAGACACTTCCAACAACACGTCACACAATGGCATAATTTGTTTAGCTGGCCAAGACCCGGATGAGGTGACAGATGAAATCAATTGCAAACAGTGGATTATTTGTGCATTTACTTCTTTATTGTGCTTGGATTTGTTGGATTCCAAAATAGATGCAAGTCTTTCCAATGCTATTTTACCACACAAAGTAGAAGCCGGGTGCATTGGATTTGGTGATGTTGGAGGATTTTTTAAAATACTGGAGACAGCCTCTTGAGCTCTTCTTCTTACCTTAGGTCTGTGGTCCATGGTCAATTCTAACAACCCAGCCATGGCTCTTTGAGGTGATATGCTATCGTTAGATGTCCATCTTTGGTAATCTTGGGCCAATAACAAGCTTTCTAAAGCACCAATTGTCGACCTCACTAACGGGGCTTCAGCATCTGAACTTGTAATGGGAACTGCCAATTTGGCTAAAATATCTCCAAACTTGGATACCAAGAGTGGTTTGGCGGTGAAAGGTAAAACAATGTCCAAGAAGTAGGATGAAGCAGTAGCTAAGCCTTGATCCACAATGAAATCATTCAGAATACTTTGATCTAACAAGGAACAAAATGAAACAAAATAAGCCACTGGTGTCTTTTCAGTTTTTTGATCCTGTAGGTTCTCTTCAACTGCAGAAAGAATCACGGCTAAGTGCTTTTGGTTGTCTAACTTGGAATTCACTTGACTTCTGATCTTTGAGAGTTTATTTTCCATTTCAAATAACTCATCAGAGTGGCCTCCATCGGGGTTGTTTGTGGCCATTCTATCTATTAATCAATTGCAAATACCTAATAATTTTCAGATGAGGTTAAATTTTTTTTGTGCGATGCGATGCTTTGGAGATTCGATTGCAAAAATTCGTGTGAGCAGAGTGACCTTTATTTATAAAATAGGCCTGGAGTATCATGAGAGTGGATGGAATGTAGAGTTAAACAAAATAGACCTGAGCTCAATGTTGTTTCTATTTTGGGATTCCCAGTCCTCATAGTCATCAATTATATAGAATATCTGGCTATTAGGATGACACAGGCACCTGGGGGTGGGCGTGCATTGTAGACATATTCAGTTTTATAGCTGTCATATCATTAGAGGTAAATATGATATTCTCCGTATTAGCCTTAGTCAAACCATGTATCAATTTTGAACTATATGCCAATCCTCGCTCGCATTTTTGTTTGTGGATTTTTATGGTTGCAAAATCAGTTTACTACGATGAAACGTCTATGCAATTCTTTCGGAGTGTCAAGAAACCCTTCCAAGAGCTGGTCGTTATCAGATACGATTCCATCTATTAGTTCAAGGGCATGCGGAGGATATTTTCTCCAATTCAACAATAAGGACTCTTCTTCTCCCAATCCTGTTCACAATCAGGGGACAGTGAGCAATAGACCATTCTTTGCAAGATTAGGCTTCAGAAGCTTACAGCTTCAATACAGAAAAACAAAGAAGAATGTATTTTGCCTCTCCTCATTTTCATACTCATTTTTGTCCTTGGACAGCGATTCAGAGTCCGATTCCTTAGGTTTCAGAAGAACCAATTCGTGTTTGGATAAGTTCATCGATTCCAGTACTAAAACAAATAAGGCTTTCTTGAGGATAAGAGAACCACCTTTTCATAGTCTCCAAGCACGTTTTCTTCCCCAGAAGACACCTGCTAAACCAAGAAACTCTCGTTTGGTAAGAGATCAGCTACCTGGTGAAGGAATCCCACACAAAAAGTGGAAGGAAGAGTGGAAAGATCCTGATTCAATAAGCAAGGAATTCATTTTGGATGTCAGAAGAGCCTTGAAAAGAAACAGACAATACGGTTTGAATAATTAATAAAATCAATTTTGATTTATTATTCTATATATACAGTTACTAAAATAAATTTTGATTTATTATTCTAGATATACAGTAACTAAAATACATTCAAACTAAAGTGTTTGATTTACTTGTCGTAAGAATTGATAAAATATTTGAATATTTTGTCCTTGAACTTGGACTTTTTATGACCCTTCTTCGTGGTCTTGCTCTTCGTTTCCTGTGTAACCAACGTTTCGTCGACGTCTGAGAATTTAGGTACTTCCTTGGTTGCTATGGTAGATGGTGAAATTTGAGGAGTTCTATCATCACTGGACTCGGTGGGAGGTGTTGATTTACCAAATGGTTCTTCAACCTGCAGAGGCTCTTGGATGTTGGTAGAAATATCTTTGTCTTCCGTTATTCTCCTCAAGGCAGCATTTAAATCGGCTGAACCCCTACTGCTAAGATCAGAATCTGGATTATTTGGGAAATCAGGTAAATCAAAACTGTCTTCTGTGGAGTCGGTAGTCTTCCCCATTTTAATGAGCTCGGCCAAAGTATACTGTTTGCTTATATCAATTGGAAAGTTACCTCTTGGTGCTTCCACACTATCAAGGTTTTCCTGCTCCTTTGGTAAGTTTTGAATTTCAACTTGGCTGCTGGTATGGGCCTCTGTGAAAGATTCTTGTCGTTTTGTGCCATTAATAGCTTCTTCTTCTGACACTTCATTAAGGGTATTCTTGATTATTGGCGAAGTTTCAGGTTCGTTTGCTTCATAAAACTGTTCGTAGTTGTCCAGCTTCTTTGAGCTGGGACTCCGGGCCACGTCTCTGTCATCATCAAAATCGGAAGTACTCAAAATACCGCTATCCTCAAGGTTCTCGGAATCCACTGGTTCATTAAGGACGGGAGTTGGAATAATAAGATTCTCGAGAACTGGTGCAATATTCCTCCGTTCGGATCGTGGAGGAATCTCAGGTTCTTTCGCAACTGGTATAATATTGTGACCTACAGCCTCAGCCACTGGTGGGAATTCTTCGGCCAACTCTTCGGTAATAGGATTCTCAACATAGTGTCTGGTGTTTCTGACATCTTCACTCGCAGTACTTTGAAACTGGCCAATTGAGTTCTCATCTGAATCAAACTTGATCGTTGGTTCTACTAAAGGAGTTTGGATGTTAACAATAGAAGGTACTACCTGTTCTTTTTCTTTTAACGGTTTGATTTGGGAATCATTTTCTGTTGGGTGTAATACATTATCATCGAAGACCGGAACAGGAGTAACTCTAGTGGGAGAGCTGAGAACATTGTTAGTACTCAATCCCCCAGCTCTCAGGTTTAAAGGTGAGCGTTCAACCAAATTGTTGCTGAGTTCACCACTGAGGGTTGATGCATCTGTGTTGTCCCTCTTCTTCCTCCCGAAAAGACCTCTAATTGGAGAAGACTTCTTTGCTTCTTTTTCCATCGATTTCTTTGATTGGGCCTCCTCCTTAGCTTGTAATCTAGCTTCTGACTTTCTTTGTTTCTCTTCCAACCTCTGTTGTTTTTCCCATTCTTTTTGTTGTTTCTTCTCTTCTTTGGCTCTTTCTTTTCGTGAAGTAGACTTGGAATTGGAAGAGTTTCTCATGGAATGCATTGCAAAGTCCTGGTGGTGATTCTCGTATCTATAATTATCATTCACACCAGAATGGCCGATCATTTCCAATTTTTTATCTCTTTTATTTTTCTTTTCAATGATTGAACTGGGAACACTAGGATCCACGGACATGGTGGCAGCTTCAAGCTCCTTAGAAGTTCCGTATACTCTTTCCATGGCTACCTCCATTGCCTTGCTGTACAACTCAGAGTTAGAAATTTTTCTTTTTGGACTATCGAAATCGGTTTCGTAGACGGGGATCGTCTCGATATTTTCATCAAATTTAATCGAAAAGTTCGAAGGAGATGTTACAGAAGCATTTGAAATGATATCATCGTGCCTTGGAATCGGTGACAATTTAAAAGCCAGTTTCAACTGAGGTGACAGTACCGGCTGTGTCTGGGGTGATTGTGAAAGGACGGGAGATCTTTTGACATTCACTTCTGAGATCGCAGCAGTGGGAGATGCGTGAGATCTCACACCAACACCGATAGACTTGTATGGATGTGGAGCCAATTTGGGGTTTATAGTGTCAAACTTCTCCGCGTCAGGTCTAGGTGCTTCTGACAGTAGTTTGTTAAATGAACCTTCTTCCAAGAAGTCCGGTTTAGTAGAGTTTTTCAAAATTGACTTCAAGGGCTTCACGGAGGAATCAGGAGATCTTTTGCTGCTACTAGTCAAACTTGGTCGCGCAGAAGAAGGTTCAATATTCAACTTCAATGTGTCCGAATTGTGTAACAAATCATCTTCTAATTCGTGAGGAGCTCTGGATTCGTGTTGAGGGTTCGAAGTCACAGGTTGTGGCTGAGTTTGCTGGTTATCCAAAACGTAGTTGTATTCAAAGTCATGTAGGTCTTCTTCGATTTTCTGCAAGTTGTAGGCTGGATCTCTGGAAGAGCTAAGAATAGAGTTATTTCTTAAAGAGTTGGTTCTTGAATTACCTCTGGAGATATTCTTGGTGGTGGTCTCAATGATGTTTGATCCATCTGGAAGGGTTTTGGTTGTCTTGGTTGTAATGGACTGGACTCGACCTTGACTATCCACTACCTTGGTGGTTTGTGTAGTTATTATAGTTTCGCCCTCATCATCACTGTGTGTCTCATATAGGGTTGGATCTGGACGATGATTCTGGGATGACCCTAGAGAACTCAACCGTTTTTGTTGTCGCGTACGTGGTTGTTGTGGTGATTGCTTTTGTTGGAATGCTGGAATGTTGGAGCCTGAGGTCAACGAGCTATACCTTCTGGCATCAGGAATTGAAGCTTGACCAGGATTGTATGATCCCTTTGGGTGATATGAATAAGTTCTCAAGGAATTAGACCTTTGGTTGGTAGAATTTGACCTCAACGAATTGGATCTTATGTAGGCGGACTGTCGATTCGAATAGGCGGGTGTTGGTTTTGCTGCAACAGGCTTTGAGTTCTGATGTAGTCTCAAGGCAGCCAATGCGGCAGAGCCAGCACCGTTTGTCATCGAAGCACTTCTGTCAACACCATTATTGGGCATTCCAGCCACGTTGTGGTTGGAATTCTCATATTCATACACCTCATTGTTGTATTTCCTAAAACCCTGACTGCTATGTCTCTTGAAAAAAAGTTAGTACGACAACCACAATGAAGGAATGAAGGGGTGGTCAATGGGTAGACCACCAAATTGACAGAGTAATTACATACCTTACGAGATCCAAAGAAGTTCATTGAATAAGTATGACCAGGAAATACACTGAATGGAAATAAAACTTAAATAAATGCAGCAAGCGGCTAATTTGAATTAAGGTATACCTGAAATTCGCAGGTAAACAGCAGAACAATGCTGAGGGTAGTGGGTAGTTACAAGCAGGGGATGTACGAGTGCTGACATAAGCACTTGACAACAAGCGGCCTGGATTTGAGATTTTTTACTTTTCTCGCTCGGTTCTTGGAGTGCCCCGTTCCGGCCGGCTTACAAATATTAGTTAATAGGTGTGCTTGTGCGCCGGATTTAGTGCGGACACCGAGCCGCCCTTTAAGGATAACCCACTATTACTAAGTGATTCATAATCGATTTGGTATATATAAACCAATATCTGTGTTGATCAGCAATTTCGCTTTTTTTCATATACTTGTATACGCATGGGAATTATCAGTAAGATAGTCTTCTGTTGTGTTACATTATTAATATCTATGGCATTGATGGCACTAAAAGAAAAGAGCTTATTTGCAACCGTGAAGTGTAAATTACCATTTCCCACATATTTCATAAGTCATGGAGGTCCATTGCTAGGTGACAGAAATCATTTCATGACTGATAAGGGAGCCTATGACACATTGAAGGCTATTGGAGAGGAAATCATTGAGTTGAAACCTGATTATCTTGTTGTTGTTTCTGGACATTTTCAAAGTGACGAGCGTGATACCATACAAATCTCTGTGAATAATGCTGGCAAAGGTTATGAAAACAAGATGATCTACGATTTCTATGGGTTCCCAGATGAGACGTACCAGCAGAAATTTGTTTCCAAAAGCAGTCCCACGTTAGGGTTATTGGTTCATGAAGAACTTACCAGAAGTGGTTTTAACGCCAAAATAGTTGATCGAGGAATAGATCATGGCGTATGGGTGCCCTTACGGGTGGCATTTGGTGAAACTCTTGATATTCCTTTGGTGGAAGTATCTTTGCCGGATTCAGATAGTTTCAGTGATAGTTATAAGCTTGGTAAGGCATTGAAGAATTTAAGAGATGAGTTGATTTGGGACCCTGACACCAAGAAGGACATCAAAGGTCTTATTGTTTGCTCTGGTACCTCCGTACATAATCTCAGAGATCTTCAAAGGTCATTCAGTTATCCGGGACAAGTTATGCCATATGGTAAGCCATTTCATGAACTATTACAACATACATTTGAAAAGTCCACTCCGTTGACATTGGCACAAAACCTCAATAATTTGAAGAAAGACGCTAACTACAGTCAACTCTTGTATCAAGCTCATCCCACATTAGATCATTTTCTACCATTTATTGTGGCCACAGGATCTAATGATGGAAATAGTGAGCTAGAGACGATATATGTTAATGAGTCGTTTAGTCTTGGATGGGGGATGTACAAGTTTAACAGTCGCTTGAAGGGTTAAAAAAGGTAATAGATAGATTCTAGTATGCATTAAGTGTAGTTATATTCATATAAATAGGTAATCGAGAGAAATTAGCATTCATCTTTTTAGTTTTTCAATAACGTTTTTAAGGCCTCGGCAACGGCCTTTTCATCCAATCCTTCTAAGTTGTTCTTGATTTCCTTTCCCTTTTCAAATCTGGCAGTGATGCTTGGAGGTATACCGTATGCTTCTCTGATTAATATGGGCAATTCGTTTTTCAGTTGTGTCTTCAAAGTGGCGTAGTTGGTGGTCAAAAACTTTCTCAAGGGCACGGATGCTTCGCCTGTTTGGGACAAATGGAATCTTAATTCTCTCAAGGTGCTTGGTAATATGAATTTGGACATAGCTGTGGCAGGAGATGTATGTTGTAATTAGATCGACTTTAACTGGTAGATTTTTTACATGGGTTCGCGGGTCGTGCGAGAAGGTCAGAACTCGAGAAGTTTAGAACTAACTCTGGGTCGTGTGAGATGGCAATATGGTGCGCAGGGTGTCGTGCCGGTTCCAGCCTCTGCCTCATCGGAACCCAGCCACACACGACACCGGTCCCTGGCCGGAAACCCGGCGGCCTCAGGACAATCCCACCAAAATACCTGTTAACCGGCCAGGAGAAGATCTGCAGCCACATTTCAGGCAGATTCAACATGCTTAGTATTCGGCCCGTTTCATAGATAATGGCATATGCTAAGTCTGAGATTTACAAAAAGGGATCTTCCACAGTTGCTTTAACCCTTTACCAATTTTCAGTAGGAACGTGATATCTCTAAATTTGTTCGCCCACTTTAGACCTGAGCCCCATCAGGATATTTGCACCTTCGCTTAAAGAGTTTATTTAGTAATCTAAACATATTAATGGCCGAACCCCATACCGGAGGCTTTAATGGGAATGTACTACAGATGATGCTTCGGTGTTCCATTGTTTCAATATCACAATTTGCAGTGTCATTTCAAAAAGTAAAGAAAATGCCTTTACGGAGTTATCCTATCTAATGAAAAAAAAAAACCGGCGCCCCGGTTTTTATTGCAAAATGTATTTAACATTCATAATTGTCGCCTTGATAATTTTTCCAATACCCTTAACAAATAAGCAATGGCTATCGAATTATCTGAAAAAGACGAATTGTTGCAACATCAATTGGACTTGGAATTGAACAAGCCAATCCAAAAGAAGAGTAGAGCTAGAGCTTTTGCTAACGGGGCTTTAGCTTCTTTTACCGGATTATTGGTTGTTCTTTACTTCCTTAGACAATCCCCAGCTGTTGAATGTTTCAGCCCATTTGCGATCTTTGCTTCAGTGTTTGCTCCAGTTGCTCCTGCTCCTATCACTGTTGAAGTATTCGAAGTGTCCCCAGATTTGACCCTCAGTGCTGATGCTTATGTCCTCAATACCACTGTTTTTAACCAAACTCTTTCTGATGGTATTGCTTTCGACTACGAAGCCCCAGTCGACTTTAACTTCACTGGAGCTTTTTTGACCTTAAATTTCTCCAATGAGGCGTTGGTGGCTGGTAAACCAGTGGTTGCGGAAATCTCCGTGGATGATACCCCAGTCTGGAGAACTTCTACCCCATACTCCAAATTGAACACCATCACTCAAAGTTCCACCGTTAAGAATGTGACTGAACTTTTGTCCTTGTTCACTGAAGACAAGAGTATTTCCATCAACTTTTTGGAAGGTTCTGCTGCTGCAACTGATGTAGTTTTAGTGTTATCTTTGTATAATGACACTTTAACTGCTGCCCCCGTTGCCAAAACTCCAATTACCGTTGAAGACATCCTTTCTGCCCACGGTCCTGCTGATATCATTTTCCCATTGACCAATGCCGGTAAGCCTTTCAAATTACCAACTGATAGTTTTTCTGTCACTTTACCCCAACTCGAATCTAACGTTACTGTTGCTAAGGTCTCTCTCTTTGCATCTGCCACTGAGGAAGAAATCACTTACTTCAAAAATGATATCGGTAAGATTGGTGAACCTGCATCTAGTGGTCCTTTGAGATACATCAACGTCTATGTTAACGATGTTTACATTTCTTCTATTGCCCCAAAACCAGCTTTATTCCATGCCAATGAAGTTTCTGACAATGCTAATATCACCTCTTTGTGGCAACCATTGGCTGACGTTGGTGCTTTCCAAGGTTTGACTTACGAAGTTGACTTGGTGTCGGTGTTGCCTTTCTTATGGGCTGATGATGCTAACTTGGTGGTTGAAGTAGTTTCTCCAGTTGGTGCTGCTAACAAGGCTCCAGGTGTACCTCCAGTTTTGGCACATCCTGTTATTCCTGGTGAAAACGTCATTACCACTGGCTCTTGGTTCGTCTCCGGTAACTTGTTGGCTTGGGAATCTTCATTGATCTCTAGTGCCGTTGGAGAGGTGTTAATTGGTGAATCTTCTGAAAAGGACTCCGGAGTCGTTGTTGAACCTCCAATGGCCAGTCCATTTGCTCCTTCTATTAAGACCGAGATTGTTAAGTCTTTCATTGATGCTGGTATTATTTCTGAGTTGAACTTCACTTTATTGGATAACTCCACTGCAAACTACACGGTTGAATTCAACTCGTCTACTCATTCCATCTTGTCCAAACACTCTAAGCTGATCAAAACAATTGCTGGTCCACCAGGAAGTGGTGCTGGAACTTCAACCACTACTTCCACTCTTACTTTGATTACTGGTATCAAGAACAATTTTGCTATTTTAGATGTTGCTTCTGGTATCGCCGTATTCACCAAAAACGAAACTTTGGACTTCCCATTGAATTACAACGAATCTGCTGTCGACAAGAAGGTGGCCTTTGTTCCACCATCGACCTCATCCAAGTTGACTTTTTCTATTGGTAGTAAGGCTAAGTTGTCTATCAATGGTTTAAAGACCTCTTCTTATAAGGTAAAGGAATCTGCCAGTTTGGATGACATTATCGGTACCACTACTGACGTTAAGGTGGAAATCGAAACTGTTGGTGAACTTCCTTACTCAAGAGAAGTTGAGGCCACTAATGGTGTTATCACCAAAGACACTTCTGTGGCTTAATGAGGTGAATAATACAAGGGAATTTTTTTATAAACTTTTATAAACGGTAATGTATACGAGAACTTTTAAGAAAGCCATTCACTGTCTAAATCCAAACCTAAAGAAATAAAGTCTGGTTTGATATCGGTGATGTCAGGTATCACTTGTGGTAAACCTGTTTGAAGCGATTTTTGAACAGACTGAATTACTAACAATGCTGAAATCCCATCATCTATATTGCAGTTGGGAATATGGTTATCGTTGATGATATTGACAAAGTGGTTCAATTGACTATCAAAGGGCTTTTGCTTCATCAACACCTTGGGATCCACGATTCGTTTACTTCTAATTTCATTCAACCAGGTGTTAGATTCGCTAAGTTCCGGGTGGTTTTGGTATAAGTTGAAATCGGGAATGGATAATGTTCCATTTGACCCAAAGATTCGGTATAGTCCATGTAAGTTATCATGAAGGGGAACTGTGGGATTTTCTCCTGTGCTACTCTCAAAGTTGAAAGGAGATGGAACATTATCTGAACATATGAAAGTTCCGCAGGCACCAGACTTAAATCTTAGAGTCAATGCAGCACCTTCGTCAACTTTTTCATATCCTCTTTTTTTGGGCAACGACTCAGCGTACACCTGGTAAATAGGTCCGAACAAATACTGTAGTAAGTCAAGATCGTGAACAAGATTTATGAGGAGTGTCCCACCTCCAGTTTCCGAGTTGGTTCTCCAAGGAGATGTTTTGAAGTAATCTTCGTGCTTCTTCAAAGCCCAAGTCCCTTGAATTGCTACAACGCTACCAATTTTGTACAAATTCTTCTTGGTGGCGATTATGAAAGGATTGAACCTTCTATGGTGTCCCACAAGGACTTTGACTTTCTTGAAGTTTGAGTATATTTTCAATGCTTTGGATTCTTCTGCCGTTGGACTAACAGGTTTTTCCACCAACAAATTGATTCCAAAGGACGCCAATTTCGCCGCAACTGGCACATGTGTATGGTTTGGTGTACATATTATAGCTCCGTCGGGGAGTTTTAGTCCATTCATGGTACAGTATTCTATCATTTCTTCGATGCTGGAGAAGTAATTCGTGTTGAGATTCTGAGCCACCACTTTTGTACTGGGATTCAAGTCAATGATCGCAAACAACATTGTGCTGTCATTATCATTAACATGCTGGGCGTGTCTTGGGCCTATGAGTCCGGCACCCACAACCACGATGTTCAAAGGACCCGATTTTAAGGCGGGTTTGGTAGTATTGGCCGTGATGGAGTCGGACCTCATTTGATTGATTCTGGCACGGGACTCGGAGTCATCCTTGTTGTGGACTTGATGATCTTTAACTCGTATCAACAGAAATGAAACTGTCACAAAAAATACAGCTAGTATTCCCATCAGTGCTTGTGAGGTGCTAAGAGATGAAAAAAGCTGGCTAGCAACAAGGGCACTGCTTAACAGTATAAGGGCCACGAGACCTGGTCTTTGTAACGATATTGATACGGGCATAATGATAGGCCATTTGATTCATAGAATCTGCAGTTTAAAGTGCAGTGAAAATTTAATTTACTAGCGTATGAAAACCTAGCCGGTGATTTAGTGCAAAATATTTTGACTCATCTCTCAAACTTTTAGCATAGTTGTTTTGTGGGGTAACAATAGCAGCACCAGAGACACTTTTTAAAAACTCTGGACACCACAAGCAAACATACAGTCTTCTATTCACACCCTTGAAACCCCTTAGAGAGTGATAAGTCTATTTCATGGCTACCTAACTTGTGGGGTTGCTCTTGGTGCTTGAGTCACTGTGGATATTTCCGAGAAAAAGAAATGTGTGGACCGCAGGCTGCAAAGCACAGTGACAGCCCACATGTAACACGTTAATCTACATTAAATAAACAAATAGTACAACCGTGACACGACTTGTACTCATACCGCCTAGTGTATAAGGAACAATTACTAATAATCACATTCCCTGCAATCACGCACCCCTAAGCCCAAGTGGTACCATTAGGTCATTATCTCTCGCGGTGGCGCGGGTGGCAGGGCAGCCCCACGATTTGTAATCTACCGCGATGCTCCGCCCAATTTACCGCGAAGAAGATTCTTTTTGGTTCCAAGTTCGAGAATCTTCTGCAGCCATTACTCCTTTAGGTAATTGTTGCACACTTCTTTCGAGAACCTTCTCATATTTTTGCAGCATATAACTAAGCAGATGATGGCAAAAGTGCCTATAAATATTCACTGATCTCCCCTGCCTTTATTAGAAAACAAGTTTTTATCAATTCACATTTACCATACCTAATATGTTAGTCAACCCATTATTTTACAATCAAGGTTTATTCCCATCGGCCTTCTTCGATAACACTCAGTTTGTTCAACAATATTCGAAACCAAAATTGATCAAGAAGATCGAAACTGATGACGAAGTCAAGTTTCAGATCTTTAAGGTGGATGGTGACTTTAACTCGTTTGAGTTCAAGTTAATCAGAACCAACAAGTTCGAAGGATTATTGGAAGTATTTTCATTGCCAGATAACTTCAAGGTTTCAATCAAGTTGAATTTGGCCAAGGTCGATATCAACAATATAAACTTTGCTCTTGACAGATACAACTCCAATGTCTTGAATTTGATTATTCCAAAGTACAACCCAGTTTATTCCCAAAAACCCCAAGAAGCGTTTGGATATTTGTTCGACACTTTCTTTGACCAATTAGCAGAAAATTCCTGTTCTAGACCAAAACCAGATGAAAGAGCAATTAGACAGCATAGAAAGGAGCAAAAACAAGAAAAACTTAGAAGAGAACAAGAGAGACAAGAAAAACTCAGAAGAGAACAAGAAAGAGTCAGAGAAGAGCAAGAAAGAATCAGAAAAGAACATGAAAGAATTAGACAAGAACAGGAAAAGCAAGCCAGAATCAGACAAGAACAGGAAAGGCAAGCCAGAATCATAAGGGAAAAAGAACAAAGGTTAAGAAAAGTAAGAGAAGAAAATTTGAGAAAGCAACGGCAAGAACAGGAAGAAGCAAGAAGACAAGCTCAACAACAAGCTCAACAGTTCGTTAACCAAATTTTCCAAAATATCTTTGTTCCTTCCACTGCTTCTCAAGAATTCCCCTTTACTGCATTCAGATATCCTACTCAAGAACAGGCTGGTGCTCAAGCTAATGAATCCTCATACAGCAACAAGAAGGCTAAACCTGAAGTAACCATTCCAGCTCCTGAATCTGTTGTTGCCGACCCTGAAACCTCCGTTCCTGCTGCTGAAGTGGTTGAGACTGGTGCCACCACTGAGCCAGAAATTGAGTCTCCTCATACTTCATCTCCTTCTACTCCCGAAGTCGATATGACCGAAACCGCATCAATCAACTCAGACAATGATTTGGAGACTCCAGACTCACCATTATCTGACTTACACAAACATCCTTCAATCGAGGAAGTCGAAGACGAAGAGTTTGTGATGTTAAGAAAGAAGTTCGGACAATAATTTCTTTGTTTGCATATAACCATTAAATAGCATTAATCAACCTTTAATATATGTATGAAATATTTTTTTTGAAACTGCGACACAAGATTTTGAAGATTCCCATTTCCAGAGTATGTCCATTGCAGTATTCGGAGGAAATGGATTTCTCGGGCGCAAGATCTGTGAATATGGAATTAGAAATGGCTTCAAAGTCACGTCATTCTCACGTTCGGGAATTCCTCCTTTAAAATCAAACCAGCATCTTCAGCAAGTCAAATGGGAATCAGCAGATATCTTTGACGACTCCACCTACAAGTCCCAATTATCAGAATTCAAAACGGTATTCCATTCGATGGGTAAGATCTTCGAGGATGAATCATACAAGAAAGATATCAGCTCAGGGGGCTTGAACTTGAACTTTGTTAAAAAGTTGATTGTGGGATCCAATCCCATGGACAAGACCATTCACAATTCATATAATGGTCTCAATAAAGAAAGTGCCTTAAAATTGGCGTTCGCATACTATAAAGCCAATAAAAATGGCAAGTTGGTCTATATATCGGCTGATAAGGGCTTACCGGTGATAGTCCCCCTGGATTATATCCGTTCTAAAAGAGAAGCCGAAACTGAACTATTGAAATCGAAGCTTAATAGCTTAATTATTAGACCAGGAATCATGTACGATGAAGATGAGAGAAACAACCGATACATACTAGTAAATGGCATGAAGCAACTTCATCAATTGAAGCAACAAGCTTTAGGAAATGATCTTTCCTGTGTCAATAATACTATCAGACCAATATTGTCCACTGATCAAGTGTGCAGCAGAATTTTTCAAAACCTACATGAGGACAATACGGTTATTACTTTAGAAAAGCTAATGAAAAGTTATTAGGTCAAGCTAGTTACATATGTACATAGATGAAGTTAAAATTAAACCGACTGGCCAATGTCAGTGCTGCCGATGGAATCGGTATTAGGTTTGTAGTCCCTTAGTTTATTCTGGAGTGATTCGAGAACTTCCATTTCTACCTCACTCAAACTCAATGATTTGGGCACCTGTAAGGTCTCGGCGTTCAAGACTAAAGTTTCAAGAGCCTTCTCTTCTTTCGGCTCCTGCGTTGGGGGTGGTGGTGTTCTATTTAATGGAGTCCACCAAAAAGCAGGATACTTTCTAATGACGTTGCCTGTTATCAAAGCTACCGCTACAATTAGCACCGAACTCACAAGATGGGTAGGTAAATACCACCAGCTCATGTCTCTGATGCCATCGTCAATGAAGGGAAGTAAAGCGGAAGCACCGGCTGGTGGATGTACACAATTCAAAATCAGCATCAATACAGAAGCCATTCCCACACTAAGAGCACCTCCAATATAATAATGGTCCCTTCCTTTTTCAGACAACAGGAACAACTTTTCAACGCAAACTCCAATTAAAGCCGAGGAAAAGTGACCCAATATGATATTCCGGGGTTGGGCAAGAGGGAGCCCATTCGTATTGAAGCATAGAATGGCAGTAGCCCCATAACTAGCTATGACTATTGGTGCATTATGGTGGTCGGTGAAGATGTTTGGGTTTCTAAATACACCTTCAAGGACAAGAATTCCGCAGAAAGATCCAATTAGCACCTCGAGCCATATAAAATAATCGGGTCTTTGCTTAGAGCCATTATCGTTGTTCCCCAAAAAATAACCCAAAGCCCTTGGAAGCCTCTTGACTTGATTGGGTGGGACAAAGTCTTTAGTGTGCTTGTCTATATTAAATTGGAATACCATTGATCCTGTGCACCTGTGGAAACATCAGGAATGTGACAGATACTTATACTTATGCGTTTCATGCATATGTCAAACTATTTTCGTGACACCAATACGGCTTACCCGCGTGTAAAACAAAAAGCCGCATCTACACGGGCAAGAAGAGTCTCTACGAGTCAAAAAAGATACTTTTATTTTCTAAGCTCCACAACAATTTGCAGATTAACTATTATATGTATAAATACCTGACTAATATGAGTCAGACTTCATTGTAGTGAGTAATGAAAGGTAACTTTTTCCTGAAGTAATATTTTCTAATCTCGTCACCAATAAACACAGTGCTGCATAATAAGACTAAGTGGACTAAGTCAATAAAATACAAAGCCTCTGTCTGAAAGATACCTTGGAAGAATGGTACATAAATTGCACAGAATTGGCCAACGAGGGATCCGGCCACTGCCAAGTTAAACATTCTGTTTCCCAACCCAATCTTGAAGATTGACTTGGAGTAATGACGGCATGATAATGCATTGAACATATCAAATAACACAAAGCAGGTAAAAGTCATGGTTGTATCTCTAGCGGTGATTTCATTGTCAGTCATTTCTTTGACAAAAATGTATAAGGTACCAATAATAATAATACCAGATGATTGTAATACTCTCTTTATCAAGCTGCTGGTTAAAATCTTGTCAGTTCTCTTCCTTGGGGGCTTCTTCATTACTTCATGATCAACAGGTTCAACCCCCAAAGATTGGGCTGGAGGTCCATCCATCAATATGTTAATCCACAAAATTTGCATAGCGTTTAATGGGTTGGGTAAACCAAAAAAAGTCGATAAGGCAATTAACGTTAAAGCAGCAATAGAAGTTGATAATTGGAAGGTAATAAAGTTCTGAATGTTGTAGAAGATTCCCTTTCCTTCTTCAATGGCATTCAAAATAGTGGAAAAATCGTCATCAGTCAACACCATGTCAGCCGCTTCTTTGGCGACATCTGTACCGTTCTTACCCATTGCAATACCAATATCAGCCAATTTCAAGGCTGGTGCATCATTAACACCGTCACCTGTCATTGCCACAATATCACCTCTTCTTTGGAAAGCCTTGACAATAGTCACCTTGTGTTCGGGTGTAGTTCTTGCGAAAACGGAAACATTCTGGATGACTTCTGCTAAAGCTTCTTCACTCAAACTATCAATTTGATCTCCGGTCATTACTGACCGTTCATTGATGATTGGTATTCCGATTTGTTTGGCGATGTTAGTGGCAGTGGATGGAGAGTCACCAGTAATCATGACAACTTGAACACCACCTTTCATCAATAAGGCAACAGATTTTTCAACGTTAGGTCTAGGAGGATCTTTCATACCAACTAACCCACAAAATATTAAATCACTTGGTTCAATCTGGCTGTTCAGGTCTACTTTCTCAGTTATTTTGATATTATTTCTGGCAAACCCAAGAACTCTCAATCCATCATTAGCTAACTCGTGAGATTTATCCAAGATTTCCTTCTTGATGGCTTCAGTAATTGGTTTTATCTTCCCTGAGTTATCATAGTACCTGGAACAGAGTCCTAAGACTCTTTCTGTTGCACCTTTCACAAAAGCTTCAGATTTGCTCATATCACCGGAGTGGGTATACACAGACATGTACTTTCTTTGGGAAGAGAATGGTAATTCGTAGAACCTTTCTTTTGTGTTCCTCATATCTTCCAACAGGAAGTGTGGCAAACATTCAACCAAGGCAATATCACTAGCATTACCAACGTATTTTTCACTTTCGGTAGAAAATCTGGAGTTGTTACATATGTTAGCAACTTCCAAGACTTTCTTCATATTTCCGGTCAATTTTTTGTGTAAAGCTTCATCATTGAATCTTTCCACTACCAAGAAGGGGTTATTAGAGGTACCATTGAAATCATAAGCCCACATTTTTACTACTGTCATATGGTTCTGGGTTAATGTTCCCGTTTTATCAGAACAAATAACATTGACACTTCCCAAGGTTTCAACACTTGGTAATCTCTTAACAATGGCCTTTCTCTTTGCCATTCTTAACACACCCAAAGCCAAAGTAACGGTCACAATAATTGGTAACCCTTCAGGAATGGCAGCAACAGCTAAGGAAACAGAAATTTGAAACATATCTAACCATGCTTTGCCTTGAATTACACCTAGCAAAAAGATGATCCCGATGATAATGAAACTGAAGAGGGAAAGTTCTTTACCTAGCTTATCCATGGCTTGTTGTAAAGGAGTTTTAGGTTTTTCAATCTCAGACATCATTTCAAAAACTGCACCAAACTCGGTTTTAGCCCCCGTAGCTACTACAATACCAGCCCCATGACCATCACGTACCAATGTACCCATGTATGCAATTGAGTTTCTTTGGGTAATCGGAATGGACTCATCTTTTTCGTTCAACACTGACTCAACATACTTCTTTACCGGTCTGTTTTCACCAGTCAAGTTACTTTCATCAATGGACAAATGGACAGCATCCACCAATCTGACATCAGCGGGAATTCTATCCCCTTGTCCAAAGTGAACCAAATCACCTGGAACTAAAGTCGATGCTAAAACATTGGAAGCATTCCCATTTCTAGTCAAATGGGCTTCGGCAGGAACTAACTTGTTTAATGCTTCTAAGGATTTCTCTGATCTATATTCTTGAACAAACCCAACTGATACCACAATGAAAATAGCCAACGTAATGGAAATAGCATCATCTATATTTTCCATCCAAAAACTTATTAGTGCCGACCCTATTAATAATAGGATCAATGGATCTTGGTAAAAACTCGACAAGAATTTTAAAAGTAGACTCTCTTCAACGTCATTATTCAATTCGTTTGCTCCGTGTATAGACTTTCTAGTAAGAATATCCTGATTGTCAGTTAACCCGAATTTTATATCAGTTTGGAGCTCGCTGGCAGTATCTATTATTGACTTTTGACAGAATAAAGCCGAGGGGGAATTTGACCGGGAATCAATGGTCGCTTGACTCAGCGATAGGTATGGATTCTCACTCATGTTCGTTAAGTTGATCTCCAAACGCAAAACAACTTCTTGCTTTCTATATATAACTGTTCACAAAACACTGAACGTGCCACAAGTTTTTCGTTCAGCTTACTCAATCGAATTGAAAAATAGGGAATTAGCAAACAATAACAAGAGTTTTATACGAAGGGTTTAATATATTCGTTATAATTAACTCCTTAAGCAAAGCTTGTTTGGCTTTACAAAATGAAATAGCTTACCAACAAGTTCACTTCGATTTTTTTTTCTTCGCATCTACGGGCTACGGCTCCCTGATCTTAGAGGCGCAATGGTTGATCCACTAAAATTACAACCTTATCTTGAGATTATATTACAGGTGTATATTACCGAGGTGGTTTGCACTAACAATATTGCTGGCAGCAGTACTGTCCAGGACCATGAGTACTGACTTTGATTTGGTGAACTTTCTCAGTCGGATTTAATGATTGTTTCGAACGCTGCTTTGCTAAGTCTATTCATTATGGCAAGTCCTTCATCTATTTCGTCAACTCCTTCGACGAAGATCAAATCCACACCCAATTCATCAACTTCTCTTAACATTTTGAAAAGGTTTCGAGAGATTTCACCGCCAGTAGTTCCTAATTCTCTTTCTGCAATGATAGTCTTGCTAATCTCTTTAGCAGGAATGAAAGATCTCGTTCTAAGTAATGCAAATTTGCAGTCAGCAATGTCTCTCTTCTTGATATAGTTGTTGATGGCCACTTCCCCGTCAGAGCAGTTCAAAAAGAGTATTACAGGAGCACTTGGAGAATAGTGCCTATATTTCATGCCTGGGGTTCGGACAGCTTCGTTCTTACCGGCGACTTTTTTTGCCAAGATAATATTTACCCATTCAGGTCCTCCCACTCGCCTAATCTCTTCCAACAGGATTCCTCCTGGTCTAAGGAGCATTGGAGGATGCGATAACCCATCCACCACGGTTGATTCGAGTCCGACGTTACATGATCCTCCATCCAAAATGTAGGGTATCTTGGTGTTTAAATCGTGGTACACGTGACTGGCCAATGTTGGACTTGGTCTTGTAGAAGAGTTCGCAGAAGGAGCAGCTATCGGCGTATCACTCAATGCAATTAAAGCCCTGGCAATTGGATGACTAGGAAGTCTTACCGCAAAAGTGTCTTGACCAGCAGTAACTAACTTCGAGAGGATTGAATCCTCGTGCACCGGTAGGAGAATAGTCAACGGTCCGGGCCACATCTTTTCCAAGAGTGAACTATAGATGCTTGGTATGATATAGTCTTTGGGTAGTAACTTACGTTTAAGTTGATCTATGGATGAAACATGCACAATTAATGGGTTATCAGCCGGTCTGTTTTTGGCTCTGTAGATTGACTTGACAGATTCATCGTTGAGGGCAGAGCCTCCGAGTCCGTATACGGTTTCTGTTGGGAATCCAACTACATTGCTTGTGTTCTTGAGTTCATTGGCCGCTATTTGAAGGTTCCTCTCGGTGTCTGGGTCAGTTATCGTAGGTAAATCCTCTCCAATTTTGAAAACCACTGTTTCTGGATTTACTTTCAAAATTTTGGTATCAAATGACATAAATCTTTTAAATCCTTGTATCCTTGTATAAATGCTAAGGCTTTTGATAACCATAATTTTTTTTTCCGATGTTTCAAATTAGTAAATGCGATGCGATATTGTGTAGACACTACGATTACATTTGGCTGCAAATGGCCTTGAGATTTATATTAACTATCAGTTTAAGACTAATAGGATAAGCTCTCTTGGAAGATGTGTTATATTACTATGAGTTAGGCAGTTCCAAATAAATCATATTTTCTATTTCTAAGAATTGTTTTTAAATTTAACTTCAATTTGTGAGTTTCACAAATCAATGAAAAATATGCTATTGAGAGAGGAATATGAATTGATGTACATCCTGCTTGCGCTAATTAGCGTTAACAAATATACATTACCATTAAGCTCAATAATTCAATACAGTAAGCAATTGCACATGTATAGGCATATTTTAGAACGTCTATTGAGAAAATTAAAGTTTTAAAAAGGAACTGTTCTACAACAATTTATCTTTTACAACGTGTATTATCTATATATTAAAATAGCACATTTTCAGTAATTATTCTCTTTTCGCCATCATCGAGCTGGCCGTAATACTTCGAAAAATTTCCAAGGTTTCTCACGGCACATTCTTTGAAGAATTGAATTAACAAGTTCTTTAAATCATCATCCTTTGATTCTTCGTGTTCTTCATCATCAGAGTCTATATATGATTTCAACTTGTCATAATTGGGCACACCAATATCTTCGAGGTCTTCCCACCCATCGTCATCCCCAGCATCCTCCTCATATTTCCCCTGCAAATAATCTTCAGCATTTGGCTGTTGACATTGAAACTCAAGCTCACTGACCAAGAGTTTTAAAATCTTGAGAGATGCTGAAATTTGAGTATATCGATCTGGCATCAGTTTGGTCATAGACCTGGTGACAATCTTGTCTCCATCATAAGGTATTAAATCACCATTAACGACCAAGGTCTCAATTCTTTGATCAGCCAAAGAAAATATCTTTCCTAAAGCCAATGCATTTTGCTTTATCTTCTCATAACCTCTAGTCACTTCAAATGATTGGAACCAAATGGGAAGAATCAACGAAAGACTAGGTGTGTCTTTGCCGGTTACAGGGTCTTTAAGTATCAATTCATTTCCAAGGTAGTTGATCATCAGCTCAGGGGAAACTAAAACCAAGTTACAGAATAGCATCACCAAGTTTTCTACAGTAATCACTTCCTTGGCAATTAAGAGTCGTTGCGCTGTAGCCGCCAAAATTTGAGACAAGTACTGATCCCCTAATTCTTGTTGAAACTTGTTTATCAATGAGGTTACAATTGTACCACAATTTAAGGCTGCTCTGTCCGACAACTCAGAAGACAAGAACTTAGAAACAATGGTTAACAATGATTCAAGCCCAGATTCACCAGTGTCCGGATCTTTGTAGGTTCTGAAGCTTGTAGATGCATTCTGTATCAAGCTGTTAATAATAGAGCCACCACTTTGTAAAATCTGATCATCGTTAGCCAATATTACCAATCTTCTAATATGAGAATACAAGAAGTTAAATACCTGTTCAGGGAAAGATTTTTCATTGATTTCATTGGGGGGAACAGATTCAATAACGATGTCAAGTAAATCCAAACTAAGGTTCAATTTTGGGGAATACTCAACGGACTGCGAGTCAGTAGCGGATTGGTTAATATTATTAATCAAGAAAGGCAACGACTTTTCACAACACGTGATATAATCAGCCATCTCAATATTTTCAAACAACGTCCTCAAACAATCAGACGATTCAATGACAGACTGGACGTTAGAAGGATCTTTGAAAGACACGTTCAATATTAAGTCTACAACTGATGATCCAGAAGCGTCGGTTTTAGAAGCAGTTTTTGGGTTGATATTAATCCCCACAGACAAAGCCTCCAATAAGACCGGCAAAGCATCCTCCTCGCTTGCTTCAAGCAAATCTGTGATCAAACAAAAGAAGTTTTGCTGAATAGAAGTTGAATTGGTGTGATTGAAATCTGTCTCAAAGTTGATCAAATCTCTATAGTTAGTGCTGCTGATCAAAGTGGAAGCCTTAATGAAATCATACCCGGTATCACCTGAGGATAGCTTACAGCTAATAAATATGGTTAAACTGAAAATGAAGGCGGCAATGTTATTATTGTAGTTAGCAATATCATCTCTGTAAGCAGAAACTTTGTTGACAGACAACTTTCCTTCAAACTTTTCAAAAAACTTTGGAAGCATAGATATGACTCTCGCAATAACCAATGAATTTGTGTTTGAGTTTAAGCGGTTAGCTTCATTTAACGCCAAGAACTGAACAGTGAAACTGTAAAAGTCGGTTATATCAATATCTCCTTCTAGCTCAGTATCTTCATTTTGGAACATACTTTCTAAAATATAGAACTTGGCTTCAGTGAGTTCCCATGGGTCATTAGTTGAGCTCATAAGGTCTCTGAGTATGGCATTGAAAATTGCATTGGAATCCTTATCGTTCAATTCAGAGAAGAATTCGTTGATGGAATCGCGTACAGTGACTGAGCCAGATAAACCTGTGTTCTCAGTTATGTAGACGTTGAAGTCATTATCATAGCTGTCTTCAGACTGTAAAGTGGACACGGATATCATCTGTGTAACAAACACCAGAAAATCATCTGTGGCTAATACTGAGTTCAATTGAACACTATGTTGTATCAACAATACTAGAGATGCAATTTCATTGATAGTGTCGGTGATATCTTTTCCATAATCATCCCCATATCCTATAATACTCAAGTCTGAAGTACTGTTGTTGATCTGTAGATACGGAGAGTGTAACACATTGAAGTCACCCAAGAGTTCCAATAATAGGTACCTTTTGAATTCGATTGAAATTTTCTTGTTGAAGCTGCCAAAAATAGTGCTTAGCACAGAGTACATTGAAGAACGAAACTTACAATCAACAAGATCAATGCTTTTGTTACTCAACAATTTGGAAGAAGACTGGATGGAATCTTTGATCAACTTGAAGAACAATTCGCAAATGAAGGGTAAATGTTCATACACCATTTTCTTCCTCGAGTCATTAACAAAAGCTTCACCACTAGTTAAATAGTTTAAAACATTTTTGTACAAGTCTATGCAATTAATTTTGACTTCTGGGCTCAAGTTATCTGTGGATAATATCAGAGTAATATGATCAATCAACTGTTTACCAACATTTTGATCCCAAAACTGTTCTTCAGTTACCAAATCATCGAATAAGTCGTTCAAAACTTTGAGAGAGCCCTCGACCGCTGGCTGGTTATTGAAATCCCTCGAATACTCATACAAAGTGTTTAGTAAGTCGGGCCATTCATCAGGATAGTCAGCAACAGCAATTTGAACAATTACATAAGAAGCACTATTCTTAATTTTGGAAGGTTGAGAAGTCATCACCAACTTGATCAAGTTGTCTCTAATTACCAGCTTCAAGTCCTGGCTAATTGGAGTTCCACTGAAAGACTCAAATGCCATAGACCAGTATTTTGGAACCAATCTCCTCAAGTGTAATAAGCAAGATTGTCTCACATATTGTGGATAACTTGACTCCATGGGCACCTGAATTAACACATAACAAACTTTTGAAGGATCTTGAGCCACCAAATGATTAAATTCCAATTCAGCCACCCTTCTAGAATTGTTATTAGAACTATTCTGATCCTCAATTAGCTTGAGAACAAGTTGAACTTGATCCATAGTCAAAGGTTAGTGGTGGTGAATCGAAAATTTTCTGTGGTCGCTAACAACCCAAACGCGTATCAACTGAACGAAATTAAACGTCACATTTCAAACTATCACCCCATTCAAAAAGCTATAACTTATTCATCAGAGAAACACAAAATAACCAGTACTATGTCTAACTTGCTCTATCCCGCGTTGAAAGACTTCGAACATACGATCCCCATAGAACGATTAAATGTCCTAAGAAATCAAGTGGAATCAGAAAACCCCGATCCATCGGCTGGATCACTTTTCAATTATGCTTGGGGATTAATAAAGACCAAAGGTCACAAATACAACCAAGAAGGAGTAGAAATTTTGAAGGAGCTATACAGAAAGGAGCCTGACATCAGAAAAGACTGTTTATACTATTTATCTATGGGGTCATTAAAGCTCGGGGATTACACGAGCGCACGGCAATACATCGAGGAGTTGTTAAAGATTGAGCCTGACAACAGCCAGGGCCAAGCCATGAAAAACGTAATTGAAGACAAGATCACCAAAGAAGGTCTAATTGGTCTTGGAATAGCAGGAGGAATACTTGCTGTTGGTGTGGGGATAATAGGTGCCCTCATAAGAAGAAAGCGTTGAAGGGCGTTAGGGATATTTATTACATGTTGTTTAATTGTGAATGGTTTCAGATTTTCCCAGGTGTTCTTACTGCTGGATCACATTTGAAGGCTCCAGTAAGCGATCTAGGGGTTTTTATGTACAATGGTTAGAAAGCGATGCTATATAATGAATGCGAAAAACTGTTTTTGTAAAATATCATGGGTGAGTTGCACGATGATTCTTCACAATTGGCACAAAAAATAGCTGATACCGTAGTACAAACATTTAATGGGTTGAACATAAAGTCCGGGAAACCCATAACTCGATCAAATGGGGTCCAAGAATGGACAGTGATGGCTGGGATAGTTCTAATTCAAGGTGATACAAATATACCGATTTCGATTTGCACTGGAGTGAAAGCCCTTCCAGACCAAGTACGAAGCTATTCTGAGGGTAGAATAGTGCACGATCTACATGCGGAGATCCTCTGCTTTCGAGCTTTTAACCGGTTTTTGATCGACGAGTGCCAGAATCGTGAGTCTACGTTAGTAGAGAAGAACCCAGACACAGAGAAATATGTCTTAAAGCCTCATATAAAAGTGGCTCTTTTTGTGACTGAACCTCCGTGTGGAGACGCATCTATGGGGTATTTGAGTGCCAAAACATCGAATAACACGCCGTGGGAGATCCCACAGGAGGATGGAGCAGGATATAAGAGACGTAAAACTAAAACTGAGATGGTAAGAGGACGAAACCATTTTGATCAGTTGGGAATTGTACGAACAAAGCCTGGCAGGCTGGACTCAGTGAAAACACTTAGCAAATCCTGCTCTGACAAAATCTGCCTCAAACAGTTGGTGGGGCTAAACAATAGTATTACCAGCCAATTTTATGAGCCAGTTTATCTTGATTTTTTGGTACTTCACAAAACAAAGTACCATGAACCAGATATCAGAAGATGCTTTGACGAGAGGTTTCCCATAACCATCGGGAAGAAGCTCAAGACAATTGTGTACGTAAAGAACGCTTACCCATATGAAAAGCATGAAGGTGCTGTTCCATCACCGCTTTCGTTAGTGCACATGGCCTGGCGAAACGAGACTCAAGTCATTAACAATGGAGTTAAAAATGGTAGCTTCATCAAGAACCGGCCTCCAAATCCCGGAGGCGAAAGCTCACTTTGCAATAAGGCATTGGTAAAACACAGCATGTTGGTATATGAGCCAAAACAAAAGACATACCAAGAGCTAAAAGAAGCTCAAACAGATAGGAACATCTTGAAGAAAGATGCAAAACAGCTTTTGGAAAACTGGGTCGACACCACCAAAGATAACTTTCTATTGGGATAAATGGTTATAGATATGTATATATAAATATATGTGTTATGGGGGTTCTAATTATTCAGACTCAGAGTCAGAAGGCCCATCGCTTTCTTCCCCATCATCACCTTCTTGAGTCTCTTGGAGGCCCTGACCTTCCATAGAAATTGCATACTCGGCTCCTTCTAATAACTCCGTCAAATTGGCATTGTCTTTGACGTAGTTAATAGGTTTTAACTTGTAGCTATCAAGTATTCTAGGATCGGATCCGGCATCAAGTAAATTATCCACCACGTAATACCCATGATCAGGTTCATCATTGGCGTACTTCACGGCCAAATGCAACGGAGTTTCACCAGCCCTGTTCTTGGGGTCAATTTCAACCCCCTCAATGTCCAAAACTATATCGATGAACTCCCAGTTTCCGAGATGACATGCCAAATGCAAAGGAGTGTTGTTGGTTATAATTTCCTTGGTGGAGTTGATCAATTGAGACAACTTCATCTGGTCGTTGTTCAAGTCAGATTTGATCTGTAATAAGAGCTCTGTGTTGTTTCTTCTGGATGCCTCTAATATTTGCTCGCTGTGCGAGGCACCACTAGTTTCCGTGGGGTCTGACATTATCTGTGGGAGGATGTTGAGGCTGATTCCAATTCTCCTTTTTCGCACTTTCCTGGCGATTTTGCAGTCAGAGTTTGACAGAGGCCATTGGCATAGAAAGAAAAGCTGGAACTGGCCGGGGGAAAAAGGGGCCTTGTGGTGCCTAATGGAAAGAAAGTACAAATCATATTACAAGAATATCCAAAAATGTTCTTGTAAATACCTTCAGAAATGGTTTAGAGAGAAATATCGATGAGAGAAGGAAAGGTATCCACCGTATACAAGAGATTCTGGGCTCTACAGTACTGAAAAGAGTATTGGATGTTATATCTTCATCCGATTTGTTAAAGAACAAACCCACCTTTTTTACCTAAACCTAAAACCCAACAACTGGCGGTGGAATTATAATCCGCGTTCGAATCAAATCGGCACGCAATCCGCAAACAACTCTTGAACCATGGTTAAACCAATTATAGCTCCTTCGATCTTATCGGCCAATTTCGCCAACTTGGGCTGTGACTGCCACAAGATGTACGATGCAGGTGCCGACTGGTTGCACATCGATGTAATGGATGGGAACTTTGTTCCTAACATCTCATTGGGATTGCCAGTGATATCGAGTTTGAGACAAGAGATCCCCCGGTCTAACGAAAAAAGTTTCTTTGACTGTCACATGATGGTGGCCGACCCAGAGAAGTGGGTTCCAGAAATTGCTAAAGCTGGGGGTGACCAGTACACTTTCCACTATGAAGCTACGAAGAATCCGCTTGAGTTGGTCAAATTGATCAAAGAAAATGGCATGAAGGCTGCATGTGCCATTAAACCGGGCACTCCTGTTGATGTATTGTATCCATTGGCAGAGCACTTGGACATGGCCTTGGTAATGACGGTGGAGCCAGGATTCGGAGGTCAGAAGTTCATGGCTGACATGATGCCTAAGGTTGAGGATTTGAGAGCCAAATTCCCCCGATTGAACATTCAAGTCGATGGAGGTTTGGGAAAGGACACAGTGCCAGTGGCCGCCAAGGCAGGTGCCAATGTGATTGTTGCCGGCACGGCAGTGTTTAAAGCTGCTGATCCTAAGGAGATGATTCAACTCTTAAGGGACGAAGTCACCAAGTCATTGAAGGAAAAAGACCTACTTGACACTCGGTGTTTAAAGCGGCCAATCCCAAGGGGATGATTCAACATTTGAGGGACGAGGTCTCCAAGTCATTGAAGGAAAAAACCCTATTTGACAACCCCAGCTCATGACTGTTTGAAAGAGGATGCCTACAGTAGGGTATGAACTCATCACTATTTTTATCACGACTATATATTCTAGTGTACAACGAGGAATAAATGAATGTCTTATTAAAATGACTGAACTCCAACAGTGGTACCGTTAGCTTGTGGTGAAACCTTAAACATCAGTAAATCATTACCATTAACTACACCCCATAAAGCCTTTCTTATCTTCTCGGTGGAGTTTTCTCCTTTGACTTTGGTTTTCAATTTTATCAAGGAGTTTATTGGCTTTGGTTCATCAGTTTGCATTTGGTCGTCAAGGTCTTTTTGTAATCTCTTTTCAACATACTTTTGGTTTCTGGCCAACTTCTTGGCTTTTTTATTGGATAAGGTATTGGTGGTTAAGTGAGTAGGGTTGGAAACGTTTCCAGTGTATACGGCTATGGATCTGGAATCGGAGGGTCTTGGAAGTGCATCTTCATTATAACGAGAAGTGGCTGATCTAGTAGACTCTCTGGTTCTACTAGCTCTCTTCTTACCGATTGAAGAGGCATGACTGTTACGGAGCATCTTGTCCTTAGGTTTATTTATCGAGTTTCTTGAAGGCATTTTGTAAATGGGTTTATCTCATCTCAAAATTTTTTGTTTGTGAGAAGAGATGCTACCCGACAGATTCGAGACTGCGAAGAAGAGGGCCATAAATAAAAGAGATTTATAGGAGAATAGTGAAATGCACGGCAGGGAATAAAGTGGGTACAGAAAGTAGGTTTCATGTAATCCGTTTGCAAGATATGATATCTTTTCAGACAACGGATAGGGAAAATATAACGTTTTACAGTAATGTGAGCCAGCGTGAAGACGCTATTCTGTCGACTGTTGTATTCGTAATCATTAATGCTCTACTATATGACACATCTTGAAACAATATTCTGACTTTATATGTCCGATGTTACTGGCTTGTCCAGTCTAATTCAACTTTAATATCCTTAGGAACCAAATATATAAAGAGTATAGGCAACAAGTATACCTTAGGTTCCAAGTCTGTTTGTTTCTGGGTAGATATCTTATGCGATGGTTTATAATTGGGGTTATTCACAGAATCAAGTTGATATAGTTTGTTGTACTGTCTTATAGACTTCCCTTTTGATTTTGCAATCTCAACAATAGTGATTAGCTTGTTGATATTCTTAGACTGAGCTGTCAACAATATTACCTCACAGACTTGGATCTTATTTATAATCTCTTCGACCCTTGTATTTATGGAATCGTGTTTATCGATGGTAACAGAAGAACTGGTTACTGGGACACCATTTAGCCTCTCAACCATTTGGCTTAATTCCTGACCAGTTTTAATCACTTGGTTCTCAAATCTTGCTTTCTCATCAAGGATGATAACTTTGGCTTCCTCTTCCTCGGGAGCTACTTTGCCCGTTAATACCATGGTGTATTTATTGAACAACTACTTAAACCTGAAAAATTAAACAAATGCGACTTCTAAATCATTTGTTCTTTTTGGAGGAACTTTGGCTGCTTCTACTATTATTAGCACTGTTGGCGAATGCAGTAGAAGTATCATACTTGCCATACCGAGTGTTTTGGTCATATATACAATCGTAGAACTGGACAGCCTCCATTATACTGGAATGAGTTTCTTTCAACTGCTGAACAGACGTATTCTTGGTGATCGTCGGCTGCAAATGATGAAAGCTAGAAGCTTTTCTCAACACTGGTGAATATTGGTTGGCGGCAGCAGAGGTATAATAAAACCGTGAATGAGACTGGTATGAAGCCATCTGCTGGCCCGTATTTTGGGGATGTTTAGGAAGCAGAAGGTTTCCAGAAGGATATGAAAACTTATCTTGTGCTATGGTTGATGTTGGTGAAGATATATCAGAAGCTTCTTGAGTATCGTAAAAAGTGTCTGGAGCATATTCATTAACAATATCTTTGATTGCTGAATCAACACTAACAAATGAAGCATCATCCTTGGGATAGTCAGCTTTAACTTCGGGCCTAACCATCATCACCACCACACTATTGAAGAATTGCTTAGGTGGACTTGGAATGGGCAATGGATTGAAAGGTGGGAAATTCATCATGTTCTTTTTAGGAGGAATTCCACTGATAGGATCGAACTGTAGCATTCTCTTTCTCAAGTAGAAAAAGTTCGAATGCTGAGAAGTTCTAATCAGGATCAATCTTATCAAGAAACTGTTAAGTGACTCCAAGTACTTTGCATCCACGTCCAACTCAAAAGCCTGATTCAAGAGGAAGTTCAAGGTGCATATAATGGTTAACGAAAACCCATTTACAAAGTTGTAGTATAACTGGTTGGAATCAAGGTCGTTGTAGTCCAATTTGAGTTCTGATTTGCGTTTCAAGTACCGATCTCTTTCCATGAGAATTAACAACTGCAATGAACTAATGGCTTTGGGAGAATTAATGGATGGAAATAATTTGAGATTCAATTTGTCGGAGAGATATAATAACTCCTGGTAGGTTCCCTTCATCAATGGAACAACAAATGAACTATTTGATAAAGCCAAAACATCTTTTTCTTCGAATACAATAGATAGTGTGTGGAAGCATATCACTCTTATCAAGTTTTTCCAAATTATCTGGATCAACATATGATAGGACTGAAAGGGAATCATCACCAAAATGACTGATCTAGCTTTACATGATGCTACAAAATGGCTCAAAGCTTCATCTGTTTCAGCATTTTCCAAAATTAGTTCAACATTGGGTTTCTTGTTTCTGCCTGTCAAAACTCCCAAGTACAAGGTAAGATCAGACTTGTCTCCAACCAATATGAACATATTTGATTTCAGAGAAAGTCTCCGACAATCAATGTCCGAATACATTGCTAAAACAACGGTGTCAAGTACATCATTGACTTTTTCAAAAAACCAGGGACATTCGTTGCAATCCACAATCACTTTAGTTTTATCATTTAGAAACCCTCTAAACTTGGAGATTTTCGTGCTGAAGATACCAAAGAAAGCCTCAGTGAAGACAATCAAATCAAACTTGCCATGAACTTCCTCTATATTCCTGACCTGTTTGTGAACTTGGAAAGAGACTTTTGTTTTCCCCAATTGAATGGACCAATTTGAATGAAGGTTCTTGCTATTATTGAAATTGCAAACGGTGATATACCACCCTGAGCTGGAAAGCATGTAGCTGAGATAGATAATCAGGGACGAGTTTCCAAATATCAAAGCATTAACCATATTTTTGATGAAAATACTAATCCAACAAAAGCGCTTCGAGTATAATCCACAAAAATGGCTGCAAATTTCCAGCCCTTCTGATTCTCGCCGAGACAAATTTGGTCTTTAGGTATGTGAGAAAACCCAACACCCAAAAGTGGTATTTCACAAGGGATTAGAGCAAACTAAGTAGAAAGGCCTTTTATTATCCAGGAACCAGTATCAATATGAAGTTATCAATAGTGATAATATAACTCCTAATATGCTCTAACACGCCCTCCTTAGAGCTACTTACCAAACAGGAAATCTCAACTCGCTGCTTGGTTCTTATATCCAGTTTGTGAACTATTCCTCAGTGTCACATGTGTCTGGTTTTTTAATGCTTTGTGGAAGTGAAACCCCTATCTATAATATAGGGAATGAAATTGGCTGGAAACAACTTCACATAATAAATACGTCTACACCAATCAGAACAGTTTGGATTCTATTTCGAAGACACCGGCTGCAAGATTCGGGAAGTCCGCGCAAACTACACTGATAAGCAACATTGATTAGGTTAGTCATACATCCTATTCACCTGATTCAAGCTTCCATATACATAGCGCATTACCTCGTATCAAAAGGATGTAATTCTCATTCTAGCACTTGGTTTCAAGTGGTCGTAACTCCTAGGTCCCAAATTACAAGCATCCGGACATCCCCTTTGATCCGAGCCAAATTTCGCTGTGTAGGAAATTCGTGGGGCAAGTTTCTCACTCCAGGAACTTTTCACCGTTTTAACCACCAGAGTTCTTCTTAAATTTTTAATAAAGTCAGAAAGCTACAGCTTCGAATGAACAAGCTGCTCTCCGCCTCAATAAGAAATACAAGACTTTTTACCCGTGTATCCCCCTTAGTGTCTACTAGATTCAATCTCCAAACGTCAGTCAACATGTCGAGCGTTCCTTTCAAGCAACCCGCACACAAATTGACCATGATCCCAGGTCCAATTGAGTTCAGTGATGAGGTGTTGTATGCCATGGCTACTCCATCCCAGGCTCATACTTCGCCTGAATTCATCAAGACTTTCCAGTCTACTTTGATTAACTTGAGAAAAGTGTTCAAGTCCACAGACCCGGCAGCCCAACCATTTGTGTTGGCTGGTTCCGGGACTTTGGGATGGGATATTGCTGCCACCAACTTTGTTAGCGCTGGTGACAAGGTGTTGGTATTGTCCACGGGATTCTTTTCCGACTCTTTTGCCGAATGCTTGAAGATATACGACATTGACGTGGATGTAATCACTGCAGAAGTGGGAGATGTGGTACCATTAGAACAGATTGAAGCTCAGTTGAAGAAAGAAAAGTATGCCGCCATCACCATCACTCATGTTGATACTTCGACATCTGTGGTTAGTGATGTGGGAGCTATTTCCAGCTTGGTGCAAAAGGTGTCCCCAGAAACCTTGATTGTGGTGGATGGTGTTTGTTCTGTTGGTGTGGAAAATTTGGAATTCGACAAGTGGGGAGTCGACTACGCGTTGACGGCCTCCCAAAAAGCCCTTGGTGTTCCATCTGGGTTATCCGTCTCCTTTGCCAGTGGTAGAGCCATGGAAAAGGCATTAAACAGACCAAAGCAGACTTCTTTCTTTGCCTCATTGAAGAGATGGACTCCTATCATGAAGGCTTACGAAAGTGGTTCGGGTGCGTACTTTGCCACACCAGCTGTTCAAACCATCACGGCTTTGAAGGTGTCTTTAGACCAAATCTTGTCTGAGACTTTAGATAAGAGATTTGCCAGCCATGCTCAAAGCTCTGACGAGTTCAAGGGCGAATTAGAGAAATTGGGAATGAAGATTTTGCCAGTTTCGAGATCGGTGGCTGCTCATGGATTAAGTGCCATTTACTTCCCTGAAGGTGTCAATGGACCAGACTTTTTATCAAAATTGGCTTCGAAGGGCTTTACAGTTGCGGGAGGAATCCACAAGGCTTTACCAGGAAAATACTTCAGAGTGGGCCATATGGGTTATTCTGTGCGTGCTGGCCATCTTGATTTGTTGTTGGCAGCCATCAAAGAATCCTTGTCTGAATTAGGATACTCAAAGTAAATTCTGTAGTGCAGTACATATGGTTGCAGATAATGTATGTTTTTCATCGCGGATTGGTTTTTTGCTGCTGTCAAAATCTTTGCCATCACTGTAAATACATTAATCTCGCTTGGAAAATGGCTGTTCCATTCCCAGATATAGACCCATATGAAGTTTTGGGTGTGAGTAATACGGCAAATCCTATTGAGGTGAAGCGAGCCTATAAAAAGCTCAGTTTGAAGTATCACCCTGATAAGTTGAGGCAACAACAAATATCAAATAACAACGGTGATGATACAAACGATTTGTTTCCCAAGATCCAATTTGCATACAGTGTTCTCTCAGATCATAACAGAAGACAAAGATACGATGCCACCGGTTCTTTGGCGGAGTTAGAAGAAGGTGAGGATTCTTTCGACTGGAAGGAGTATTTTAATTCGTTGAACGAAAAAATCACCGTCGAAATGATCGAGGAAGACAGATTGAAGTATCAAAATAGTGAGGAAGAGAGATCTGATATATTACAGAACATTTTGTTTTATGAAGGTGACTTTTTGAAGTTGTTTGAAGTGATTCCTCACTTGGAGTTTGATGAACGAGAAGAAGAGAGAGTGTTCGTTATTGTTGAAGAGTTGGAACAACAGTTCCCTCAAGAATTCAGCAAGAACGCTGTGAAGTCGATTGCAAAGTACCAAAAGTCCCGAAAGACTAAGGTGAAGAATCAATTGAAGAAATTGGCCAAGGAAGCAAAAGAAGCTGAAAAATTGGAAAAGCTCATCAAGGGCAAGCATAAGGGAAATGACCTCCAAGCGATTATAAGAGCCAGACAGTCCAGCCGCATGGATGACCTTATCAGTAATCTTGAAAGTAAATACGTGGATAAGAAGGGAAAGAAAAGACTGAATGTATCTGATGATGAGTTCAATAGGATCCAACAGGGTCTTTTGAATAAAAAGAAAAACGGGTTTAAAGCGTTTACACCTACTTTCACGCTTTTATAGTGAAACTCATATCTATGACCTTTAGAAAGTACAGATCTATATAAATACTATATGAATATACTCTCACATCTCACTCGATGCGCACCGCTAAATAATTCGCGTGTTTTGTTTATTTGTAAAACTGATCTATACTTAAGAGATGAGTGATTCAGAAGGCTTTTCAGATTATAGTGACAGTGTTCATGAAGTTGACGATCTATCGGATGACTTCATGCCTGAAGAAGTGTCTAGCCAGCCCAAATCGCAGAAAAAAGCAACAACCTCGAAAGCCAAATCGAAAACTCCTCTCTCAGATTCCACCAATATCTCATCGATGCTATCCAAGTCCACAGCAGGCTCTAGCCAATCCCGTTCTCCAAGCCCAACGTCGTCTTTTGAATCCCAACCACTGAAAAAGTCAAAGAAAGGTGCATCTGAGCAGTATCAAAGATTATCACAGTTGGAACATATTTTAAAGAGACCAGATACATATATCGGATCGGTTGAAAAATCGCCCATTGAAATGTGGTGTTTCGATGCAGCTACTGAGCAGATGGTATTTAAAGAGGTGACTATAGTGCCTGGGTTGTACAAAATCTTTGATGAAATCTTGGTCAATGCTGCCGATAATAAGATTAGAGATCCAACTATGAAAAATATCAAGGTTAAGATAGACCCTGAGAATAACATAATTGAGGTGATGAATGATGGGAAGGGTATCCCTGTTGAGATACACCTGAAAGAAAACATGTATATCCCAGAGTTAATCTTTGGTAATTTGTTGACGTCATCCAATTATGATGATGATGAAAAGAAGGTCACTGGTGGTAGAAATGGATACGGTGCAAAATTGTGCAATATTTTCTCTACAGAATTCCAACTAGAAACTGCTGATGCCTCCAATGAGAAATCCTACAAACAAGTCTGGTCTGGAAATATGTCGAAGGTCAATAAACCAAGAATTACAGCTTTAAAAACCAAAAAAGAGTTCACTAGAGTGACCTTTAAACCTGATTTGTCGAAATTCGGTATGGATACCTTGGATGATGAAATTTTATCGGTGATGAGAAGAAGAGTATATGATTTATGTGGTACGGTAAAGGATTGCAACATCTATCTCAATGATAAGAAATTGAGTATTAGGAACTTCAAGAGCTATGTGGAAATGTATGTCAAGGCAATCAAAGAAAGAAATCCTGAATCCAGCGAAGATGAAGAGAAAAAATTTCAAACCATTGTCCATGAAGTATTCAATGAAAGTTGGGAAATAGCCTTTGCTGTCAGTGATGGCACCTTTAACCAAGTCAGTTTTGTTAATTCTATTGCAACCACATCAGGTGGAACTCACGTCAAATTCATTTCAGATGCAATCATCACCAAATTAGTTGATTCTATTAACAAGAAGGAGAAGGGGAAAAAGAAGCTCATGATCAGACCACAAGAGGTAAGAAATAATATGTTTTTGTTCATAAATTGTTTGATTGAAAACCCTGCTTTCACCTCTCAAACCAAAGAGCAATTGACCACCAAATCGAACCAGTTCCACTCCAAAGCCAGTGACAAATTGGTTATTAGTGATAATTTCATTACCAGAATTTTAAAAACTTCCATTGTTGATAAAATAAAATCTATTGCTAATGCCAACGAAGATAAAGCATTACAGAAAGCTGATGGGTCAAAGAAATCAAGAGTGAAGGGTCAAGTGAAATTAGTAGACGCCAACAAAGCTGGTACTAAGGAAGGTCATAAGTGTACTTTAATTTTGACCGAAGGTGATTCCGCTTTGTCTTTAGCGGTTGCGGGTTTGACCGTTATCGGAAGAGATTATTATGGGTGTTTCCCCTTGAGAGGTAAATTGTTAAATGTCAGAGAAGCATCTACTGATCAGGTCAGTAAGAATGTTGAGATTAACGCCTTGAAACAAATCATTGGATTGCAACACAAGAAGAAATATACCCCGGAAAATGTCCTGCAATTGAGATATGGTCACATTATGATTATGACAGATCAGGATCAAGATGGATCACATATCAAGGGGTTGATCATCAACTTCTTAGAGTCCAGCTTTCCTGGGTTATTGGAAATTCCTGGGTTCTTGTTAGAATTTATTACACCTATTGTCAAAGTGACTGTCTCACAAAGAGGCTCTTCGAAAAAGGTTCTTTCTTTCTATACTATGCCTGAATTTGAGAATTGGAGAGAAACCGAAGGTACAAGATGTAGATGGAAACAGAAGTATTACAAGGGTTTGGGTACATCTACTGATGTTGAAGCAAGAGAATACTTTGCTGCTTTGGATAAGCACTTGAAGCAATTCCATGCTATCCAAGGGGAAGATCCAGACTTGATAGATTTGGCATTTTCGAAGAAGAAAGCAGATGAAAGAAAGAACTGGTTGCAAGAATTCCAGCCTGGTACTCACTTAGATCCTGAATTGAAGATTATTCCTATTTCAGATTTTATTAACAAGGAATTGATCTTGTTCTCCATGGCTGATAATGTTAGATCTATTCCTTCTGTTTTGGATGGATTTAAACCCGGTCAAAGGAAGGTTTTATTTGGGTGTTTCAAGAGAAATTTGAAGTCCGAAATCAAAGTGGCTCAATTGGCAGGTTACGTTTCGGAACATACTGGATACCATCATGGTGAGCAGTCATTGATTCAAACGATCATTGGTTTAGCTCAAAACTTTATCGGATCAAATAACTTGAATTTATTGAAACCTAATGGTGCTTTTGGTACAAGAGCTGCTGGTGGTAAAGATTTTTCTGCAGCTCGTTATATTTTCACCGAAATTAATGAAATCACCAGAAAGATCTTCAATCCATTGGATAATGGGTTATTGACTTATGTTCAAGAAGATGAACAAACTGTTGAACCAGAGTGGTATTTACCAATTATACCTATGATTTTAGTTAATGGTGCTGAAGGTATTGGAACTGGTTGGTCGACAAACATTCCTTGTTATAATCCTGAGGATATTGTTGCAAATATTCGGAAATTAATGAATAATGAGGAATTGGAAGAAATGTTTCCTTGGTATAGAGGATGGGAAGGTGATTTGGAAATTATCAGTAAAGAAAAGTTTAAGGTCAGCGGTAGGATTGAACAAATCGATGATCAAACATTGGAAATTACTGAAATTCCCGTAAAAACTTGGACGAATAACGTCAAAGAGTTCTTGTTATCTGGCTTGGGTAATGATAAAGTAAAACCATGGATCAAGGATATGGAAGAACAACATGGTATGAATATAAGATTCGTTGTTAAATTGTCACAAGAGGAGATGGCCAAGTCTCACCAAGTTGGTTTGTTAGACAGATTCAAGTTGATATCTAGTATCAATTTGACCAATATGGTTGCGTTTGATCCTAGAGGTAAGATCAAGAAATATGAATCAAGTCTTGAAATTTTGAAGGATTTCTATTATGTCAGATTAGAATTCTACCAAAAACGTAAGGACTTTATGATTGACGAATTGAAGAATCAATTGGACAAGTTGACAGAACAAGCTAGATTCATCAAGTTAATTATTGAAAAGGTGATTTCTGTTTCCAACAAGAAGCGGAAAGAATTGATCGAGATCTTACAGAAACATAAATTTAAAAGATTCAACAAACAAAACAAGGTTGTCAAAACCGAAGATGATTCGGAAACATTGTTTGTTGACGAGGAGGATATCGAGGAAGAAGAAAACAATGCTGATATCAGTGAGTTGAATGTTGGAAATACCACAGTAAACGAAGAAGAGGAGGAGAACAAACCTGAGAATATCTTCCAGCAGTACGACTATCTATTGGGTATGTCATTATGGTCTTTGACAAGAGAAAGATATGAGAAGTTGTTGAGACAAAGAGATGACAAGGAACAAGAATTGAACGACTTATTAAGGTTGAGCGCCAAAGATTTATGGAACAGCGACTTGGATGATTTCTTAAGTGCTTGGAGGAAATACTTAGAGTTAGACCATGAAGCTAGAGCCAATATGGTGCCAATGAAAGGAACCAAGCGAAAGGCCAGAAGAGTCCAAAATGGTCCCTTGAAAAAGAAGGTAAAGACCGAGACCCAGTCTGAATATGATTATAAACAAGACCCTAAGACCAACCCCAAGGTCAAAGTCGTGGTCAAAAAGGAGGAACAATCAAAGAGTCAGACCAAGTTACCCGATTTTTTCTCTCCCAGTAACAGCAGCAAAGTGGTGAAAAAAGAGGCACCAAAGGTGGTTAGTTTATTCAGCGACAGCGATGACGATGAGATTTTCGGAACCAAAGCAGTCTCCACCAGTCAATCGCCATTGTCCAAAGCTTCCACCACCACCAAAGTATACACCAAACCACCCACATTCTTCAGTAAAGCCAAGTCTCCTGCGGCTAGTTCTTCTACTCCGAAACCCAAGAAAAAGCTCACGATCCAAGATGAGCTTGAAGATTTGGTTGAAGTTGCCCCACCTCCCACCAAAAGAAGGCCCAAAGTGGCTGTTTTCAGCGATGACGAAGACAGTGAAGACATGGAAATTGAAGATGACGATGATGATGAAGAGAGTGAAGTGAGTGATGAATCATACGACGAAGATGAATAAAAGTAGGGTAAGAGCTAATATGGGTAAAATCTCCAAATAAACGTACTTATTATTGCGACATGATCAGTAGCCGCTGGACCGAAGCACAAGAGATCCCCGCCAAAACACAGGCGGAGCTCAGCTGATATTCTGTCGCATGAAGCGATGCCGCATTCTTTATCTCGTAAATTACGAGCCTTAGTTTCACGCAAAAAAATGTGATCGAAACAGAGGCGGGTCGAGGACTCTTCCTTTTTATTTTGGGGACATCCAGGTGTTGTATTTTTCAAAGTTATCCATGAACACCAATTATTATTTACCTCAGTTCAACCAACAGTCGGCCACGCCGGGTCAACAACCTATACACCAATCTCAGCAACAACATCAACCCCATCAACAGCATCAGCAAAATCATGGTCTGCAAATTCAACAAATGCAAGGCGTGCAAACCATGCCACCACAAAGTCAAATGATACAACATGCTCATGGACAACACACAAACGGACAGGTTGTTAATGCTCCCCAGTCCCAGACTCTGTCACAACCATCCCAACCTCAGTCAGCAAATGGAGGTTATGACTACCAGTACAAACAACAACCCATGTTACCCCAAATTGCGGTGCCCATGAATCAGTATTACAATCAGCCGTACGCCCAGAGCCAAAACCCTTCTGCCAGCGGGGCGGTGTCTGGAACCGGACCTGGGTCCAGGTTCACCCCCAAGGAGATTCACACCTTGAAGCAGCTCTTAGTGACGGGTGAAAAATACAAGTGGAAGCAGATCACCAAGGATATCAACTTTGTGGCCGCCAGAAAGAACCATGAAACTGGTGGGAACATCAAGAACGTGAGTCCTACGTTTGTGGTACGGCAGTATCAGTCGTTGTTAGGGTTGCCCAACAATCAGCTTTACTTTGGACTTCTTGGGAGTTCTTTACCATACGTGGTACACGGATGGGATTCACTCGAGGAAGTGGATTAGCTAAGGCGGGTGAAGAACTTTAGAGCATCGTAGCAGTCTAGTACTGAGATGTAGAAGTCATTAAGTATTCATTATGTTTATATAGTTAACGAGAAATCAGATCATTATTGCTCTACCTGACAATCCTTACACTCAACTGGTTCTATTGGAGCCGCTTCCACCTTTCCAGTGGCCCCATCGTTGAGAGTAAAGTTCTGGTATCGGTCGAGATGTCCCAAGTCATCCCCAGGAAATAGCTCATTTCTGATTAAAACCTTTAAAAACTTGGAATCGGGAAACCCGTCATAGAACCACGGTTCATCCTGCTTGTCTTTAGTCTTTTTCATCCGCTTCTTGTAAATTATCTTGTTGGATTTATCGGTTTTTAGCGACACACTAAAGGTTCCTGGCTTGTCGTTATTGGGCAATAATGAAATCTCATTGATCTTGCCGTCGAATGTCATCAACAACTCTTGCATATACCAAACGGCCCGATTCTGCCATTTACACTTGTTGCAGTACTCGATCGAGACCTTGACATGGCCAAGATCTATATCTGAAATATATGCAGTGGAAGTCATTTGAGAGAAAAAGATTGAAATATCGCATTCAAGTCTATAAAGGGTTCATCTAAAATAATATACAGTTTTGAAGTGAAAATTAGAAATTATCATTAATGTACAGAGCTCAACTGAGGTGTCGTGTAACTTTTTAAGGAAATGAAGCTTTTAGTAGATTTGAACATCTCTAAGGACTTACAAAGCCATGCTCAACCAGTCTAAGTTGTCATCAGGAACGTACTCCAGGTTCAAATACGCATCGTCCATCTCATTAATTGGGTGCAAATCTTCCTCTTTCTTCATACCACTTGACGCAGGAGTCGAACTGTTGGTGTTAGGAGTATGCATGTTCATGCCCAAGCCAAAAGAACTAGCAGACATAGACGAGGTGTTTGACTGGGCGATATTAGCACTATTTGCACCAGAGGCAATACCAGCGTTGGCAGGGGTATTAGGGATGTTGACGGGTCTTCTTTTTCTTGGGGATTTTTTGTCTCTTTCACCCTGAGTTTGGGGAGCCGGAGGCCCACCCACTCCTCCTATCACGCTTGTAGGATTCAAGTCATCACCATCTCGAACCGTGATTTTCTTGGACGAGTTGGAGTTTCTTTGTCTCTTTTTGATCACATCTGTCTTCAAACTCAAAGGTCTTACCACTCCATGTAACTTGAGGAACAATCCACAAGCATTACAAAGGGGTTGTCCCTCGGGATTTCTTCTCCACAACGGCGTGGTTTTAGTATGACAATTGGTACATGAGACGTTTTGGTTCAGTAAATCTGCATTAGAGCTCCTATTAGCAGAACCCATTCCGTTCGAAGCACCGTTGGAAGAACCATTATTGGCAGTGGACGAATCAGGACTTACAGACTTAAGTTTCTTGGTCTTTGTACGCTTGGCCTTTGGTTTCAACAGCAGGTTCATATCAAACTTTTGTTCCTTGTTGAAGTTGTCAAAGTAGTTAAGATCATCAAAGTGCAAGGGCGAGTGGAATTTAGTCAACGAAGATGTATTGGGTAAGGAAGATGACATGGGATGGGTGGGTGATTGATGGGCTGAGGATGACAGGGGTTTGACAGGAATGGCACGAAGCTTTTTTGCTTGTTGATCATGAATATTGGCCAAGCTGGAAGTATGTTGAAGCAGGGGAGCACCGCGACCAGGATTAAGTTCACTCAAGTTGACGATGCTATTTTGGTGTGAGTGCAACTCCAACTCCAAGTCTTTAAAGTCGGGTCCAAGGTCAAAGTCATCAAACTCCAATGTTTGGGACTGGATAAGGTTCAAGTTCTGGTGGCCCAAAGCATGATCATGAGATGGCATCGACGACGAGAAGTCACTATGGAGCGGGTTATGGAAATTATTGAAGTCTGGCGTATGGGTGGTTGTTTCTTGCAAGTGTCCGTTGTCCATCCACTGCGACGGATGAGCTGAGTCAGGAGCAAAACTATTCATTTGATCATGGGGAGTGTCGTGCATATGGTTGGAATTGAAGTTATGGAGGCCCTTTGCTGATTGGGATCCTTGGAAGCTATGGCTGGGTCGATGGTGCAGTATAGGATGAGTATTGGACGAAACTATGTTATCGGTTTCCATCAGGTCCAGCATGGCCAGAGATGGGAATTCAAGATGACTTCCAAATCGAAGAATCTGGCTATATTCGGACAGCTCTTGGCCCATCTTCTTGATGTGAGCGATATAATCAAAGTCATCAGCTGAAGGATCTAAGATGGGTTTTAGTTTGTGCTTTTGGGAGTTGATATGCATCATTCTCCAGGTGAGATTTTCCATTCTTGTTCGATATGGCAACGAGTCCTTGGCCTTATTATAAAGCTTCCATATCTGGTTGGTGGTGGAGTCGTTGTCCATCAACGAATAAATATTGTTTTCACCGTATTCACTCATTGATTGTGTTTCACGAGAAATTTTGGGAAGGAGTTAGGAAATATCGAGGATACCAAGCACAAAACAAACGGGAAATCCAATGGATATACGGGGGGCAGTGGTATCAAGAAATGTTTGCAGCTGAAAATGTCAAGAGACAAGATTAATTGGGTAAATACTAAAAGTATTTGTATTACTGATAGATGATCTTAAGGGAACGATTGAAACTTATTGGAGGCTACATTCAATTTGGGAGCCAAAAAAGAGGAAGGTCGTGCGCACCAGGCATTTTGTTCCAGATATTGAGAGGTTTCTTGCTTTTGTGCAACGTAACGCCCAAACACTTGATATCTCATTGGATAAAGATAAACTCACTCTTGCCCAATCGGGATGAAAAAAAAAACCTGGCCCTGTTATATCGGGAGCTGTTTGGTCCGATTAACAAAACAATATACACCGGCCCTAAATTTATTAAGCTTCTCCGATTTGCTACTACCGATCACAATCCTCAAAGTGGAATTACCGATACTAGGATTGCCTCTTGTGTGTAGGGTTCGTGTACTAGTTGAATCATATTAGATCGTGAGAATTTCTCGGTTTGGCTGCTCCGGGTTGTTGCCTATGTTATCCGTAAGTCCTGCCCCTCGCAACTCCTCCATTTGACACCCTTCCTAGCCGTTCTCAATCCTTTAAGCGGTTGCTGAACGGCTGCGATTGGGTCATTTTAGGAAGGGGCCCAGCTGATGGTGCCAGCACCTCGAGGACCTCGCTTGTTACCGCCAGTCACGAGCGCAGCCGCGTTTCTACGTGAGAATCTCGCGGCATTATCAGCAAATCTGTCAGAGTTGCAGTAGGTGATTGCTTGATCCTCAGAGGTATAAGTCCGAAGTAGGAAAAGATCAGGTTTACTTCGGTTGTAAAAATAGCACATATACATGTACTGATCTGTTTATTTGTAAAAGCAGTAGTGCGTTACCCACTGTCTGCATCTCTCTGCCTCCTTTCCTCCCCTTCAATTCGCAGCCTTTTCACTCCTTCGCGCTATCAAATTTGTCTATGCTTCATCATGAATGATTCAAATGAATCAACACACTTAATGAGTCCTGCCCCCCAGTACGGGGCCCAACTCGGAGTGTCCACTGGAGTGACCCAACAGACAAAGGCCGAAGATTCAGAGTCTCCCAAGTTGGGCACTTTTCTGGGGGTTTTCATTCCCACATCGCTTAACGTCTTATCGATCTTGATGTTCTTAAGATTCGGGTTTATTGTGGGACAAATGGGGATTTTAGGGGCGTTGGGATTGCTTATATTATCTTACTTGATCGACATGTTGACGGTGATGTCGGTGAGTGCTATTGCCACCAATGGGACTGTTAAAGGTGGAGGTGCTTATTATATGATTTCTAGATCATTAGGACCTGAGTTTGGGGGAGCCATTGGAATCATTTTCTTCATCGGCCAGATCTTGAATAGTTCTTTGAATGTGGTAGGTTTCATCGAGTCACTCTTGGTAAATTTTGGCCAAATTGATGGGGACTTGTACCAACTTTTACCAGTGGGCTACTTCTGGACATTACTTTATTCAACCATTCTATTGGCCTTATGTACGGGAGTAGCGTTGGTGGGAGCAAATGTGGTATCTAAAGCAGCCCTTTGGCTCTTTGTGTTGTTGGTGCTTTCAACGCTTTCTATCCCTTTATCTACCTTGCACACCAAAACCATTTTTATGGGTGAAGCTTATCAGGTGGGATTAAGCTGGAGGATCTTCAAGGAAAACTTATTTCCTCATTTCACAAAGGGAGCTGCCGGCTCAGTTCTAGATACTCCCGAAACCTTTAGGGACTTATTTGGTATTTTCTTCCCAGCTACTTCAGGGATTTATGCTGGGGCTTCTATGTCGGGAGCCTTAAAGGATCCATCCAAATCTATACCGCAAGGAACTATACGGGGTTTAGTTTTGACATTTGTATTATACGGTATAGTAATATTGTCTATAGGAACGGCCGTTCCTAGGCAATTACTTTACAAAGATATTAAAGTGATTCAAACGGTGAACTTGCAGGGGTATGTGATCATTATTGGTGAATTGTCTACTTCTCTTTTCTCAGTGATTATGGGAGTAGTTGGTGCCGCTTCCTTGTTGAATGCTATTGCAAATGATAGAATTATCCCTGGTCTTTCTTGTTTCAACACCAAGAAAAAATCCATCAATGAACAGGAAAAGGCTTCATACTGGGCTATATTGGCTACTTGGGTATTAGCACAACTTTTTCTATTCGCTGATATTAATCAAATTGCTGTTTTTGTTACAATGGCTTTCTTAATGACATTCATCGTTACAAACTTGGCATGTTTCTTATTGAAGATCGGGTCAGCTCCAAATTTTAGGCCTTCTTTTAAATACTTCAACGTCCAAACTGCTTTTAGTGGATCTGTGTTGTCGGTGATTGCAATGTTCATCGTAGATGGTATGTCTGCTAGTCTTGTGATCATCCTGTTACTAGTATTGATTCTTTTAATCCACTATTCCACCCCTCCTTCCAAGTTTGGTGACATATCCCAGTTATTAATTTATCACCAAGTCAGAAAGTACTTATTGAGATTGAAGGTAGATATGAACGTTAAGTACTGGAGACCTCAAATCCTATTATTATGCGATAATCCAAGGTCAAGTTGGAATCTAATAGGCTTTTGCAACCATTTGAAGAAAGGTGGGTTGTATGTTTTGGGTCATGTGGTGATTTTAAATGATGATACCATCACCAAAAGTGCTAGCGAAAGTGATTCTGAGTTCAGCATAACTGCCTACAAGGAAGTCCAAAAGCAAAAGTCAGCTTGGATTAAGCTAAGAGATATGGCCAATATCAAAGCTTTTGTCCAAATCGCTTTAGGTCCCACATTGCCCTGGGGTGTTCGAAATGTATACTTGGGATCTGGTTTGGGTGGTATGAAACCCAATATTACAGTGTTAGGTTTTTTTGATTTTGCCAAACATGGTTTGCAATTGCCATTGACATCGTTCAAAAATAAATCCCAATTCCGCCAATTGCCTACTGATGACTGTAGAGAAGAACAACAGGTATCAATTAATCAGTGGGTTCAAGTGGTTGAAGACTTGGTGATAATGCAAAGTTCAGTTGCGGTGGCTGCAAATTTCACTTCTTTGGAAGTCCCCAGTATAGCTCATTATAGTGTGTGGTCTAAAATATGGAGAACTTCTAGGGATACACCAAAAGCTGATAAAAAGTTCATTGATTTATACCCCATTCAGATGTCTTCTATTAATGAAGTTGATGGCATGTCTGTGCTTTCTACCAACTTTGACACATACACGTTGATTCTACAATTGGGCTCGATTCTTTCATCGGTTCCCGAGTGGAAATATAATAATCATCAATTGCGAGTCATAGTATTCGTGGAAGACAAGTCCGAAGTTCCTGAAGAGAAGAAAAGATTGACTAATTTGCTACAGAACTTAAGAATAGAAGCCAAGATCAAGGTAATCTGTTTGAATGATGGTTCTTTGAGTTCCTATAACTATATTGTTAAAGGTTATACTAAGAATGCAAGCAACAAGTTTATGTACGACAAGATAGATAAGATTTTGAAATACGATCAGTGGTGGAAGAACTTGACTAACGCCAGAGAAACATTGGCTCAAATCGAGAAGCAAAAATTGAAGAAGAAAACAGATCAAGCTTCATGGTATGGAACCAACGAATACAGGGGTCTTGGATTGAACAGAAGCAACACGACAACAAACAAAAATGGAAGACAGAGAAGGGACACTATCTCCAACTTGCATGATAAAGGATTGTCTTTAAGCTTCAACATGCACGGAGGAATTTTGAACTATGACGGAGTTGAAAATGCCTACAGCTCTGACGATGATGATGAGTTTGATGAAGATACAATTAACTCCTCGAAGTACTTCCAAATTGATCCTCCCGTGGAATCTCAGGCTCCAGACAAATTAGCCAAAAATTTGAATTACAAATTGAGTTTGAAGTTTTCTAATCACCTTGCCTCAGACCAGGTGTCTGTGAAGTCGTCCAGGTCGAATTTAAAGCCTAACTTTGTTTCGCTCAAAACTCCTAATGCTCAATTGCAAGACAATGAAGATGACGAAAATGAGAATGAAGACACGAACAATGTAGAAAATGATACCAAGCAATCAATTGGATTCATCGATGATGGAACCAACTGCTCTAAGTCAGAAGAGAACAGTGTATTAACCACACCAAATGAAAAAGAAACAAAAGAATGATAAAATTGACTACTTCAACCTTCTGCTTGACAAGAAAAAGAAGTCTCATGGCAAATCAAGTAATGACAGAAGTGGAATGATGTCTCCTTCAATCATTTCTAACGATGATGGCATTATCCAACAATTGAAGACGCCTCAATTTCTTGCTGTTGATGATGACGAAGATATTCCTTCTTTGAACTCCAGCACCACTAATTTACCAGCGTTGACTCAGCGTCAGTCAAGTAAAGGATTTTCAAGAACTGTACCCAGGAATTTTTCTACTTTAGGTAGTGTTCCACAACAACAACCCCTATCTCATATAGGAGTTCAACCAGATGCTTCGGAATTGGCATCCTCAGAAGGTGTTATAACTCAGAAACAATTACAACAGGAACTCAAAGAGCTCTCTTTTGATGATATACCAGCTAAAGGTCAACATATCATTTTGAACGACTTGATGAAGTTGCACTCTGCTAAAGTCCAAACGGGAGTTATCTTTTCGACCTTACCTGCTCCATCTTTGAATACTCACTTGGATGATAATGATTCATTTGAGTATGTAAACAACTTATCTATTTGGCTTCATGACCTTCCACCCGTGGTCTTGCTCAACTCTCAAACAGTTACAGTTACCACTGCATTATAGTTTTTTAGTTTCCATATAGACATTTGCATTATGTTTTTGCAGTAATCCGTGAGAGGGCGCGATTCCAAAACAATACATTCTTTAAGCTCATCTCTGACAGAGGAGTAGGTAGACTTTATGCGACCAAGGAAATGAATGCTACTAACGATGCAGAGAAGCACAGACAGCGTCAAGAGAAGTTGGCTGCGTGGAAACAAAAGAAGTTACAGAAGGGTAATGCTGACGATGATGATAAAAAACGTAAAAGATTAGAATTGTGGAGGATAAAGAGACTCGGGAAATCTACCGACTCAAGTAGTCCAACAAAGCTGGCAACTGATGGGGCTCCTAAAGCAAAGGTAATGCCTACTTTGAAATTAACGAAGGTGCAGAAGCCGAAGATTGATACTGCTAAACGATCGATTTTTGGTGATGAAGATGAAGAAGACGATACGAGACCAAAGTTCAAAAAACCCACTTTGGGAACCGAGGAAACCCCAAAAAAAGCTACTGATGAAGAGGAGGATATTGACTTGGACATGTTTATCGAGAGCATCAGCAAGAATGATACGCCAACAAAAGTAGTTTTGCAGTCGGATAATGAACACGAAGACGAAGACTTTGAAGAGGATTCCGATACTCAAAACGATATACTATCATCTAAACTCAAGAAGTTACAGGAGAGAGAAAAGGCCCTCGAGACCGTTGACCATAGTTCCATTGACTATAAGCCCTTCAGGAGGGTATTTTACAAACCACCAAAAGAATTTGAATCTTTATCATCTGATGAGATAACGAAAATACGACAAGATATCAAGGTGAAAGGTGTTGACTGCCCACTTCCCATCACAAAATGGTCACAACTCGGTCTACCTTTGAGTATATTATCGATTTTTAAGACCCTCAACTATGAAACTCCTTCTCCAATTCAATGTCAAGCATTACCAACTATCATGTCAGGAAGAGATATAATTGGAGTAGCTAAAACTGGGTCAGGAAAGACTCTTTCATTTGTTTTGCCTATGATTAGGCATGTACAAGATCAGGATCCATTGCAAGAAGGAGATGGGCCAATTGCTTTGATATTGACACCAACTCGAGAATTAGCTTTTCAGGTTAACAAAGAAATCTCGAACTTCAGCAAGTCTGTCAGCTCATGCTGTTGTTATGGGGGGTCAAGTATAGAATCCCAGATTGCCGAACTAAAGAAAGGAGTGCAGGTCATTGTGGGAACTCCTGGTAGAGTAATCGACTTATTGACCGTGAATAGTGGTAGAGTCACTAACTTGAAAAGAGTAACATATTTGGTTTTGGATGAAGCAGATAGAATGTATGATATGGGGTTTGAACCTCAAGTCAAAAAGATTATATCACAGGTGAGGCCTGATAGACAAACAGTGCTATTTTCGGCTACATTTCCCAGAAAATTGGAGAAATTGGCTAAACATGGATTGAATAATCCAGTAGAAATAATTGTTGGCGGAATCAACATAGTGGCCAGTGAAATCAAACAAAAGTTAGAATTGTTCGAAGTTGGTTCCTTAAATGAAGAGGAAGTCAATCGTATAAAATTCATGAAACTTGTCGAGGTTATTGATGGATTCATCAAGGAGAACGAGAATTCAAAAGTGTTGATTTTCGTTGAAAAACAAGACCTGGCAGATCTGTTAATGGTTCAATTAATCTCCAGTGACTACAATTGTGTTTCCCTTCATGGGGGTAAAGATCAAATTGATCGGAAATTTGCTATCAAAGAGTTCTCGTCTCCAGATTCTGGGCTTGACATTTTGATTGCAACCTCTATTGCAGCAAGGGGCCTAGACGTAAAGGGCTTGGATCTAGTCATTAACTATGATGCTCCTAGCCATTTAGAAGATTACATCCATAGGGTGGGAAGAACTGGAAGAGCTGGAAAGAACGGTACAGCGATTACGTTCATTACAGACCAACAGGACAGAGCTATAGCCGACATAATTAAGGTTCTTACTCCACCAATTGATCCCAGGTTGAACAAAATCAGTGAAGAGTTCATTGCCAAGGTTAAGAGTGGGAAAGAGAAGTACTCTTCTGGATTTGGTGGTAAAGGTTTAGAAAAGCTTCAACAGCAAAGAGACAGCACCAAGGATTTAGAGCGTCAAACATACGAAGAGAAGTCCTCCACATCCGTGAGTGTATCCACCACACCCATTTCTACCACCAAACCTGCAACAGAAGAGCTTACTAGCAATTTACCTGATTTTGATATTGTGGAGGGCATTCCATCAGATTCTTCAGGTCCCGACAGATCGAAGTTCCATTCTCGTATTACAATCAACGATCTTCCTCAAACGGTGCGGTGGTTTGTTTCCAACGGAGAGAGCATTTCAAAGATCATTGAATCTACATCTACATCTATTACCCATAAGGGTCAATTCTATGCGAACGGTAAAGCCAAAAAAGATGGGCCTCCAAAATTGTACTTGCTTGTGGAAGGATTGACTCATGGAGCGGTTCAAGAGGCGAATGAGATGATCAAACAGCGGATGATCGAAGGTTTACAAACAGCAAATCAATCAGGTTCAACTGGTAGGTATACTGTTTAAGAGTTCATGTGCGCATTTTACAAAGCCGTGGGATATAATCTCAAAAGTATTTAAAATGTGAGAACCCCACAAGTTTTGATTTTTTTGACCAACAATGCCATTTAGCTCAGAAAACTACCAACATCCCGAATTCATAGTTAAGGAGATCGAAGAAGGATTCATTAATCTTCAGTTCAATAACCCCAAGACCCTTAATGCATTTGCTGAATCCACATGGAGAGGGTACCAAGAGCTTTTGGAAAAGTTAGATAAAGACCCAGACACCAACATTATTTTGATTTCATCTTCAATTGAAAAATCGTTTTCGAGCGGATTGAACTTGAAGGATGCAGCCATCCTCACACAACTTGCGGAAGATGATAGTTTGTCATACAGGCAGAAATATGATACGCTATACAAACACATCATTGAATTTCAGGAAGCCATTTCAACACCTGCCAGAATCAGAACCCCAACCATTTGCTTGTTGAATGGGATCTCATATGGTTTGGCGATGGACATTGCTGCTACCTGTTCTATCCGTGTGGCGGTTGAAGGTGTCAAAATGTCCATCAGAGAGATCAAAATCGGTATTGTTGCAGACATGGGATCATTACAAAGGCTTCCATTTCTCGTCAACAACAAGTCTAAGTTGAACCAATACGCTTTGACAGGTGAAATATTTGGCGCTCAAGAGGCCTATGATATTGGATTGGTGAGTAAAGTTTGCGCTGATTTGAAGTCCGGTTACGAATATTGCCATGAGCTTGGTAGTGACATCAACCAAAATGCTCAATGGGCCATTAAAGGGACGAAAGATTCTCTTCAATTCATTAACAATGGTGGAAATGTCTCAACAGGCTTGTTGGACATTGCCGACTACAACGCCATTCACATCACCAAAATTCCTAGTAAGTTTTAGTAGTATGTATTGCGAAAAAAAGCGACCTGAAAATTTTCAACATTAATGATCAAGTACGGGATAAGGCCGTGTAGGCGGTTGCTTTCGACCCAAGCACAGGCTTCCTCGTACACCGAGTATCTGACTGAAACTTTTCATAACACCAGTCCCCGAGCCGTCAAATCCATGTCTGTCAAACAATACCTATGTCAAAGTTCTTCAGCAAAGTTTTTGAGTAGCTTGTCAAGTGCTCATTTTAGCTCAGTGGTCGAACATCAACTTTATATCAAATATCAAATCTATAATTTGCTCAAGGATAAGCAATACCTCCGGCTAATGGAAACCTTGCAAACCATCATCTCCAATCGTCAAGCCTCCCATTTGACTCCACAAGAAATCACCTTTTTTATCGGCAAACTCATGGACCATCAAATCGACACCTTATTGGAGCTTACCAGAGCTCGCCAAGGGAAGATGGCTCCAGCTCGTGTCAGCGAGCTCCAGACAAAAGCAGATACCTGGAGAGCACGAATCAGAGATTTGTACTCCAACCTACTCTTTGAAGATCATGTATCCATATATTCCGAGAGTTTAAGAGTTGAATTTTACAAACCAAGTATTTCCACCGGCATTAGATTAAGCGTTGGAGACTTTGAAAATCTTATTGTGTTTGAGTTCTCCAACAACAAGTTTGATTTGGCAAACAAATGGTTCGATAGATTCGATCAAGAGTTCAACATGGACCAATATACCCCAAAAATGTGGGACATACGATTCAAGATTAACGGGGGGGATCCGAGACTATGGAAGGTATACGAAAATGATGTGTTCATAGTGAATACAAACGTGGCCCATAGTTACTATAAAAGGATGCCGTTGAGTCAGTTGTTGAACTCGTTTTTAAAGCATAATAAGCTTGAGTCTCAGATTGAAAATATCATTTTGTGTCTCGGGTACTACAGAAAAGTCGACAGCATATATCAGTTGATCCACGAGATATACGGAGTGGACGTTAGTGGAGAAAAAGTACCAAACAAAATCATTTCGGATACCAATATCAGTATTGGCGTTTTGAATTCCATTGTCATTGCATTATCTTACAACCACCGGTATTTCGAGTCGATGAAATTCATCAATGCATTTCAAAGCCACGCTAGTGTATACTTGGAGAGCCAAGAAGCTGGGTTCTTTTGGGGGAATCTACTCAAATGGACAGACTTGACCACCAAGTTCAATAAGAAAATGGTATTGGACTATTACATTAAGAATATCAACCCCCAAGCCAAACATTCGACACTCCCAGATCTCATGAATGATGTTAACTTTGATTACGAAAGATATCTACAGTTTACCGAGGATTTGATACAGAAACGAGTGAATATCATGAGGCAAATCTGGTCTCTCTTTCAGAGTTCCAATGGCAGATTTTCAGTGGTTGCATACAAAACTTACTGGAATTTCCTTAAGAGGCTGGGCACTGAACAAGAAGTATTTGAGTTTTTGGAGTTACTCAACAGCCATAACTACCAGTTCTCTGTCACCAGAGGTTCATTTAACTTCAAGTATCTTGGTCTTAATAACACCCTATGGTCAATACAAAGTTTGTACTACCAAGCCATCAAGTGGATGATTGAAGCCAAGTTGAACAACCAGCTTGTGGGACAAGTACAACCTTTGATCAATGAATGGTGCTTGGATTATCAGATGAGAGCCGAAGCTACGCAGTTTTTCAAGACCAGATTGCCCAAATTGGCCAAAAAGATCGAAGAAAAGAGAGAACAAGAAATGATTAAACAACGACAAGATGATGAACCTTTCTTAGAGCTATTCTAGCATCCACCAGTTTAATTAGCTAGTTGATATATAGAGGATAAATTTATTTGGGGTATATCTTTATACGAGTGTCGTGTGCGTACCGGGGATTCGAATGCACTTTATCGCGTTGACAAAAGTGAACGAGTTTTTCAAAAGACCAGATATCATTAGAATATGGCTGCCGAAGGATTTGAAAAATTAACTGAAGTTCCTACTGAATTCCTTAAGGACGGAACCGCCTTCATCAAGAGATGTCAAAAGCCTGACCAGAAGGAGTACTTGAAAATCATCAGGGCCGTGGGTATTGGTTTCATAATGATGGGAGTTGTTGGGTACGCCGTCAAGTTATTACACATTCCAATCAGATATTTGATCGTTTAAGCGTTGAAAGTGGACCTATCTCGCTATGTCCTATATGAAGTGATATGTACTTATGCTGTTTAATCTTTATATTCGTCAAATATATGTAGTTTTTTTTGTGTGTGATTTGGTCTTTTTGTCCAGCGATTTTAGGTGGGTTTTGATTCTGCGAACACCATCTCAAAAGTTTTTTTCTCTACACCTTTGATCATTTGCAATGTCCAGTAAACTAGTTAAAGCATTAGCCTCTACACATGAGGAAACAAGACAAGAGGCTGTGGAATCTTTAGAAAAGTACATCAGTGTGAATGGATTCAAGTTGACTTTAATACAAGTGGAAAAACTCTGGAAGGGATTATACTATTCTATGTGGTTATGCGATGGGCCTGAAAACCAACAAGATCTCAGTGAAAACTTGGCCAGAATCTTCAATAATAGCGGAGTCAAGACCAAGGACTGGGTTAAGTACAATGAGGCGTTTTGGGTCATTATCATCAAAGAATGGGCTGGTATTGACCAGTGGAGAATGGATAAGTACTATATGCTCATCAGAAGAATCTTAAGGTACAACTTCACGTACTTGAACAACAATAACTGGGACAAAAAACTTATCGATGAGTTCAATTCATTCATGAAGAGACCTTTAACCCTCAACAAGAACATGGCCATTCCTTACCATTTGTGTGATATATATTTGGATGAGTTGGAAGAATTTGGAGATGATATACCGGAACAGATCGTGCAACTATTCAAAGAGTTGAGCAAGAGTGCTAAGTTACGAACCTACAGAGATAAGATCAAGGAGGATGTGTTGGAAGATCCACGTTCCAAAAAGTGGTGGTTTGGAGAAGACGAAGACGATAGTGAACAAGACGACGATGAAGAAGAATGGACTGGATTCTGAGTCCACAAGCAAAGCATACACCTCCTATGTGGCCAGCATGGGAATTCATTTAATATGGTCAACCTGGCCAAGCCTGTAGAATAGTCAATATAACATAATCGCAGTATTCAAACATTTGCGGAGCGCGATGAGATAAAAAAAACCCGTGTGACTATGGAAGATAACAAATACATTCCCAAATTCATAAAGCAAACGCCGTGGTACAAGGAAGGTCAGCTGGAAGAGGTGAAGGACCACAGCTATTCCAAGCACGGCGATGGGTTTCTGAAAGATAGTTATGATGCTAAGCGTGATAAGTGGGAAGGGTACCAAGTAGACTACACAAAGAAAGAAAACTCCACCGGACTCAACGTAAACGGCGATGACGAGGGCGACGACACCGACTATGAGTTGGAGTTAACGGAGTTGGGCCTTCTGCGGAAAGATATAAAGGACAACAACAAGCAAGATAAACATGAGAAGTTAATGAGAAGTCGGGACGATGTACCCAGTTATATCAAGTCTATCAAAACCGTTCAAAATGACAATGAGTGGGAAGCAAGTAACAAATCATGAAAACACTAGGGACACGGGTAACAAATCATGAAAAGACCAGGGACGCCGATAACAGAAGAAAGAACAACTACTGTGCTTAAACAGGGTTTAGCAAATCTAGCAACAATCTCGATTTCAGCTGCACAATGCCGCACACGTTTCATGGCTCCCAAATGACAAGAATGGCATGCCACGCATATAAACCGGTATGTGACAATAGAAGGGATATTTTCATAGACTGGGAGACTCATTTCATGAGCACCAAATATTTACCTGCAACTGACAAAACTAGCAATCACTCCCAGTAACCTCTATACTCATTCACCATCCTTTATACCCTTGCCATATACTTTTTCATGTCTTATTATCCTTTCTCGGTTATCTTACTCAACGCATGGCTGCAAAAAAAAAAATGGGTACCACACACCGCGAAAACGTTCTCCCCACGTGGTGGAAGCTATACAAGCGTTAGCAACTGATTTTGTTGAAAAGAAAATTTAATCACACGAGCCTTCAATTAAACTCGTGCTTTAATCTTACTGCACTTGCGTGGTACCAATTTGTCACACGTTGGATACTCCTAAACAATTTAAACTTCAGCCCTACTCCAGGTGCCCATACCACAAGGCAGTATTGGTAACACAAAATCCTATTTGGTAAAGTTTTTTTAGGGTTCTTGTGTTAGGAATAGCCACGTTCGATAACTTTATTGAAACTTATAAAAACTTGGGCATACGCTTGCTGCCAAAGCCGTAATAATAAATTTCTGCTTGTATTCAAAATATTATTACCCATGCCTAACAAAAAGTTCCCACCGCCTCCGGTGTTGAAGACAACAATTATCCAACTCAACAAGGAGTTGGATCAACATAATAGTAGCTTCGAGATATTAACTGATTACCACCACAATGATGAACAGGACCACCAATTACCGTCTGAACTTCCATTCTCTTCCCCTTTGATGACAACGGGTGAGTCCAAGAAGAAAAGAAGAAGATCCACCAGCAATTTCAACGAAGAGGAGTTGGCAAAACGAAAGATGGAAACCAAACAATTACATTCACTTATCGAAAAGAGAAGAAGAATCAAGATCAATAGAGAGTTTGAAGCCTTGAAGTATTTGATACCTGCTTGCAGAACTAGCAAGTCTCCTGGGGAGAAGTCCGTCAATAATAATTCCAAGATTGATGGGATGTACAAGTTGACAATCTTGAAGAGTTCGGTTGAATATATCATGTACCTTCACCATTTAATACAGAAACAACTGGAGTTACTAAGACTGTCAGATGCTGAGTTTGACTTTGACAATACCTTCACTAAATATCCTTTGAATGTCAACGATTATAGAAACATCGACAAAGATTTCAGCTTCAAGAAGTTACTAGAGGAAGCAAACGGCCAATTGAGTGTCGACCACAACGAATTGACAGGATTGGGAAGCAGCAGTAGCAGAAGTTCAACCAGCTCTGGAAACCTACCAATTACTTTCGAAGATACCAATCTCGAATTCAATGACAATGAAGATGAAGATTCTTTCCAGCTCCCTAGCCCCATTATAACACCCGACATGCCTCCTAACAGATTCAGATACAACTCAAAGTTCCAGTTACCTGATCCGGCCTTGTCGTTACCACAAAAGAAGCTTTTCAAAAGCCCTCCTAAACTGGTTGTTATAAATGGGGATATTGATGAAGAAATTAATGCCACCAAAACGTTACTTAGCTTGAGAAAGAGTTCAATTGACAACTTGTTGAATTGATTTACGTACGTGAATAAAGAACTTTCCTATGGTCTTCTGTAGAGCAAGAATCCGGATTTAACACCCACCTTGGTGTACAATAACTGTGCACGATGGTTTTCAAATTGAGTTGACCAGTAGACGTTGGGACAGTTCAATTTGTCAGCTTCACCATAAACATATTCGATCAACTTTCTTCCTACCCCTCCTAATCGGCTGTTTGGACTAACGTATAAGTCTCCCAAGTAGGTCTTGTCTTGTTCAGACCAAGTGTAGATATGAGTGAGGTACGTGACAAACCCAATTAATTCTCCATTCACCTCTGCAACTGCCGCGTAGGAAGCAATATTGGGATCTAAGAACCTAGAAAAAGTATTTTCAGTTGCCTCTTTGGTGACTTTATCAAGGCCCTTGTAGAATTCGAGGTACGATTGTTCAGGATCACACCACAATTTAGTCCAGGCCTCTTTATCTTTCAATTCAATTGGTCTAATAACTACTGACATTGTTAGGATATTATTTTCTCAATGATAAGGTTAGGAAAATGATTGAGATTTTATAATTGAGACCAGGGGGATACAACTGCCAATTTTGGCAAATATGGCGATCCAGTAAATCCCGCCTGCTTTGGCTATGCTTCTGATGTGAGTCAGATACAGTCATGGGGTGTTGTGTTGTCGCTAGTTTCCTTTATTGCTTAAACCCCTCTCTTATTAAAAGTCCATACTAGGCTTTTGTTCTTGCGGGAACAACTGTTGAACACTAGAAATTTTATGCATATTGTCAGCTATACGTAGCAGGTCTGCTAGCCACTTTACAAAGATGAATAGGCTAGCAGAACTGTCAGCATGATGAATTTTCATTGATTCACCATATTTCTGACTCAGTTTGTTTAGGAGAGGTGTATCGCCGATAAGGACTTCGGATTCCGTAAATAAGCATATTAGCGGAAAAGCCCTCTCTTTCCTAAACTGGGGGGCATTTATCTTGCTGCTAAAGTACTAAAAGAAGACCCTCTTGGCGGGTTTCAAATGGTAGTTTCAAACTGATTGCATGCGTTTGAACATTTAGAAATCTTGCTCACATCTCTTCTTCTTTCTGGGACGATTATGTACAGTCATATATTGAGATATTTGCATAAAACAGTCGTTAATCTATTTACAGGTAGTGACTTTTTCAAGTCCTCCATTTTATATTTTGCTTTCAAGAGAAATCTCCAAATAGCTCGTCGATTAAGAACGCATCAACAACCGATTTTTGAGTTAGCTCCCCATTGGCTCCAAGAAATGGGGATTGTTCAAAGTTGAAATTTGGGCTTTGAATGTTCATATTTCCCATTTGCTTACTCATTTCAGGTGGAACTCTTGTAGCCTCTGGATATGAAAAGCTGGTTTGAGGAATATCATGACCCAAAAAGTCTTCGGCTTCATTGACAGAACCATCACGGACTCCAAGTAACTGCAACCAGATGTTATCGACTTCTTCCAGAGGAATTCCATTATCACCCATATCAGAACTCATTGTGTTTCTTCCATCATTAGTGGTTCTATCCATCGATTCCTTTTCAAAGTTAGAGGATACAGTACTTGAATAATTAGTATCATTAAAAGGTGATATATCTGTCTCTTTGTATGGGTTGACCAAAGAAGAATCAAAGAGGTCTGCGTCGTTTCTGGTGTAAGACTTGTCGATATTTGGGTTCAGACTGGATAACTTTGCTTTTGTTTCAAGACATAAGTTCAACAATTCTTGTAACTTATCAACCTTCTCAAAATCGGCAAAGATTGGGAATGAAGCAGATCCATTGTAAACAATTTCTCTGAAATCTGGAGACTTGATGAGGCTCAAGAAGAATTTATTCACTCGTGAAATCATCCAGGAGTAATAGTATTTTTTGCTGTATGCATCTGCAATGCTCGTCAAACAGCTACTTATTTCAAGTAATTTATGAAACAAGCTGCATAAACTATCAAAATTTCTTCTGTATTGCATATCGGACCGGAATAATAACATATGGTTTGGGGCATCCATACTAGCGATAATATTGATCTTGATTCTCACCATTAAGGACAACAAAAATAATGTTGCCTTATGTAAAAGTGATTGTATACCAGGTACCAACACAAAATCAATAGTAGGTTCAACACTCTTTAGGTTGACCAATTCAAAATAGAAAGGAAACAACACCAACAAAACTTTGTTCATCAAGTTGAAAAGGTAATAGAATGCCACTTCAAATAGCTTCTTCTTTTCGAAATAGTTATACAAGTGGAAATATAAGGTACAAATGAAATGGGAAAATTGCAATTGAATCTTATACTTGGTCAAGTTGAGCATAGTATTTGTCTCCTGTGAAGCATCAAACTTACGAACCCAAGAAGTTATGAGTCCATCTTGTGGATTAAATAAAGTGGCTCTCAAATACCGAAGCTTTTTGCAGAGTGTGGTCACATTATAAGTAGCGTTGACATCAAGTAATTCACTAATGAACCCAATCAAAGGCTTATAGCAGATTTCCATAAACTGATAACATTCAACCACGAATTTCTCTCTATTCAAATCAATCAAGTTTGAGTTCTCTTTTCGGAAAGTTGGATAAAGCGTGTCATAAGAAAACCGGCTCACATTTAAAGGGTCGCCATATTCCAATGAATGGTTAAGATCCAACATCAATAGCATTGACCACATTTTTCTAATCAAGTTCTTCGATTTTTCATCTTGGAAAACAGTGGTGTTATTTGGTTCACGGTGAATACCCAAACCGTAAGCCATTTGGAATAACGTAGTATTAAGTATTTGAGCTTCACCTTGCTCTGGACCATCTCCCTTTTCAGGCGCAAAGATGCTATACGTTCTAGTGACCAATACCAACTGGAAAATGGTGAGGTTAATGACTCCACACAAATTAAAAACACCCACACAGTCTTGAGACAACCTCGCAGCATCGAGGCCAATATTATGATTTAATAACATTCTAACTTCCTCAATTTCTTCTTCCATATAGTGGTCTTTTATTGCACTTTTGGTCCATTGATTCATTGGCAACAAAGCCAAATACGACAACCTTAGAAGTAAAAGTAGTATACCCAAGTACGCAAAATCCAACTTGGTCTTTATCCTTAAGCTCACAGGCCGCTCATCAAGTTCTGTTCCTTCAAGGAGTCTACAGACCTGAGACTTGAAGTCAGACTCATCGATAACTGGCATGAAAGTATACAAGGTTTTGAAAAACCTGTTGAGAAAGGTTAGAATGATTCTCTTTGATGGCAAGAACAACTCGATTTTTCTCTGTAGTTCAAAAAGTTCAGAAAACTTGGTTTCAGCTTTATTATTAAGAACATTAATGGGATTTAATATCGAGCTAGAGCGGTTCACTTTTTGAGGAGGCTCTTCCACTTCCATAGAATTGGAACCACTGCAAAGATGACAGTTGGGAAGCACACAAGTCTCGTTCTTGTGAACTAAAGGTTCCACGTTGTACAGGAAAAAACCATTGATCCTTCTTGTGTTAGCCTCACTCAAATCATTAGATCCGTAGAACCCCTTACCTTCCTGGTGCAATCTTTTGGCATATGCACCCATATACTTTAAGGCAGGATCCACCACATAGCATGCCTTCCAGGAGAAAAACCCAAAATTTTTCCTACCTAGTGGCTCGTGGTCAAACACTACACTTCCCTGATTAAGTAAGTTAAATGACTCATTCCAGCTATGCTCCTCCACCAATTGCATTAACTCGTCAAAATCATTCTCGTACCTCGCTTCCGTGGCGTGGTCCAATGAATACGAAGCAAGAGGAGGTTTACCATTTGGAGATGTTTCCCCAACCACGTCCCCTCTATCATTAACGATACTCTTCTGAAGTTCACCAATTCTCTCTTTCAAAATCTCTATTTCCAGTTCCAATGTCTTCTTTGAAGGCTTGCTCGCCTTCTTCTTGATTGATTTGGGATTGGGGTCCACATACACACATTCCTTGTTGTTAAACCTTATACAAGATGAGCAAGGAATGCCACGGTCACATTTAATTTTCCGTCGTTTACAAAAGGTACACACTGGCTTCACTTTACCCAGCTTGTCAAGTGTATCCCCCAGAACCGTTAAATCCTCTTGGAAATCCATAACGTATTGGGAATATAGAAGGAAAAGAACTATGCGTATAAACTGGAAGTTATGATACTAGATCTAAAGGTGGTTCCGCCGTCGCACTTTCCCATCCTCAGGGCTTTTATGCAGTAACCGCAAAATTGCCAATTGTGTAATAGACTATATACTATGAGCTAATAGAGGGTGATTGATCATCGTTCAACTGATGGGTGATTAATTCACTGATTTGCAATACCCAGTTGTTGGTAAACTTGAAATTCTCTGAAATGTCCACATCTTTGAAAATTGATCGAAGTTCGAGCAAGTTTATGCAGCGAATAAAGTAGTTCTGTGTCTTGAACACTCTCCACCCATAATAGTACCGGTTACTTAAGTTAAGAAGAAATTTGAAAAACACGGCATTGGTTTTGTTGAATAATCCTAGCAAATGTTCACAATTGTGGGTGTAATGGTTATTAATCAGTTGTCGCTTGAACTTGTTCAAAATCAAATTTAGTCTGATCATCATACCAGTGATGATTAAAAGCACACGGTGGATTAAATGTATCAATGAAGGAATGAATATTAGGTCTATGGTGTTTGCAAAGCATCCTTCTTTGGAAAAAATTGCTTTGCATAGCACAAGCATTTCTTTGAAAATTATTTGAAGCATATCGTCAAGAAGCTTATGGGTTAAAGTCCGATCTTCTAAGCTGTTATACAAGTGAAATTTGATTGAAAGTTTCACGAAACATCGCATAAGCCTAGACCTTATAGTTAACGTATTGATAATACAAATAGTGTATTTGTCATGAGCCCTTCTGATGAGGAGTGGCGTAAATGTTTTCTCATACGAATCGATGAGGCCCTGACTAGCCTTCTCAAAATTAGGAGAAGAGTAGTTTTCAAATAACAGTTGTGTGTCAGAATACAATTGCCCGGGGGATAAAATACTTGACAATATTTGAAGTGTTATTCTCTCTGTATTTTCGTTGAAATTGTTGGAGTTTTCTTTAGTATACTCAGGAATTTGGATATTGCAAATAGCCATTTTAAAGTTTTTGACACAATTTAAAGCTCCAAAATTTAAGAGAGATAGAGATATAAGATATGCTCCGATTTTCCGTCTCAAGTTCCTCTCCCTTTCTGAAAGCTTTGGGCCAAGTTCATGGAACACCTCGAGTTTTTGTGCCAATATGGAAATGATAACGTCAAACGAGTAAGGTTCATTCTCTCCTGAACCTAAAATATACTCGGGCCCATATTTTTGGTAGGATCGTATCATTAAGGCTAATTGAAGATTGCTTAGCGTAAGTGTGGAAAATAACCCCACCTTATTCAAACATTGTTGAGATAAATCAACTGCTTTCAAATCAATTGGATGTTTGAGCAAAAACCGAACATTGTCTTCATCTTCTTCTTCAAATTTAAGATTCTGCATCAAATTTGATTCATTCAAACTCTTGTTACATGTATACAAAGACACGTAGCTTAGCCTCAACATTATCAATAGAATTCCTATTTGGGTGAGATCAAATTTATCTTTAATCACCACCTGGCCCCTGTCCAAATCCTTTAAAATCCGGTCAACTTGATTCAAGAAATCATGTTGATCAAGAACATGTATAAATGGGTACAAGTAAATGAAAAATCGGTCCACCAACATGTCTATGATCCTACGATCAGGAAGAAACTGGCAAATTTGTTTCAGTAACTGAAATTCAGGTTGCACATAGTCCCCCATTGGGAACACATTAGAATTCAACGTTTCTAATCCCAATGGTAGTAGACTGGGGTTAAGGTCAGCCTCATCAATGGGTTTGAAATCATCGAGGTCTTCATCATCATGATATTTCATAGTGAATAATCTTTCTGTAGCCTCGGAACATCCAGCATCAGCTATCAGGTTTAAAAAGTTCAATTTCGAGTCCAATGATAAGTCTTTATACACCGCTTGTTGCATGGCATTGAGAAATCGATCACAATTGATGAACGACATCCATGATAGGGGAGGTGATTGTTTTCGTATAACCCCATCAGTTTTAACAGGATTATAAAGATCAAAGATATTGACTTCTAGTTTTCTCTCTGCTTCTGAAAATTCGAATGGGACAGGGTCGTCGAGCCCTATAATCTGACGCTGCTGAAGAGGAATAGCCAAGTATGCCGTAGGAGTTTTATCAGCTGAAGATATATTTGTGGTGCTTGAAGACGAGGTAGATGAGAAAGGAGATGACGGTGTGGAGCCAGTTGAGCTTATTTCCCTCTCCAAAGACCTAGCAACCAAAGATTTTGCGGAAGTTAGCTCTTTTTCTAGATTGGCTATATTCATTTGAGCTTCAGCTATCTGTTTTTCTACCTCCTGACTATCCAATAAGCTTAAGTCTTCGCCAACAGAAACCTGCTCATTAGCTTCTCTTGGTAAGAAGTCAAATGGCTGATATACACATTCGCCACCGTACTTGGAACACTTGGAGCACGGCTGGCCCTTGTCACATTTTATCTTTCTGGTTCTACAAGAAACACAAGCATTTATGGGTCTCATACGCTTTGGCTTATATCTGTTCATGCTGAAGGTATAAAGGTGTGTGTGAATGCTAGCACATGGATGGCGAGTGGAAGGAAGATGAGATAATTGGAATTGAGTTGGGTACTTATTGAAAAGGTGGAGTCGCAAGCGCTTAAATATGTGATTTTTTTGCGAGTATTGATGTAAAGCGCCAATGCTGCAAGAACATATATGTTATCATTTTCAATAAACTGTAAACCAACCCCAAGATCCAAGTATACTACGTTAAAATCCAAAAGGTATTCCCTATGTTCCATCATAACTCCATGATGTCTCTACTGGATAATCCAAATCACCATTCATTATTCATATAAATCAAACTACTAAACCTTAATGAACTCTTCGCTATCATAAAGCTCAGTATAAGCCTCACCCAAAAAGCGTTGAATATCGGACGTCTGCATTGCCCGTCCGTACCGCTTAAAAGCCTTTCGCGAGGCCAATCTGACAATGGCAGAAGACGCATAGCACGCCAATAAGGTGGAATCTTGAGCATTTAGCTTGGGTCCCTCGTTATCCCAAAGTCCAGCTTGGTAGTGGTATGACCAATTCACAAAGGTAGCCAAACATCCGGTAAGAGTATCACCTTGGCCTCCAATTCTTCTTGCCGAGCCACTAAGATCGTTGATGAGGTGGTTTTCACCATCCACGATGATCTCAGCATTCGATTTCCTCATCACAGTTACTCCCAATTTGGTGCTCAATTGACTTACAGCATTGAGAATGGGATCTAACCGAGTCTCTTTCAATATTGACTCGATACCAAAGTGGCTGGCGATTCTTTCAAACTCAATCAAGTTCGGAGTCAAGATAGCCTTTTTATACCCTTGAATAATAGTAGGATCCAAGCTCACCACGAAAAGGGCATCTGCATCCAAAATCACCGGCTTATTAGCAACCTTGATTTGCTCTAGAATCTTGATCATTGACTTTACCATCAATGAGTCTCTGCCAAACCCCGGTCCAATTATAAAGATGTCACACCTGTCGATAAGTCCAAGTACTTTGGGTAAGACTTTGGATTCGATAAACCCATCTAGTAGCTTAAAACTGGGCTTGATCACATCCTTGAGACTTAGTGTTCTCAATTCTTCCATTTGATCAGGCAGAAATTGGGAAGTGATCTCAGGATTGCCGGTATCGAACAAATATGGATGTACCATTAAGTCTGGAGAATACGACTTGATGATGGGAGCAGCCACCTTTTCGCAAATAACGTGGGTAAGATCACTACCAATTAAGGCACTCGCAGAAGATGCAAAATAAGGAGCACCAGTATAATCTTCACACCCACCAATCACCGCCACTTTCCCGGCCTGGCCTTTATACAAGTTGGGCAATAGTGGTTGAATTATAACCTTGGACAACTCAATGAGCTCTCTGTGACTCTTTCCTCTCAACATGGCGTTACATTTATTTTTCACAGCTGCTCGCCTTCTGCGGTGCTCCTTCGCGAGCAATTTACCTGCATATGCGAAAACCCACAATTTATCACCAATTAAACACAGTAAATTTTCCAATTTCCACTAGAACCGGGAAAAAAACATAATCCATTTCACAGCATGTTATCCAGATCATTGTTCCACAACAAACAAGTCTTCTTGCCATTGGTGACTGGCACCATTGGGGCGTTTGCTGCGTACCAATATTACTCCACCCTAATCACTAACGATACTGGAAAAACATTCACCGACCCCAACGACTGGGTGGATTTGAGATTGAAGTCCTCTGCCAACGTTGGTTCCAGCTCCAAGAGATTGGTTTTCCAATTGAACGAACAAACTGATGTTAGTGGATTGGTCACTGCTTCTTGTTTGTTGACCAAGTTTGTTACTGCAAAGGGTAGCAATGTTATCAGACCATATACCCCAATCAGTGACAACGACACCAAGGGAGTTATTGAATTTATCATCAAAAAGTACGATGGTGGTAAGATGTCTTCTCATATCCACGACTTGAAGCCTGGTGAAACCTTGTCTTTCAAAGGTCCAATCATCAAGTGGAAATGGGAACCAAACCAATACAAATCCATCTTTCTCATTGGTGGAGGTACTGGTATTGCTCCTTTGTACCAATTGATTCATGAAATCGCCAAAAACCCAGAAGATAAGACTAAGGTTAACTTGTACTACGGAAGTGTTGATTCCAACGATGTCTTGTTGAGAACCGAATTGGACCAAATTGTTGCTGAACACAAGGATCAGATCACCGTCGAGTACTTTTTAGACAAGGCCCCACCTAACTGGAGCGGAAGAACTGGTTTCATCGATAAGGACTTTTTGTCTGAAAAGTTGCCAGCTCCTTCTAAGGACTCCAAGGTATTTATTTGTGGACCTCCAGGTTTGTATAAGGCTATTTCGGGACCCAAAACCTCTCCAACTGATCAGGGAGAAGTCACGGGTATCTTGGCCGACTTAGGATACACTAAGGAACATGTCTTCAAGTTTTAGATATTCTCTTGACATTTACATATGCTTAAATATATTTATGCTACGGCTTTGACATCCTGCTTTTATGATTCGCAATTTGTGCGTAGAGAGTCTGCAGCTTGCAACTGTGATGGCGATAAAAACTTTAAAGATTGCAGTACAAGGATGCTGTCACGGTGAGTTGGATCTCATATATTCAAAGCTCATAGGAAAGAAGGTTGACTTACTTGTCATCACGGGAGATTTTCAAGCACTCCGAAACAACACTGACTTAAATGCCATCGCAGTACCTTCAAAATACAAATCCTTGGGACACTTCCACAAGTACTATTCGGGACAAAAGCGAGCCCCAATACCGACAATCTTTATTGGTGGGAATCATGAGTCGTCCAGTTACCTTACAGAGTTGAAGTATGGTGGGTGGGTAGCTCCCAATATATATTATTTGGGAGAATTTGGATGTTTGTGGTACAAAGGTTTACGTATTGTGGGGGCCAGTGGCATCTTCAATTACTCGTCATTTCTCGATAACAGGATAGAAGATGTACCGTTACCATACACTCCCCTGACCATACGGTCAGTCTACCACATGACACCCATGAATTATTTGAAGATGATGTTGATACAGTCTGAGTTGAACATAGATATAGTGGTGAGTCACGATTGGCCCCAGTATATTTACCACCAAGGCGGCTTGGATGGTCTTTTGAAGAAGAAGCCATTTTTCAAAGATGATATCAATTCCGGGCGTCTTGGAAGTCCTTTGTTAAAAAATGTGTTCAATCACTTGAGGCCAACATACTGGTTTCTGAGCCACCTCCACGTCAAGTTCGAAGTGGATGTTCCTGGTCACCAACAGTTGCAGAAAACAAAAAATACCGACGAAATCGACCTTGATATGGGGATGGATGATACAGAAGAAGAAGAAGAATCATCATCACTGTCTACTCATTTTCTTGCTCTTGATAAATGTGGAAAGCATAGAAGGCACTTGGAAATTTTCAATGTTCTGGTAGACAAGAACCATATTTCGTTTGACAAGGACGATTTCTACTATGATAGAAGAGCTATTGTTATCAATAAGCTAATGGGTCGGTTTGTAGTATCTGACAAGGGCAAACAGATCAAGCCCAAGGAATTGTTAGACAGTTCGTACACAATCAAAGTACTTAGGGTGCTTAACCAAGAAATTGAAGAGGAGCTAAATTCATTGAGTGTAAATCCAGAAGATTTTAAGGTGCCTTTTAATTTCAAAGTCATTGCTCCTAGCGGGCTTATTTCTCCTGATCTACAATTTTGGCCTAACAACCAAACAGAGGAATATTGTACAAAGTTTGATATTTCAAGGTGATGATTTCGCAGCTTTTTAGGGATGCGATAATTTATAATCCTAGTGATGACAATCATCAACTTGATTGGACATTTCCTCAAGGAAAACGGGTTCGAACAGACTTTTCAAAAGTTTGAAGAAGAGTATGGACAACCAATTTGTACTGAAACCCACGAATTGCCCAACAAGGAGACTTTGAATGAGATTATCAATGACCGGTTTAACTTCAAATCTATTCAACAAGAGATCAGTAAAATTGACACCCCGTTGGATAACAAAGACTTCAAGCCTTGGAAAACTCCATACCCCAAAAACCTTTATCTTGATACAGATATTGACCAGGTTATTGTTTCTGTGGATATTGTACTTCACAAAAATTGGGTGCTTTTATCTACGGCCAAGCAGAAGTTAATAATTGTGGATTTCAACGGGAAAATTGTGAACATATTTGACCAAATAATAGGACGCCTTGTGATCAAGAAAATAGTCAGCGATTCTTATGACAACGTTTATTTGGCTGGCATGAGTGGAGTGATCTACCATTTCAAGATAGAAGGCGAAGAATTGACTAAAGTCAATGAATTGCAAGTGCACAGAAGGCTAATAGTAGACATGAAAATAGTTGAAATTGACTCTGAACCATACTTGGTATCTTTAGGATTTGATAAGCTCATCAAGCTCATCAGCCTTCGGCAGTGGGACGTTTCAGCCTCATTTGAGATCAGTAATATTCCTTCCTGTTTCGATGTGATCAACTACCAGAATCAAGTTGTAGCACTTGTGGGCTATAATGAGAATACACTCTTGGACTTAGTTCACGCCAAATCCTCGAAAGAACTCGAAAGATTATATAGAATATCCATCAACGATGCCGAGTTCACCACCAGCAACTTTTCTCCCCGAATCATTAAATTTAACTGTTTTGATAAACAACTTTTAGTGGCCGTCGGCACATCTCATGAGCCATATATGCGGGTGATGGTTTTACCGATCACCGACTTTACCGCCACGAATGACATCCGAAGAAACCAGATCAGTAAGAACATTCTTACTATGTCACCCCAAGATAAATTTAGTATTCCAGTGATTAGCTGGAGAAAAGATGGCACTGGAATATGGGTTTTGGGAGATGACGGCATATTAAGAGGTATTAATTTAGCCAACGACAAGATTATTGAAATTCCTTGCCACAATGGTAGAGTCAAGTTTGTGGAAACCTACGACCTCGGAGGTGAGACTGTTGTCACCATCGGAGATGATAGACATATCAAAGTGTGGAAATAGCATACTTGTGGTATCCCACTTGCGCGACAGATGAGCAAATTTTGTGGGGAGCGTAGGGCAACAATTTTCATATGAGGATCAAAACCTCGGATAGCGCATTTATATATAAACTCCATAAGAACGTACATAATCCCTTTTTTAAAATAAAAAACTTCCCCATAAAACCTTGGAATTTGGATCTGACAATGTCGCTTAGTCCAATTGAGAAGGCAGCATCTGGAGCCTTGGCCTCGGTCATTGCTAATACGTTAGTATACCCACTAGATTTATCCAAGACATTAATCCAAACTCAGGTTGTACCAAAAAGCACACCCATTGACAAATCTTCCAGCATAGACAGTGTGTATCAACAGTCAAATGATCCTAAAGGAGAGAAGAAATACAAACACACGCTTGATGTTTTGAAGAGAATTTATGCCAAAAAGGGGATATTGGGCTGGTATCACGGATTGTTTTCCTCCATCTTGGGTACTGCTGCTCAGAACTTCTCCTATTTTTATTGGTATACAATTGTCAAGCGAGTTTATGCCAATATGCACAAGAAGATTCCCCACCATAAAGCATCGACGTTTACCGAGTTGTTTTTAGGAGCATTGGCAGCTGCCATCTCTCAGATGTTTACTATGCCCATTGGAGTAATTACTACCCAACAACAGACCGATAAAGACCATAACAACTTGTTCCAATTGGCTCAACAGGTCTACAAGAAAGACGGTGTCACCGGTTTTTGGAGAGGATTGAGAGTGTCGTTGGTGTTGTGTATTAATCCTTCCATTACCTATGGTTCGTACGAAAGATTGAGAACCTTGTTCTACGGGGAAAAACAATATTTGCTGCCAATAGAGAGTTTCTCGTTGGGAGTGGTGGCCAAGTCTTTAGCCACTGTTGTGACCCAACCGTTGATTGTCTCTAAAGCCATGTTGCAGAAGAAAGACTCTGATGACCCAGATCATGTTAGGTTTGATGGGTTTACTCACGCATTAGAACACTTGTGGCTGACAGAGAGATTCAAGGGATTATACAAGGGCATTGCTCCTCAGTTGGTGAAGGGAGTTTTTGTACAAGGGTTATTATTTATGTTTAAAGATCAACTCGACTTGTTCTTCATGTTTTTGTTGCAGTTATTGAAAGCTAAGAAGAAATGAGTTGACAATTATTATTATGATAGATTTATAAAGATGATGCATGGGGACAGAAAATAAAGAATCGACAAATTCACCTCATAAAGTTTGTTAACCCAATACTTTTAATGTATGTTTTAACCCCAGTATTTGAACTGTAAGCTTATCTTATCGATGCCTTAACAGAGGATGAGGGTTCGCGCCCTCGCATTTGGTGTCATTGGTACCACGACTGCTTTTTTTGTGTCTTCCTGCACACGACCGTTTGTGCGTCGTCCCTCCACCACTCCGCCAGAAAATTTTCTTTACTTCTCAAGCACTGAAAAAATTTAATACAAGTTTTAACTAACCGAAGAGTAAAATAATCAATCATGGGTAAAGGAAAGCCAAGAGGATTAAACGCCGCTAGAAAGTTGAGAGTCCACAGAAGAGAAAACAAGTGGGCTGACCAACAATATAAGTCCAGATTGTTGGGAACTGCCTTCAAGTCGTCTCCTTTCGGTGGATCTTCTCACGCTAAAGGTATCGTGTTGGAAAAGATTGGTATTGAATCCAAGCAACCAAACTCCGCTATTAGAAAGTGTGTCAGAGTCCAATTAATCAAGAACGGTAAGAGAGTTACTGCTTTCGTTCCAAACGATGGTTGTTTGAACTTTGTTGATGAAAATGACGAAGTCTTGTTGGCCGGTTTCGGTAGAAGAGGTAAGGCTAAGGGTGATATTCCTGGTGTTAGATTCAAGGTTGTTAAAGTGTCTGGTGTTTCTTTGTTGGCCTTGTTCAAGGAAAAGAAGGAAAAGCCAAGATCGTAAATCAATCTATCCTTCATCATATTATATTTTATTATTCCTAGAATATAACAAGATATTGTATATTTTATATTGCCGTTCCAGTGGTTAATGCATAAAAGATTAAAATCGTGGCCTGTAATTATACAAGTATATTAGTTGAACTTTACCTAATTAAATACCTAAGTTTCTACCTTCAATAGAGGGACCTGACTTCTTATTAATCTTTTTCTTAAGGTTAAGTTTTTGGTTAATTCTCTTGAATCTTTCATCACTATTCCCACCACCATTGAACTTTCTTTGAAGCACTTCAGGGTTGACTTTGGGGGCAATCTTGTAAGCCGTGGTTCTGGCAGCAGGGATGGCAGCCCTATTTCTTCTCTCAGCACTTTCTTCATATAAAGTTTTAGCTTCTTGAGTCTTAGGCTTGGATGATGATAACTTGTTACTGAATTTAGTTTTGTTATATTCCTGAAATTGGATACTTCTATCCTTGTACGAGTCACTTTTGTTTAAGATGGGTCTAGTCCAATCTCCAATCAACTTATCAACTATTCTCTTTAAGTTGGCTTCGGTTCTTTTGCTTCTTTGATAAAACACCATGACTTTTCCCATTCCAGATGCAACCAAATGGTCAGTCTTGATGGGTAAATCAACCAAAGCAGTGATCAACTCTTTCTGAATCTGGTAAGCTGGCATCGACGAATCAGGTAAAGGTTCCAACCATAATCTTACTGCTTCTAATAAATTATTATCCAAAATCGAAATGGCTAAGTCGGCCTTTGACAACACATTGATCACTTCTCCAAGCATCTTCAACTTTTCAGTGGCTACTGATCCTTGTAGGTTCTTTTCAGCATCTGAGTTGGCAGCTTTAATCATCTTGTCCTTCAAGTAATCAATCTTGTCATCTTGCATCCGCTCCAAGTCATCCTCGTCGGCCTTCCGCCGCTTTGTGGCAGTCTTCTTGATCGCAGCTGTCATTTTCTCTTCCAACAATCGTCTCTTTCTCAGAGCTGGATCTTCATTGGCAAATTCATCAGTAGGTTGCTCGTTATCATCACCATAGTCTGCCACCGGGGCTGGAGCTCCAACTGGTTCAGAAGTTCTTGTAACTTTACTTCTTCTAATGTTCTTCTTCTTGGTCTGCTTGGTCGCACCTTCGGTATTTCTGTGGGCTTGTATGGTATATACATCTTCATCGTATTCACCTATGTCGTTTTCGTTTGAAGAAACCACCTCTTTGTCATTATCTATAGGTTGATCATCCTCATTTCCATCTGAATTGAGATCTGGATCGATGTCTGGGAACTGATCATTCACATCCTCCTCTTTGAACATATCATTTATATCTTCAGTCTCTGACATGGTTTCTGTTATTGGCTTGTCTCAACACAAAAATTGTCAGTTCAGTGCGGACATTTTTTCCAACTTATCACCAACACATATAAAACTCAGGTACCAATAGTAATGTCACAATATATTGGTAAGACCATATCATTGATCTCCAACAAGCAGCTTCGTTATGTTGGGGTATTGGATAATATAAGTGCTGAGGATGCTACCATTGCCTTGAAATCCGTCAGATCATTTGGAACTGAAGGAAGATTTAGTCAGGCAGGTCAACCCAACTTGGAAGTGGCCCCAGGAAATGATATTTATGACTACGTGGTTTTCAGAGGTAATGATGTTAAGGACTTGAGTGTTTTGGATGCTCCTTTGGATCAAATTACTCCTGAACCTACTCCTACACCAACTCCTCAACCTGGTGCAGTCCCACATGCCCCAGTGCAAACCGCTGCTCCTGTTGCCCAACCTCACCAAGCATCTCCTCAACGGGTTCAGCCAACACCAACAACCACCGAGCCTCCAACCAAGGCCTCTCCTGCCCAGCCAGTTCCTGCCGCAGTTCCTGAACCAAGCAACGCTCAACCCAAGACGAAGTCCGACAAGAAACTCGAATATACCGAAGACTTTGACTTTGAAACAGCCAACTCCAAATTTGTCAAGGAGATTGAGAGTGAAAAGGAAAAGCCCACCTATCAGAAGTCATCTTTCTTTGATAGTTTACTGGGTTCCACCGACGAAAAAAGTGGTATGAGATGGAATGAAGAGAAGCAGTTGAACTATGATACATTCGGTGAGAGCTCTGTGGATAATGGTAGAGGCAGGGGCAGAGGAAGAGGGGGGTACAGAGGAAGAGGAAGGGGAAGAGGAAGGGGACGTGGTAATGGTAGAGGAAGAGGAAACTATGAAAAGACTCCTGAATGGGCCTGAGGTTATGTATTCCACCTTAATTATGTAAGTCTGTTGTAGGTTAGCATGTTTGCAAGAAATAAAATACTTATTACAATGGTGAACCATCCTCCTTGTAAGAAATTGCATAGGTTAGCGGTTATAATGGCAATTTCCAAAGGAATGAATACGGCGAATCCTATGGCTGCAAATTTGGACTGGTAGACTATGACCAATGTAATTTCAACCAATATAGTTGTGATGATAAAGTCCATTGCGATTGCAAGACTGTAAGCGTAAGTGATTCTGGTGGTGTCTCTGAACACTAAAGCTGCAGCAATTGGTCCAAGCATAAGAATATAATTGATGAAAGGAATAAATACCTTGTGAGAATTAACCAATTTTTGCACCTTTAATTTGGGAAAACTCCTACAGTGAATAAGTTGGTTAGTGATGGTGAAGACCCCCAGAAATGCTGATTGACTTGCCACAATTGTGGATAGTGTTGCTTGTGCAAGAATAAACCAGAATAGTGGACTCGATGGTCCACCAGGGATAGAACTGTAAAACACATTTTGGCTGGTATGTTTATGGTTCACAATATAAGCTGCTTGTCCAAAGTAACTAAGCATTAAACAAGGGTACACAAAACATGCCATATTTAGCTGGATAGCTAGTCTATTAACCGTCTGGAAGTCTGTGAATAAGGTTTCTGCTCCTGTAACCGTTAAAAAGGCACTGCTCAAGCACCTAATCCCATACTTTCCCACAAAACGATAAGTAAATATAGGGTTGAATGCTTGCACTATTTGAGGTTCCATGAGTATATTGTATACTCCAATAAAAGCCAAGCATATTAACCAAACGAATATTATTGGAGAAATCATCAGCGTGACAATGGTAGCACTCTTGAATCTCTGTAACATAAGCATCACCAACAAGATACAAACACCCAAATACATATATCCAAACCCAGGACATGCTATTTTTATACCTTCTACTGCACTCAATACAGAAGTTGTGGGATTTAGAACAGCATTGGATAAGACAAGTGAGCAGCCAATGAAACATATGAGTTTTATAATCCAGTTGTATTTGACGGAAGCTATTTTGGCAAGCACCGCGATATGACCTCCTTTACCTCGATAACTACCCACATACACCACTACCAATAAGTACTTAACAAGTACAATGACTAAAAATAGGTAAAATATCACAGATACTGATCCATATATGTCTTCTCTTTCATGATTGTGAAAAGTGCACATGGTATTGAACGAGTACAATGGAGAAGTGCTGATATCACTAAATGTCACTCCGAGCATGGAAATACAACCAAACCACGTGGTTTGTGTAGTATGGGCTTTTGGTACAATACTTTCAAGACTAAAGTCCTCTTCACTTTCTTCACTTTCACTTGAAATTGCTCCATAGTAACGATGGTATTCGTTAATCCTTGTTAGTTCGGTGATGCTTATTATGGACTGTTGCTTCTTCACTGTCATTATAAAAAGCAGGTATATAAATACAATATAGAGCATGGACAGTTTATTTAAACTAGCCAGCATGTGTTTGAGACTGATTAGGCTATTTCTGCTCAAGTTTCATTCCTACTTGCGCTCGCTGCCATAATTACCTCAGTGGCTGCGAATTTTGTTGATAGTTTCCAAAACCAGAAATTGGTTCCTGAATGACTATTAATAATTGAGGTATTTTCTAGTCGATTTCTTCCTTGTCGATATTGCATCAGTTCTCTCGGCTAGGGGTAAAAGGTTACCGTTGGTTTCTTATTTTGGTGATCACCTTGGTATTGGTTTCATATTCGCTCACGGGAACTTACCCGAAAGGAACAAGTCCTTGTACCTGTTGTCACACTCATATCACTGTTTAAAGTTTGGAATTCCCCGATCTTGCCTGAAAACAATTTAACTTTGCTTTGACATTGAAGAACCCTGACGTGATTATTTCAGTGCGCTTTAAATAGGGAGCTTATTATGACCTTCAAAGCCTCAGAGTTGCGCTAGAAAAAACCCTCAAAAATTGCGTCCTCGTTTCCACTTTCCTCTGTACTACCAACCATTTGGGCTGCCACTTAAATGCTTGTGACTATCTGTTTAATTGCGCATTGTTACAGACCTATGTCCGCACTATGACACCAATTTGAGTGGTTCCGCATCCGATTGCAAACTTGTGCGGCTTATAGCTCAAACCAAAAACAAAACGCGTCGCGAATGTAGTCAAAAACCAAATCTCAACCACTGTTCAACGATGGCATTTGCTAGAGATAGGATCAACGCCTTCCCTGAGGGCAACTCACTCGTCGAGTACAACCCTCATATAAATAAGCTCCTTGTTGTGAACAGTGTGGGGATTTTGAAGATTTTTAAAATAGATAACCCTGAACTAGAGCCTACATCTGTTGATGTGCTTGAAAATTTAACAAGTCTTTCTTCTTCTAACGACAAGTTATTGGTCGCCAATACGGCTGGACACTTGGAATTAGTAGACTTGAATACCAACGAGTCTAAGGGGATTGTTTACAGATCTGAGTTGCCTTTGAGAGATTCTGTTTTAATCAATGAAGGTAAACGTCTTGTTTGTGGAGGAGATGATGATAAGTTGATCATCATCAACTTAGAAGAAGGTAACTCCTCCTCCTCCATCAAGCTTCCTCAACAGGTTGTCAATATCAGCTATTGTATGAATGCTGAGATCTTAGCAGTCAGTTTATCCAATGGTGATGTGCAGATCTACTCAACGATAAATGAAGAGCCCAATTTGCTCGAAACCTTGAAATCAGCCGTTTCAAGTAAAATCCATTCTTCTATGGATGAAATCGACTATTCAGACGATCATAAACATGAGTTGGTTGCCACAAAATGTCAGTGGCTTAGGAATGGTGAATTTTTGTTGACACCTAGCTCCGAAGGAATCAGAACCTACAATAGAGACTGGGAACTTGAAAAGGAATTTAAATTTGGAAATGATGCTGACAGTATCATTGACTTCAAAGTATCTTCCAATGGTAGGTCTGTAGCTGTGTTAAACAAGGATTTCAAAGTTGTGGTATTCGATTCTGTCTCTGGTGATGTCACCAATAAGTTTGACTTGGAAAATAGTGAAGACTTGTTTATCAATTTGGAGTGGTACAAAGACCAGCTCTTTCTTGGTAGCAATAAAGGTGTTGTCACACAAATCAAGGATTTCATAGACTCTGCTTCAAAGGGATCTTTGGGTGATATTGATGATGATGGTGGGAGCAACACGGATGTGTTAGCCAGTAATTCTGATGCTGAACCAAACGGTATTAACAGAAATGCATTTGACGATTCTATTATAGATGCTGAAGATGAAAGCGATGAAGATTTTCCCTACTACAACAAAGATGTTGGATCTGTTTTGGATCGCCATAAAAAGCGTCATAGAGGTAATGATGGTAAGATTACAATTAGTCAATCAGCTGTTGAAGGAGATCTCTTGCCATACTCACCTGGTTCGACACCCTTCAGTAGATCTGCTAATGTTGAAAGGCGTTATTTAACTATGAACTCGATTGGTTATGTGTGGGTGGTTAAGACTGATGAAACGGAAGGTCTGCAACAAAGTATTACCGTTTCTTTCTTTGATAGATCAGTCAACAAAGATTATCACTTCAATGATTACCACAAATTTGATTTATGTGGCATCAATCGTCATGGGGTGTTATTAGGACACTCCAACTACCAATCAAGTAAGTCATATGGCTCATTGTACTATAGAAGTCATGAAAGTGACCAAGAGAGCTGGGATAAAAAAATCCCTTTACACACCGGAGAGTATCTTACCTCCATCTCCATAACTGATAACGAAGATTCCATTGTGGTTGTGGGAACTTCCCTTGGGTATTTAAGGTTCTACAATCAGCAGGGCTTGTGTGTGAATATCATCAAAGTCAACCCAATCGTTTCTGTCATTGCATCAAGTATCAACTCCATTTTCCTCGTATCTCGGTTGTCAGTTAACTTGTATTCCTTTTCCATTATCAATTGTTATGATTACAAGTTCATTCAGCAAGATGCTATATTACCGTTGAAATCAGATTGGAAGAGCCCATTGATAAAGGGGATCTTTTTCAATGAATACAATGATCCATGCCTTGTTCCAGGAAATGATGATACTTTGATGATTTTGTCGTCATGGAGAGAACCATCCAACAGTAAGTGGATACCGATTTTGAACTGTGCCCAGGAAGTGACCGATAATAATAATGCCAGTAAGAAGAACTGGAAGTGTTGGCCATTAGGATTATTCGGTGACAAATTAAACTGTATTTTGCTGAAGAATAATGACCAATACCCAGGGTTTCCGTTAGCCATGCCGATTGAACTCCTGATCAAGATGCCGATTAACCACATAGACACTAGTCAATCAGAACAACAAGAGGACGAAGATTACGAAGAAAACTACGTGAAAGCTAAAGCCATGGGCATAATCACCAATGACTCCCTAACTGATCAAGACTACCAAGAATTCAACGACGAGATCAGTGACAAGTTAGCCTACTATAGCAATTTGTTTGACAAATCCTTGTTAAAATTGTTTGCTGATACTTGCAAGCAAGGTAATTTACCCAAGTCATACTCCATTGCCAAATTGATGAAGAACGATAAGGCATTAATTGCAGCCTCAAAAATTTGCCAGAGATTTGAGTTCAATAATTTGGCCGTAAAAATCGGTAAGTTGCGGGACAGTTTGGTTGATTTCGATGATGTAGAATAAAGTTGTGTGAATTTTTTGCATGAATATAGTACAAGTTGTATATTTGTTAATATGTACAGTCAAACCTGACTTAGTTGAATTGTCTCTTAACGAAATGGAAAATGATGGGAACTACCCACAAGGTACCGGCAATGATACCGGCTGTTTTCAAAGTGTCGGTGGCGTACTGTTCTTGAATTTTCTTCTGCTCTTCAGAAACTTGTCCGTCAAACATTGTGATTTGGTTTACTTTCAGAGTAATTGCTCGAAAATTTTTATGGCGCGGGTGAGTCGACACACGATTTGGTGATCCTAAACGTACTTGCAAGAATTACTGTGATGGCACAAAATGACTTCTTATAAACCTTTTCAACTTGAAGATCTATATGACATTAATTCTATAAATTTGGACCCATTAACAGAGAATTACCCCCTTGACTTCTACTCGGAATACTTGATCAAATGGCCCTCGTTATTTTTCAAATCTGTAGAAATCAGTGACAATTCAACCTTTGGTGATACTAGTGAAATAAGCGGGTATATGATAGCCAAAAATGAAGGAAAGCTTTCCAAGCTTGAGTGGCATACGCACATTTCGGCTGTGACAATTCACAATCAGTATAGGCGAGTTGGATTGGCCTCCGATTTGTGCATATTCCTTGAAAATATCGTTAATAAAGATCCTGATAACACCCTTTTCATCGACTTGTTCGTTCGGGTAACAAACACATTGGCACTCCAATTGTATGAAAAATTGGGTTACAGTATTTACAGACGAGTAGTGGGGTACTACGGGAGAAATCTACCGCAAGATACAAAGCATTTAGACGATGAAATTGACGGTTATGACATGAGAAAGCTGTTGCCCGCAGATGTAAACGACGAGACTATCAGGCTAAATGGACATAAGGTGTGTGTTCTTCCACAGGACGTTGTGTTTTGAGGAATTCACTTGGATAACATTGCTTATCGAATGACATTGATTACTTGATTACAATGGAGGTTATTTGTTACAAGAACCTGATCATATTAATGGTTTGGTACTGTTCATATGTTGTTCATGTCGTTTGTTTCGATAAATAACAACTCATACAATGACCATTTCATCATTGATTTTTTTTGCAACCAACTTGTTTTGCGAGAATATTAACCAAAGAAAAGCTCGATTGGGGCAGACCAGCTACAACCCAGACTTTCAACCCCTTGTATATAGAAAGTACACGTCTGATGAATAAGTATATTGAAACAGGCTACAACGTCAATAGATGATTCGACCATATGAGCCGAAGAGCCAACAATTCCCTTTTTCGGGTGCAAACGACCCAGTTTTCTAGCCATGGAATCTGTTGTCAAATATGTGAATCAAAGATATCAAATACAATATCTATGTTACACAACTAACTCGGTTCGGTTTTAATAGCAGTGACTAATACATAAGGCTGAAAGCTCGGTTTTAGTGTCTCAACCGGTTGCTGCGAAACATGCGAGCACCAGCTATAAAAAAAGGTGACATCCTCCTGTGTGCTAAAATTAATATAATCAATGAATAGAAAACATTTATTGGATGACAAGTCGAACTCGTCCTCGAGGTCAGTTTCTAGAGCCAGAACCCCCAGGCCAGATGGAGAAGAAAATGGGCAATTGGACTTTGCCTTCAGTAATTTGGAGGAACTATTAAGCTCAAAGCTAGAAAATCTTGAAGGATGGAGAGAGCAGAACTATGATTTCAAACAAGATACAGTAAACGAATGGAACAGGGCCCGAATCACTTCCAGTGGCTCCATAAAGGAATTAATACATTCCTTACAGGTTTCTAGAAATGAAGTTTCTTCAGATTCAAGAGAATTGATTCTAGCACAATTGTATAAGTTGATTGTGGTTAAATCCTTACTTGTGTATAACGAATCCAGAATTGGCACTGACGACTACGTGGGTGAAGAAAGCGTCCTGGACTTGATTTTCATATTGATGAGAAGAGATGCCAGATCTCCTCAGGAATTTTTATTACTTTACAGATGCACAATTGCCTTAATTGTCAGTGATATTGATGAATTCAGCTCTTTGGCCGATGGAGAATTCATGTTATTTATGAAGAGCTTGATCACTGAACCTGCTACGGCCATAATCACCAATGAGAACAAAAGTCATGTCATATCTGGTTATGTTGGTCTCTTGATGATTTTACATAACGGATCTTCTGGTTATGGAATTGACTCCACAATATCCTGGTTGTACGAAATTACTGAAGGTTATTGTTTGAGTGCATTGACTAGTATAAGAGACTTCAAGGAGGGAAACCGTGAATACTCTACTTTTTTCGACGATCTTAGTAAGCAAAGAATTGTTAATGAATTGACGACAAAACAAAATAGTGAGGCCTTGATCGGGATAGCTGGTCTACATGGAGTTGGTTGCTTATTGACTCTTGTACCTCGAAATGACTTTTTAAATGAAATCATTGAGGACCTTATTCCCAAGTTACTTGAATTATTTGATAACGAGTTGAATGTTGATATTAGTAAGGCTAGTGGACGAGTGATAGCTCTTTGCTATGAGGTTTATCATTATAGAAATGATGAAGATGAAGATAATGATGCTGATTTTAATGACAATTCACCATATTATGAACAAGAAGAAATAACTTCCGTGTTGACAAGACTTGTAAATTTGAACGATAAAAAGGTTAGCAAGAAGGACAAAAAGGATATCCATTCCATATTCAGAGACATTTTAAATACAGTGGAGAATTACGGTAATTATGATACCCGTATTGAAATATTGAAGAGAAGTCCTAGGGGACTTGAGATCTTGAGTGAAATCATGGATTTGAACTTTATCAAATTAAGTAAAACCAGGTCAATTCAGATTAATAGTTGGTTTTTGTACATAAGACTCATCCATCTCAAATGGTGTTTTAGTTTTGGTGTACACAACCAGTTAATCTCAAACCCTCTGGCAAGGGATGTCCTAAAAGAACCACCTACCGACTTCGAAGTCAAATATGGATACGAGGGTGACGAAGACGAAGAAAATAACTCTAGTTATTACAATGATACCAAGTACGAGATGGACGATAAAAAGAGAACAAAAAAGTTGAATAAACTTAGAGTCAATAAGTTGACTGAAGAGATGGAAGACTTGGGATTAAACAAGTAGTTTATTATATTTATTATATTATCATATTTATTATATTTATTTCAATTAAGATATCTATATATCATCTAGGCTGATTCTATTGAAATTTTGTTTTAAATTGTCATCAAATTCATGTCGTAGTTGTTATCTTTTGGGTTTGTAAAGGCATTATATTCTTCAAAACCAATCAACAGACCGCTTTCTTCAAAGTCAGTGCTCCTTCCAACAGAAGAAGAAAATGGAAATGAGTCGTCTAGGTCAAATTCAGGATTGGCCAAGATATAATCATTGAATATGATTTCTGGATCAGTATACACAAACTGAGTGGTGGTCAATGCGTATAACTTTATATCATGTTCGATGATGAACCAAAGGATATAATCTAAGTTGTATTGCCATCTACCCATTTTCATGTTGTAATTTTTAAACCATGCCATGTAATCTCTCCAGATACTTTTATCTTTAAATAAACCAAACTGAGAGATTTCACATACGAATGCAAAAGCATAAAGAACTCTTAAGGCAAAGAATTCTTTATCTCTTACCAAGTTTCTGAATGGTTCCCTTATCAAAACCAAAAACTTGAAACTGGGTAGCGGATAATTGTTTTTATCTGAAATTGTCAAACATCCATCCAAGATTCCAATACTTCTCCTTATGTTCAACTTAGACGTACCAGGGATATCTGTTACATTAAGTTCATGGGTCAATTTAACAATGATAGGATACACCATGGTTGGGTTTCTTGTATGGATTGGTTTTCTAAGTGTAGCACCTGTGGAGGAGTACAAGGACACTTCAGCCATAGCAGCGAGATTGTGACTGATCGTCAAAAAATCTGTATTCATATTGATAATTTGATCATAGTGGTATACATACTCGTCATTTTCATCAAAATTCACTAGTGGTACCAACCCATGGCCATGCAGACCTATAAATGTGAATATAACCATCACTCCAATTTGCAATATCAAGGCATCTTTAGGGTCCACCACTACTGTTCCTGACAGTCGGTCAACTCTGTTAATCATAATATCGTTACAACCAGTCACCAAGTTAGCAAAATATTTGGAAGTTAAAGCATATAAACTTTGGTTGATTCCTTCCAAAAAATCAAAGTCTTTATCAAATAAAGTCGGTATAGAAACATCCTTGATAGAGGAATGGAAACCAAATAAGCTACTTCTAGTTCCGATTTCTACTTTTCCCCTCTTGACCAACGAAACCATTGGTATAACTGATTTCTCTTTGCAAAATTGCCATGAGTTCACACATGCCAAACTGAAGATACTATTTCTAACAACTTCTGACTCAAGAAATAACGCTACTGTATCGTTCATAATAAAACTTTTGATTGGACCATCCATATGTGCAACAAATGGACCTACCGACGTACGAAACGTGTGAAGCAACTTCAACTCAAATGCATGAATGTTCAACTGTTTAGAAACGGAGTTAATAGATTGTAATGATCTGGAGTTCAAATCGTATTTTGGACTGTACATTAGTGTTTGGAGCATTTTTGAAATCTTGGTATCCCTTGCTTGTGCTTTTAAACTCGAAGGTATAGCGTAAACACATTCTCTTCTAGTGTACTGACAGTATTCACAAGAGGGTTTTCTCTCATCACACTGAAAAGGTTAGTAAAAAATGTGTAAAAATTACGCACACATTCAACGTACCTTTATCCTTAACAGCTTACAACTGAAGCAGCCGTTTCTTGACCTCTGTGCCTTTGGCTTGGAAGGTGTCAGCATATGTAACTTGATAAAAAACCGAAATTGATTTCAAATGCTGCTCGACCTGTCAACATTTATTTTAAGCGCTTATGTCAGCTATTGCCAAAAAAGCCTTATCCAAGTGATTTTCCATTATATTAACACTCTATTTCTCTATTTTATTTATACAAGGGAGAATACACGAGTCTATTGAACGATAAAGTCTTTGACATCAAAATCCTTCGAGTTAATACCAAAGGTTCCAATATAAGCCTTGGCTTCGCTTCTCATCTTCTCAGTGGTGGTAGCATCCCAGTTCAAATCGTTCTTCATAATTTCAACCACTCCATCAACTGCACTTAAAGCCTGTCTAGCATTCAAAAATGCCAATCTAGTTCTTCTAGCTAAGAAGTCAACGGGAGTTCTGATGTACTCATACTTCAAAGAATATTTCAATTCGGCGATAGTGAATGGCTCATCGAAATTCTGATAAGACAAGTTGTTACCCTCAGATTCGACAGCTTCAGATGGGCTGAAAGATTTGGTAGCTGCCAAGGTGATTGGTAACTTGTTGTAATCGGATTGACGATACAATTCCAAGATCAATGAAGATCTCGAACCGTAGTTGTGAGACAAATGCTTAGCCAATTTCAAAGGAATTCTGTACTCATGAATCAATCTAGCGGAATAATTCTTTGAGTAGTCCTCACCACCAATCAAAACTAATTGGTTTGTTTGACAAGGCTTTATTTCCTTGTCAAACTTGAAGTTCTTAATAACAGTGTCCACAGTTTCTTCGGCCATTTCTCTGTAAGTAGTCCATTTACCACCAGAAATGGTGATTAAGCCTGTAGGAGACGAATGGATCAAATGAGATCTTACCAATCCCTGAGTGGAACCAGCTCCACTAGAGCCATTTAACAAAGTATCAGGGTTTCTCGCCAATGGTCTAATACCAGACCAAGCACTCAAAACATCATCCCTGTTAACTGGGAACACAATATATTTTTGTAATTCTTGCAAAATATCTTGAATTTCTTCTTCAGTTGGAACAGGACTAGCAGGAACATCTTTTAATGGAGTATCTGTAGTTCCACATAAAACTTTTCCTTGCCATGGCAAAAAGAACATAACTCTACCATCAGAAGTGGAAGGATCCAAAAGACCAATATTTTGTGGTCCATAATATTCGGGTAAAACAACATGGACTCCACTAGAAGGAACAATCATTTTTGGAGCTTGGGGAGTGGCAGGAGGCTTACCTTGAGGGTCATTGTCCATTTCCAAAATCTTATCAGCAAAAGGACCAGTAGCGTTGACCACAGAAGTGGCTTGAATGTTATATTGTTTACCAGTTTCCAAGTCAGTAGCCAAAACACCTTCAAGTTTGTTTTCGCTGTTCTTTAATAATTGGTCAACCTTCATGTAATTCAAGACGGTGGCACCATTTTCAATGGCAGTGATGGCCAAAGAAGAGTTCATTCTAGAATCATTAAAGGACCCATCGTGGTACACACAAGACAACTTCAAGTTAGAAGCATCCACCATTGGAGCCAACGCAGAGGTGGTTTCCTTCGATAAAATGGTAGAAGACCTTAACCCTTGATGACCGGCAAACCAATCGTACATTTTGCAACCAGCGAAAAAATAGGGTGCCTGCCACCATTTGTAAACAGGAATCATAATGGGTAAAACGGAACACAAGTGAGGAGCGGTTCTTAACATGTTTCCTCTTTCGTTCAAAGCTTCGATAACTAAATCTAATTGAGCTTTTGACAATTGAAACACGGCTTTTTCCAAGTATCTGACACCTCCATGAGCCATTTTAGTGGACTTTGATGAGGTACCCGAGGCAAAATCATTTTGTTCCAAAAGACACACGTTAAGACCTCTGGTAGCCGCATCAACAGCAGTACCGGTTCCAGTAGCTCCACCACCGATGACGATCATATCGAATTTCTTTGTGTTTTCGACATTTTCCAATAACTGATCTCTAGAAGGAGGCTTGGGAAGAGATTTTATCAAAGGTTTGTAACTGTTAACCAAGTTAGGAGCATTCGGAGATCTGATGAAATCAAGGTAGATCACAGTACCACCAACCAACCCAGCACCCACGAGGGCAGACTGAGTCAATTTGGATTTCAAAATATTCGAGAATGTCGGCATGATATTTTGAAAAACTTCAAGCTAACGAACAGCGGAAAAACTAGAAGATTGAATGGAATAAGGAAAATTGTTATTGAACAACAACTGCTGTGAACCTTATGAAGGACAAATAAATAAGTTGATTAGTTGAACCAAAGCAAAAGAAAAAAAATTCACAAGAGAGGATATTGACAATCTTTTTTATAGTGTAATGTCAGTGTGTATATATGTCCCAAAACACGAATTTGAATTGCTAATACAAAAAGAAAAGATTCGCAACAGGACCTGTCCAGTCATACGGCTGTCACCATATCACCAAGTCACCATCACCATCCTGCCTACGAGACCCAACTCCCTAATATCACCTTGAAGTGGTGATCTCTTGCCAGTCTTATGACTAATTAAACTTGAGTTATCGAATTCTAGGATCAGGGAAGCCTTTAACCCGGCTGCACATGAAAGAAAAGATGCGCACATACACTAGACAAGGGTTTATCCGGTAAGTGAGGAACTACTAGTGTGTAAGCCATCAAGTTAGACTTCAATTCAACAATCTTTTGATCGTTGAAGGTACCTCTCTATAATTGCCCGAGTACTTTGGTATTGCAGCAATTGAGCGAAAAATAGAATAGAAAAATAACGACCGAGGCCCGAATATGTATTATACTCCTACACTCGGTGGTGAAACCGAAATTAGTGCAGGGCTGGACTGGTTGTTCTCCGGGTCTATCTTTGAATTCTCTTAGCTGCCGAACCATTTTAAATATATTTGGTAACAGTTTAACTGCTTATGGTGCTGGAAGCTTGTTGTCCGAGCGTCTGATGAGGGTGGAACAATCTTCGGAGCTCATCAAACTCTGATGCTCACGGCCACACGCACCAAAGATGGACCGATGCGGTTTCTCAATTTGAGACAATTTTGTGGTGGGGGAGGGGGCAAAGCGATCATCCCGATGCTTCAATGGCTTGGTGCATACACTGACCTACCAACCGCTATGGCGTTTTCTAGCGAAGTTTTTTAGTTCAATGCCTTTTCCCCAGATTTAATGTACTATTTTCCTGGGCCTAACAAAGCACCCTTTGTGCAAAGGGCTCGTATCTCCCGGATGTTGGGGCGGTACCCGGCATTGTGTCAGCCGCCTTAGTTCTCATCTGTTTGTGCTGTCAATTCCGCAGAGTTCAGTGGTGAGCAGTAGTGTGCGGGAATGAGCTTATATTAAGCATTATGATGAGTGTATGGCCCAATTTATCAGTATGTGGTTCAGATTTAGCTTTTGCGATTCCCACCAATTCCGTCGATTTTAGTCGAAATTAGACCGATTCCCGGAATTGCACCCCCAACTTGGCTGCAATTCTTTTTCTGACAGCGATACGCCGACATGCCTTGGGGGTTATGACATGCATAAAGTTTTTGCTTGGCTTCTAGGTTTCTTGGCTACTTGGCTTCATGAACCTCATCTGTCGAGTCAAGCGAAAATTGGCCGGTAGTGTTGTAAACTCGGTTATATGCGTTGGTGCCTCTCCTAAGCAAATGAAGCTGAATCTTGGCAATTGAATAAATTGCCTTTTTTTCCAAGTTGACTGTTAGTACGAGATAATGCCCCTACACTACTCAATTGACCCCAACATTATGTCACAGCCGATGGGTTTCAGGCCGGATGGGGGAAGCGATGTATAAAAATTGAACTAATTACTGATAAACCCGGTAGTATTTGTTGTAAAATCACATTCCACCATCTCATTGTTCTGATGATGCCCAGAACTTTTCTAAAAATTTGTACCAATTACTGCATTGTGCCAGTCGAATATGCCTAAGGCGCTGGAAAACAATGCTTTATTCGTAAATTAGCTCAGGACGGTTATATTTTTTTATAAATTCTAGCATTTTCCCATTATCTTTTTCATCAGCAATTAAGCCATGTCTTTCTCAGGTCAAGAATCAAAGAACGCTTTGAATGGTGATGAAGTTGAAAACGATACCACCTCTTCTAAGGAACTTGAACAGGTTGTATCTGTTCCAATCCCTGCAAATATGCCAATTTCAGGTACGTTGGCTAACTCCACCAGTAAATCGATGGGTGTGAGAAAAGCTGAGGTTCTCAATGACCAATACCAAAGTTATGTGTGGAGAGTAATCTTATTCGTGACTGTTTTAATTACCGCATATGCTTATGCTGTAGAGATGACGGTCAAAGGTACTATTGAAACTTATGCCGTGGCATCTTTCAACCAGCACGCTTTGAAATCCACTGTTGGTGTTGTACAAGCAGTTGCAGCTGCTGCGGCTCAGCCAACTTATGCCAGATTATCTGATCGGTTCGGAAGATTGGAGTTAATTATTGTCGCCTTGGTGTTATATGTCATTGGTAGCATTGTTCAATTCACTTCCAAAAATGTCGATGCCTTGTCTGCTGGTACTGTCCTTTACGCAATTGGAATACAAGGTATTATTGTATTGTTGCAAATTGTTTTGGCAGATTTCTCCACCTTAAACTGGAGATTGGCTTGTTCCTTCATTCCTGCCTTACCATTTATCATCAACACTTGGGTTTCAGGTGATATCGTTTCTTCCCTTTACCCAGCGCACTCTTGGCAATACGGATATGGTATTTGGACTTTCGTTTTCCCCTTGTGCTGTGTGCCTTTAGTTGCTTGTTTCGCTCATATGAGATGGTTGGCTTCTAAAACTCCTGAATGGAAAGCATTGAAGGAAGAAGGAAAATTGATTAATAAATGGAAGTCTTGGTCTGACAACATCGTCATTGATGTTTTCTGGGAAGTCGATGTTATTGGAATTCTTTTAATTATTTGTGTTTTCGGGTTTATTTTGGTGCCTTTCACTATTGCTGGAGGTGTTAACGATACCTGGAAGAAGGCTTCCACCATTGTTCCATTGGTTATTGGGGTTGTCTTGATCCCCGTTTTGGCTTTCCATGAAATGAGGTTCGCCAAGTTCCCGCTCTTGCCAATTCAATTGATGAAGGATAGAGGTGTTTGGTCCGCTATTATTGTGGCTGTTTTCATTAATATGCTTTGGTATCTTCCAAATGAGTACATTTATACTGTTTTGGTGGTTGGTATGAATGCGTCAATCAAAGCTGCTACCAGGATCTCGTCTTTATACTCGTTTGTATCTGTTATTGTTGGTCCATTGTTGGGTTTGTTGGTTACCAGAGTGAGAAGATTAAAAGGATTCATCATTTTTGGTGTTTTGTGCTGGGTTGGTTCTTTTGCCATTCTCTACACTAAGAGAGGTGACCCTGATGCTAGTCAATCACAACTTAATGGTGTTATTGGTGGTTTGTGTTTAATGGGTTTTGGAGCTGGTTTTTTCACTTACTCTACCCAAGTTTCCATTTCCACTTGTACTAACCATGAATACATGGCTGTGGTTATTTCTATTTATCTTGCATCTTACAATATTGGTTCTGCTCTTGGTTCTTCTATATCTGGTGCTACTTGGACAAATACTATGTACAAGAATCTTGCCAAAGAATTTGAAGCTATTGGTTTCACAAATGTTACAGCAGCTGCCGCTTATGGGGACCCCTTCACTTTCGCTATCAACTACACTTGGGGAACTCCTGAAAGAGCAGCTATGGTTAGAGCGATGGCCAAAACCCAAAAGATCTTGTGTTTGATTGCGTTGGTATTGTCTTTCGTGCTCTTGTTAGATGTCTTCTTCTTGAGAGACCACAGATTAGATACAGTTCAATCCTTGGAGTTAGACCATTCTAAGGAAGAAGGTATTAAGTCTGATGATGGAGGAGTAATTGTCAACAACTATGATGACGATTTCCTTCTTAACAGGATTAAGAGTCTTTTTAAAAGAGGTGAGAAGTAAATAATTGTTTTCGTAAGTTTTAATAGTACGCTTAAATTCAATATGTAATCATAATAAGTCATCATCATCCTTGTCCACCACGCTGTTTTTGATCTTCAATAACAATTGTGTTTTCAACTTATCTAATTTGCTGAATTGGTCATACTCAAACACCTTGTCAGCAAACAATTGTTCATCACCTTGGTCGATGGCCTCTAAAATACTTCCAATTAATTTAAACTCACGGGTCGACTCGAATGAAGGCTCTTCTTGACAATAATGATCCAACTTCTTGTGTGCCTCAATCACATCATCCATGCACAACGTACACAAAATTGATTTGAAGAAGTAGTCCTTCAAATTCCACTTCGACAAAGCATTGCCTACCAGTTTCTTAATGATACCATCATAAAGTTCGACAGCTTTCTGGTAGTCACCAGATAAACTAGTCAAATCAGCACACTTCAAGTAGGCTTTATTGGATAAAGCTTCAGCATGATCAGTGTCAAAATAATCACCGGCTTGTTCATAACTCTTAGATGAATTGGCTATATCCCCTGTAGACTCGTAAAGTTCGGCCAAGTCCATTGTGAAGTTAGCAGCTCTTCTAAATTGCCCATTTTGTGTTAAGAAAATGTGGATTGCTTGACTCAATGAATCAATGGCTTCGGTGGGTGAAACTCCTTTGAAACACTTGTAGGCTTCAACCAAGTGGTTGGCCACATCGTTGTGATTGTTAAGTTGTTTCTGGATATTGGCAGCTCTTACAAACTGTTTACCAGCCAGGTCATAGTCCTTTATTAATCTGTATTGATTACCAGCCTGAACAAATAAGTCGCTGGCCTCTTCTAATCTATAGGATTGAGAAGATCCAGATATAAACAGTAAGAATCCCAGTTGGGGCTTTAACAACTTTTCTGCTTCTGCTATGGTTGCACGAGGGTCAGACATGGTGCTTGCGTAAAGTTCTAATCTTCCCTCCAGAATATCTTCGCGCATATATCGATGTTCGGTCGTGTATGGTACTTTTCTGAACGACAAGTGCATATAGAGCTAGAAGCTTGCTTCAACGTTGGTTCAAAGGGTTGTATTGAAGAAAGGTAGCATGTACTATGGGGTTGATTTCTGGAAGTTTTTCTAGGATTTTTTGAATCATATTTCAATCATCTTCTTTATTTAATTCTTGCGAATTTTACTAAATTCAATTTCTTGCAGCATTTATTTTTTGTGAAAGAAGAAGATGTCAAGGAATGGTTTTTAAGGCGAGTAACGTAGATTATATATAATTATAACAAGCATGACTGGATCATAAAATCTCTTCATCCCCGTATTTCTTGCTGTATAAACCCAACGCCTTTATAGAGAATAAGAATTTATAAGAAGGATATTCAATAGCACAGCTATGGTTAAAAACGCCTTCGATATCTTCAAATTTCCATTCACCGGTAGGCAACTGTCTTTTCATTATCAACTCGATACCCTTCTTGATAGGGGTCTTGTCAGGATAATCTGCTAACAATAATCCAATAACACTCCAAGCAGTCTGGACCACCAAGGATTGGTTACTATTGACATATGAATGAGTCTCACATGACTTCATTGATTCAGACCATCCACCATCTGACAATTGCTTGGAAATCAAGAATTCACATCCTTTCTTGACCACAGGATCATTCTCATAAGTTCTTCCTACAGAATTGAAAGCTTCAAGGGCAAACATACCAGCATAAGTGTAACATACACCCCAGGCTCCATACCAAGATCCATCTTCGTTCTGTGCTTTTCTGATATAATTGATAGCATCTTCAATAGCAAATTTAATAGGAATCTGCTTGTACTCAGGATAATATTTAGTGAAATATGTTAACCCCAAAACTGAAGAATCAGTACATTCAACGTACGGATATTCGACCATGATATTGTTGAACACTTCCGCCGGGTTCAAAGATTCCAACATTTTAGACCCTCTGATTTTTTCGTATGTTGAGAAGGAACCAAATTCATAGCTCCCTCTGTTCTGCAAAGTCAACAACACATTAATAGCGTCAAACAATCTGTCATCAGCTATTTCATCTTTAATATCTGAAAATGCCAGGTGGTTCTTTACCATTATAATTGCCTTTACAGCTTCTGCCGTGCAATCACTGACGGTATAACCCTGATCTTTTGTACTGAACCCCCAAGCTCCATTTCTCTTATCTCTGAAACTACCTTCAACACAGTCGTCAGTGAATTGGTTTCTGATTAAGTATCTGAATGCTTTTTTTATCATAGGCTGATGCTTAGGTATATCGGCCAAGCCAGCCATAAAACAATATTGGATCATGAAAGCAGCATCCCAGGTTTGGGTTCCATTGGTTCCCATAACTGTCATACCTTGGGGACCATGGAACAAGACTTCGTTCTTTCTGGAATTAAGCTTTTTGAAATTCTCTGATTCTTTACCTTCCACTGCAAATGTTACCACCATATCCAAAGCAAAACTAACCGGTGCAATTGTTAAATGCTTGGTATTTGCATAATCTTTCAAGATTAAGCCATAGACATGTTTACTGGCCAACGTTCTTATCCAATCGGGTCTGAATTTCTCGTACACTACCAACAACTTGTTGGCAAAATTTAAAATCTTAGAGTGTGGATAATATAAGTCCACACCACAAACATTGTTTCTGTGTTCGCTAAAATGGATATTCTCATATGGCAATTGGGATGGTAAATAAATTTCATTCCGAAGGTCTTGCAATAAAGGGGTCATCTCCATTCTCACTTTATTCATTATAATATATCCAAATGGTGCATATATGGCTCTTACATGCACCCACCATCTCCCAGGATGAGCTGGGAACCAATATGGTAACATCCACAACTCTGGAGGAGCCGGGTTTACTCCTTCATATTCGTATAACCCAAGAATAGAAAGCCATACTTTACCCCAATGTGGGTTCCCTAAAGCACCTCCCAACCGATGTAAAGTTTTTCTTGCCTTAACACAAACTGGGTGATTAGCATCTAATCCAAGTAATCGTAACACCAAATAGTTCATGGTAGTACCAAAACATGTTGACTTGTCTACCGAGTGCAAACCCCAGCCCCCATCCACTGGATGCGAAGCGTTAACTAAATAGCGAATCATTTCAATTCGATATGGTTCAGGAATCTCGGTACCTGAAAAATAGCATGCTACGACATATCCAATGGTCATAAACATTGGGCCCTTGTACTGGCAAGGAAGCAGGCCACAGTCGTCTTGAAGAAGTTGTAAGAATTCAGCTCCTTTAGAGGCTGCTTGAAGTGGAGTCTTAATGGCTTCTGGCTCTGGTGCTGGGAACAGGTCCTGATCTAGAAGGTAGCGAGCGAAAGTCGACTGAGGGTCTTTCTCTAGGTCATTTTTGTCAGGGTACTCCCACCATTCAGATCCGATATCATCCGTTCTAAGTCTCCAACGAGAGCTATCTGTCCTTGGGAGGCCAAGCCGGTCTGAATAATAAGTTCTTCCCATATTCTTAAGGTGTGCTCGATTGTTGCAAGTTCTAAACGACCAGGTCGCGCCCTGAACCAGTTTGGAAAACTGGCTGGCCGCGACAAACCGCGAGAGTAGCGTGTACACACCAACAAGTTTTTTTTACTCATCGAACAATCAGGAATCTCACCAGGACTGTAACAAACTCTTTCACTCCATAGAAAAGTATTCACTGGCATTCGTGGAAAGTATGGGAAAGAGAAGCTCTGTAACTAGTGGGCATGCAAAGCCACGTGTGTCGGCCGCTGCTGCCGTCGACACAGCTGGCTCCTCTTCCAAGCCTGTTCATGACTCCAGAGTACGGGCCCACCACGAACAGGAGCTGGAGCTGGAACAAGAGCTGGAGCTGGACGAAGAAAAACCACAAAAAATATCACATCCTCCTTCAAAGAAGCAGAGAAAGCAAATCTCTGCTCAAGAGATCCAAGTGGCCCGAGAAACTGCCGAATTATTCAAGTCCAATATCTTCAAGCTTCAAATCGATGAACTCATCAAGGAAGTAAAGTTGAAAGATGCTAATATCGACAAGATTGAAAAAGTGTTACATAAACTTCATGATCTTATAAGGATGATTCCCGCTACGGAGAACTTGACTCTCGAAGAGTTGGAGGCTCGGTTTACTTCTAAGAAGGTAGTCATCCCATTTCCGGATCCTAAACCTAGCAAAGTCAACTATAAGTTTTCGTATTTACCTCCTGAAGATGTGTCTTTAGTTGGATCGTTTGGATTGAAAACGGGTGTTTCCCAAAACCACGGAATGTCTGTAGATATGATTTTGACCATGCCTAAAGAATTGTTTCAACCGAAAGATTATTTGAATTACAGAGCTTTGTACAAAAGGGCTTTCTATTTGGCATACTTGACAGACCATTTGATTCCTTTGACTAAGAAGCACAACCTCCCAGTGAAAATATCCTACCAATACTTTAATGATGATATCTTGTATCCTTGTTTAACGATCGAGAGTATAAAAACTGATAACCCTGACGATTTATGTTTCCACAAGACAAAGTTTAGTATCAAATTAATTGTTGGTTTGCCGTTCGGAGTATTCGAAAATAAAAAATTGATGCCCAATAAGAACTGTATCAGAATCCAATCTGATTCTGAAGAATTGCCCCCGACTCCCTTGTACAATTCATCTATCTTGTCGCTGACAGCATTTGATTATTATTTGAAATACTTGTACACTTCTAAAAAGGCTACAGAAAGCTTCAAAGATGCTTGTAGATTGGGAAAGATCTGGTTGAACCAAAGGGGATTTAGTGGATCTGTCAACAAAGGAGGATTTGGCCATTTTGAATTCGCCGTGTTAATGAGTGCCTTACTACATGGTGGTGGTTTGAATGGGAACAAGATCTTGTTACATGGATTCTCTTCTTATCAATTATTCAAAGGTACTATCAAGTACTTGGCTACAATGGACCTTTCTTCAGGCTATTTATCGTTTTCCAGTTTAATTGGGGAGAACATTGCATCTAAATTCAACCCTAATGAGGGATTCAATGTTCCTACCATCTTTGACAAAAATTTGAAGTTGAACATATTGTGGAAGATGACTAGTTATTCATATAACCTATTGAAGCACGATGCTATCCAAACGTTGGAATTACTTAATGATGTGGTGAAAGACAGATTCGATCCCATTTTGTTGCACAACTCAAACCATGATCAATTAAGATACGACATGTTGTTGAATATTACTATTCCAGATGATTTGATAGAACAGTTTGGTCCCTTGGAAAAGATTACGTTCTTAACATTCGAGAACTTTATAATGAACAAGCTTTATGTTATCTTAAAAATGGCTCTTGGAGATAGGGCTACTCAAGTGGTTGTGAAGCTTGAAAAGTTTCAAAACGTCTTTGCCATCCACAAAAGAAAAATAAACTCTCAGACAAACAATTTCATTATAGGGCTTATGTTCAACCCAGATGAATGCGAAAAGTTAGTCACTAAGGGTCCAGATAATGATGATCATGAGGAAGAAGTCATCAAATTCAGAAACTTTTGGGGTGCAAAAGCTTCTTTGAGAAGATTTAAGAATGGTACTATCCAAAACTGTGTTGTTTGGCTGATCAAGGAATCTGAACCTGTTACTTTATCCATAATCAAGTATTCTTTGGATCACCATTTGTACAAAGATATTTCCTCCAACATTTCCACCGAATTGCCAGCATTTAATAAGAAACTTCCTATACCATTATTACCGTCTGGTTCTAATCAACCTGTTATCTCAACCAGCAGCTTTGCCAATTTGAAAACTTCTTTCGAATCTTTAACTAGAGCCATTTCCAAATTATCGTTGCCTTTGAGTGTCAAGTCAATGTTTCCCGCTTCATCGAGTTTAAGATATACTTCCACTTTGCAGCCAGTTCCCTTCGCTGTCAGTAATCCTGACTTTTGGAATGAAGTGATTTTGCAGTTCGAATCTTCAGCAAAGTGGCCAGATGAATTATTTGCATTAGAAAAAGTCAAGTCAGCTTTCTTGTTGAAGACTTTGGACGAGCTTCACAAGGAAACAGCATACAAAGCCTTCATAACCCAAGATGACACTATTCCCTTCAATAGTCATATAACTATATTAAGGGTTTTAACCCCTGAAGGGTTTGGATTCAAAATCAGAGTTTTGACCGAAAGAGATGAGACAATGTATTTAAGAGCTGTGAGTAACGCTGACAAGCAAAAAGCCAGGGCCCAAGATATTTATCTTAAATTCAACCAAAAGTACATTGGTGTGGTGAAGCATTCAAGAACCGTTAGTACTTTATCCCATCATTTCCCCTTTTATTCCCCAACAGTAAGATTATTCAAGATATGGTTGGACTCCCATTTACTATTGAGCCACTTCAGCGAGGAATTGGTGGAGTTGATTGCGCTCAAGCCGTTTGTTGACCCAGCTCCATATTCAGTACCTCACTCTGTTGAGAACGGGTTCTTAAGGATTTTAGAGTTCTTAGCCAGTTGGAATTGGAAGGATACTTCATTGATTCTTGATCTTGTGAAAAATGACGTTGGGGGAGATTCTTACAACGAATTAGACAGTGAAACCTTCAACAAATTGTCCGACAAGTTAACTATTCAAACTCAGCAGATGATTGAAGATAATTTCACAAAGATAAGAAAAAACGATCCAACAGGAATCAAGACCCAATTTTTTATTGGATCTAAAGATGACCCATCAGGAATCTTATGGTCCAATGAATTGACTCTTCCGATTGCCAGTAGATTGACGGCTTTGGCAAGATCTGCAACTGAAATTATCAGATCATCTGGTGTCAATGAGATTAATCTCAATTTATTGTTTGTACCGGTGTTGCAAGATTACGATTTCATCATCGATATCAAGTCTCATAAGTTATCAACTTCTGCCGGGGTGTTACCTTCCAACAGCTTCAAGAATTTGATTAACAACCAAACATTTTTCCCGGATGATATTGCTTCCAAATACGATTTGACCCAAGCTTATATTGATGATTTAAACAGGAAGTTTGGTAATGTGATTATATTTTCTTCCCACAGCTACAGTTTTTTGAACAATGATGGGCACAATATCATCACTGGTCTTTTTGTCCCTGCTACTTTAACTAAGAAGAAGTTCAGAGTCAACTTTGGTATCAACCTCAAACCTGTTCAAGATTCTAAAGACAAAGACACAGAAGAAGTGATCATCAACAAAGAAAGCATTCTCGATCAAATTCGTCTTTTGGGAGGTGATCTCATTAGTGAGGTGAAAATTAAAGGCTGAGGACCACCTTATACCTGCCTTGTGTACTATACCACTGGTAATATAGACCTTGTAGTTATTTATTTATACTGTTTATATAACTTTAATCATAGAAACCGCGATTTTAAATCTTTAACAAAAAGGTCCAACTTTCTTCGTACACTTTTTCCAAGCATCTAAACTGGCTTTCAATAATCACCATAAAGGGTTTGATAACTCATTGAAACATTAGCATTAATCAATATGGAAGAAATGAAGGAAATTGAGCACATAATACGAGATTATCAACAAGAGCGATATCCTTCGCCTGAAGAGACCCGAAAGAATAATGCCACCATATTATATAAACGAAAGAAGTTCTTTCTTGGAGAGTTACGACATTCATTTAGATTCATGGGATTCCTATTGATTGTGATTGTTTACTTGCGAGATTTGTCTACCACCGGCTTGGTTCTAAGAGGGTTTTCCCAGTACACTTTATCCAATCCATACCCATCATTGCATTTATACACAGAGGAATCTAAAAAGGGTTTGAGTAAGTTTTTACTTCTAACGGTGATAGTGTTGAATGGGTTCTATACACTTATCCACTTGGTGTTTGGTGCTTATTCTTCACCACCGCATGGGGACAAACATTTTTTACATGGAAGTCTGACAATTGAGTTCATAGGAGAAAGAGTACCATTTGGTAGATTGGAGTTGCTTATTCTCGACGTAATGATATTCTTTTTTCAAGTGGTCCTCCATAACTTAATGTGCTATGTTCAAGATTTTGAGATTCTACTGGTGACAGTCCCTCATGATTCCATCTCCAATCCCACACAAGATATTCATCTGGAATGGAAGGTGCACAACGACTGCGACGGATACAATGGCGATGTGGTACTTTTGTGCCTTGATATTATCAGCAATATCAAGGTGATCTTGAGTTACCGTGGTGGGTTTACGCTTTCTCCTCAGGAAGAAGAAAGAGCCGGCCAGCCACGCCCTGTTGCTGAGATTCCATACCCTATTCCCGGTTCCTTTTCATAAAAGCACTTGTCTCTTTCCTTACCAATATACGAGATCTTATGAAAGGTTTAACGGTATGTACACGCTCTAACCATGCTAATTGCGATGAGAAATTTTCGAGTGTCAAAATTTCTGCTCATCTCTGTACTATAGCTATAAAATGGCAGATAACAATATTGTGGGAATTGAGTACAACAGAGTTACCAACACAACATCCACAGACTTCCCTGGGCACTCTTCCAACGAAGATCAATCATGGGATATTGAGAAAATCAAGAACAGCCTCGAAGTGAAGATCAGTAAGCTAGATGAGAGAGAGTCTAACTTTGATTTAGTTCATATTGACACATCTATTGCTAACGCTTTACGGAGAATAATGATCTCAGAAGTTCCTTCTGTTGCTGCTGAAACCATATATGTGTTCAACAACACCTCCGTGATTCAAGACGAGGTTTTGGCTCATAGAATCGGGCTCATTCCTTTAAAAGCAGATCCTGACTTGTTGACATGGGTTGACACGGCTCAGGACGAAAAGTCCAAATATACCGATGAAAACACCATCGTTTTGACATTGGATGTTACATGTACACACAACCCTAATGCCCCTAAAGGTTCCACTAATCCCAAAGAGTTGTACAGAAATTCGCATGTGTACGCCAAAGACTTGAAGTTTGAACCCCAAGGAAAGCAAGTGGAATTGTTCAAAGGAAATCCGGTAACGGCAGCAGATCCTAATATCTTAATTGCCAAGTTAAGGCCAGGTCAAGAGATTTCCTTAAGAGCTCATTGTATATTGGGAGTTGGTAGTGATCATGCTAAGTTTTCTCCAGTTGCAACTGCCTCATACAGATTGATGCCAGTAATTGATATCAAACAACCAATTTCTGGCGAACAAGCCAAGAGATTCCAAAGATGTTTTCCTCCTGGAGTTGTAGATATTGACAGTAAAGGTGAAGCTTATGTGAAAGATGCAAGAAGAGATACTGTTTCAAGAGAAGTATTGAGACATGAAGAATTTGATGGGAAAGTCAAATTAGGAAGAAAAAGAGACCATTTCATCTTCAATATCGAATCCACAGGCGGAATGCCACCTGAAGAAATATTCATCAAATCGATCCGTCTTTTAAAGAGTAAAGCTGATTATTTGAGAAACTGTCCAATTGGCCAGTAAATGGGAGGAAGTGATATTACAAGCTATCAAGCTTTATGTACATTAATGCATAACTACACTAATTGTTTTCTTGATCCCTTAAAGAACAATTGCACAACTGTAATTTGTAAACCAGCCATACCAACCATCAACAACACTTCGAAAATAGAAAAGTAGTAGATTCTAGATTCAGTACTCTTAACAGTGGCTTGGTTTCTGTTGTTTCTGGTCTTGTAGTATTGAATGGCTCTTAACAATTCATCCAATTTTTGGTCGATTTTGTCAACAGTCTTGCCCATGTTTTCAATATGAGCCTTTGGTTTGGCATTTGGTTGGTCTGGCATGTTGGCCTTGAAGTCATTTTTATCATTTTCCACCTTAATCTCAAAGTCAATCACCTTTTCAGCGTAAGTAGACATGCTATTGGAGAAACACAATTCGTACTCTCCGGCAATATCGGCATTGATTATGAAATCTCCTTGTCTCTGCTTGTCTTCGGTAACGATCACTTCACCTCTTGGGTTCTTTATAGTGTAGTCAACATCAAAGGCACCTCCACTTTGAACAGCAAAGTAATAACTGATAGATGTCCTTGGCTGGTCGGTAAACACACCAAAGCACACATTTTCATGGGCCCCCAAAATGAATGTCAATGCGGCTTGGGATACCAGGCACAAGGCGCACACCATAAGTAACAAAGAAAATCTCATAGTGTGTTGCTGAGTTTTATTGTGATCCCAAATGTTTTGAGAGCGCATTCAAGACGTGTCGAGAAAATTTTCAAAATGACGTCGTGCGCTAATCCGTTTATTTACAAGGTTACTTAAGGTTAGACAGGGCTAGTGTCGATATGTAAAAGAGGGCATTGACTTATGCCAAATTAACAAGTTTTCCAACACGGTCAAATCCAATCGCTTTATCTTTCTTTCTGTCTCTACGACTGGCACCATACCGGTAACCAACAGATCCAGATTGAGCATGAGAGAATCTAAATGCAGTTCTATCTCCTTCCTTTTGCTTTCCAACCAAAACTTTATTCAAAACCACAGAGTTGTTTTGTTGGGAATGATCTTGGATTTGTGTCAACTTGGTTAAGGTTTCACTGGCAGGTTCCAATCCGAAAATGTCTGCTGCATCAACTGGACCAAAAGGTTCTGATTCTGAGATCGTTAAAAATCTCTGGTGTAAAGTTCTTGATGGAGTGGGGATTTCTGTCAAGTTTTCCGCCTGCAATGGAGGATTGAATAATGGGAACATCTTGTACATGGTGGTAGAGAACTGCTTCAAATCAGTTGTTATTTTGTTCTAAAGCTTGTTAGTATTATCAAACAGGAAAGGTCAATTCGGTGTAGATGTTCAGTAGAAATTGTTAACCATGGGTTTTGTCTTCAAGACTAATCGAAAAATAATAGTCTCATCATTATAATACCACACACCGAATCATAATTTGGTTTATACATACGTTCTCTTCCCAGCTTCTTTCAATTTCGTAAAGCTTTATAATGGCTTCAACTCTTGCCAATTTAATCCCGTATTTCTGAGCTATTTCTTGTGTCTTTAGTCCTCTTACATTAGCATCCTCATATACCGTCAACTTCAATTCTTCGGAAATGATGGGGGCTGTCGTACATTGCAAGTTTTGAGGAAAAGGGTGTAATGCAGGATCTCTTCCTTTGGAACCGAAGGATCTCGAGGTGGGTTGATTTCCATCTTCCACACTCTGTCCGTCCTGTACAATATATCTGGGCTTGTGGTTCTGTGGAGGATAATAATACTTGTTCCTGTAGTATTCACCTCTTATGTTCTTAGGCCCAAGCCATCCTTTCAAAGCTCTTTGGAAGTAACTAGAATGGTCTTTTTTGCCAGTCTGGGGAGGTACAACTGGTCTGTAGGCTTCTGGGTACGCCAACCGCCTCTTCAACGTCCGCAAGTGCTGTAACTGTCCACAGCGTACAACTGGATGAGATGATCGGCCTAGCACTGGATTATGGCTAAACATGTTAGTGTGGAAGATTTATAAACGACTTTGAAGATTAGTGAGTGAGAAAAATTTTCAGGCGCGACATTTGCCTGACACCGGTTCACACGACATGGGCTTGAAAGTCGCGTCGCGAGAAGTGTTTATGTTTAGTTATAGGTAATTTCATAGCACTGTTACAACAAAGCCATTAAGCTGGGGAGAACCTTTAGGGCCTTATAATCATGACTAACTTGTACTCGACGTTCCAGAAGCTCAAAGAACAGGTTTCTCCAATCGCTGTAGGACATGAAGATAACGCGTTGGCGTCTAATCACAGCCAGCTCAAGAGGCTTTACACCAGTGAAGATGATCCTTTCAACGATAAAAAATTTCAAAAAGATACTTCCAGATCAGCACTCACTCCCAATAATGATATCCAGAACAAACCACCAGGGTCTCCGTTTATTCGTAATGATAATCTCCTGAACGAAATGAGAAAATCTGCTGAACCACCAGTCGTTAATCACTACGACCACCAACAACATATTCAAGTTGAACGGCAAAATGTTGAAGAAATCAAGAAAGTCAGCGAGCAACCCAAGAAGGGACACAAGGGAAAACATGATGACTTGGAGGGAGAAGATGATGTTCCATTAAACGTGTTGGAAGAAATGAACAAGTTGGAGGAATGTTTCCCTGTTCTTTCATCCAACTATAGACTAATTGATAAGATTGGAGAGGGAACTTTCTCCACGGTGTACAAGGCAGAAGCTTTAAATGGGACTGTGAGATTATCCTCAGATATATGGAAGTCACCACCATTGAAGAAACTGAAGAGCAACGATTCGAAAGCAAAACTAAAAACCAAGAACCCAGTGGTAGCCTTGAAGCAAATCTACGTTACCTCATCTCCTAATAGAATTTATAATGAGTTGAACTTGTTATACATATTAACTGGGAACAGTCATATAGCACCTCTCTTGGATGTGTTGCGATTTCAAGACCAAGTGGTGGCCATATTACCTTATTACCCTCATGCTGACTTTCGTGACTTTTACCGTGACTTACCAGTTAAAGGAATCAAAAAGTACTTATGGGAGTTGTTCCAAGGGTTGGAATTTGTTCACAATAAAGGAGTTATTCATAGGGACTTGAAACCAACCAATTTCTTATATGATCCTTTTAAAGGTAAAGGTGTATTAGTTGATTTTGGTTTGGCAGAAAAAGTACAGTCATCATCTATTCAACCTACTTCTAATCCTTGTCCTTGTAACTCAAAGGACAACAGTAAGGTTCCAAAAAACAGGCATAACAAACGACTCAATATCAAAGCAGCCTATCCTAAACAAGATCAACGTCCTCCAAGAAGGGCAAACAGAGCAGGAACAAGAGGATTCAGAGCTCCCGAAGTGTTGTTCAAATGTACCCATCAAAATACCAAGATCGATATTTGGTCAGCTGGTATCATAGGTTTATCTTTACTTTCCAGAAAGTTCCCTTTGTTTAACTCCCCGGATGACACTGATGCATTAGTGGAAATGGCTATTGTTTTTGGGTTGGATAAGTTACAGAAATGTAGCGAATTGCATGGATGTGGGCTTGAAATCAACTTGCCCTCCAATATCTATACCTCCAATGGTAACATTTTAAAACTCATAGCTGATTCTTTGATGCATGAGATTGAGCAAGATGCTTTACCTCATGACAGTGTCATCTACGACACTATCAAAGTATTAAACAAAACTTGTGACGGGTTCAATCATTCAATCGAAAAATTCAAAGACTCTTTAGTTAACGAAGAAAGAGAATTGTACGAGAAATACCAAGACCACAAAAACCTTTACCACCTTTTACTTGGATGTTTCCATATGGATCCTAGTAAGAGGTTTTCAGCCAAAGAAGTATTAGAGTTGCCATTCTTTTACGAATTATCAGCTAATGATAATGATGATGATGATGTTATACTTTGAATCAAATTCATACCAAAAAAGAATATCCTTACTATTATTATACACCCAAATATAATATACAAACATAAAACAAACAGAGCTCTCTCTTCAATAGTCTAATTCATTGTCAGACAGATACCGTCTCTTTGAACCCCTATTATTATCATATTCATTGTCATTATTAGTATCGTCATTAACATCATTCAGACTGCTAATAGAAATTAACTTCTCCTGCTTATTCCATTTCCTATTGAGTTTTGTAATCAACTGATCTTTCTGGGTCAATGTGTGGAATATCGGAAGCTTTTTGAAGTCACCTTTCAAGTCTTCTTTCAACAAACCTTCAATATTTTCAGGAACTTCTTTGTTCCCGGGAAATCTTGATCCAAAATCAAGTTTATTATTCAATAGCTCAAGTCTCACATCCTTGGAGAAAATTAAGTTCCTTTTCAAATTGCTGAATGGCTGTTTAAGAGTCGACTTCTTTTTGAAGTTCTCTCGGTTCTGCTCAATGGTAGTTTTGGGGATATTTTCATTAACTGTTAACGACATTGGTGAAGGAGTAGAATCCACTATACTTGTAACTCCACTTGACTTTGAATCAAGAGTGGGTTTGGGCTTATGCAAATCTTTGAATTTGAACCGGTAGTCTTTTTTGACTATTAGTTTTTCAGTCTTTCTTGTGGAAACAATACCAGCAGGATTTCCCGTACTAGATGTGGAACTGGAACGAGACTTGGAGTTCACGTGAAGGGGTTTTATTACCCGAGTATCTTCATCATCATCGGAAAAGAGAATGGCCGAGTTGGACTTCAACTTGGATGAGTTGAGCAAAAGTCGTTCTTTAAGTAGTAGCGAGTTTGTGGGGGTGGTTACGGGCGGTTGTCCCGACATTGATACCAAGCTGGTGGTGCTATTGTTTCTGGTACTGGACTTGAAAGCTTGATCATCTATAGAAACAATCGAGTTTCGAGGGCTTTCTAAGCTAGCAATAGATAAGCTTCTGGTGTTATAAGAATGATTCGAACCGTTCGAGTTGGTAGACGAGGACCGAGGCCGATTGGCCAACCCTCCAAGGAGGGATGGTCTGATCACATGAGGACTTGTTGACCCTGATACGGGATCTGTGGAGCTGGAGGGGCTTTTGTGGTCTTCAAAGACCTCCGTTCCGGATTGCATTATGGGGTAGCCGGGCTTGGGGACAAGTGGACAGGAGGAGGAAGGGGGACGAGGGCTCTTTTTTGCAGAACGAAGCCGGATGGGATCCAGATGAGTTAACTAGATGTATGCAGATGGGCCTTGAACGTAGCAAGTCTACTCAGTAATGAGTTGATGAAAAATGCTATGTCCCGAAAGGTGCTTTTAAGTAGAAAAATTGTAAATATCTGCTGCGCATCCACTGCGATTTTGTTGCTGAGATGAGCTGCAAGTAGTCGCATCTGCGCTCCTTATCGTGAAAGGGTCCGACACTTTTAATTGATAATAGGAAGAGTTTGAAAAAGTAGAAGAAACTGAATGAAGAGGATAATGTTTACACTTAATATCTCTTCTATTCTTTTACATCAGCCGAATAAAAATGTGACCATATACCCCAAGAAACGGACATGGTCACGTGAGCATATTCTCGCTTATGCGAGGATGCCGCGTCCGTACGTTAGATAAAACGTATCCATTATCCAGCGTACTGCATTCACCAGTCGGTTGGCAAATCGTTCGGGGCCATGATCTACACTATTAATTTGTGCATATTATTGGGAGTAAAACGGTTGCGAATCGCCGATCCTCGAATGCAGTTATCAGATGTATGGCTTAGATAACGTCTTCCCCACGTATAGAATGAGTAACCCTGAAGCCAACAAATGTATGACGTGTAGAGGTACCACGATATTCAAGCAGTAGCTACCACTGAAACTCTCGTGGTCTGTGTGTTTAACTTTTCTGGTATACTCGGTTTATCACCTTGTGAATGGTTCTCAGATCTGGAGCTCGAGATCTCAGCGAAATGGCAAGGAAATTTCGCACGCCAAACTGTTCTAAGAGTACCACTAGGTATTATATTTGCAAGGCATGGACTACACGTTCGACGAAATTCCCAAGCCCTCGCTGTTTATTGGCTGGGATATCTTCAAGTAGGCTTATGGCTGTGCAACACCAGCAAAAAGAGTGAGGGAGTCCAGAGAAGGGTAGAAGTGACAGACTGGTACACTAATGGAAAAGAAGGTTGTTGTATGGTGTTATGGGTCGGAACTAGATGGCGGGAGTTCACATCCATGCTGGTAATGGAAAACACACACCAATTGTGCCAATTCTATCAATGTGTATCTGGACCATAGCCTTGATGTGTTTGGTACACGCACTCAACAACTGACGCAGTCGCACAACTGTGCCTTCATAAATATCCTTTTTATGCCTCACTTGTATTTTTCTACATAGATAACTATGAACCAAGATATGGAAAAGACACCACACACTGATTCAAGTGAAGAACCAGCTACCCCTGTGAGCATGGAAACTCCTCTCCCACCTCACTATGAACGTGAACATTTTTTTGATCACTGTGAAGAAGGCCCTCGTATGCGTGGCCACAAGGACAGAAGATTCAAGGATAGAAAGAGAATGTTAGCTGGTTTCAAGTTTATGGCCTTGTTGATTATTGGTCTTACAGCCTTTGGCTCTTACAACTACGGTAAGAACCAGGGGTTGATGGAAGCCTACCAAATGAGAGGAATGCCTCCACGTGAACACTTCCGGGGCGAAGGATTCCACCCAGAAGGATTCCACCCAGAAGGATTCCACCCAGAAGGATTCCACCCAGAAGGATTCCACCCAGAAGGTTTCCACCCAGAAGGTTTCCCACCCAGACACCCAGAAGGATCTCACCAAGACGGATTCCACCCAGTAGGATCACCTCCTGTAGGACATATGGACTGGGAACACAAGAATTGGAAGCCTCACCATGGAGAAGGTCACAGTGATGACATGCACCTCAAGGGTGCTATTAACTTCGAAAGTTTCAGGAAAGCCAGAGATGCTGTCAAGAAAACTGTCGAAGCCGCTGAAGCCAAAGGAATTGATTACCGGAAGACTGAAGAATACTGGAACGCTAAGAAGGCTTTGGCCGAGGTGGTCGACAAGCACTTTGAAGAATTAGGTTCGAAGCTCGAAGACAACAATGCGTATTGGGAAGCCAAGACGGCTGCTAGGGAAACCAGGATGGCTGTCAAGGAAGCCAGGAAGGCTGTCACGGAAGCCAGGAATGCTGCTGATGCTGCACATATCCCCTTCTGGAAGAGTGATCAATTCTGGGAAGCCAAGAAGGCCTTATACCAGATTCAAGATGAACTCAACGTAGATAACAAGATATTTCGCTCCTTGTCCCTCCATCAAGAAGAAATACCCCCATTGGAAGAAATGGGCAAACATTTCAGAAATATGCATCACGACGAACACGACGAACACGACGAACACGATGAACACAATGAACATGATGTCAAAGAAGAAGGTTTCTTTCTGAGTTACTTATGGTTCTTGATGCCAAAGCCTGATAAGCCATTCCACCACAAGGGTGGAGAGATGATCCCAAAGAAAGGTTGTAGTGAAGGCAAAGACAAATTTACCAAGATCAAATTTCACAAGGAGTCCAAGGGTAAGCACCACGAGGAACTTAGTGATACTAAAAAGCACTTGTAAATCAAGTAGCAATCATGGCCTTGAGTTGATAGGGTTTGGTTCTTTTGATCTGAATTGATGCAATGCGATATGTTTGGTTTTATACAGTTATATATGGTTTTATTTGATGTGAATACAGAGTGTTTAAGAAGTGTAGATCCGGAGTAGTTTTAGAAAGGCTATACAAATCATATAAACCGACACATACTTTTACTTGGGGTGACCCGTAAAATTGTCCTGTGATGGTTCTGGTGTCCTGTTATTAAATTATAACCCAATTTTCGTCATCTCGTTACATCTGTCAAACACTCCTCTGGCCCGTATATACGGATCCAATTCAGTATACAATCTGGCCACCCGCTTTTGGAGTTCAAGCCTTTGTACAAGATGATCTTGAGATTCCTGTCTAGTTTCAGCGGTGATCCAATTGGCCGTCGACTCTACCCACAGCAAGAGACATGCAAAGTACTCTTCAAGATATTCTTCGTATTGAGTGTCCACCGGTTTTGGAAGTGAGTTCTCTTTAGTAGGCTCTACGTACTCGGGCCGATACCTATCAGTCCCTCCCAACAGTTCAGGAATATGTTTGTCATTTATGAACATTGTCAATTGTTCATAAGTATTGGTGAAATGAATTTTGGTGGCCACCAACGGGTCAACCCACCCTTTGATGATCTTCCACACGGTGGAAAAGATCCAAGGAGCTTTGTGGATCAAAACTGCTCCCAAATACTCCGGATAGTTGGCTTCAAACGCTGCCGTTAAGAAACGAACCGCATGCAAATCAACATTTGCCAATGAAAAGCCCGTCATGTCAAACAAAATACTACCCTTATTAACACCGTGACTTTCTCTGAACCCAAGACGGGCCCATTCGATGAGCAAACAGATAATCCTCTCGAAGTCGGCATCAGAACAATCATGCCGAAAGTGTTTTGCGACCTTAACAACTATGAGTGGCCTACCAAATACATCGTAGCCTCGGATGTAAATCTTGTTGAGCCTAAAGGTGGCGCCTAGTGGAGACTTGGGATCTGCCAACACCGGCACCGCATCGCCATCCCAGAGATACAGTTCCACTGGGTGGACATTTTTTCGCCAATTGAGACAACTAAGTGCCATTTGTACAGATTTATCAGCGTTCAACAGGCGTGCAACAATGTACCGCAAAAGGGCCGTGTCCAAATAGTCATTCCTGGAACACGCGAGAAACGAGTACTGTAAGTCCCAGATATTATAGTTGTGAAATGCCAGATGAGTTTGGGACCCGGTAGGTATGAACTTGGTAACCTCGGCATCTGTAATAGCAGGCTCAAACGATTGTGACTTCTTCCCCAACACGAGTTTTTGGCAGATGTTTAGGCCCACGGAGATAGTCTGCTCAGAGATATCTGGGTCGGCGAGTTTACGCGGAGTGTAGCTGGCTTCTACCCTTGAATCTACATACGGAAATTGGTCAATATCTTTGATGGATGAAAGTTTGACATCGAATCCCAACCCATGTAGAATGATTGCCAGAACCTTCTTGAGGGAAATTTCGAGTTCAGGTTCCAAGGGCCAGCCCACATAATCCTTGAAATGTGCCAGTTTTGTTCCCATCGTGTTGAATGATGGGAGAAAGGAAGTTAAACCAGGAACTTTTGAGATCGAGGAAAACGACTTTTTGTTGAGATACTATTTGAGTTTGGAGTCTTGCCACAGCGACCGAAGAGGGATTGTTGTAGACAATATGAAGATGGTGATATGACACTGACAGTCAATGATTTCTTATAGAACCCGCAGTACTATACATTTTTTTGGGCGACGGATTGCCATTCTAACCCCTCTACCACTCAGAAAATGTGGGGCATTTTTGGCTGCGAATTAGCCTCGAACTGGAAACAAAATAGAGAGACGTAGATGAACCATTATAATTATTAACATCAGCAACCGGCCCCGGTCCATACGAGAAGTGCTGTCACTTATTCTACTGACATGGAGTTATGTCAATTACATGAAGGGTGATCTTACCAAATGATGGGGAGTGAGCCTTGTCGACCATGATCAGACCAGTCAAATGCCCGAGAACAACCACAATCACATTTGAGGCGTCTACTGGGATGATATTTTGCACACTGATGACCACAATATTGATGAACTCTAGCTGCCACCATTCCGGTGCTCTTTTATATCGATTTTTAGTTTCAACCTCACTATTAGTGTAACTAATGACCCCCGGTGTAACACCAATGATTACACACCTCAACACCCATCTCTCCACCTGAAATTCATACTCGAATAAGGATGATATCAACCTTTTGGAGCCAAATGTTCAATCATCGTGCCCAGTGATGGTAGTACCTTTTTCGCAAATAGCTAATTAGTGGTCGCTTGTTTCTTCGCCAATAGCTATGTGCTATCACTTCTTCTTCTTCAGCATGAACATGTATCTCCATGGAGGCCTACCTGGATCTCCCTCACGTTTAATGCAAACTATTCGGTTGGATGATGATGCTGATGCTGTTGTTTTTTCCCCACTTCTTTTGGTTTCAGAGAGGGTAGGCAACTGTGAAAAATCCCCAACAGAAAGCCTAAGGTGGCGATTATAACATTGAAACACCTTCAGAAATTAATTCAATAATTGATACAAACATAGTCCCCAGTTGCTTATTTTAGTGTCCTGGATGTAATGCATTGGCTGCACAAATATCATTTAACAGTTAAAATCTGCACCTTGGGTAAAAATCACGCAGTCAGTAAGGGTGGAGATGGTAGCAGATGCGCAAGTGCCAGTGTCCATACTCGTGGCCCCGCTCCTAATGTGCCGCTGATAACTATTATAATTCTGGAGTCGATGTTGGGGCCTGACGGTAAGATGTCGCATTGCCTTGGCCCCAAAGATGCAAAAAAAGTCGTGGGGAGACCTTGCTCTCCACGCCAAAAACTCCGACGTTTTTCACATGATCTTTGCCAGGCCCCAGGTTTCAATCATATAAAGTCCACCCATATCCCTCTTGATCCCACTCATTCATTAGTTTACAAATGCTTTCAGATAACTTCAAAAGCAGAGTGTCACAATTGACGTGGGAGGGTGTACTCTTGTATGCCATTGGGGTATTGACGCTTTATTTCACTTACAGGTTTATTAGAAAGACCACTCTAAAGTATAAGTTCGGAGTTACAGAGGCAAGACTTCTTCCTAAATCTTATCCGTTTTTCAGCAGAAACCCTTATACGTTTTTGTGCTTGAAGCGGGATGGACTTGTTCTCGCTGAGGTGTTGAAGTTCATGAGATTATATGGACATACCTGGAAGGCTAATCTTGGACACCAAATTGTGGTGACAGCAGACCCCGAAAACATCAAGTCGATCTTGGCCACCCAGTTCAATGACTTTGTGATGGGTTTGCGGCTTTCCCAGTTCCGTCCACTCTTGGGTGAAGGTGTTTTCACATTGGATGGACATGGTTGGAAGCAAAGCAGAGCTATGTTGAGACCCAATTTCTCCAGAGAAAAGGTTGCCCATACCCAGTCGTTGGAGTTTCACGTCCAGAATCTTTCCAAACACATTCGCAAACACAATGGCCAGCCCTTTGACATCCAAGAGTACTTTTTCCGTTACACGGTGGATACTTCTACCGAGTTTTTGTTTGGTCACTCGTTGTATGGGTTGATGGATGAGACCATTGGAGAAACTCCTCCGGAGGGAAGCTTTAGAGGTTCAGGAAACTTCTATGAGAGTTTCAACATCTCCCAGGAAATATGTGCATCTCGTGCTTGGGCACAGAATTTGTATTATTTTGTGAACCCTAGGAACTTTAAGGCCAATAACAAGATTGTGCACGAGTTTGCCGATTTTTACATCAGCAAAGCTTTGCAGTATGATGACAATGTTTTGCAAGATAAAAGTAAGGAAGGGTACATTTTCTTGTATGAGTTGGTGAAAGAAACCCGGAATCCAACCGTTTTGAGAGACCAATTGTTGAATATTATGATTGCTGGAAGAGATACTACTGCTGGTTTATTGTCAATGTTTTTCTTTGAAATGTCCCGGAACCCTGATATCTTTGCCAAATTGAAGGAAGAAATTTACCGGGAGTTTGGCACATATGACATGTGTGACCCAGAGGATATTACTTTTGAGAGCTTGAAAAAGAGTGAATACTTGAAATGGTGCATCAACGAAACGTTAAGAATGTATCCAAATGTGCCTTTGAATTTCCGGTGTGCCAAGCGTGATACCACCTTACCTCGTGGAGGTGGTAAAGACTTACAGCAACCAATCTTGATTGAGAAGGGAACAGTGGTGGCCTACATTATCTCTGCCACCCACAGAGACCCTCAATACTATGGCAAAGATTCAGAAGTCTTCCGTCCGGAAAGATGGGGTGATAAAGACTTGAAGCCTGGTTGGGCCTTCTTGCCTTTCAACGGTGGTCCACGTATCTGTCTTGGTCAACAGTTTGCTTTAACTGAAGCCAGTTATACGATTGTGAGATTATTGCAGATGTTCCCCAATCTTGTCAATGAAGACAAAAGCAAACAGTATCCACCACGTATTCATGCTCAGTTGACTCTTAGTTTGACTGACGGGGCTCACGTGAGAATGTTTTAGGAGTTAAGGTTTATAGGTTAATTGGTACAATACTACAGCAAATTGCGGTTGATATCTATAAGATGGAGAAAATATTTAGAGATGTATATTAATTTATTTTCCAGGGATTATAGGAGATATAGTTTGAGTTCGAATAAGCAATAAAAGATACTGTAAATATATTCAACATAACCAATACATAATCCAGTATGTAACATTTCCCAGCATCACAACTTCGATCTTGGGTCAGCAGCCCTCAAGATCTTCTCAAGTGAAACCGCTTTCATCAAATTACCTTTGATTTTCAACTTTCCACTCATGTACAACTTCTGAGGATTGGCTTCGTTGTTAACAAGCTTGAGGAAATCCTTGTCGGCCATGAACAAAGCCACATCGGCCTTTGGGGGAGTTCCATCTATCTTTCTTACTTCTCCAGTGTTTTTAAACTCAAAAAACCATGATTTGGTCTCTTTGTCCTTATTCTTCAACGTTAAGATAACGTTTGCCTTGGCTTGTTTGATGGATTTAGCTCTCAATTTTTCATCATCATCCAAAACGCTCTTCATAAAGTCGAGCAATTCGGTTCCTTCGAATCCTGGTTCACTAAGGCTTGACATAGTAAATGTTGTGTAGAAATGAGCCTGGCTCTGGGGTATATTTATAGTGGTTTCTCCAAGCGCGATATTTGTGTGGGGTTCTGTGCAACTGGTTTTTCACCTTCATGGGACCATGTGAATTTTTTGGAGAGCTCAAGTATTTGCACCCAAATTGTCCTGATTAGGCTGGGAAAGGCCAACAGAATCGAGCTTTAGGAATCAAAAATAGGTTATACGACACTACAATGCTAGATTTTGGGACGAGATGTGATCATGTGAAAATCACAGAAACCTGCAAAAACAATTATCCATGAACCCAAAGCCAGATCAATACCGTTTAGAATATATTATAGAAATTCTTATACCAGTGACATGCTGACTGTAATGTTGGGATCCAATTGCTGCACATTCTAATGATCTGTGACATTCGCACCCTGTGTTGGTTTTGGAGACTCGTAAAAGTTGATGTATGATGCGCCATCAGCAGTCAGCTCTTCACATGAACTTCTTCCATTGAGTAATGATGTCGTTTACAGGTTATCGAAATGAGTGGCAACAATACTTTAAGCTTCGTCGTCTCCAAAAGCACTTGTCTTTTTGGCCTTGACCACTCTCTTTAACTTTATTGGTATGAGTTTTCCGGGAACAACCACAGGCTTTGTTGTGATAGATGCATCTGATTTTAACTTCTCATCTTGGAGTTTCCCAAGTTGAATTTGCGCTTCAATGAATTTCTGCCGGGTTCTTTCGTCATCAGGTTTGGAATCCGTACTTTTCACATTAGAGTTATCGGCCAGATCTACCAATCGTATAGTCAAGTTGAACTCCTCCTCATTCTCATTGTCCACTTTCACCTTCCCCGTAGTTCCCAAATGTTTCAAAAATTGGGTCAAATTGTTCCATTTAGTGGAGTTCAAGTGAATATGGTCTCTATCACTCAAAATGTACTCCTGGTAAAACTTGTTGGCATTGACCGGTTTGGTACCATGGCTAGTTTTAAGAAGCTTAATGAAGTTATCTTCAAGACTCCTGGAGTAGTTTGTAATCGTAGTTGTAGATAGCAGCTCTATTTTGTATTTGTGTGAAGGGGAACTGAGATGATTTTTGAACCCGTTAGCGTCTCGACATTGCTTCTCGCATACTTGGCAGTAAAACTTGAGCTTCAGAAGACCAGCGGCCTTAAGCTTCTTGGACTGGTACTTTGCGGTTCCTATATCAGATGTTCGTGCCATCACCTTGCGTATGATATCGAATCCAAATTCGCGATGCGATGTCTTTCCAATCTCAAACACTTACTATCCATTCTACAAATACGACCAGAATGGTGGCACTACATAGAGCTGGGTTTTCACGACATAGCCCAGTCATGGCATTAAGGTTCTTGTCTAACCCTCCTAGAAAGTCCTTTGTGTCTAGTAAAACCCCTTTTTCATATTGGTGGTTCGAGAAAGTGTCTGTGAACATCAAATACGGATTTGGTTTATTGGCATCAGCCATAGCAGTAGCCAATGTTCATCCCAACATTCTAGTAACAGTGGGTCCACCGGTGGGTATGGCTAGCTACTGGATATACGGCCGACTTGTAGAGAAGCAATATCAACTAGAATCTAAGGTGATTTTGCCGTTGACCTACGATGAGTTGATGAACGGAAAAAATACCATTGAAATCAATCAGTACGATGAGGCAGATGTGGAAAATGTCTTGAATGGTATAGAGAACCAGTTTGACAGTTTCAGAGAACAGGTGCTCAAGCTTGTAGACAAACATATCAAAGATTCAGTTCAGCAAGATGACAAGCTCCTCTTGGATACCAATGGGCAAATCAACTACAAGTTCGGGTCTATCGAAAACTTCATAGTACTGAAGGCCAAAGTACAATTCGACGAGTTGAAAGAACCTCTAGAGTTTATCAAATTTGCTATGCCTATCAAGATTCAAGGTGTGCGCAAAGGAGTTGTTGAAGTATATTTATTGAAGTTACCAGAGCCAGAAGAGACTCCAGATAAACCTAAGGTGGTGGATAGTTACAAGATGCGGTTGGCAATAACACCATATCCTGCAGGGCCCACCAGAGTCTTGTAAATATAGTCCACTATCTGTAAAGTCCATATTTAAATATATTAGAAGAAGCTTCTCAACTGATTAAATTGACCATACTGGTGACAATTTGAGCTCTCGCTTATACTCTCGAGTTGTGGCATCCAAGATTGTATGTCATGGATTCTTTTGTTGGTGTTAGGGTGGGTAGAGAAGAACTCATTCAACATCAGAGTCCGAGCCTGGCCCAGTTGTTGCTCTTCAAATGCATGCATTCTCTCCCAGAACCGTGGAATCTGATATATATCAAAGCACGAACGGGCCATCAACTCACAGCCAATTCTATCAGCTTCACTCTCCATCTCTCGGGAGGCTGGCATCGTGAGAAGCCCAGCAATAAGTAAGTCATTGAATCCCGAGACTCCTGTAGCCATATAGAGAAGGGTAGATAATGCCATATAAACAGGTTGTTTACTGAGCTGCTCCATAGAGTGGTGTGCCAACTGGTGGGACAACTCATGTGATAATACGGTGGCAATTCCGTTTGTATCGTGGCAAATAGGCAATATGGATGAGAAGATAAATATTTTGCCATTGGGTAGAATAAATGCATTGGGAGGTGTTTCCTTGGGATTGACTTGAATTACATGGATCTCCCATTTCAAACTCTTCAAGTGTTCTATCTGCTTAGGGTCTCTCAGGTTCTCAAATGCTGCTTCAAGAAGTCTATTAACAATACCAGATACTTTGGCATAGATGGGATCGCTATGAGGCACAATTTGTTTCTTATACTGAAGTAGAATCTGCCGATAACTCATGTCACCAACCCGTTTTTCCATCCAATAAGGAACCCATAAAAATCTTCTTCTGTTTGTAAATGGAGCCTCGTCCTGGTTATAAACATAAAATGCTCCTAATCCTAAAACCGTGTACAAGAGCGGTTTGGAAGAAACTAACCTGGAAAAGTCATAAGATTGGGAGTTTTCAAAGCGCTTGTAAGTAGCATGTGATCGTGGAGATTGGGAAAAGGTCCTTATGCAGTTCCTTGTTGCTAGAAACGACCTAACAGGTGATTTAACACCTCTGAACCCAAAGATCCACTTCATTGATAAAGAAATAAATGCGACCCAGTGCGATTCAAATTCCTACAAGATTTGTGCATTGGAAGTGGTTAAGTATACATACAGATAGATATGTTGAGTAGAATTTGTAAATAAGCTGGGACCAACTACTTGAACACCACATCACCAGTCAACTCATTTTCGTTATCATTATTGAAGCTGTTGTCAAAGTTGTCGCCTAGAATCGTAGATAATCCGTTCTTCTTAGGCTTGCCATCAGACTGGTCAGCACTATTCTCACCATTGTTGCCAGCAACATGCTTGTGACCATTGTAAACGTAGCTGTCATTTATGCCATCATGAATAATGAGCTTATTGACCAAATCCAGACTAGAGTTAGAATGGGAATTTGAATTCAAGTTGGATGGGTAAGTAGGGGGTCTAATGGTACCAGCTCTAGATGGCAACTTCTCAAAGAAGTTTTGGTTATTTAACTGCTTGGCCAAGTTGTACGAAGCTCTATCAATACTCGAAGTGCTCGAATTGGTATTTGGTATGATTTTATCCATTGAGTCGTTGGACCTGTGTAATACATTCTTGAACTTGGGTGTTGGTGGAGAGATATTGGTATGTTGAGGGGCAGATCCAACGTTATCTTCTGGAAGTATAGGAATAAAAGATTCGTAAAAATCATACGCCGAGTTGGATTTGCTGTGCCCAGGGAAGCCACTTCCCAAGTCAAGGAACTTTTCCTCAACTGCATCCAAATGATCACTACCCGAAAATGTTGGGGTAGTCCCTGTTTTTTGGCCGTTTGAACTTCCCGACATATCATCGGAAGGAGGTCCGGAGTTTGTAAAGTTATTCAACGAGGTGTCGCTCACTTTGACTTCTTCGCCCGTTTTCTGATTACCATTTGCAACGGAAGGGTATTGACTAGGTTTGTGCAACTCTTCGTGGAATTCATTAAAACTCTGATTGTCTTGAAGCTCTAAATCTATCGATTGCTCATTCAAATCTTCGACCTTTTGTCTTCTCCGATTTCTGATCCATAGAAGTAGAACCAACAGCAAGATCAAAAACGACGGGATTCCCACGGCCAACCCAACAGCGAGACTATTAGAATTTGCCATGTTGTACGATTGAAAAGGAGTACTAGTGGTAAGCGCCCAATCAAAGATTAAATATGGAGGAAAGATAAGGGATGGATAAATGAACTCAAAAAGCGAATGGACAACAATACTAGACAACAATAGGTGAGTATAGTAGTGAAATGTGTGGATCGAAAACTCACAAGCTAGTACTTATTCTTCACAGTACCTAATAGAAGGTAGTATAAAACCAATTGAAACTGGCTAAGAATAACTTCAAAATTTTCCTGCCACTTCGCACCCGCCAAAAACGAATTTGCACATAACCCCAGACCTGTATAGGAAAATTCTACTTTCGAACCGGGCTCTGCTGGATGCGACGGAACCAACAACAAATCTCGGGTGGAGGTACCGAGTGGAAAAAATAAGGTGAATTTCGTCACGTGGCCCAATTACAGAAGATGTATATTTACAAGAGAGAGATTCTTCGACAATCTATATGACACCGCTACGAAAAACCTTTTTGTTTCAAAATTTACATGTCAAGGGTATCGAATACCTTCAAGTCGATCTGCTTATCACCTGACTTCAAGTACCAGTGATGGACAGTAAATGGATCCGCCTTTCTGGGACGACTAGCTTTGAAATACAATATACCATCGTTCTTTTCTCCTTTGACAGCAAAGTTGATGTCGATTTCCCCTCTAACAGTGTTCAACTCCCCGTATATCCATGGCCAGCTGGTCTTATAGTTGACGTTTTCTCCCAACTGTTCAAGAACCAGCGGGTTTCTTCTTAAAGAATAGAAAATTGAGTTGATGATGGGCGACGTGGTTTTCTCATAGTTGAATATCACTACGCATGAAATCGTCACTCCGATCCCATAAACGATCGCGTACTTCATGTTCTTGTAGCGGTCCTTAAGCGGGTCAGGAAGTTCTCTATCGACCGTGACTTTTCTTGTTTTTGGAGAAGTGGTCACCGTGTTAGCATTGGGGTAAGCGTTAGCAGTGGCAGAAGTGGTGTTTGACCTGGTGAAACGATACAACACAGTTTTGGTGCATCTTGAAAATGTCTGAATACCCGATGTTTGGGCCTTTTGAATCCCAAGTCTTAACATATTTGTGAAGTTACAGTAAGCTACAGAAGAAACTGATGATTTTTCTGCGATATGTTCGCGGTCGCACTAACAATAAAACCACACTGCTATGTCTACCGTCTCGGGAGCATGTATTGTTAATAAGGTTAGTGGGATGTGTTACATCCGTGAGGAGGTGACACCATCAATCCTTGAATGGAAGGCTATAGAGCAAGCTACAACGGTGGTGATTCCCTTGAAAAATTTGGTGAAGTTGCAAGCTTCTAAAGAGACGAATCCTAAGATGATCTTGAAGGTTTTCTACAAAACTCCAGAAGATGAAACTGAACAGGATATTCGGTTGACATTCATTAATCGTCCCACCATGAACATTATAAAGGAGGCGCTACAGACAGTTGTATCGAGACAGAGAACTGTGGTTAATGAAAATGCGCCTGATGATAGAAGTACAGGAACAACTGGGACGCCGGTACCGCGTTCAGCTACTCCGTCTAGTGGTGCTAATGCAGGTGACTTGAATATATCTGCTGAAGGCTCATTGTCGGATCAAAGTTTACTTAAAAACCATCAACTACAACAGAAATTATTGCTTGAAGACAAGAACTTGAGAAATCTTTTCACCCAGTCAGTGATTAACTTTAAGCTCTCCCCCACCATGTTCTGGTCTACTCGACTCAGCTTACTCCGTACATATGCATTGACTGTTTCCCAGCACAGAGGTCGTTATAATGTGCTATCGACCATCAAGCCAGTTGCAACATCTGATAACCAAGTTAATGTCAATGTGACCAGAACTATAATCAACGAAATTTTTGAAACATATCCTATTGTGCAAAAAGCTTTTAATGAGCTAGTACCTAACAAGTTCCAAGAGGGCGAATTTTGGTCCCGATTTTTCAATTCCAAGTTGTTTAGAAGATTGAGAGGTGACAAGATCAATAATAGTACAGATAGGGGTGACCTTATATTGGATAAATACTTGTTTGTTGATGAAAATTACCTGGTGAACAAAGATAGTGAAGCTGCTGAATCTCAAGAGAAAGCCAAATCTGGTAAGGTTCCAAAAGGTGTCGATGATCCAGCCATTAATATGTTCATTGACCTTAGAAGTAATGAGATGGACAACTCGGTGAAGATGGGAAATGCTCCAGACTTCACTATGAAGTTTGAAAACGATAAGTCCAATGAAATGATTATATTGATGCAAAACATGAATAAATTGAGCTCCAAGGTGATTAACCAAGTTGCTGATGATAAGCGGGAAGAGCCTACAACTGAAGAATATGAACAAGAGTTGAATTTGCATGATTTGAACGAGTCCACCAATTTGAAGTATATCGATTTGAAAATAAACTCCTCAATTGCTGATACAAGCTCCTACAAAGAAAATGTGGATGTTCATCTGCTCAATGAGTATTTTCAGAGACAAACTGTACAGCCTTCAATTAAAGGAATAAATTTAATTGACAACTATAGTTCCAAAGACATTGATGACTCTTACGATGAGATCAATAAATTGATAAGGACCAATCGTCGGACATTCCTGTTGGTCAATAAATATGGTAACCACAATGATGTCTCATTATTATCAAATGAACTTGTTGAAGGGCTTCTCAATATGAATTTGACAATGAATGAGTTTCTCTCCCATTTTTGGAAAATTTTCCTTAATGAAAACAACCCAGGAAATCTTAAGAAGTTATTCACTAGCTTGAAAGAGTGTAAAAAGAAGTTTCTTGAATTGGACCAACAAGCTATCGAACAGATTACTCAAAAGGTTATGGCCGAGAAGAAAGACAAGGTCATCGACGATTTGAAGTTTATGATGAGTCCAATATTCAATGCATTGGACAAGGCATTGGGAGAGTATGTTAAAGCCGTAAGAGAAGTCAATGAAAATGGTAAAAGACCATTTGATCAAACCGAAGCATAATGGATTTGGCTCAGGCTCGCGCATCGGTGCGATTATTTTAAACTCATCGCATCTTATTTTTCATTCCACTTCTAAAACCATGGGGAAGAAAAGCATTTCCAAACACTCTCGTGCTGCCCGAAGAGGAGAGGCCGAATCACATGAAGCTAAAGAGCTTCAAAAAGTAGCCAAACAAGAATCCGAAGTTAAGAAATCTATTATCAGAAATTCGATTCTATCAGAAAACTTACTAGCCAAAAAGCTTGAGAGTAAGAGGAATAAGAAGAACAAGGTAGCAAAGAATGTTGCCGGTTCTCGTGCCCGGACGCTGAATATGAACGGGATTTTAAGTGCCAAGATCCAAAACAGTGTTGCCCGTTATAACTTCATCAAGACGAATAGAAAGAGTGGATGGGACAAGATCAATGACGATATCAGAAGATCTAGTAATGTGACAGAAAATACAAGCACACTGAAGAGTGTGAACCAGCAAGAAGAAGAAGACGAGTATGTCAAACAGTTTTTTGAAGGCAGTGGTGTTAACATTGCGGATGAAACCAAAGCAACGCCAAACCCAAGATCCAATATGTTTGCTCTTTTAGAAGAGAACGATGTTTGAGGGAAGGTGGACTCAGAGCCGCCACCGTGCTCATACGAAGCTTAAGACGAGGTCATCGAATCTCCCATTTTGTTAAAGCATTATCACATAGTTGCAGCAGCAAGCAAGCAGATTGCAAAAAACAAACTCACTATTTCACTTCACGATTTTGACTAGGGCCCACGGTATAAATAAATAAACGCATCGTACAGCTCTCTCCAACCGGTTTGTGAGCCACGCCACAGTATCAAGTGGAAATTAGACTAATCATAAAAAGTGGGAACCAGCTATTAGACAACACTTGTAACCACTTCAATCTCTCCCCCTATTTGGCTACAGTTCCTGCCCTCGCTCGTATGATTGATCGTGCACCAGTATAACAATTAGTTCTTGCAATTAGGGGTAAAAAAAAGAAACGCATAGAGCAGGAACCTTTTTGTTCCGGCGTGCGACGATCGTTCCGTCCTGTGATTTGATAAGAGGAGAGATAAAGCACCAGTTGCCATTTATACATACTTTTTTTGTAATTCACAAATAGGTATCTTTGAAAGTTGGAATATAGAGGTTAGAAATTATTCCTGAAATCCTACATCTTCAATACAGTTATTCGGTCACTGATCCATCCGAGTCTGCCGTTGTTTCACCTGCTCATTTTTCGTTCCCATAACTTGACAGGCATTTTGAGTGATTTCGATCTGGTTATCCGCTTGCCGCAACTTCCATCCGTGACTTCTTATAAGCACTGGTTCGGGTGTGTTTGATCTTATAACTACTCACTTGTTGATACAACTTTCACAATGTCTGGCGCTCACCTAAAAGCATATCCGGTCAAAGTTCCTAATAAAACCATGAAGTTAAACGCCTATAAACGGGCCTTGTCAGAAACGGCTATCCCCACCACCCCCGTGCTGTCAATATCGCAGTCCCGTTCTCGGTCTCGTTCTGACTTATCCGAATCGTCCCATTCCAACTTATCCTTGGAAAATGCTTTGAGTGTCTCAAGCTCCAACACAAGTTGCCCGCCATCACCAGCCAAGACCACCACACATGTGCTAGTGACACCGGAGAGTGACGCCAGAACCACGGATAGTGGTGGCAAGATTACCCAAGTCATGTCCACTCCACAAGACGACTACTTGCTACTAATCGAGCCTAATCCGGTGCTGCCGCCTGAGTATAATTCGTTACCTCCAGGTGGCTGTCCAAAGTTCCCCATCTTCCACCACGAGGATGTCCCTCATGGACTACATAACGGCTTGCCCGAGTACACCCCTTCTATCTACAAAATTGGACCCATTTCTCGGAAGGTTGAGTGGATTAGTCCGTATGAGGCGTCTACCAGCCGGTCCTGGAAAAACTATATCATCGAATTAAACTCCACCCAGTTAAACCTTTATTCGGTTCCCAGTAACCTCGAGTCCCACATGTTGGGATTCCAGGTGTTTGATGACTGTTCGATGAAGATTGATGATTATGGCAGTCATCCTCCAGTAAAAGTTTCTCAGGATGATGATTTCTACGCATTAAACTCGACCTTATCCAACAGATACGACTATGAATTCTTCAACTACTGTAAGCGGATGAAGGCTGTGAAGAAATTGGTCAGGTCTTATTCTTTACAGCACTGTCGGATTGGATTGGCATCCGATTATAAAAAAAAAACCAACGTCTTGAGGGTCAGAATTGAAAGCGAACAGATTTTATTGGCATTCCAAAACACAAAAGACTTAATAGACTGGAACTTGGCCTTGAACATCGGTAAGGATTTGGCTCTTGATCTTATTGATAGAGAACTCCCCAAGTATAGAACGGTTCCAAGACGGAGAAGAAGAAGAGCTGATGGACTTTCAGAACCTTTGTTTGTGAACTACGACAGTGTCGCATCCACTTACAATAGATCCAGGTCTCACTCAGAACCCACCAACTTGATCAACAAAATGTCGCGTTTAAAGCTTCGTTTGAGAAGAGACCTGTCTGTGAACCTTAGCACTCTGACCGTCAATTCTTCTGCATCGTCAATCTTGGCCAATTCCAATTCTAATTCGGTGCTTTCAATGAACACTTTAAGTTCGGTTCCTCAACTGGATTTGACATCAATCGAACCTTCAAGTATTGAACCTTCAGGAATAGAAGACAATGATAATGACGATGACTTAAGTGACTACAACTCCGACTACGATGATGACTTTGACAATGATAATGATGACTCTGAACTTGAAAGACCCAGAGCCATGAAACCTAGAGTCTCCAAGTCAAAGTCTGAGGAAAAGAGGTGGTCTCCTAATCCTGAGAATCAAACTATTCGAAAGTACTATAAGAACAGCTTGAGGTGTATCAAGCCTTTGAACTTTGATGATACCTGGGTATCCAAAAATTTAGTCAAGCCTACTTCTTTCAGTATGGTTAACTTGACATCATTCAACGGTTCTCTCAACTCCCTAAGCGTTCAAAGCTTCAAGAGGAACGATGTAAATCTTGGCAAAGTGCCCAACCATTACGTTAAAGAGTTTATCGTTGGGACTCATGGATTAATACCTCGCCAATTATAACACATCCACACATAACGAAACATCATGCATTATTATACTAACATTCACTTTGGGTGAATGAGCTAATTGGTAACTATAAGATATCTAGAAAATATTTATTATCTATTTATAACAGACTAACTTATATGTATATTTACAATCGTTTTCTATTCAACTGTTTGAGTCTCCTTTCAAAGCTTATCACTACCAATCGGCTAACCTCATTGGTGAAAAGCTGGCTTAATTGGTTATAAATAAAGCTCTTGAATTCGTAGTTCAAGTCCATGGTAACATTGCACTCTAGCTTTTTGGTGAACTTATTTTTCACTGATTCAAAGGTCCACGTACATTGTAAATAATTGAACTGCCCCGTATGACATTTGCTGATGATGGTACTAGGCGTGAAGTCCAATTGGCATTCAACTTTTTCGGTAAACGTTTGGAATTTTAAGGTGTAATATCCCGTACCATGACCCTTGGAGACCTTTGGATCTGGATATTGATAGTCATGGCCTGACTCTATTACGTATGGTACAAAATGCTTGTAATCCTTGACATCTAGGACTATATCATAAATCTGCTGGGGAGCACAGTCAAGACGCTTTGTGTATCTATAGCTAAGGAATCTGGCTCTTGTGGATATCTCAAGAGAGCGAATAGCAGCAGGTGTATAGAAACTAGTGGGAAAGTACTGTATGCAATGTCGTATAGAAGTTAGATTCCTCATAGCGAATTTTCAATTTAACCAACTCGCTCATATGTTGCTAATTCAATGAAATCCGCAAAAGCCATCCCCGACCAACCAAATAATGGTTTCAAGAGAACACCTACACAAAATGACACGATAGCTTCTAGCTTTACAGGTCGTATATATTAAATATGATGTACAGATTTATTCAGCTCTAACATAGATGGATTGTTTAGAGTGCTTGGAAACTGGACGGATAACACCTTCGCTTTCCAATTGTCTGATGGCAACTCTGGCAATAGAACCACCAATCTTCAATCTGTCGACCAAAACGGAAACGGAAATGAACTTGTAAGTTGGGACATCCTTGATGATCTTGTCGTATTTTTCCTGGTCCAAGATGACAATGTGCTGAGCCTTGTCCTTAACTTTACCCTTGCTCCACTTTTTCTTACCTTTCTTACCACCGGCTAAGGCAGCAGCGGCTTTAGCTGCTTTGGTTTGTTGAACTTTTGGAGCCATCTAAATGAATGTTAGTATACGTTGGTAGGAAATGGGTATGATTCCTATGACTGGGTCGGTTTTCGAAATGAGTGAGGTGAATGTGAGTGTTGGTATCTAGTAATATACGGGGAGTTTGTTTATGGGGTGATGATTCACTGTATCTGTAACTATGCTTGTTGGGTCTGAAAATTTTTACACCATAGATGTGGATATGGATAATCAACCAGGTTCACAGATGGAATCAGAATCGATCTAACTGTCTATATTCACCTTACTTGCACTTCAAAATCTCTAGTCATATTGGGCATTCATTACATACTTTGAATAACTTCTATGTCCTATAATATAATCCTATGAGAAAAACTTTTCGCTGTTGTAGGATCGCAGTGGATTGCGAGAGGAGTGTTGGTGTGTGGACGCACCAAAAATGTAAAGGATGGTATATGTGCAGGAAATTATTAGTGCACTGGTGGCCCTGTGACTGTGAACACGGCATCATCAGTTTGAAGTATTATTCAGGGCTGAGCCCTATAATGTCCAGGCCCACTTCAATGCGCGACTAGCAAATGTGGTTGGGCTCCAAAGTCCAACCATGTCTAAACGGTCAGCAAACTCTCAAATCGCAAAGGACGATGACCTTTCAGAAGAAAGTGCATCCGTATCATTTGCACCTTTCAAGAGAGCATCTGCTGATGTATTGAAAACAAGAAAGATAATCAAACCAAGAGGCAGAAGCGATGGGAGAGGGCCCTCGAAGTCAGCATCTTCTCCATTTACGATCAACCCTCCACCGCAGTTAAATTCCATTGCGGTAAACAAGAACGGCTCAAACAACAAGAATGAGTTAATCAAGGCGTTGAACGACAAGGTTATTGACTACTTGGTGGGTTTGAATAAACCAAATCAAGTGGCTAATTTCACACCTGTATTCGAAAAATACATTGAGTTTTATGGTAAGATCCAGAGAAACGAGATAGATACTAATTCTGTGCTGGGTTCGGTCACCAAGTCTGGTCAAACCCCGGCCCCATCTCTGGCCGAAGCTCCTATTACAGTGAACGAGTCTTCTACAGAATCAGAAAGCGAAAAAGAAGATATTCAATTGACTGGACCAAAGTTCGAGTTGAGTGTTAAACCACAAATTAAGAACTCGCCATTTTCGTTTGGCCCTAAGAAGGAACAACCCAAAGATGACTCTGACTCTGAATCTGAAGTGGAAATAAAGGGACCCGTGTTCACCTTCAACAAGACAATCAAAGACAATGTGTTCAAGTTCAATAAGCCTGAAGAGTCAAAAGAGAAGTCAACCTTTTCTTCAGGTTCTACAGCTCCTACTACTGAGAAACCTGCCTTTTCATTTGGCTCTGCATCTACTACTGCAGAAAAACCAGTTGATAAGCCAGCTTTTTCTTTTGGTTCGACTGGCACCACGGCAGAAAAGCCAGCTCCAAAACCTGCCTTTTCTTTTGGTTCCACCCCTACTGTAACCAACGAGACAGCCAATACTCCAGCCTTCTCTTTTGGTTCATCTACTTCTGTAAATGATAAGGCTCCAGAAAAACTGTTTGAAAAACCTGCATTCTCTTTCGGCTCGAAGCCAGATACACCTGCATTTTCATTTGGTGCTAACACTCCTCAACCAACTGAGCAATCGGCTGATAAACCAGCTTTCTCTTTTGGAGCAAAGAGTTCAGACGCTCCTGCAAACGATAAACCTGCCTTTTCATTTGCTGTTAAGGCTGATCAAAAGCCAGCTGAGAAGCCATCTTTTTCATTTGGAGCAAAACCTGCTTCAGTGGAGCCTCAAGGCTCTGTTACTGAAAAAGCTGGCTTTTCCTTCAGCTCAAAGCCTGAGTCTACAGGATCTGCCCAACCAGTGCCAGAAAAACCAGCTTTTTCATTTGGTGATAAACCTACTGATAAGCCTACATTTTCATTTGGTACCAATACAGATAAACCAACTTTTTCGTTTGGTTCTTCTGAAGCAAAACCTGCTGAAAAACCTGCCTTCTCGTTCAATTCTCAACCAACTGATAAGCCCGCATTTTCCTTCGGAGGAAATAGTAACGCTGATTCCAGTGATAAACCAGCATTTTCATTTGGGTCCAGTGCAAGTAAACCAGCATTTTCGTTTGGATCCAGTAACACAGAACAAAAATCAGATAAACCAGCTTTTTCATTTGGTGGATCCTCAGCCTCGACATTTCAATTCGGCACCCAACCTCAAAACAAGGACAATGCAACCGAATCTACCCCATCTGAAGAGCAGGTAGAAGAATCTGAACCAAAAGGTAACTTCACACCAGTTGTCCAATTGACCGAGAAAGTTGAAAGCAATACTGGTGAAGAGAATGAAGGTGTCGAGTATACCAAAAGAGCCAAAATCATGTTGTTTGAAAAGGAAAAGAACCCACCCTATACTACCAAAGGGGTTGGAGAGTTGAAATTGTTGAAGAATAGTGAAACTGGGAAGAGTAGAATTTTAGTTCGTGCTGATGGTGGGTTGAGGGTTTTGCTTAACCTGGGTATCCAAGGAAATTTTCAATATGAAACGATAAGTGATGGGTTAGTAAGATTCCCTGTGATTAATAGTGATCAAAAATTGGATACATTTGTCATTAAGGTTAAGACCAAAGATGACGGAGAACAATTGGTTGCTAAACTCAATGAGTTGAAGAATTAGAAGTGTAATATGTATGTACAATAGAATCCTTAAGCCGAGCACCGTCAACCACGTTCGTATATCTTTGTTGAAAAGAAGGGACATTGATGCCTATTGTGTCTCTTCCCACTGAATAAAGCTGCTATTAGTCTGTTTGAGTGCTTGAAATTTAGAGTTTGTAGTTAGATTCTTGGTTTAGGGCTTACTTTTATTAAAGTTCAAGATAGTATACTAGGACGGTGAGTAACACAGTATAGTTGTGTAACACAGTATAGTTGTACCATGATTCTATAATCGAGCATTCCAATCAAATGGTAACCACCATATGTCCACTAATGAAAGGATCTTGGCATGCTACCTACATAATATTCAGCATAACAGCTATATTATGTTTAATCTTCGAGCCCTCTTCACTTATATAGGTAGCAGGATGTATATCTGGAAACTTTTGTTAAGTCTAGCTTTAGTTTGCTATTTGTTTTCGTTAAAGATCAAGGATCACATTGTGAATAGCTTAGAGGATGCCATCAAGGAATTAGAAGGTTGTTTCAATATGATCAAATAATGGGCGTGGGTTCAAACACACTTGAAAAACATGAAAATGGTAAAGGATGATGAGGAGGAAGACAATGAAATTTTCTACAACGCTATAGACTTTTGATTACAAGACTTATTGTTGTATTTCCTTCTTGAGTTGTTTGCAACCTCACTTTTGATTTCTCAGCTATTACTCAGAATTAAATAATACGTTGTTTATTTACAATGCACCGTGACGGTGCTAGCGTGGGTGCCTATATATACAAGTCATTTACAGCTTCTCTAAGTTGAAAAACTTGGAAAGCATTTTTCCTATCTTGTGCAATTTGGAGTCATGCTCATTGTCATGCTGTTCGCCTTTTGAGTCATCGTTGAAGTGTTCATGTTGTTGAGATCTTTTGGCATTGTTATCGTTAATGGTATCAGCCAAAGCTTCTAATAAGGCCCTTTGAACCGGAGTCTGAGGAACGATACTCTTAACGTTTAGCAATACCTCCATATCATCTCTATTTTTCACGTTTCTATTAATGGGGAACCCTTTGTCAGGGATACTCAACTTAACTCCATTTTGGGTTCCAGATCTGACCTTAATCTTCACATTCTCTCCATCAATGGTGGGGACAACGATTTCTCCTCCTAAACTTGCAGTTGTCATGAGAATATCTTGTTCTGTCACAATCTTATTTCCAACCCGCTTAAAAAGCTTGTCATCTTGAACGTTAATTCTTATGATCAAATCACCATTCTTAGTGGCAGTGAAAGCATCTTTGGCAACAATTGGAGAGTCTCCCATATTAGGGATTCTCAAACGAGAACCATCCTTGATTCCAGGAGGTAAATCGATTTCGGTAGACTTCGGAACCTCTTCCACACCATGTCCTTTACATGATGTACACTGGTCTCCTTTGTTGATGGTAACTCCAGCTCCCCCACAAGTCCCACAAGTGGATGACATCTGGAATCCTCCGATGATGTGGGTAGCATGACCAGATCCATGACATGTAGGACAAGTGGATTTGGCCTTACCGGTCTTTAACCCACTTCCCTTACATGAGTTACAAGAATCTACTGCCTTATAATTAACCTTGATCTTGGTACCAAAAACGCTGTCTTTGAAAGGAATTGATTTAAGAATCTCCACATCATCACCAACGTGCTCGGTGACAAAAGCTCTTCCACCACCACCAGAACCACCTCTTCCTCCATTAAAAGCTTGCTTGAACAAATCTTCAAAGTCAAATCCCATTCCTCCAAAAGGATTTCCTCCTCCGCTACCGCCATATGGGTTTCCGGTCGAGTATCCACCTTGACCTCCAGATCCATAAGGGTTGTCGAAATTTTGGCCATATGTATCGTATTGAGCCCGTTTATCCTTATCGCTCAAAAGTTCGTAAGATTCTTGAATTTTGTGGAACTTCTCTTCAGCATCAGTTTCTTTGTTGACATCAGGATGGTGTTTTTTAACCAAATCATAGTAAGCCTTCTTGATGGCCTTTTGGTCGGCGTCTTTTTGAACACCTAAAGTCTTGTAGGGATCGAAATTAATGAACAATTTCGCCGACGTATGGAACCCATGGGCACCAAAGATGTGACTATGCTTATAGCTAGGGACTTTAAGTCTGATATTTAGTCTGACTAAATTCTTAAACATATTATACAGAGAGCAGTAAGTGAAATACTTCTAGAAAATTTTATAGTCAGCGCGGGTGAGCAAGATATAATCACGTGATATAATTGCACGTGTATATTTTTCATCACGTGATGTGGATATTCTTTTGGAAGCGACATTGACACGGTCATCAGACTTTGCCCGAGATAAAAATTATGTTGATCAGTTCAACAATTGACTCGTTTGGGGGTCCAACAAACTGATATATTCCTGTATTTACTCGTCTAGCTAGCTCGCTGCTTGCTTCGGATTAATTATACCCCTCTAATATGTAATCTTCCCCTCCTGTTGATGTTGGGGACGTTTTTGGGCTTGCCGCGTTTGCAGCACGAAATGTCGTATTTGTAGCTTATGCATCTTTATTAATATACATCACCTATAAACATGAATATATCTTCTTGTTATTCTTCTAGAACTTCACATCCCAGTTGTCCAACTTCATGGTACCATTTTCTTGGTAGTTAAGGTGCATCTTGAAGGCATCCTTCAAAATATGAGGTTCGTGCAACATCTTCTTCTTCTTCATTTCAAACAGAGATCTGTTGAAGTAGTCCATCAATTGGTCTTGGTAGTCTGGGTGAGCACATTTCTTGATGATTTCTACAGCTCTTTCCTTTGGACTCATTCCTCTCAAATCAGCCAAACCTTGGTCGGTCACAACCACGTCCAAATCGTGTTCGGTTTGATCAACGTGAGTGGCCATTGGCACAATACAAGAAACACCAGTAGGATCGATCTTGGAAGGTCTGGCAGATGGTGTGTGCATAATAGACAACTTGGCATTTCTCAAGAAGTCGGCGGAACCTCCTAAACCGTTCAACATTCTAGATCCCATAACGTTAGTGGAGTTGGCATGAGCGTAAATATCCACTTCAACTGGGGTGTTCATAGCGATAACACCCAATCTTCTAATGATTTCAGGAGAGTTGGATACCACTTGAGATCTGAGACAAAGCTTCTTGGAGAATTCATCCCAGTTCTCGTAAAATCTTTCAAAACCAGCTTCAGTCAATCTGATAGAGGTAGCAGTGGCATAGTCTAAAGATCCACTGGAAAAGAAATCTAAGAAGGAATCTTGCAACACTTCAGTCCAAACAGTCAAGTTCTTAAAGTTGGAATCGGCCAATCCTTCAACCACAGCATTAGCAATATTTCCAATACCACTCTGTAATGGGTGCAAATTGGAAGGTAATCTACCTTGAGCCACTTCGTGTTCTAAAAACTGAATCAAATGACCGGCAATGTTTTGAGACACCTCATCACTTGGGGTGTTTGGAGGAACCTTATCTCTTTGTGTGGTTTCGACAATGGCCACCACCTTAGATGGGTCCACTGGAATGGAATCAACGCCAATCTTGAAATCAGCCGAGGTGTGAGGGTAAGGTTGCCTGAATGGAGGGTTAACAGGCAAGTCAATGTCGTGCAACCCTTCGAAACTTGGAGTATTAGTGTTGACCTCAATGATGATGTTGTTGGAAACGCTCAACATTTCTGGAGAAGCACCCACCGCAGGACCGGGAACAATGGAACCATCTTCCTTGATAGCAGTGGCTTCAATGATCGTGAAGTCCAAGTTTGAGTTATCTGGCTTATTCTTGGTGTAGAACCCATAAGTTAAGTCCTGTGGGAACATGGAAAGATGTTTATCGAAAAATTGAGTTCTACCATCATTGATAGCAGCAGCGATAGGTTTACCGACTTGATGAGGAGATCTTCTTAAAATCATGGAGTTTTCAGCCCATCTGCTTTCTTCTGGACCAGCGGAGGCTCCAACGAACAAATTAAATCCGAGCTTTCCTTGCAAGTTGTTCTTCTCAACGTGATCTGCCAAAGCAGTTGGAATCGCTTTAGGAGCACCAACACCCGTGAATCCAGACCAACCCAAATATTGGCCGTGCTTGAATAAGCTGACACATTCTTCAGCGGTTCTCAATTTTTTTAAATATGGTTGATATCTAACTCTTTGTTTAAGGATGGAAGACATTGTGGGTATAGATAATTGTAGAAAAAACGGGTGAAATCGATTTGTATTTATACCTTGCAGAAAAGAAATTCGTTGAGGCGAGCTTCACTGTACTATTTTTTGGTGCAGCATTTCCGGCGTGCACGGACCATATCTACCCGAATCCCCGTAACCCAACAATCTCTGTATTTCCTCGAGTTCACCTGGAAAATGTCTCCAAAAATATCAATGGGTATGTTGCATGGTCCCCTATCCTGTCATTTGAGTTTTCCTCTTGTACGTCATACCCCGTCCCAATTCTTACCTTCAGTAAGCAACCTTCTAGCTCATCAACTCACTCCAGTGCGCGACATTAAACTCCGTTCCTGTACACAGTCGCATATTCCCAAACTTCCCAAATGTTTCCGAGTCTCGGAGGGGAAGATATGAGAAGGATCCAACACTGGCTACACTGGTTTGGCTGGAGGGGAAGATAAACAAATTTATCCGTGGCTGCAAATTTCTGCTAGCGTTTCTGTGACAGTTAATATATTGCTATCTATGGTTCATTTTTTTATATGAATCATGGGCCCATGAGCTTACTGCCGGGTTGTGGGTGATGCTTAACTCCTGACCCCTAACCGGTTAATTCGGAGTTTCCGTCCAATTAAAATTCTGCAATTATTGCCCGACCCCATGTTTACCTTTTGTGTCTCCGCTGTTGCCACAAGCTGAATACTGAATTGTGGGGTTATAAATTATGCTTGATTAATTATTTGCTTGGGGCAGTGTTTTCCTGGGGAAGTGTTTGCTTGGGGCAGTGTTTGCTCGAAAACGGAATCCGGAGTTTTATTCTGAATGTAGCATAGTTGCCAACCTTCTATATTAGGGATAGTTGTGTATATGGACGACTATATGTTTACTTCACTGACTAGTACGGTTCGTATACTGGTGTAAATTAATTTTGGGTTGAAGTTTTGTGTTACGGTGATGAAAATACGCCCACAATCACTGGTGTAACCGTTGCTTAAACCGACTCTGTTTCACCAAAGGTTCAATCTCTCGATCAGAACTGCTCTTCGCCTTGAGTTGGTCTTTGAAACGAAAGTACTCGCTTCTCACTTCGAAATCTACCTGGTCATTTTCCATGACTTCTATCAAATCACCGGTTGTGTTGGTGTCCTTTTCGGTAATAGGAATGTCGTTGGATACTCTCTCGGGTGAGTGGCTATCATGATCATGTTCATGATCGTGGTCATGAGGGATCTCGTAGCTGTCGACATCCAAACGATCGTGCATCTCGTTTAACTTTTGTATGTCACTCAAGTTGGTGATCACAGGGCCCTCGATTTCATCATTCTCTTGGCTGTATTCCTGAATCATTCTGAGGAGTTCTCTTTCTGATTCATTTTGGACTGAGACGTCAGCAGAGGTTTCAAAAATTTCGTTCATAGGCTGTTCCACAATGTCAGTCACCTGTATATTTGTGGATGTAAGGTTGTGCACAAGTTCCTTGGTGGATTTGGGATTCTCGATTTTGACACTTTCTTTGTCTTTCTTGAATCGAGACACTCTGGGCTGCCTGCTTTTGATATCTCTTGCTAGTTCATTCGAATTATCTGTAACAGTGTAATTGGGTAACTCCATATTGTCTCGCAGTCTCTCCACAATATCACCAACTGGTCTCTCCATAATATCACTTACTGGTCTCTCCACAATATCACCAACTGGTCTCTCCATAATATCACTTACTGATCTCTCCACAATATCACCAACTGGTCTCTCCACAATATCACCAACTGGTCTCTCCACAATATCACTTACTGAGCCTTCAGCATTGTTAGGTTTTGCTTTGTTTGAAGTCTCATTATGACGCTCTTTCAATTGCTTAAACCTAGATATCGGCTTTGGCTGCTCATAGTCTTCCTTCTTGATCCTCTCAATTTCGAAAATATCCAACTCTTCATTGAATGTCACAGACTTCTTAACCTGTTTTGCACCTGATTTTTCAAGTACAATATTGGACTTAGCTGGAATTTTCTCCTTTACTTTGGATTCCCTCAACTTGTTAATTTGACCCCACAACATATCGTTTGCTTTAGAGTGACCAAAAAAACTGCTCTCATATTCATCATCTAGATCATCGTCATCTTCATTTTCATCGTATCCATCTTCCTCAAACTCAAAATCATAATCGTCGTCAAGTCCTTCTTCTTCCTCTTCTTCTTCGTAACCCTCATTGAAATCATCCGCAAGAACCTCCAACTCTAGCAAATCTTTCTTGTTTATGATTATATGATCTTGAGGCAATTTCTCTTCAAAGTTTTGTGGTTCTTCTTCATCTTCCTCATCTTCTCTGTATGATTCTACTTGGGATATTTTAGGCTCGTCAATTGCCTTTTCCTTATCAAGAACAATCAGCTTGAGCCTAAACTTGTCTTCACCACTCAAGTCTAACTCATCGATCTTATCAAGAACATGTGAAATATCTAGATTATTCGTCTTCGGTGTGTTAGACTGGCCATTTGGGGTTCCATAGACCTCCAAATCTTCAAGCAACTCCTTAATTTGACCCCCATCATCATTATCATTATCAGGTTTGTCTTCAAAAGGTTCAAACTCATCAACCTTCCCCAATTTGACACCAATCACATTTCCATATTCGTCTAATTCTTCTTGTATATCCACAAACTCTTCATCTTCTAGACCTGGTATGGTCAGTTGGAGTGTTTTTGACTCTTCCTCAATGTTCTTGCTTGCTGAATTAGAGTAGTTATCATGATCTAATGACATTATAGTGTAATCCTTATGTTTCTTGTTATTGACAGTTACCCCTATAATATTACCATTATCATCCATCTCCTCCACAATGTCCATAAACGGAAGTCCTTCTTCGTTAAGCTTCTCTTCGGACTTCATCTCTCTTACGGCATTATCATAGTCATCTCGTACAAACGAACTTTTGAGTTTCTCTGACTCGTTACTTTCATGTTTGATGCTCATATTGAACCTATCGACAATGTCGCTTAAACTATGAATCCTCCTGTCAAGAAACTCATCAGCCTCACTCACGGTCTTCTCGGTGAAATAACCATCTCCAATCAAAACCATTACTTTTCCATTCTCTGAGGGATTTTTGTTGATATCTATTTTAAGCTCCTTATATAAATCGATCTGTGATATCAAAATGTTTCGTTGAGACTTCAAATAGCCCACATCAATGAAGTCAGCCATCTCAACTCGATTTGTAATGGAGTTTCTCATCGCCAAAAAAAGACGCAGTCGCGAAACTGTTTTCCACATACAACACGTCCGGTAATATGGCACCTACTCCATTGGAAATCAAAGTCAACGCTTTGAAAAGACTCATAAAGGAAGAATCCTTGTATAATCAAGAAACTGCCGAACAGGCGAGCCTTGTGGATCAGATGAGAACAAACAATGCAGATCCTTATGAATTGAAGAAACAAGTTGAGGTATTGAACGAAAGCAAAAGAATGGTTGTTGAATTGACCAAGAAAATCGATTCTCACAGCAAATCATTGGCTGAGTTCTTAAAGGGATACAGTGGAGACGAAGACTTGACGTTGGCTAGTTCATTATTAAAATAAGTACATGAATATATATACAATCTTGGTGGTTTATGCCGGAGTTTATCGTCTAATGGCATTGAGACCAGTTTGATTCTCCCAATTTTTCAACTCCATTTCCCATTGGTCGTCTTCTGTAGCAACTTGTGTAACGCCCTGTTCAGTATTTTCCGGGCTGCTCATAATTTCCTCTGATTCCTTTTGCTCTTGTTCGTCGAGTTTCTCTTTATTCTCTATCCATCTTTCGTGGATGTCAATATCAATCATATGGGAAGTCGAAGACCTCACAGCATCACTCCATATGGTATCACCACTTATCTCATTGGTACCGAAGCTGTACCCATTTGCTTTGTCTATCACAGCTAACAAGTTAATCATGCTCTTCTTATTTTCAACACTTAGCACTTCAAATGACACTAGATTAAAGTCTTCAATAATATCACCAATTGTCTCACTCAAATGCACAAACCGTTTTCCCAATGGCGAATTTGACTCCTTCTCAAGCATTGGACTTAAATACTTCAAGTCCTGAACCTCAGTATAATAGTCCAACCGGAATGGTAACTGACCGTAGCTCTTGATCATATCGATTTTGGAGATGACGTTTATCTGTGGCATATTCATTTGTAACATTGATCGTAAACTTAAAAGAAGCACCGAAATGTACAGAGATGGAGACACAAGATGAACGGAGTCCACTAGATTCACACAGCATAGTCTCAAGTCGTCGGCCTTTGTTAGCTTCTTAAACAATCTGAACATCGAGTTATCATGAGTAAAGAGTTCTACTTGACCAGGACAGTCAAAAACTAAATAGCTCCCAGACTTCACAAGCTCTTTAACTTCCTGAATAAACTCTTCAATTAAATGATCCAGAAGGTTTGTCATGGCATACATGAGTGAGCCATTAGGTCCTAAACTAAGCTCATCCATGATTTCTTCCACAGTGATGTAGTCGCGGATATCAAGATCCACTGGGTAAGGAACCAGATCGTTTGCAGGATCAAGATTTATGATACTAGGTTTCCTACCTATTGCCAGAAGGAACTGGTGCATTCCGTAGCAATAAGTAGACTTGCCACTTCCTGGTGGGCCTATTACGATCTGACCAAACATTTCCTCTTAGTCCGATGGTTGCGCGAAAATCATAATGGAAATGTTTCGAGGGCAAACACTCGAACTAAGCATCAATGTCCACAAACGAATCGATTTTCTTAAATAAAACGGTGACAGTTTCGCCACTTGTGCTTTTGTCTGTGGTTGACCACTTCAACAGAGTAGCCCAAGACTCTAACAAGCGTGTGGTTGGTGTTTTACTCGGAGACAATTCATCAGATACGATTCGTGCCACCAATAGTTACGCTATTCCATTTGAAGAAGACGACAAAAATCCTGGAGTATGGTTCTTGGATCACAACTTCATCGAGAGTATGGGAGAGATGTATAAGAAAATCAACGCCAAAGAAAGATTAATTGGATGGTATCATTCAGGCCCGAAGTTAAAGCCTAGTGATTTGAAGATTAATGATGTGTTCAAGAAGTATACCACCAACCCTTTACTTTTGATCGTTGATGTGCAACCTCGTGAGTCTATTGGTATACCCACTGACGCCTACTATGCAGTTGATGATATCAAGAATGATGGATCTGCTGCAGAACGAACTTTTATCCACGTACCTTCTATTATCGAAGCTGAGGAAGCTGAAGAAATCGGGGTGGAGCATTTACTCAGAGATATAAGGGATCAAGCTGCTGGGTCTTTATCATTGAAGGTGACCCAGAACTACCAATCCCTTTTGGGATTACATCAAAAATTGGCAGACATTTCTAAATACTTGGACAAGGTTTACAAACAGTCTTTACCAATAAACCATACGATTTTGGGTAAGTTACAAAACGTTTTCAACTTGTTACCTAACTTAAACGAGGGCTCGATGATGGAGGCCGGAAATGACCCCAAAAATTCCACCAATCCCTTGAACACCGCCTTCACGGTGAAAACGAACGATCAATTGATGATGGTTTACATCAGTACCTTGGTGAGAAGTATTATTGCTTTCCATGATTTGATTGAAAACAAATTGGAAAACAAAATGTTGAACGAAGGGAAGACCGTGTAGATTCGTATACTAAATTATCACTATAAATACTAATACATCCTCACACCCAATGTCTCCTGAGTAAATTCATTAATTTGATAGTGCGAAGTCTAAAAATTTTCATCAAGTGAGATCTATCGTTTTCAACAAATTACATACACCTTCTCCCATCATGTCTTCGAAGTTGTTAATGGTCAACAGGCTAAACCATATCAATAACTTCAACTTCTTCTTCAATAATACCAAAAAGCGCCTCGTGGTATCCCAGAACTTTCTCAATAATCAATACCTCCTTAATCAACGTCACCTTTACAAGAATTCACAACCTGCTTCCCAATCAGCAGACAGCAAAAGAGTACTACATGAAGTGACTTCCAAGGTTTTGACATGTCAAGATTCGCACATTCCATTCAAAGTAACTCCAAAAAAGGTGGCCATTGAAGAAACTTCCCTCAAAGCTTTAATTAGGCCATATATCAAATTGACCAAACCAAACTTAACGGTTCTTGTTATGTTGAGTTCAATAAGCTCGTACGCATTGTCGCCCTACACAGTTTCTATACAAGAGTTGATGTTTCTTGCTATAGGGACCACCTTATGCTCGGGAGCTGCCAATGCTATAAATATGGGAAGGGAACCTGAATTTGATAGAAGAATGGTCAGAACTTCAAACAGGCCCATTGTAACAGGACAGTTGACGAGCACTCAGGCATATCAATTTGCAGCGGCTACGGGTGCTCTAGGTGCTATCATGCTCAACTATGGAGTCAATCCCACCGTGGCAATCTTAGGAGTAATGAACATTGTATTATATGGGGGGATATACACAACTTTGAAACGAAAATCCATCATAAATACATGGGTGGGTGCTTTGGTGGGCGCCATTCCCCCTTTAATGGGATGGGCCGCGTCGTCCTCCTTATGGCATCCGGGTGCTTGGTGTTTGGCGGGTTTGCTATATGCCTGGCAGTTTCCTCATTTCAACTCGTTGTCACACAACATTGCACAACAGTATAAAGATGCAGGGTACATAATGACGGCTGCTGAAAATCCGAGACTTAATGCTAGGGTGTCTTTGAGATATTCTTTATTGATGTTTCCAATATGCTTTGGGTTAAGCTACTTTGATGTTACTGACTGGATGTTCCTGGTGGATTCCTCTATTGTAAATGCCTGGCTAGCATACCTTGCTTATCAATTTTGGAGCCAACAGAAGATCAACTACCAGTCTGCGAAAGGTCCTACAGTGGAAGGTTTACAAAAGGCTAATGTACATGCTAGAAAACTTTTCTGGGGCTCGGTTTACCATTTGCCAGCAGTACTAATGTTAGCCATGGTCCACAAAAAGGGCCAATGGGACAGACTTTTCACATATTTGGGGATATATGAGGGTGAAAACAATAAGACACTTGCATAAAGATAAACTTGTACATAGTTTAAAATATTATATATCACATACTTATTATACAATGACTCGTTACAATTTTTGGTTTTCGGCATCTGGGGTGTCTATGGTCTGCAAATATTCAAAGAAGAATGCAATCAAATGTAAATGGGCATCGAATTCAAGACGTTCATCGATACTGTGGAAATTTATCATTTGACCAAGACTGGGGCTGTATCTAAAGATACTTTTGGTCAAGTGATGATAACGGGCAGTATCAGTGTTCGCTTGCATCACCATTGGAGTGACTACAAAGTCATATTCCAAATCTGGTTTGATTAAGTCATGCATCAAATGTCTCGATACTCCAGCCAAATACTCCCAAACCGTGTCATCTGAAGGAGATGGTTCCACAGGTTCGAGCTTGCTACCATCGAGAGTCACATCTAAGATTCCAAACTTTCCTTCGCTATCAATGACTGGTGTTCCCTCCAAATTCAAGCCCAAATTATATTTCACAGCCACTATTTTAGCATACTTCATGAATCTGTCCACTATCTCTTTGATAGAACTTTCAAGCGCAATTCTATGGTTCACGGTCAAGGTTACAGCCTCAGGTAATGCATTGGCTTTCTCGCCCCCTTTGATAATGTCAACTGCTTGAGAAGTCCTGATGAAGTATCTAGTAGCAACATCCTTTTGTAAAGCATCAACGACAATTTGATTGGATTTGGTATCATAGTCAGCCTTCAAAATGGCTTCCCTATAACTGGGAGGGAGCTTGTCACCGAAATGGGTAGCTACACACTGAAGCATATTGAGAGTAGGGTTTTTAGACGTCAAAAGGGGTTCAAAGGGGTTGTTTTCAAGCAAGTAAACCAATTCACTGATCATACCAATGGAAGTATGATCTGGTGGCATGGATGAATGTCCTCCAGGAGTTTGAAGTTGCAGTTTGATGGTCGCCATTCCTTTTTCAGACACCAACGGGGTTGCCATAAATACACCAGATTGAGGTTCGAGTGAGAAGGGGAATCCTTCATCAATAATGGCATAGATTCCATCAACTCCGTATCTCTCTTCAAGAAATTCTCCTATGTGACGAGCACCAACCAAACCGCCTGACTCTTCGTCCATTCCAAAAGCTGCAATAACGGTTCTTTCAGGTTTGAAGTCTTGAGCTATCAACAATTCCAACGACTCCATAATAGCCGTCAAGACGTTCTTGCAGTCACAGGAACCCCGTCCAAATAAGTACTCCCCATCATAGTATCCTTCAAATGGTGGATGTGTCCATTTTCCCAATGAGTCTTGTTGAACAGGAACCACATCTTGATGTGCAGTCAACATAATAGGCTTCAAATCAGGATTAGTTCCTTCCCAAGTAAAGACTAATCCATAAGTGTTAACTTTGTCGAGCTTCAAAGTACTATGAACAGTTGGGAAAGTGTCTCTCAAATACTGGTGGAACTTTAAGAACTTTGTCCAATATTCAGGGTTCTCATCGGGCTCTGGTGGACTATCAAACACCACTGTATCCACTTGAACAGCTTTGGCTAACTTTTCAGCAGATTTTTCACGGAACTCCTTGTCATGAAGAATACTCAACACAGTGGAATTATCTTTTAAGAATGACACAGGTGCTTTGATCGGCAAAATTGGGCAAAGTCCATCAGTGCTGAGATTATCTTTACCTGAGAACGCATTTAAAATGGCACCTGAAAGTAAGGATAAACCGACAATCCCAGCTATAGCAATGGGATATATCAATGACTTCTTGCTCTTAACATCACTAGAACTTAAACCTCTCATAACAAAAACCGAAATGTAATAAAATTAGTATATTTTGGGGTACGTCGATACTTAAATAGGCACGCATTCAAGCGGAAAACCCTGATAACATAAGGTTCCAATTAGTGCGAAAGTGCAACCGAAATAGGCACTATTTGCGGCCTTCAAATGAAGCTTGGCCGATCAGTAACAAACGGCCAAAATATCCAGATTAGACCTTAAATAGACCATTTCAGAAGTAACTAGGCCATGATAACATATGCTACAAATAATCTGACTTCTCTCAAGCTCCAAAAAGTCTTCTAGTATCTCTACGTGATTACGTGTACAGTGCTAAATCCGTAGATGCCCACGAGAATCTAATGTCATAATGACGTGCAGAGGCCAACTCTATACAATTCATCTTCAGTTTTTAGCAACAGATAGAGTCTCAAGACAGTCTAATTGTCCTCTACACGGAGGTTCTCCAGTTTCAACATCTCACCGATGCAACTCAGTTGCCTGTCAAATTATCATTAAAGCTTGTTTTTATCGCTTTAATCAGCTCGGTTTTTGGGGTTCCCAAACCTGGTTGCTGACTCACCACTACCAACTGAAACTTTTGTATTCTTCTAGTCTCGAAACTCGACCATCAATGGCAAGGATAGCACTGCTTAGCATGAGAAAGTAGGTTCAAACTTTGTTCTTTTCGCTGGAAACTTGACCTTTTGCTTAAACTATAACCCATACTGCCAGAGTTTGCACTAGGGAACTCAACGACTATAATTAAATCTTGTGGTAATAGGTAACATTTCAGTTTCGGTATCAATAGCTAAGATTTCCTTACATTGGGTCACTTTATTCGGATTACATCGGAAGTTCTGAAGGATCTATCGCATGTAGTTGCACCCATAACCCATACGGATATCCCCTTCCAAGGTATGCGTTGGCATTTTTCATCAACGGCGCAATGGGTACCGGAAGTCCTTTGAAGACAAAGGTTTCCAATCCTTAGATGGTCAACAAAGAAATGTATGTTTTGGGGGATAATCCTAGAGTGGGCGAGTTCGTCTTTAGGCATTTTTTGACACTAACGAAGTTGAATACTCCTTTTCAACAACTCCCACTTTAACATGGTGATTCTCATATGCAACAGCCATAACAAGCTCATGTCAACAACGCAAGAAAAGGTGAAAGCAATGGTGTTAAATTAGTTGGTCTATTTGGAAACACTAATAACTCAATCCTCCGGAGTGGACCCCAGACTTGATACTACAAACCATGGAAAGACATAGTCTCTGTGTTGAATGGTAACAAATAAGTGAGTTACACGATTGAATCGTATTATTGCACCAACCTTATAGTTGAAGTTGCTACTTTAGATTGTTGATGCCTTGAGTCGGTAATCGATACTGAAGAAAATCCACAAAGAAGATATCGTGAACTAATACCAATAGTATTGATACCATGGCTGTAGGTTTATTTTGAGCTTTCTGTCAGCTTTCTGTACTTTGCTAGAGCAGGAATCGCTTAGTCCCTCTTCTGTCAAGTATCATACTATTAGCGTGAGAACAACGTTGTCCCTTGTCATCTATTATCTGAGTCTTCACTTGCATAGAGTGGGGTACAAGATTCTGGAGTTATGTTTCTGCCGTCTTATGGTGTTTCGTACCAGCACTTCTCTAAAACAACTGGTAACTAGCTCCATTATACTTAGAAGATTCTCTGGATTAGAATAATCCAAAATCACCTTCATTTAACAACAAAATTACAAAAAGTTCTACAATAGCGTCAAGCGTATCAATAATGACCCGAAAAAATCACACCAGCCTTTCGACATGGGGTAACACCTCAACTATATTTGAAGCAAAATCTGGTTACCTGTAATCAGGCAGTCACCTGCTTCACCCACAAACAGAATTGTCAAATACAACCCAAAGAGGATGGAGTATCTTTTACGTGCCAATCAATGGGCCGATAAACAAATGTTCAAGCTATGGAAGTGCCCGTAAGCCAGGCATTATTATCATTTTGGCAGGTGGGGTACTAGCTTATCCAAAGCGAAAAAAACGAGAGGAGGGACAAAAAGAGGCTTCGAAGGAAAACAGTTCCAAAACTGGGTCAGACCCACGACTGGATCCATGTGCAAGACGACGATTTTGAGTTATATTTCGACGTTCGTTTCATATCTATGACAATGGAAACTTCCTCGCATGTAAACGTCAGATCTGATTCATTGCTCGGTTCCGTCCGTCCTCTCAAAAATAATTTATATTGCCCGACCAATAATAGGGTAATCCAGAAAAGTAGCTAAGCAAATATTCTGCGAACCGCTAATTTTGCCCTTCTTGGAGATACTGCGCACGGTGGGGGCAGTTTCATGGTTCGTTGTATTATCATTCCCTTGGCTGCTCCCCTCACAAAAAACTAACTAGAGGACCACCCTAAATTTTACAAGAAAAAAGATCGGCTTGTCGTAAAGTACCAAGTAGATCGGATGAGAGGTCATTTTTTATCCTTGATTTACTGGCCCAAGTATTTTTTCTTGTGACTTTTCATGGTTGAATAATCAATATAAATCAGAAAAACTTTGACTGTTAACCCGATAAAAGTCCGAAGACAAACCCGAGTGGACTACAACATAGAAGTAGTATGTAATAGTTTGGAACCCTTCGATAAAAAAAAATACGTAATATCGCACTCCCACTCTATTCCTATTATCGGACTTCACTGCCCCACCCCCTCCGTACCCCAGATTTGTAGCTGGAAAAATGCACGATGTCGTGCCGCGGTGGGAAAAAATGTGGGGAGTGCTCGATTTTGGTGGGGGTTGACCCCCAGATTTGGTGGGGGTTTTCATACAATTTGGTGCGGGAGGTGTGGGTGAAGAAAAAACCGACACCGAATGAGTTGAATTTAGCGGGACCCCCAAAAGATCTCAAGTGGTTGTGCGGACGTATAAAGAGGGACCTTAATGCCGTTTTTGAAACAGAATTCAAGCTGATTTTATTCTATTAAAGCTGTTTAGTAATTAAGTATGAGAACTGTTTCAAGCTCTAATTCTTCAAGATTAGGTGAAGTTGATATGTTAAAGGAAAGTGTAAACCACGTTGAAAATGTGGAAACCAATCTGTTTCAAAATAAAGAGGTTGGTGATGAGTTAGCTACAGAAAAGGTAGACAAGCAGATTTTGGATTACATCCAAGAGGATGCTATTGAAATCGATGAGGAAACCAATAGGAGGATCAGACGGTTGGTTAACAAGAGAATCTTACCTTGCATGATTGGAACTTACTTTTTGCAAGCCTTAGATAAAGGTACTTTGTCCTTTTCTTCTATTATGGGTATTCGGGAAGATGCTGGTTTGGTTGGTCAACAATATTCTTGGTTGACTACTTGTACTTATATTGCCGTTTTGGTTTTTGAATTGCCTACCAATGTGATCATTCAAAAGGTCCCAGTGGTTAAGTATTTGACTGCTAATATTATTCTTTGGGGTATTGTCTTAGGGTGCCATGCTTTGGGTAAAAATTTTCCTATTTTGGTTGCTGTCAGAACTTTGTTAGGGTTATTTGAATGTTGTTGTCAACCTTGTTTTATTTTGATGTCTTCCATGTGGTATAAAAGAGAAGAACAAGCATTCATTGTTGCTCTTTGGTATATGATGAATGGTGGTCAACAGATTGTTGGTGGTTTACTTTCTTACTGTTTCACTTTGATTGAAGGCGCTGCCTTAAAGAACTGGGAGATTTTGTTCTTGACTTATGGTTGTATTACTGTTGTTTGGGGTATTTTCCTTTTCTTTTACACGCCTGATTCCCCAATGTCTGCTAAATGTTTCAGTGAAGAAGACAAGAGATTAATGGTTGAGAGAGTCCGTAGTAACCAAACTGGTCTTCAGAACAAGAAGTTCAAGAAAGAACATCTCATTGAAGCTCTCAAAGATCCACAAGCTTACTGCTACTTCTTCATTCAATTTTTGACTAGTTTGCCAACTTCAGGTTTGGGAGCTTTTGCTAACATCATCATTGCATCTTTCGGTTTTACTGTTTTACAAACTCAGTTGTTGTCTATGGTTTTGGGTGCCTATTTGATCTTTTTGCTTTTAAGTTCGGCCTACTTTTCTAAGAGATTCAACCAAAATATCTTCTTCATGATCATGTACGTTGTTCCATCCATTGTGGGAACTGTGGTATTGATGACTTTGACCTACGCTGAATACGATCCTGATTCGTATCAACACAAACTTAGAACTGGTGTCTTATTGTTCTGTTACTACTTGACTCTTTCTTTCTGGGGTGTTGCTAACTTGGGACTTTCTTTACTTTCAAGAAACATTGCTGGTCAATCCAAAAAAGCTGTCTGCACAACCATGAACTTCGTTGGTTGGGCTGTTGGTAACATCGTGGGACCTCAAGTGTTCCGTGCAAATGAAGACCCAAGATACTTGACAGCATTTGGAACCCACTTAGGATGTTATGCCGCCTTGATTTTACTCTTGTTATTCTTGAGGTTATGGTTGATGAGGGAAAACAGAAGAAAAGAAAAGTTGATTGAAAGTGGAGTGGCAACTGCTGATGTTCACTTGAAGCATGCTTTTGATGATTTGACTGACAGAGAGAATGTCAACTTCAGGTATGCATATTAGGTATATATATATGATACGAAAATTGAATGAATAATCATGATTGACTTCGGCCGGAATGATAGAACCTCTCTAATTGGATGGAGCTATACTATACGCTTACCGAGGCTCCATCCCGGGTAAAGACTGTCCCGAGAATATACCTTTGTTGTCTTTAGAGCCACCACACTACTAAGTATTTTATCCGATGGCTGAGCGATATCCTGCGCCTGTTAATGGTTAACTTTACCTCGTTGGTGGTGAACGTTTCATTCATCTATAAATATAATCTAGAAAACTCCACAAGAGCCATTATAGCCATAGCTTGACCATATGGCATCGATGTCAAAGGAATGTCTCTATAAAATTGCAAGTCATCGCCCATTCCAGTACCAAAAGATGTATTAAGTAACTCACCTCTTCCATCAATTTGGCCAATAACACCCTTAATAGCATTAATAGCAACTGATTTATATTTGGGATCCAAATACTTCTTTCTGATACCTTTTAAGATCCCGTATGCGAAGCCAGCTGCTGCTGAAGACTCAAGGTACGAAGTTTCGTCATCTAATAATGTATGCCATAAACCAGTCTTTGCATCTTGCAATTCAGCTAATTGAGCCACTTGTGAATCAAGAGTTTCGATTAAAAACTCTCTTAAAAAGTCTCCTGGTTGTAAGTTTAATAACTCGATGAATTCAGGAATCACAATAGTAATCCACGAGTTTCCTCTAGCCCAAAAGGCATTGGCAAAATTGTGATTCCCATCAAAAGTATATCCGTGGTACCATAAACCAGTTTTGGCATCACAAAGGTACTTGATATGCAAAAGCATTTGCTTCTTAGCTTCCTCAACATAGTGAGGGCGATTCAACAATAATCCAATCTTTGCAAGAGGCATTACCGTCATCATTAACGTATCATCCCACATTTGCTCATGGTTATCAGTTAAGTAAGTAGCGTGTTGAAACCCACCACATTTGGTTTTTTGCAAATCATACATGGCCCATTCTGCCCATGAATCCAAGTACGGAACATACCGTTCATTTCCATGCCTTTCATAAACGTATGCTAAAGATAAGAAAACGGCCATGGTGTTAATGTTCTTGGAAGTACTTCCGTCAGGTCCAAACATTTGAGCCTCGAACCAGTCTTCAATGTGTTTCAAGATCTGGCTTTTGTTGGTGAGTTCGTAATAGTGCCACATTCCATAAAGACCTATTCCATGGGTCCATTCCCATCCAGTTATCCACCCTTTAGTGTCGATGATTCGTCCATCTGGAATGGTCATCAAGAATTTTCCAGTTTCATCCTTGATATGGATTAGATTATCGATTAATATATTGACAAGGGAGTCAACATCTTTAGCTTTAAGATCAAATAAGTGAGCGGGCATAGTGGTAAATTTTTGGAAATTTTCCGGGGTTGCTCGATTGATGATATATAAACAATTTTTTCACGGGCCGTTGATGTGACCGATGCTGAGGCTTGTATGCCATATTCTTCCGAACGGCAGGTTGATGCTACTTTTGGAATCATTCTACCCCACCTCTTCCCATCTTTGCCAATTTGTCCCCATATCTTCCCGCCCCCACCAACAATCTCGCTTAATCAAGATAAAGTCGTGTGTTGGCGTCCAAATTCGTCCAAATCCCCAGAATCATCTCAAAAAGACCCAAACGCCGCCTGTACACGCCTATTCCCCACGGATCGGAGCTTCGTACAAATAATACATCGAGGCCGCTGGTATTATATTATCTCGAAATCCTAACAAATCAAAAAATAAGATAACCAACTATGCTGTTACCACAAAAGGGTGTTTATACACCAGTTCCAACTTTCTTCAAAAAGGACTTGAATACAATTGACTTTGCTACCCAAGTAGCTCATGCTAAATTCTTGCAAGATAATGGCATCAAGGGGATAACCTTGTTGGGATCAACCGGTGAAAATGCCCATTTGACTAGAGCTGAAAGAGCCGAAATTGTCAAACAAATCCATGATAATGTAAAGGGGTTCACCATTGTAGCAGGAATTGCTCAAAACTGCTTACAAGAAACTATTGAAGAGATAGAATCCGTTGCCAAATCGGGTGCTTCTTTCGCTTTGGTATTACCTTCCAGTTATTTTGGACCTTCTATCACTCAAGAAGCATTAGTTGAGTGGTATACCGAAGTCGCTGATAACTCACCAATTCCTGTGTTGATTTACGTTTATCCTGGTGTAACCAACAACGTTAACGTTGCTCCCAGCACTATCAAGACTTTGTCTTCCCATAAGAACATCGTGGGAATTAAATTCTCTCACAATGACGTTACTAGCTACAGTGAAATTTCTCTTGATGAAGAAATCAAAGACTTTGTTTGCTTAACAGGACTTGGTCACTTATTATTACCAGCTCTTTCCATCGGTTTCAAGGGAACTGTTGATGCTATTAGTGGCGCATATCCTAAAATTTACACTAGATTGATCCAAGCTTTCGATGAAGGTAACTTTAAAGAAGCTCAAAGATTGCAGTTGGCCATTATCAGAGGAGAGAAATGTGTCAGTGAATATGGTGTTATTGGAATTAAGAGAATTATTTACGAAGCCACTGGATTCGGAGAAACCTACTTAGGCCGCATGCCTTTAAATAAGGACACCACTGCTGGTTGGGAGAAGTTGGATAAATTCATTGCTGAAATCTCCGAAGGTGAAAAGTCTGTCACCATTTAATTTTGATTTGACCATTGATCTCTAGTATTGTCGCAGTATTCAATACAAATAAAAGCTGTTAGAATAGAAAGCATTAGTTCTTGATAGAAAAATCTATATGGTTTATGTGTAAATGGGCCAACAAAGCATAATGTCAAAGACATGAAATTGCTATTATGCATTTTTATAAATAAATAATCTATTCTTTGAATTGAGGCAAATATAATGGCTCATATACGATATTGTTATGGCTAGTAAAAACTGCAGGATATGTGTGAATAAGATCAGGTGTCAATTCACTGACTTTGGTGACTCCTAATAATTTCATGTCCCTGGAAATCTCATCTTTCAACAACTTACAAGCCTTAATAACCCCATTTTCTCCGTAAGAGGAATTGGCATACAAGAATGATCTTCCTAAACCAACTCCCTTAGCACCAAGGCAAAGGGCTTTGAGAACGTCACTACCTCTTCTGACACCCCCATCGATGAATACCTCAATTTTATCATCCAAGTTTCTCTCTCTCAAAATAGGCATAAGTTCTGCTAACACATCAATTGGAGGACGAGCAAAGTCCAACTGACGACCACCGTGATTGGATAATACCACAGCATCAGCCTTGTTTTCAATAGCTAAAAGTACATCCTCCACTCTTTGAATACCTTTGACCACAATTGGAATAGAAGAATTTTTCTTGAAAGTCTCGATATCTGACCACTTGAGTCTAATCTTATCGTACGACAAGATGAAGTCATCGCTGTCCTTAAGGTTCAAATCCACTGCCTCTATATCCTCGGTATCTGCAATCTTAAATCTAAGATCCTTCTCACGCCTACCAAACAATGGGGTATCAACAGTAACAAAAATTGCCTTGACACCCAATTCCTCACACTCTCTAATGGTTTCCAAGCTCTCTTCTCTATCAGGCTTCACATATAATTGGAACCATTTTGGTCCTGGAGTTTCTTCGACAATTTCATCCATTGGATAAGAAGAAGCACTTGATATCATTTGTATAATATTCTCTTTATAAAGACCTCTGGCAATCGAAAGTTCACCATCAGGGTGTCCAAGTTTGGCCAGAGCAGCTGCTGAGCAATAGAATGGAGCAGAAGTTTTGGTATCTAACATCTCGGTGGAAATATCCACGTCGTCAACATCAACAAGAACCTTAGGCTTAAAGTAGTATCGACCATAGGCAGAGTTGTTTTCCCTTAAAGTAACTTCATCGTCACTACCACCTGAGTAGTACGCCCACGCATGAATAGGAAGAATTTTCTGAGCCACATATTCAAACTCAGTAAGGTTCAAAATGGACATCAAAGGTGGTCTCTTGGCCCTCATTTCCTGGCTTCGTTTTTCCTCACGAATCATTGGATCGTCGAATTCTTCGAGCTCTCCATCCAATTCTCCCAAATAACACTCCTCTGGAAGAATGCTCTCAATAGTTCCCCGGGCATGGACTTTGTTGAACAAAAAGGACGCGTCCTTTCCGGCATATTTAAGAATAATTGAGGTTCCACCAGGATGCATGTTGATGAAGGTCGTCAAGTCATAAACTTTTCCGTTGATTACCACCCACACTCCGTTATCGAGATTGTCATGCTTAGCAACATCTTCTGCATTTATCTTTTTATCTAACAAAATAGTAGATTGGTTTGTGGTTACACGAAAGCCAACCCCAATGAATGCAGCAGAGGCAAGCACCGATGCCCATCGAGACCAAACCTTTGAATTTTTCAAATTTAATTGAAAAGGCTTTACCGAACTAGTAAAAGACCTGGTACCACATCTCTTCAACCCAAATCCATATTCTTTAACAGAATTGGTAACTAGTCTTCTGTACATTTTGGTTTTTCAGTGGTTGATGGTTTGTTCATTCGAGATCTTCGCTTGTAAAAATATGCGATTATGATCGCGGGCCCGGAGTATTATCCACCCCTCTTCCTCACCCCCACATTTTGTCTCGGGTGATATGTTTCCAGGTTTTTTTCCCCAACCAAAAATTTTCGACATCATTGATCCGTGGTTGAGAATGGAGAATTCAACATCAGATAGTGATAGTGGACGAGGCGATATACTGACCACCTACAACACTGGTCGAGTAACTAAACCACCACCTTCTACCTCCGGAAAAATCTCCAAGTCCTGTGACCATTGTAAATTAAAGAAAATTAAATGCGATCAAAAGAAACCCACTTGTGTGAATTGTGTAAAGTATGGGGAAACTTGCATATACAGCGTGATGAAAAAGCCCGGGCTAAGGTCGGGTTATGGGCAACAAGTTTTTGAACGAATTGAAGAATTGGACAAGTTTGTTGAGGAAAGCAAAACTCTACATCAATTGGAGAACGTTCAATTGAAAGAAAAGTTGAAGTTTTTTGGAAGAGAAATTTGATACTCTTGAAAAACGCTATACTGGTCCCAGTGTCGCCACCTCCTCAACTATTAGACCAATCCCATTGAATTTTCAATCAACAGGTACTGATCCCATGAATCTTTCTACCACTAATCCAACCATAACGCCCAATAGTGCTTTGATTTCTGCTGGTCCAGGTCCAATGTTCACTAGAAATAATTCTTCCAACAACTACACTCCTAACACAAACTCGGCAATTTCACCACCTGAAGACATTGATAGCCTTCCTCCTTTGGATAAGATTGAGGTATTGGTAGAGTTGTATTTTGAACTTGTGAACCCTGTGTTTCCAATTCTTCATCCAACGTTGGACAGGCCAAGAATCTTGAAAACTATTGACACTTCTAACTTCTTGTTGTTGGGTGTCCTTGTATCTACTGTTAAATTACAAATTAACTTGTTCAGTCCTCAAGAGGCCGAAAGATATTTTGCATTTATTAAGTCCAAAATCGTATCTTCATGTTTTGCTGTGAGGACTATCCAAGAATTAAGAGCTGTTGCTCTTTTGGCATTCACATTATATGGAGAGTCTAATAACCATGAAGCATGGAGCATGATATCCTTGGCTGTTGGGGGATGTCTTCATTTGGGGATTATCAAAGATTTCCCATTAAATAATGATCTATTGGGAATCCCTCAGAATGAGTTGGTTTCTCTCAATAGAACAGAAGGAGCCGAATGGGAAGTTTGGGCTGAAAAGGAATCCATACGATACTTAATGTGGGAAGTCTATAAGCTTGATAAGCTCTCGAGTATGGGAAGCCATTTTGTGTCAAAGCTTCCCCAGGAAGAGGTGTCTAGCTTACTTCCATTGAAGGCTGATTTCTGGGAATTTAAGTCTTTGTATAACAAGGCGTTGATTGAAAAAGAACAGACACATACTTTGAATGATTTCAATTTCAAGCCTGGTAACAGGGATATTTATGGTAGTAATTGCTACTTAATCCAAGTTTTAAACCTTATGGGAAGAGGTCTGAAATTTAGAGGAAGCCCCATGGATATTAAAGATATGGGGAGTATATTAGCCTGGCAATTGGGTTGTTATGAGTTTGAAAAGGAAATTCAAGCCTGGAAATCAAGCTTGCCTGATAATGTATCCCAATTTCTTGATAGCGAGATCTTGATGTCAAGCCAAATTACTGTCAAAGACGTGATTCTTCATTCGTTGTACCATACCATGATCATAAGGTTGCACTCTCCAACTGCATTCTCTGATTCCCAAGATAAGTATCTTATTTCTGCCCAAACTTCAAAGGCTAAATGCTTGAAATCTGCCCATCTAATCTTAAAGATATCCAAGTCCTTACCATCACTTTTCCAAATTGATGAAGAATCAGTGTTTCCAATTTTTGGCCCTTATTATGCTTTTTCAATTTGGGTGAGTGGCAGAGTAATACTTGTGGATGCTATTCATTCACAAGGTCAACTAGAAGGAGAATTTGATTATGCCATTAGTCTTTTGAGAAGAATAGGCCAGAAATGGGAATGTGCCGCCAAGTACGCAAACATTCTTGAATTTTTCAAAGACGATACTATGACAGTGGATACTTCAAGTCATGATGGAACAGGAGAATTCTATCTGTCTAACTCATACAGTGAAGATGCTAGATTGATAGCTGACATTAAGCTTAATGCTAGTTCTCTTGATTCTCTCCTTTCTAAGAAAGTAGCAAGGTATAAAAATGCTAAGGGTAACATAGACGATTTATCAATCTTTGATTGGTTCAAGTTACCACTTAATAATGTTTTTATGCCTTCGCAAATGTATTGATATAATATAAATGTAAACTAGTTAACCTGAAAAACCAATTACTCTTCCTTTTCTTGTTCAATCTTCAAGGGTCTCTCTGGAGTTGGGTTGAACAAGGCGTCACCTTCAATCAATTGAATCTTAGGGTTAAGGGTAAGACCGAACCCTGGCTTGTCCAAAATGGAAGTGTTAAGGTATCCCTCTGTGGGAACTGGTTCATCGAGGAAAAGATTACCAAAGACAGGTAAAACACTCTTCGAATCTGGGGAGTTAGCAAGATATTCATGGAAGGGGGTGTTTGGTTGAGAAATGACAAAGTGGTAAGAGTAAGGACCAGAAGCATGAGGAACAACTGGAATATCATAAGCAGCAGCATGAGCAGCAATTCTAAGAATTTCAGTCATACCACCAACCCACATGATATCTGGTTGAACAATGTCAAGATTACGGCCTTCAATCAATTTTCTAAATCCATATCTGGTGTATTCATGCTCACCAGTAGTCCATTTCATTCTTGGGTGAGCTCTCTTCAATAAAGCGTAACCTTCAACGTCATCAGGGTGAAGAGTTTCTTCAAACCAGTTGATGTTAAGATCTTGAGTAGCGTCAGCCAATTGAATAGCATACTGAACATTAAGAGACATGTAACAATCAACCATTAATGGGAAATCTGGGCCAACGTCTTCACGATGCTTTTTCAAAAATGCAACATTCTTTCTTAAGCCTTCAAATCCTTCATCTGGTCCATATGGAAGGGCAACCTTTCCACCCCAGAATCCCATCTTTTTAGCAGCTACAGGATCACATCCAGTACAGTAGAAGTCTAATTTGTCTCTAGTAGCACCTCCAATCATCTTGTACACTGGCTCGTTTCTAATCTTACCCAATAAATCCCAAAGGGCTAAATCAATCACACTGATAACAGCAATTGGGAGACCTTTTCTACCATAGTACATGGAAGCTCTGAAGAGTTTGTCCCAAATAGAATTAAGGTTTCTTGGATCTTCATCTTTCAAAAATCTCCAGAAATGTTGCTTAACTAACCAACAACCTGGTGGTCCACCAAATCCAGTTGCGAAACCGGTAGTACCATCAGAAGCAATGATTTCCACACAAAAAGATCCCAAAACATTGATACCCCAACTGGTTCTTGAAGTTCTGTATTCTGGAAATTTAGTCATTGGGGTAGAAATCTTACTGTCAATAAGCCAGTGACCTTTGGCAACGTCGTGGTAGTCACCTCCACTACCCTTTTCAGTAACAATGTAAGTCTTAATGTCGACAATTTTTGGAAATTCCTTCAATGCCATCTTTTTTTCTTCTGTGTGATACAAATATGAATATTATTGAAAAATCCCTGTGTATATGTCCCTTTATATATCTTGACCGATCAGGACAAGGTGACCCCACCTCAAAATAGTAAGTATAGGACTCGACTAGTCTTTTGGCCGATATTGCGCGAGGGCTCATAATAATCCGGGGAACCAGTATTGCGCCTGATGATGTGCCCGACTTTTCACATTCGACCGGTGTCGTACCTCTCTCGATGTGTACAATAATTGGGACCAGGAAGCCATTATAAAAGATCAGCCGACCGTTTTTTTTTCTTGCCCATGTTTCAAAGGTCAACTTACATTCATTAATACTGCCTTAAAAAAGTCTATTTCTCTATAAATTACTGCAAGTTTACAAACAATCCCCCGTCCACGAGGAGTTGGGATCCAGTCATGTATGCAGAAAGATCACTAGCCAAAAAAATTGCAGGACCAGCCAAATCGTCGGGCTTTCCTAATCTTCCGAGAGTTGTTCTGTTTTCCATGTAAGTTCTCTTCTCATCATCAGCCAAATCTTCTTCATTGACAGCTGTTCTTATAGTACCAGGGAGAAGAGCATTACATCTGATTCCATATTGACCCAAGGCACAAGCACATGACTGCATTAATGACAAAATACCAGCTTTAGTTGGAGTGTAATGGGCTTGGTGGCCTCCACCCTACCAAAGCAGAAATACTACTGATTCCAATGATACTACCCCCTTTTCCTTGCTTTTTCATTTGTCTTCCAACTGCTTGAGTGACGAAGAAACATCCATTCAAGTTAATTTCAATAGTCTGAAGATAAGTCTCGGGTTTGGTTTCCAAAAAATCATTAAATTCACAAATACCAGCATTGGACACTAAGATGTTAACTTCTCCAAACTTCTTCACAGCTTCTGCGACAAGGTTAGTACTAGTCTCTTGTTTTGAGATATCACCTGGTACAGCAAGAAAGTTTTCAGGACCAACTTCCTGTGCCATTTCTTCAGCTAATTCTGCCTGCTTGTCGGTAGGTAGATGATTAACACATATTTTGGCTCCTTCTCTTGCCATTCCGAGAGCAATCAGCCTCCCAATTCCAGTAACACCGCCGGTGATGATAGCCACCTTATCTTGTAGTAATGCCATTATGTATATAAATTTAAGTTCATTGAGATTCTGGAGCAAGACGCATTAATATATATTTTTTGGCGGGGATGGACGCGAAACTTGATCCTTAATGCGGTGACATCAATCATAGGCCCCACTTTGAAGTGCGAGGGGTCTTTGGAAGAATTATCGGTACCGAGAGGTCGGCCAAGGATTAACTGAGTTTCCGAAGTATATATAGGAAAATTAAACGCTCGATCCAGTTGGTGTCTGTTTCGTGCACTCCTATCGTTGAATCATCGAAGCGGAAGAGAATTAGGTAATGCGATGGTGGGGGAGTGGGGTGTTTTGGTTATGATCGCGGGTAAGCGCTCGACAACAATATATATATATGGTTTAAGATTGAACTATTAACTTAACTAATTTTGAGATCATAACAGAAATGGTTAAAGCTTTCAAATCTACTAAGGTCTACAAATTATCGACCGGTTCGTCTATCCCCGCCCTTGGTTTGGGCACTTGGAGAGCGACTGATGAAGAAGTTTACAACTCCGTCTTAACCGCTTTGAAAGCTGGTTACAGACATATTGATACTGCTGCTGGTTACGGTAACGAAGAACCAATCGGTAAAGCTATAAAAGATTCTGGAATTTCCAGAGATCAGATATTTGTCACTACAAAGTTATGGTCGACTAAGCACTATGATCCTGAATCGGCATTGAAAGAATCCCTTTCTAAGTTGGGTCTTGAATATGTTGACTTATACTTGATGCATTGGCCATTGGCTATGAACCCAAATGGTAATCACCCAGCCATTCCAACCAGACCAGATGGATTAAGAGATATTGTGTATGATTGGAGCTTTACTAAGACCTGGAAATTAATGGAACCTTTGGTGGAACAAGGATTAACTAAATCCCTTGGTATTTCCAACTGTACTGTTTCTAAAATGAAGGAATTATTCGATTCCGGTTTAAAGGTCAAACCCGTGTGTAACCAAGTTGAATTGCACCCATACTTGCCACAACATAAATTGTTGGAATTTGCCAAAGAACATGATGTCGTTCTTGAAGCTTACTCCCCATTGGGTTCCGCCGACGCTCCTTTGTTAAAGGATGAATCTATCAAAGCCATTGCTGAAAAGTATGGTGTGTCTTCAGCTACAGTGATTATTTCTTGGGCTATTTGGAGAGGAACTGTCGTTTTGCCAAAATCTGTTAAACCTGAAAGAATTGAAAGCAACCTCGAGATCATTGAGCTCGAGGATAAAGATGGAGAAGCCTTGAACAGAATTGCTGAAAATAGAGGGGGCCCTCAAAGATTCGTCTCTCCTCCTTGGGATCCTGTTGTCATCTTTGACTCTTCTGAATAGATTAGAATGATTTCTGCTTAATATAAGATCTTCTTTCGTTCTCCGCCTCATCTCTTTTTAAATTGCGTTTTACCAGGCTTTTCTTGTTAGTTTTAATTACTAACAGCAAACACAACAAACATTCCATGACATCAGTGAACATATCACGTCTAAATACTGCTTATACTATGATCTCCTTTTCCTCTACAAAAACCTCTGGATCCTCGGGCCAGTACGAACCCGAGTGTAACCCCGAATGCGACGTAGCAGAGAGAATTTTTTGTGGGGTATATCCCCCACCTCCGCATTCCAAATCTGGTTGAGTTTGGTGGTACAGTATAAAATACGGACAACCAGGCATTTCGGTTCAAAAAATCCTAGTTATTCATTGTTGATACAAATAAGAGGATCATCCCTGTATTTTCATCCATTAAATAAAACAAAATGACCGCTTCTACGTTTGAAACACCTATTGGAAAGGGTATTTACACCCCAGTTCCCACCTTCTTCACAGGCGAAAACTATGAATTAGATCTTGAAAGTCAAATTGCCCATGCTAAGTTTTTGTATAGCAGCGGGATAAACGGTGTTGTAACTGGTGGATCAATGGGAGAATCTATTCATTTAACTAGACAAGAGAGACTCGAAATCGTCAAGGCTATCAGATCAGCTGTACCAAGTGATGAGTTCAAGATTATCTCCGGTATGCCATACACAAATATTCCTGACACTATTGCCGAAATTAAAGCCTTGAAAGATGCTGGTGCCAATTATACTATTTTATTGACCCCTGGATATTACGGTAACTCTTTAACTACTCAACAAGGCATCATAGACTATTTTACTTTGGTCGGTGACAAGCTGGCTTTACCAATTGTTATTTATCACTACCCAGGTGTTAGTAACGGTACTGAGATCAACCCCGAGACTTTTGAAGTGTTGCTGAAACACCCTAGTATCGTTGGTGTGAAATTAACCCATTTCAATATGGACAAATATGTTCTTTTGACTGGAAGAGTGGAAGAGAATAAAGCCAACAACTTCAGACCATTCACTGGATTGGGTCAAATTTTGGTCCCATCTTTAGCTATTGGAGCTTTTGGGGCCATTGATGGTTTATCTGGTGTATTCCCCAAATCTATGCTCAAGCTTTTTGAACTTTTCAACAATAAACAATATGAAGAAGCCCAAAAATTACAGTTCTTGGTCACCAGGGCTAATCAAATGGTTTTCAGCCTTAACTTGATTGGTGTCAAACATGCATTAAACGTTATTCATGGCTTTGGTGATTCAAACGTGTCTGGGAGACCCCCATTGAACCATCAGGTGGATTTGAAAGTGTGGAACAAGTACGAAGACGATATCAAAAAATTAGGAGAGTTTGAAAAATCTCTTAGTTAAACTAAGTCGTTCTCTTATCTGAGTCATCCCATTAGAGTTCATTTCAATAACAATAGTTCATTTATTTAGCTATCATAACAATACATGCCTCCTTAAAAACCTAATCAATCAATTTGAATCCCCGTTCTTGAAGCTGAGTGATGTTCCAATTCCAGGTCTTCTCTGCGTAGTCCATATTTCTTGCTACTTTGCTTGCACTAGACATAACACCACCCGTTGTGAGAAAGCATCCGTTATTTTGATCGACTGTCAAAGTGTTATCTAAAGCAGCCCTGAGTGAAGCATAAGCACCAACCTCAGAGGAGACGGCAATTATACTTCCAGATACCTTGAATATCCAGCTCAGGATTGTACCTAAAAAGCCATTAGTTGACCAAACAAAGTCGTACAAAGATGTTGCAATTACACCAGGATGAACTGCAACGCATAAAATATTAGGATACTTCTTGGCCAAGACCTCCGTAAAATGAATTGCGGCTGTTTTAGCCACACCATATCTCAACATGGAATAATAAGACGAAGGAGATTTATTCAAGTCATTGGTATTCTCATAAAATGAAGTTGCAAGGTTATGGCCAAGAGAAGAAACTTGAACAACCCTTGGAGCCTTTGAGTTCACAAGAAGTGGTAACAAAGACAATGTCAAAAGAACATGGGATACCACGTTTACCTGCAATTGGACTTCATAGTTATCTTTAGTCATCTCGAACGGACATCCCATGAGTCCAGCATTATTGATTATAATATCCAAGTGGTCTTCAGCTTTTTTTATAGTTTCAGCAGCTTTTTCGACATTCTTCAAGTCCAATAAGTCACAGGGTATGTAATGAATACTACCAAAGAACCTCAGCCTAGTCTCAGCTTCATCGTACTTGCTTACTCGCTTCTCTGCTTCAACTTTGATCTCTTCAATTGCTTTCAATGCCCTCTCCTCATTTCTTGCAAGCATGTATATCTTGAACCCATGTAAATACAAATGTAAGACAGTGTACCATCCAATACCCTGGTTACCGCCTGTAATGATTGCCACCTTGCTATCGGTCATTGGATTGAAGTATTCAGTTGCCTCTGGCACAAACTGCCTTTTATTCCAAAACAACATCCTAATATCTTTTAGAAAATAAACTCAGTGCACTAAGTCTTAGTCCTCTCGCAACCGCAACGGTTGAATATATTTGTGGTAAGGACACTTCCTTGTGGAACAAGTGAGAGATATATAGAAATTTATAACTGATAACGTCTTCCTGTTCTTCACTTGAATAATTAGTAGAATTTGTCACATAATACTAGTAAAAGGCCCTTTGTGATTTTTGTGTACAATAGGGTTCTTTGAGAATTCTCTGTGCATATATTGGTTCTATCTAAAGTATATAACTAAATTATGTCAAAAAATTACACATCTATATTGTAGATCACTAACAAAAGCTCTATACACTAAATATCATAATACATTCATAACCCTGGGTTGAAGTATTTCAATTAACTTAACTTTCTGCATAGAAACTGCTGTTCAATTGATTGCAGTTAATCTGATTCTGCAGGGTTTCCGTTTCCTAAATACCCTCTATTTGTTGGGTAATTTACTATAATCTTGTCAAAGCAGCATCATTGATCACCTACGAACAATGTAAATAATCATTTCTAATAAAAGCCATTTCATCCTCTAAAAGATCAACAACTTTACTGAACTGTTGGGAAACAAACTTTAACGGAAAGACTTAACCCCATAATGATTGGTTGATCTCTGTACCATTCCTGTTGTAGTCCAATAGAACGTTTCAAATGAACCTAATCAAAATCAATATTAAACCACATTTACCACAAAATAAATTGGGTAAACTTTAATAATTGTTTTCTACCAAGGTTGACATTTTAATAGAATTTGTAGAATTTGCAAAAATCTAGAAAAGTTATAACGTTAACATTTACCTCAACATTGCACTTTTATATGAACGTCTACAGAATATGGAGACATAGGAAGAATCTTGATGCATATGTTCCTTTTATCTTATATGAACAAAATAGTTTCTATTTCGATTTGATCTTTGAGCTCAGGAAGCAAAAATTATTGAAAGCTTTAAAGACTTTAAAAGTACGGTTTGTGAAATCAACTCCAGTCCCAGCATTAAACTGCTTCATCTCAGAGGTATAGGATTGTAGGACCAGGGCTGTTTAGTTTTGAATGAGATACTTTATAAGGACAGCTGGTTGAAACCGAACAAAGACTTGAAGACAGATATTTAGATCTGGAATTTGATTCCTTCAAAAGTGTACTCTAAAAATAAGAAAACATGAAGTGAAATACTAGGTTCTTTTCAGTATCCCATGATACTGCTTCTGACTCTTGAACTTAAGGGCTGACTCATACACCCACGGAAGTTGCCCAAGTTGCGACCCATAGCAATTTGAAGATTGGATGGGTTTTAGATATGCACAAGGTCCCTCCGATAATTCGCTCTCAAAAGGAGTATTCAACCTTTGGAGGAAAACTTAAAGGCAGATTCTACATACTAATGTCGTTAAAAAGACGCAACCATCTCAACATCCATAAAACAAGATCAGAATTTTTCAAACTCAAAGAGCTTTCAACTAGATTAGTTAACTATTTGATAGCTTCAAATCAGGAAAAGGATATAGATCGCAAACTTAAAATCAGTCTAAGTCATTCTTGGATCACTGGACACTTATCTCTCATAAAAATCACAATCCTATCAGTGATATTTCAAATTATAATTAATTATAAATAAAAATAGTTTGTCATAAAGTCCTGACTATATTCAGGTGAATGTACTCTAAGTAAAATAGTTGAACACTAGGTATGTACCACATGCAGTGAATGGTTCTTATAACATTCTGAAGAATTTGAAGATTTTCACCAACCTGAAAAGAGGGGGGGACAAAGCAGCTTTATCAGTATGGGGTGCAGCATCCCTCTCGATAAGTAGCAAAAGCGCTAGGTCCAAATAATTAAAGATCAAACAATAAAACGAACTGTGTGAGTAGACAATACAACAAAAATAGGTATATTGATGCAAACTTATATTAAAATAGCTGTGACTCAAGAACATGCAAATAAATAAATCACAATAATATCAATATAATCGTAATTCCAATGCCATATAATGATCCAAACATCTATGCGTCAAAATCTCTATGGGCTTACTAGTCTACACACCTCGAGGAACATTCACAATAAAGCAAAGGTTCTTCCTGAGTTACTTGG